TCGACCTCAGCAAAGTTTGTTGGAGTTCAAAAATTCTCAAATAAATATGTAAACTTTCAGGCAAAGTGAAGATATATCTACTCAAGCTGGCCCTACCAGTGATACCAAAGGAACGACCTCGCAGATGTTTGAAGTGTCCACCAGCGCTGGTTCATCAAGCACTGCTTCAACGTCTTCGTCGATTAAAACTTCATCCACGGGGAAGCCTATCTCTTCAAAGAAAAGCACCACGACGACCACGCCTTCAACCAAACTTCCGACAACCACTTTACCTGTTGAGACGTCTATTCACACGACTAAAACTTCCACAAGATCTATCACAACTTCTTCAACGGCAAAAATAACAAAAGTCCCAACCGAAACTGCCGCGGAATCCAGCGAGCCGACTATAACCCTCAAAAAATCGACAAGTTTTGAAAAAAGCACCACGGCGGCTACACCGAAAACAACGAAGAAAGTTGATACGACTTACACGACCGAAATGAGGACTCCCACGTTTTCAACTACATCAGAGAAAGTTCAATCGACGTCTACCATAGAAGCCACGACCGACACGTCTTCTAAGCCTTCAGAGAACCTTGAAATGACGTCAGCTGCAGAGCCTACAAAAGTCACAACTTCAGATACATCAAAAGTTGGAACAAAGTCCTCATCCGTCTCGACGGAAGAAATCACGTCTTCAACGACATCGGAATACGTTGGAACGACGTCATCGAAAGAAGCCACGGTGGCCACTGCTTCAACGTCAACGGAGAAGGTGGAAACGACGTCATCAACAGAAGCCACGATGGCCAAGCTTTCAACGGAATCAATGAAAGATAAAACTAAGACCTCATCAGAAACTTCGACAAGAAACAAGAGCACCACGAAGACTACAACGACACCAAAAAAAGTTACGCAAACGGAGAAGAGCACGAAGAATGCTTCATCTTCAACAACTCGAAAAAAGTCTGAAACAACGACCGAAAAGCCAGCCACGCCTCACACCAAAAAAATCTCAACGACGAGCACGATTTCGAAGAAGACCACGACCGCCACGAAGACTACGATGCCCTCCACAACTCCAGAAAAAGTCGCAACGACTTCAGAAAAGAAAATCTCGCCCACCCCAAAGAAGAGCTCTACGACTTCAAAGACCCCGAAGAACGTTGTAACGACTACAGAGAAGAAGATTTCAACCACAACGAAGAAGAGCTCCGAACCTTCCACGACCTCGAAGAAAGTTGTAACGACTTCTGAAAAGAAGATTTCAACCACGACAAAGAAGAGCTCCAAACCCTCCACGACCTCGAAGAAAGTTGTAACGACCGCCGCTTCTCGAAGCACCGCGTCTTCCGCTACCTCCATGAAAGTCCCGCTTTCTGAAAAACCGACGACGTCTCCTACGAAGCCAGTGACTTCCACGTCCGCAACGTCGACCGGAACCGTGAGCACCACCGCCAAGACGACCAAGTAGTGATGGGATTTGATAATTTAATAATGGGGGTTCTCAGAACCACAACGGACGATGTGAAAGCCTCGTCGACAATCGCTTCGAGCACGACCACAGAAAAAGCCACTACAAGACAACTCGGTTAGACATCTTATCAAACCTAGTCAGATTCCAATATACAATGTTACAGAATCCACGAGATCCTGGGCGACGGCATGCCCTGAAGGAGCAACTGAAGGACCGCTTTTTTGTTATTTGGCTGTACCGGATGGTCGCAGGCTAGTTTTCAAATTATAATATTTACCTCTAGCCGTTCCTTTTTTTGAATTTTTAGTTCTCTTTTCTAGTTTTCAATAATCAATACAAAAATTTTTCGGAAGATCTTCAAAGTCTAATAAGAATATACAAGTTTAGCTGCATCAAGCCATTCTACGTGCGACCACGATCCAAATTAAAATAAATAAAACGTACAGCTTTTCCAGCAACAGCAGCTACCTGAAGGTCAAATCGGCCTGCAACAGGATTTTCGGCTCGGATTCTTCGATCATCAGCTTGTATGAGCTCATGGACCCGGTCACTCTCAAGCTCTTCAAGAACATGACGTTGATTTTTTTGATTTCTCTCAAAAAGGGTCTCGAAACGAATAAAAACACGTTAAAAAAACGCTCTGCTTAATAAAACATTGAATCGAAAATGAAAAAGTAAAATTCAGAGTTCTGCTAAACTATATAATTTACACAAGGACAAAAAAAGAAGAAGCCGAGAAAGCTAATTAAAAAATAAAATGATAAAAAGTACGATATTGGACTTGAAGAAAATTGCGCTTTTTGGGCTTGTTAGGGCTCAGAAAACGGCCAGGGGACCAAAAAGAACACGCTCAGAAACTTGAATGAACAAAAAACAATCTGAAACGGTTAAGGAGAAAAAAAAAAACGAAATTTATAATAAAAGATTACTTTTTTGGTAAAGAAAAAGCTTTTTAGTTAATTCAAGAAAATCGTTCAGATTCTTCGTCCAGACTCAATGATGACATTCAATCCAAATGAAATCGGGAACAGTTTCAGCGGCGAAAAGAACACTACCGTATTTTGGGCGGAGGGAGGGGGATCGAGGACCCAGTGGAACCGGCTGGCGCTCAGAATCAACTCTGACGCGGCGCCGGAGTTTTTCCAAGGCGAAGGAATCGACAAAGTCCCAATCTACAACGAGGATAACACCGTTGGCGGAATTTGCAAAGTGCCGAGTAAGTCGCATTTTTTTTCTGTCTTCAAGGGCTCTAATTGTTTGTCCATTGTTGATTTCATCCTTTGACACTTTCCCGTCTTTGCGGGATTTGGTGTGATATATATATCACTGTTTAATTTTTTTTTTTTTTTGAAAAAAGTTGAATAATGAAGCTTCTTTTTTGAAAAATTTATGGTTTTTCATTCGTTGAGGACGAAATTGAATAAAAGTTTGCGATATTGTTTTTTTTTCTATTTAAAGCTTTATATTTCTGATGCTTTTTCCTTCAGAATATGGAGCAGCGATGGAATGCGCCACGGATACTTTCCATGAAGCTTTGTACCTCAGGGGAAAGTTCAATCTTCCCCAGGCCGGAAAATTCGTCGCCGTCGGCAATCGCATAACGTTAGTTCACCGTTCGAATTACTTATTTTTGTGGAATAAGCGCGAATCATTTGATAAAAATTGACCTCTCGATCGCCAAAATATGACATGATGTTTTAGTCTGGGTGTCTTTAAAAAAATATGGTCTCTTGGATTTCTCTTTTCTAAAAAACTCTATAAAAAAAACCACTTGGGTTTACTTTACCTGATTTAGAAAACGGCAGGCTTCTAAGTAAAGAAAAATTGTTTCATCGTTCTTTTGCAATATTCGAGTGACTTTTCGACGTTTTGAGGAGCAGCTGCAGTCTGCCGAACTGCTACGAGCCAAACTGGACCTTTTTGTGCAATCCTAAAGGCGTTTGGAGCCCGCACCCCGATGCCGTCAATTGCACTCAACGCCGTTAGTTTAATTTTGATTGAGAACAAGAATTATTGTTTTAACCGTGAAAGGATCTTTTAATGATAAAAGAGATCAGAGACACCAGACTTCTTTGAAGTCTCTTCAAGCCTCTGCTCTCTTTTTCTCTCTTCTTCCTATCTTAAACAGTTTTAAAGCTGCGACAATGACGTTGCCAGTTTCGAAAAAATGCAGGGTTCAAGAGAAAATGAAAAATAGTTCTAGTTTTAGACTTAAGAATTTCAAAAATTGAAAGGTATTTGTTTTAGATCTGATCATTATAAACTGGGATTTTAAAAATCTTAACTCGAAAACTAGAAGCTTGTACAGTAGCCGCTTTGAAGAGCTTGAATCTGGACTTCTGCAGATAATTTGAGCAAATTCAAAGAAAATACCAGACCTCATATAGTCTGTGTGCCAAGACTTGGAATTTCACCGAACGACATTCCGGTGTTCCGCTGGATAGAAGATGAAAGAAAAATAATTTCTCGAAGCGTCTTTGCGATCCTCGGTCTCGCTTTGAATTGGTTCTCATTTCTGATAGATGGACTGTTTCACTAGGAACACGTGTTAGTCGAGTTCTTAAGTAAAGTTGAAAATTAAAAAGCGGCCAAGCACGCAGCGGAACAGCGGAACGTCGTTCGATAAAATTCCAAGTCGTGGTACACAGACTATAGTAACCTCTCTCCGATTTAATCTTTGTTCCCTGAAGGCGGAACCCTGTGGGTCGACACGGCGCGGCCCTTCTACGGACGAGAGCAGGAGAAGTGCCAGAACTGCGTGGAAGAAGGGACGGCTACCTGCAACGCGACCGACAACGGCACCTTCGTTTGCGTCTGCAAGCCCGGATACACTGTCAGTTTTCAATGGATGGAAGATTAAAGGCATTCGGGCAGTATAGTCGCCTCGAGCAGATTTTACAACAGAACTTTTGTTGTGACTTCGAATCTCTACTTCAAATTTTACAAATTCTTTCAGTTTTCCAGGAAAGAACGTTCAAAGAGCTCAACAGTTCGAAAGTTCAATAATCCTCTTTGCTTTTTTGAATAATATCAAATCTGTGAATCGAGCGTATTCTCCTTCAAACTTCCCGACAAGAGTTCATTAAAGGCCGACGGTTTTAGTATATACAGTATCTGAGCTCGATTAACATTACTGTGAAACAACCTAGTGGCCTTTTTAGAGGGATCTCGAAGACGGCTTTGAGAGGACAAAAATGGCAACTGAAACTACCTTTATTGGAGCCACCCCTAAAGTAGCTTCATGGTCTAGTAGTACTAATCAGAAAAAGAAGTCACTTAAATCTAGACGCTAATTTGACTACTACTACAGTGGCCTGTAAAACGTCAAAATTCTAAAATGGTCACTCAGAACTTTACCAGCTCCAAAATCAATTGACATCAAGAGTAACTAAAAAATTTAAATTTAAAGTGTCGTTAAAGAGGGTTTATTCATATTTTTTTGAGTCATGGGTTGAATATAAGATGAAAGGAAAAATAATTTTCTAGGGCTTCCGGTGCCAAAAGGTGCCTCAGTGGTGTGGAACTGATTCGCAGGCGGCGGCTCTCTGCATCATGGGGTATGTTGGGAATTTTTATGATTCGCTCGAAATTTCAAACATTAAAAGAGTCCAAAAAAAGTAGAACAGTGAAGAAAAAAGGACTAGTCTTTGACAATGTTGGTTCTGTAATCGCCGAAGTTACATGTGTTGTGAAAGGTCTACATGAAGAAATAAGTCTTTTCTGTCCAAGCAGTCACTTTATCAAAAGTTGTAGATGAAATGCTCAGTTTTTCAACCAGCTTACATCTGGTCATCTTTTTCTCATTCTTTTCAGCCGATGCGTGAACGAACGGAACAGTTACCGTTGCATCTGCGACTACGCCATCGGAGAGGACCATTGTACGTGGAACCGGAGCCACTTCGAATTCGACCGTGTACGAATTTTTTCAATATTCATCTCTTGAAAGGAAATTTTTCCAAGCCTTCAGGGAAGTTCGGCGCAAGTGTACCACAAGGTTTTTTGATTCTAGAACAAGAAGCGAATCCCTAGAAAAAGGCTTAATTTTCACATTGTCGAGTTTTCAGAGAGGCTGGATGTCCTCGACGCAGACGACCTCGACGACGGCTGTGGTCGCTTTGGTCACGTGGTTCTTCTTCTGGAGCTTCGTTGCGCAGAGCGACAGGACCTACAATGCCCGGGTTCGTACCGTTCCTTTGCAACGAGAGAGAAAATCGTCACTAAAAATAAACTCCAATTTTCATGAAGAAAAATATACACAATCTTACTTGGCTTGAGCCAGCGAAAAAATTGATATCGATTCCTCTTTTTACGAAAAAAAAAAACACGAATTTCCGGTTTCAGGACCGACAGAACACGATCCAGATGCTGCGTGGCTTCGCCACGCTGACGATGATGACGATTTTCGCTGGATTCAGGAATCCCGGAATGCTCGGAGACTGGCAGGCGTGCCCCGTCTGGTATTTCATATTCACCTGGATGCACACCACGAGTGAGTTGAATTGGGAAAATAATCATAATCTGACATTTTGAAACTGTAAACTGAAGACGAAAGTTCGAAAAAATCAAGAAAAAGTTTGGGAAACTTCGTGAAAAAAGGCTAATTCCTGACCGAACCGTTCAAGTCCCAAGAATGGTCTTTCAGTCGGGATCTTCTGGACGGTGGAGTCGGTCTGCTACGGCAGTATGTTGCGGAACCACCACCGCAACGGCTTCCACACCTGGAACGGGCAGAAGCCGTCCACGCTCGTCTTCATGGTGAGCAAACCCCTTCAAATTTCTCAGTCTAGAATCTTCATAATTTTCTCTTTTAGTGTTTTTTGATTGATTTGAAAAAATGATTTTTTTCTCGAAAAAACTTGAAAACAGAGAAAATCAGAATTTATTCTAATGAAAGATGAGATTATCTCAAGACTTCTTGGGTAAATGGAAGTTTTGAACTAAGTTCTTGAAAAACGGAAGGATTCTGTTTCGAAGCTGAGTTGAAGACTCGGAAACAGAGAAACAGGAAAGTCAATCACTAACTTCAGTTCTGCCTCTTTGGACCGTTCTTCGTCGGATTCTTCTGGGCGGGGACCGTCGTCTTCGTCGTCGCCGGATCGTTGGTCCAGGTATAATTTTACGAGAACTTGTAGGCATTTCTATTAAAACCAACGAAGTTAGTCATTTGAAGATCCATGTGAATTTTTCAAACAAGATAGGTTTTTATAATGCCATTCTTTTTACTAGAAGCTCCTGTAATTCTGAATGATGATTGCTAATAGTTTCTACCTAGAAAAAAATTTTTTCGCGGAGAGTTTTTCTCAAAAGTTGTGAAGTACTGCTCGCAGACTGTCTTGCAGATAAGGTCTCTCACCAAAACTGACATTTTGTGAAGAGAGTGGCTAGAAAGTTGAGCTTATCGGTCCGTCAATCTAACTCAAAAATCTGGCTTGAATCCGATTGATCTTTTCATCACAAAATGGAGAATTGTTTCAGGCAGCCAGCACATGGAGCTGCATTGGGTATAACACGGACACGATCGTGCCCAACTTGTACCTCCTGCCGTTGTTCGTCTTTCCGGCCTTCGGCTACCGGAAATGGGCCGAAGGATCCACGTCAGTTGTTTTAGTAGTTCTTTTAAGTGCATTTTCTTCACTCTTTTCAAATTAGTCCTAAAATATTTTCAAAAATTTTTGGAGTGTTTTTTTAAATACTGTGAAACTGCGATCGGAGAAATTTGAATTTTTTTTTAGTAGAGTTGCAGTTGTTGAGTTACACTAAACAGGCCCGCAACAGAAAAGTTGTTAGAAAGTTCTAACAAATGAAGATTTTTTGGGTGAAGTTGTGATGAACATAGAAAACTCAATTGTTAAGTGATGCAGAAAATCCTAATATTTCAGATAATACAAATTTTCTCACGGGTTTTGGGAGCACAAAAAACAACGAAAACTTTTGATTTTTTTTGGTTTCTCAGTAGCCACTCTAACAGTTTCGTACCTTATAAAAAATGTATCGTAGTAAAATAGACAAATCATGAACTTAAAAATGCACAATGACACGTTACTTACAATAGTAGGAACTTCAAAAGGTTTCTTTTCTAGGGCGGTACGCTACGAGTACCGAAGACGACTGCGGGCGTGGTTCACGGTCTTCTCACCGCGAAACGTCGACTTCTACAGTCGCGTAAGTTTGACAAGTTTCTTAAAAAATCGAACTAAAAATCTAGAACGTTCAATCGATATTCTGCAAGTAGAATACTTGGGTTTGACCTTTTTTGATTCATTTTTAACTTTTTAGTTGGATTTGAGGTTTGTTATAATCCTTTGATAATCCCGAAGGTTCAGGTCAGATGTTAAGCTTTTTACCCAATAACCGTCTAGGGAGACTAGCGAACAATTGTGAATTTTTTATAGGGTTTTCTAATAATCCCGAAGGTTCAAGTCAGATGTTCAGGTGCTGAGGAACGGGCCGATGCTGGATTTGATGCCGTTTGCCTACGCCCTCCAGTACATCGCCATGGTGTACCACGTCGCCGAGCCGGAGAACGACCAGTACAGGACGTGAGTATGAAGAAAAAATGGTAAAGGAATAAATAAATTTAAAGATCAAAGGCTTTTTGATTTTTACGGTCTAGCCTGTTTGTGCCCATTTCTCAGCTTTCTCCCAATCATTTTTGAACTGGAATATTTTCAATGAAAGTGAAATAAAAAAATAAAAATAAAAGTCTCCTGCTATTTATGATCAAGAGATACACGAGAAATTTTATTTCATCGAAAAATTCGAAAAAAATTACTTTTTGAGAGGTCCTGCACCTTTTCTACTGCTTTTTTTCAGGCTTTCGGCGGTGGCGATCGCCATCAACACCGTCCTCCACTGGGTCCAGTTCGCCGTCACCGCGCCTCCGGTAAGGAAGGGAAATTTCCATTGAAAACTTGATCAAATATAGTTTTTATTTGAAGATACAACAGAAAATAATTGTTTGCAGTTGTGGAACTTCGTCTGCAACAAGATGATGGTGCACCTGCCGTCCCACGTGGCGCCCAAGTTCAACACCGTGATGCGTTGGACGCGCGATGAGGTAACCTTCATGTCCACAATATATGAAACAACCTGTTCGGAACACCGTAGCGCAACAGGTTGTGTGCCTGTCTAATGTACAAAAAGGTAACAAGTTCGATCCCCACCGCGACCCAACGAAGGGGTTTTTCATTTTCCCAATTTTCAATGTGAATATGCTGTTTCTTTTTCAACAAATTTTTTTATCTATAAAATTGAAGATTTCTTCAGAAGGAATAACTCAAAAATGAGATGAAAGTATTTATTAGAGCGCAAAAGCTTAAACTATGTTGTGAATTAAATTTTTGAATTATGATTTAAAAGCTTCTCCGTTGAGAAATAACCGTATTTAGAAGCTTCAAATAAGAGAAGGTCCTACATTAATTGGTCTGAAAATATGGTTTATTTGTGAGAAACATTCATTCACTTTTGTCCAGGTCCTCTGCTGGAAAGCTCCGCTGAAATACGCGACGGAGTTTGAGGAGAAGCTGGAGCTGGAAAACGAGCGCCGGAAAATGGAAGTCGAGAGAGCGATCCAAAAGCGCAACAAGATGCTGGAAAGAGTAAGAAACGGCTTTTTACACTTTTATTATGAAGTATCGATTTCTTAGTGCCCGACGATCGATCTCCGACTACTCCCTGCGGTACCGGTGTTCTTGGAGGCAGAAGCTCCGGCGGAGGTAATTATTTTTTTGAAAAATATAGTTTATTCAATGTTGACTGGAAATTTTCCAAGGATGCTGGGCAAGTATGGCGTCTTTGTAAAGTTTCTTTGAACCTAAAGTTAATCATAGATTCGGCTTAGGATTGGTATCGCCCTATAGGCAGCGTCTAATCAGAGAATCAATCAATTTTTGAAGGATTTCATCTGAAAATTAAATTAGAAAGGTTAACTTCATTCAGCACTTGGCGAAACTCACCCCGAACGGCATCGAAGGTCCGGAAGACTACCTGTCGGACTTCTCGCTGGAGGTGATCCGGACACGCTTCTTCGTCAACTACATCAAAGAGCGTCTGGACAGCCGATGCGAAAGGACACATTGTGCTTTCGTGCGTCCGAATAGAGGCCTTCTCCGATGGAAAAAGTCGTTTGCAGAGGGTGGTGGCGAGGGAGTGGGTTCAAGTCGGGTACGACCAGAGCCAGATCGCCTACCACCAGCTCATCCGACTCTTCAAGCAGTGCTGCGACATCGTCAGGGACAACGACTATCTCCTGTTCGAGGGCGAAAAACCGGGGATGGACCCCCTCAAAGTAGGTTCTTGACGTGTTCCCTAAAGGTAGAGAAAATAGTAACGCATTTCTTTTCTAATAAAACAAAGACGAATGTCTTCTTTTCAAACACTGTCTCGAATGAACCGAATATTTTTTCTCCAAGATGAACCGGCCACTCGCCAAGTGCTTCGAGATCACGCAGCGGTTCCGGCGACGGAAAAATGCTCCGCCGGCGAACACAACGGAGGCCGTGGTAAGAGTCTTTCATCAAAGAACGTCCTTTGAAGTAGGAATGTCATTCTGTAGGGTTCTTCAGAAGTTGTTAGTATGATAGTCAAAAATCTGTATTTTTTTTTGAGAACCGAGGAAACCAAGAAAAAAAAAACGGTGTACACAAAGATGCTTACCGTAATCTAATAAATAAGATGACTAAAATCGGTGGCTGAAAATTTTCAGAATTCCAATCTAAACAGAAGTTTTGATGATATATGTATGAGTTAAAAAATGCAACAAAAAATTGAACATATTTATTTTCAATTCAAAGCATAAAATGTTGCAGAAGAAGTACGAGCGGATGCTGGAATCGATCGGCTACCGATACCCGGTCGACGACTTCAAGTCCATCTTCTACTCGGACGTGGTCCTTTAACCGGATTGAAAGAATCAACTGAATCTTCTTTTTCCAGGCCGAGGACTACGAGACCTTCATCGCCGGAACGCACTTCGTCAGCAGAATGCCCTATATCCACACCATCAAGGAGGTTTGGAGATAACGTGGTATTTGAAGTTCTCCAACTGTTTGGAGTTTTGGTAGGAGATAAGCTCTATATCAATTTTCTTAAGCTGGAAAAGCGGCTGGAGATCTTCGCGGAGCAGGCCAAGGAAGAGAACGCCATCTGGGACCACATCTACGACGACGACGATTGGTTTCTCAACATTTTTTTTTACAATATTAAGAGTCACTCGAAAATTATTTTTTTAAATTGATTCTCCAGAAATCGATAGATTCGAAAAAAACAACCTTTCTGAGACTTTAGAAACCGTTTCCCCGTTGGGAATTTCCATAGTGAATGATCAAATTTTTCAGGTTCGTGGAGCGAAGCGAGGAGGAGAAAGAGGCGCTGAGAAAGGAATATGTGAGAATTTTCTACTAATTGCTCGTAGTTTCATCAAAAAATTATCATTTCTTGACACTTTCTCAATTTCATAGCTAATTTCAAACGAACTAGGACGGTTTTCCCCGTCCAAAAATGACAAAAAAAGGAGAGTATAAAATTTTCTAGAAATATCTGAAGTTTGCTCCATGGTAACATTTCACGACCATCTGAAATCTTGCAGAAGATCGTGGATTCCCAACAATTTCCGAATCCGAGAAAAATGAAGCTGAAGCACCTGCACGACCGGTACTTCGACCAAATCAGGCCCGGGTAGCTTCCAACCAAGTTGTCGACTTACACGAAATGGATACTTCCAGCTTCATCGGTCCAAAGACGCCGAACGCCTCGATCTACCCAGACTTTGGAGGCCTCTTCTCCAGCGACAAGTTCTGGCTGGAGGTTTGAGAAAAATATAACTTTTAGAGCTAAGAATTTTGAAAAAATGAGCTTTGAGAAAAGTTTCCAAACACCTGCCATTTGAGATTTCTTAGGCGGGAATGTAGAAAACCTGGAAAAAAATCAGAATAAATATCAAGTTTCAAGAAAATCAAAAACCCTAGAACATTTTTCAAAGCAAAATCGAGGCCTTAGAAAGATCGAATAAAGTTCAAAAGCTATCCAGTGAAAAAAACCAATCATTTCTAGATGAAACATGATTATAAAATTATGCAAAACAAAGCTGCTTCTGAAAAGAACAATCGAAACCAGGAGACTAAGTCCCATTTTTCAAAATTCTTCGAAAAGAGAAGTTGATAATTTTCGAAAATTCTCGTAGTAAATTTGAAAAATACTATTATTCTAACTGAAGGTTGATTGCATTTCCAATTTCAGATAGATTTTTACTCCTAAAGTGACCACTGGAATCTTTATATAAATATAGATATCTAAATGGTATTCAATTATTGTTCCTAGGAAGCGGACGAGAAAGCGTTCAACAGCTTCATCGAGATGAAGGAGTGGAGGAAGTCGGACAAGGAGCTCTACGAAAAGTACAGAAAAGACCTGCTGAAGCCGGTGAGAAACCATGGTCATCTCAAAGCTGAATCAGAAAGATGTTTCAGAAGGAAAAGAAGCACAAGCCGCCGTTGAGAGACGTCGGTGAGGAGACGGGATTGCGACAGCGGTTCAAAAATCATCTCCGAAAGTAACTAGTAACTGTTAATGTTCAGAAAAAAAAGGAAAAATTAATAAAAATGGGAAAAAGACTGTGACTTGTCTCTTCAATGAAATGAAAATGAGTTCCTGCAGAGGCTTTTGAATATGGAGCTTCGAAAACTGGAAATGAAGGGCTTCTTTCTAACTTCAGGGCTATTTCCCGTATGATGTGGAGTACGGTGGTTCGATAGCACAGGTCTGCATACATATGTCGACCTTTTTTGGCCCTTTCCGAGATTTTTTAGAAAAAAACTTGGCGCAGACCTGTTCTTCCTTCTAGATTTAGGCCGTTTTACAAAAAAAAAGGCGTCACTACCTTTTTTTTTCGAAGATGTTATAAATCACAGCGCTTCGGGATTTTGAAGCATAAGACTGGTCTCACTGGACAGATTTTCGAGATACGGTTATTCAAGGGATTACCGTGAAAAGGCCCGAAAATCCATATCTCGATCGAAATCCAACGATTTACAAAAACACTCCGTCAAGAGATGTGAAATATTGTTGTTCCAACTTTTTGAATTATATTCTTCTTGTTTGCTCATTATTTTTTTCATTGCACAACTTTTTTTGAAGTCGTGAAACGAATCATTTTGGCTTCGAAAAAGACAAAAAAATTCACTGTTTTTAATCGAGTGAAAATATTCATAAATTTAAAAAAATTTTCGAAGATGCTTTTTATGACCAATACTACGTCGCGCGCTGTAATTATCCCAAAAAGACGAATCAGTGAAAAAAAACTCTGCAAAAAATTTTGCGGTTTTGTTAGATTCCAGCGTAATTCATGATTTCTTTTCTTTTAAAAATGACTGATAACCAGGAAAATTTGATAAGACAAAAAAACTCTCCTCGAAACTGAAGAAATGACAGGAAAAATTCATTTGAATTGGAAAACTAACTTTCCATTTGTTCTTCTATCCCCCAAAAGGCCTGAAAGTTAAGAAGTCAAATGAAGAAGAGAAATCGGAGATTATTCCCTTCAAACGCTCTCGAACCCCTGAAAAAGCAAAGAAAAAATGATACGCTCCTTGGAAACCGGCTTCACAGGTCAAACTGTCCAAAAAAGTTCAAAAGGCCAGTGAAAAGCGTTCGCAACAAGGTGTCATGCACCTTTGAGGACATTAACAGAAAACCGCTGAAAAACTTTCCAGTCCGTTTTATCAATCATTTGGGCGCATTCAAAGGAAAAGAAAAAAGTTTTCGTTGACTTGCTGCGAGAAAAGAACGCCGCAAAAAGAAGGTCGCAACATCAGGAGAAAGAAGTCTTTATACGAGAACTTTAGTTTTCTATCACTTTCTCTCTAGTTACGCTCTTCTTAGAACTTCGAATACTCATGATTCTTGCTTCCAGACAAAAACAGTGATCATGAGATCCTCCAACTTGAACTCGAATATATCGATCGATAGTCGCATGTGGTCTCGCCACGGAATTACGGTATTCAAATGTGAGAAAAAAATCCACAGTACCAGTTGGAACTACTTTCTTCGGACAAAATTAATCAAAAAATGCCTATTGAGAATTTTTCCTTTTTTTTAATTCAGTGAAAAAAAGTATAAAATCTAAATTGACATATTGAGACATTTTTTTGCACAATTTTGCGATTTAATTTTTTTTTCAAAGAATATACATATTATCCAATGTACAAGTTTTCAATAGATCTTTCTTAGTTTTTAATAAATTTAAAAAATGTGAAAATCAAAGTCTGGCTTATGATTTTTTTTTTTTTTGATTTTCTCTAACGTCTTTTCGTACAGTCATCGATCGATTTCCCTCCTTTTTCGTTTAAAAAAATATTATTCTTGGATTTTGTTCCCGTTTCAAACTTTTTTTCAGTCCCGCTTGGATTCTACTTAGTAATTCCTATCAACAAATAATTATACCTAACGGAAAAAAACCACCTCAAAAAAATATTTGAAAAACTTTTCTCAGCTTTCATAGTCATTTTTTTGCTTCGAATTGATCATTATATAGACTTCAAAAAAATTTTTCAAAATGAGTTTTTTTAATTCCAAAACTCTTAAGGTTCACTTGAAGACTTATTTTCTGAGAAATGGGTTATGGTATCGAGATATTTTTTCGGGCTTTGCGGACTTTTAACGAATGAGAAGAGCTACCGTAGATGTTTCGTTTTAATAGAACTTCTGATTGGTTACAACCAGAGCTGAAATTAAAAAAAAGACATCGAAATTCCTGAAAATTCAGAGGCTGGATAACTTTTTCAGTGGATTCTCTCCACGAATTCTAGATTGTAAAAATTGAACTTTTCACTGTTGTAGGACTTCATGTGAAATTTCAAAGAGCTCATTTTATGTATGCGCAAAGTTTCCAGATTTAGATCTTAAAGAATCCTAAGAAGCCAATCAGAAAGCAATTGAGCTTGTCTTTTTTCGAACGATGCTCCGTGTGTACACTTTAGCCTTTTTCCTGTCGATTTATAAATTGATTTTCATTTGATATCTTCAAAAAAAGTTCTTCAAAATTTATTCTCCCCATTATATGTATGTGAAAAAACGTGAATATACACTGTCAATTGTTATATTACCTTCGCTAATCATTTTTTTTTTGTCAATAGGTGTTCTGATGTTTCGATTTTTTTCCGTTGGTTGTTTGTAAATGTTGTTCAGATGATTTTGAAAATGAAAGTATCGTGTGAACGTTAAAAACAAAAGCTTTTTGAACTGGATTTCGAAAGTTGACGAAAATTACAACCTGATGAACAGAGGATAGAAAGGTAGAGTTCATATTCCGATGACTCTCGTCCATCAAAGCGAATCCAACATTGAATACTTATTCTCAATTCTCCCTCAAAGATAACAGCTCAGATACCTTCTTGATCTCTCGACCTCCTCAGATATTCTCCCCACTACTGTATCTCAATGAAAAGCCATCATTTTGAGTGAATTAACGTGGCTGTCTACGCATGCAGACAATCCCAAGCCATTTTCGGTGTTACCGTAAATCTAATCAAGATTTGCTCCCAATCGGAGGCTTTTTTTCGAAAGATTTTCTACATAGGACGACATTCTGACCAGACCGACCACCCAGAAACGATTCCAAGGTGCAGAGGAAACCGAAATTATCGCTTTGTTCCGCGTGGTTTTGATTAATGAGGATAGTGAGCAACTTGAAAATCGTCTGGTGACAAATTCTTATTGATGGGTCGTGATATCCTTGAGAAGTTTCTAATTGATGGGCTGTCTGGAATGAGAATAGAGAGCTTCATGAAAACCGTTGAATTCATTTTTCTGGGTCTGACTACCTGCGCTCCCCTTGTCTCTCATCGGCACTGTAATATGAAATCGAAACAGTATATGATATCTAGAGAGCGTAGGCAGGCAGACTTTTTCAAGTCAAAAATGATTTCACTTGAAGCATTATTCATTATTCACTCAACTTATTGAGATAAGATGCCCCTCGAAAAGAATGAGTTAAAATTATTAGGATATTGAAAGGAAGCTCTCTTTGTTAGAAAAAAAAAAATGGATCGTCGCTTTGAAAATATTCAGAATATTATAACTTATGTACCGCAACTTGGAATTTCACCAAACGACATTCCGCTGTGCCGCTGCGCGCTTTTGCGCACCTTGGTCGCGATTATAAATTTTTTTTTTGCTTTTATTAAGGTACTCTACTTTCCTGTGCTACCTCAGCAATAACAATCGATTGAAAGCGTGACCTAGATTCGAAAGACGCTTCGCGAACGCACGCAGCGGAACAGCGGAATGTCGTTCCGTGAAATTTCAAATCGTGGCACACACTATGCAGTAAAAACTTATACAGTATCTTCTAATCAGATAATAACAAAAAAATTCCTGATTGAGCTTTGGAAATTTCGTTGCTTTTGCCATAAAAAATCATTACAGTAGGAAATGTTTTCTCTTCGATTTGACCTTGGTTTGACCACCCGTGTACAAAAGGCGCGAACTGACGCGAGTTTTTTCTTCTCTTTGATCAACGCACGTTGATAAATGCGTGATACTGAGAGACCGTAAATCACTGAGACAATCTGAGAAACTCCAGGTGAATTCAAAGAAAAGTTACTATGAAATACAGAGAGTTCTGGGAAAGGAAATGATCGAGTGGTTGAATGATTGCAGCCGTTCATAATCTCTGAGTCAGGAAACAGTCATCGTTCCTGTTTGTCTTCTCTGATGTCATTTTGAAAAAAAATGATCCTGCGATCACAAGATGTCTGGCATTTCTTCTGTTACACATCGAGGTTATTCTGAAGCGAAATAAAAGAAGATCAAGAAATCAATTATCAAAAACTAGGGATCTGAACAGATAAAAAATTCAGCTAGCCCATCAAAAAATGTTCAGGTTAACTGAAATCAAAAAACCAAATGTAAAAAGCTTAAAAAAAGCTGAACCATGAAGTTATAAATTTTCATTTCAGATTATTATATTATCGAGTGTCTCAAACCACTCGAGGTCAAAAAATCCTTATTTGATGAATAAAAGACACTGTTTGAACAAGAAAGACGTTTTTATTGTTTGTATCGTTCTCAATCTTTTTTGATGACACCTCGAATCTTATCAAAATGATTTTGAACCGATATCCTTCGAGAAGGGGCGGTCTCTGGCGAGAAAAGAGACCATGTCTACGACCATCTCTACCTGCGGTTCATTTCAGCTTATCCCATTTTATGGTCGCTTTTTGTACTTCCTGTCGATTGCTGATTAGATATGAATAAGCTATATTTTCTACTATCCGTTGCACTTACAATTGTTTATGGATGCATGAGAACAGTTCCTTCGGATACGGTTACAACCCCAGCCACAGTCCCAACCACAGTCACAGTCCCGAGCACTTCCACAGTCACAAGCAAAGCCACAAGTAGTGTGAGTTTTTGTTAATTTAATCTTCGTTCAATTTATTTTTGTCAAAATCACGTTGAAACGGTTTGGAAATACACTACAAATCGGATCTCAATCAGTTCCCGACACACCGATGAAAGTAATTCAATTTAGGCCGAGAAGTAGGGAAATGAAAAAAAAAAAACTATCGAGATATCAAAAAAATTATTTTTTCGCCTCGCAGTTTTTTTGAATTTTGTAAACCACACAGATAAATTTTTTTGGTCAATAATCATCCGAACTGATCCGCTCCGAAGGGATTTTTCCGCTCCTGATCATTCTAACTCATCATTTATCAACCGAACCGAATCGTTTTCCATATTTGTCCAGTAGTCATTCGATATAAACATTATACCGGCTAAAAATTATATCTAAGGGCCGCAAGGCCACACCCCTTCGCTGACCAAAAAACGTCGTACATTTCGTTGCATTTTTGACATTTCATCTTTGTTTATGCAGTTTCCCTGAACCGTTTTGGGAAAAATTCAGATAACATACAATCAGCTATGCTCTACAATCCTCCATAGGAGAAACAACTGTAAACAAGAAAAGAATTGGTGAAAATGAAGTTTTTTCCCGACGCCTTTGTGCGAAAAAGTGAAAAAACGTTAAAACATTCAATACCGCTTGTGGACAAATTATTTTTTTCTTATTTTTAAGCATGTAAAAAAATATAAGTGAAAAATAAAAAGATTCCTATGTGTGTTTTTCGAATAAAGAAGCGTCGGAAAATCGCAACTTTCGAAATTTGTGAACTTTGGCATTTTTCCGCGAATCATCGTAAAAGTTTTTTTGAACTGTTCTCTACAAATTTTAAAACATTTTCAAAAAAACCTGGCATGTTCCCAAAGAAGAATATCTGAAAAATAAGTTGAACTGGCAGATGGCTGAAACCACAACTACTTCAATGGAAATTACATCCACTACTACAATGACAACGACGACGACTAGTGGTGAGAGATTTGAGCTCTAAAAAAGACCGTTTTAACGAACGATCAAATTTGCAACTGGTCACTAAATAACTTTTAACGGTTAGCTCAGTGCTGGAGGATTGGGAAGGCAGCCCTTGGCTTGGCGGCCAAGCCAAGCCATTCAGCCAAACGATAGAGATGAGTCATTAATTTACGTGGTCTTTGGCAAATAGGTCAAGTACGGGGCGATGACACCCTGAACTAATTATTATCAATTGTGGTAATTTTGATTTGTCTTAGGCCCCTCTTTTTTTTCTCCTTTGAATAATCGAGGTGGTATGAAAAACCACCGAATTTTCAAACGGCGACTTTTCCGATTTGTTCAAATCGCTAGAGAACTTTCCGAGTTTTTTTTCTTATATTTTTCGGATTATAAAGCATCTGTTAAATTTTTTTTGTGTTTTAATCATGAATTAACTACCTACTTCATATAGCTTGTATACCACGACTTGGAATTTCACCGGACGACATTCCGCTGTTCCGCTGCACGCCTTTGCGAACCTTGGTCGCGCTTTTTTTATTTAATTTTTTTCTTTTTATTAAGGTACTCTACTTTCATGTACTCCCACAGCAATATAAATGAACTGAAAGTGTGACCTAGATTTAAAAGATGCTTCGCGAACGCACGCAGCGGAATGTCGCTCGGTGAAATTTCAAGTCGTGGCATATAGATATATAAAAAGAATCAAAACAAAGAGTTTATCTATTAGGTCGGTAACTAAGTTTCCGATATTTTTGAGGTGTGTTTTTGCTTAGCTCCCGCGTTTTACTGAATGGACTAATTGTTCTGCCACTAGGAATGCTAGAATGAGGAAAGCCCTCTGTACGTGAACAACTGGTAGATTCAGTCTCCTCATTGTTCCCCTATGAGGATGCCCCATAGATTCAACCCCGACCGAACGAACTTTTGAGACATACTTTTGTTGCTGTTCCTTTCTGGCAGCAATTCACCTGTTATCGAACTTCATATCAAGGACGTATATAAAGAGCATGCCCCCTCTCAAAGCACCGCAGCGTTTGGTTCAATAAGTTCTCATAAGGGGATTTTTCCATGTCTGAAGTGTAGAGGTCGAGTCGGCCGTCCGAGTTGGATCTGGACCTGCTGCGCATCCAAATTGAAGCCGATCCTCATGTAACCACCAGGAAATCGGAAGCCACACTGGGGGTGAGACATATCGCTATCCTAAAAGGAAGGGAAAAAATCGTAAAGGTCCAAAAGATGGGCCGATGGGTACCCACCGATTGACCGACTACGATTTTCAACATGACAATGTCCCCCATGATAATGCTGAGAGCCGTCCTCAGTGAGACACCAACACCTACACTATCCAGCTGCGAAAGCTGAAACTCGGCGTCGAAAACAGACGAAGGAATCAAGCCGTCATCTATTTTCAACATGACAACGTTCGAACACACATAGCCCGATTGACAAAGGCTGAGCTGACGACGTACGGATGGCATGTTCTACCTCATCCACTGTATTCCCCTGACCTTGCCCCTTCTATTTATCACCTCTTCTCCCACCTTCAACGAGCCCTCAGGGGCAAAAATTTGACGGCGAGAAGCAAGTCAGACACTAGTTGACTATCTGGTTGAAGGCACAGTCAGCCACGTTCTGGAGGCAGGGCATTCATGCTCTGCCCAGGCGATGGTCACAGACCATAGATGCCCATAGAGAATATTTCTAAAGTTTATCCCCCTGCTAAACATAATGAAGTTTGTTTACACCAAAAATATCGGAAACTTAGTTACCAACCTAATAGAAAAAAAAAAGTCGGAAAAGGATTAGTCGAAAACTTTTCCGTCGTAAAGGTCCCACAAAATAAAAAATCGTCATTTTCGAAATTTTTTTAACAATTAAATATTCTGCTTCCTTTGTGTACACACGTTTCATACATTACTCGAAACAAGCGCTTCTAGATGTTAGGGCGATTTCGCCTTACAAATGACCGTCGCACCACGCTGATTTTTGAAAAAGTCATATCTGCCTTTTGGGCGTTTATGGCTTGGCAGGCAGGGCGGCCAGTGGGCAGCCATTCTCCACCTCTGGGTTAGCTGAACCAAAAATCCAACCGTAATTTAAAAAAATTTGAAAGAAAAATAAAAAAACACTGTTCACGTCGAAAGTCCATCGGTCAATTGAAATTAAATGGCCGTTCATTGAGTGCCGTTCAACTGGTCACCGGTCACTGGTCGGTCATTTATATACACAATGAAAGAAAAAAAGGGAAAAAGAATTTGGAAATGTCGTGTTTAGAAATCCAAAGTGTGTTATTTTTCAATTCTCTGCATCTTCTTCTTTTTTTTTCGTTCGACTAAAAGTTAGAGTATCACCGAACTTTTATTTTTTCCGAATCTGACCACTAACGTAAACTAGCGGTCGCTTTGAAAAAAAGATCTCGATCTAACGTAATTACCGAACGCTCATTTCAAAAGCGTTCAAACTCAAATCGGATAACGATCGTTCATTCAAATGAACGGTCGTTATCCGATTTTCCAACCTTCGACCGTCATTGCTTATGCGTTACTTTCATAGTTTTTGACCTGGCATGAGCGGTCAGAATATTCAACACGTCAAAAGCGATCACCGCAAATACTGATGAGAAATACTTCACTGAATTAGTACAAGAGCAGTGCCTATGCCAGTAATCTGCAATAAAACTTCGCTTTTTGCAAACCAACGTTATGCATCATACTGCGCAAAATGCATAGAAGTTCTGCTTTTTGCACGAACTCAGTAAAGGAAAGCCTATCGCATATTTATAGTAAAATTCTCGACTTGATAGGCGGTGGAGGCGGGGCAGGGCGCGGGACGCGGGACGCGTAGCGTGTGCGTATGCAGTTTTTGGCATGAATTCAATTCAAGCGCTACCGACTATTCAAAAAGCTCGGTCACCGATCTTTTTTCATGTGTTCTACTAATTCTTAATGCACAATCTAAAATAATCACTGATTAATTAGAAAATAAATGAAAAGAGCGATAGACGAGCTCACCAAAAAGTTGCTGGCGGTTGAATTGAACTCATACCAAGAAGTGCGTGCGCGTTCCCTGCCTCGCCTACCTCGCCTTTCAAGTCGCGAAAAAATTGACTATATTGGAAGTTTCCAAAAAAAAGAGTAACTTGTTAAGGATGTCCCTGCAACTCGGATACGTTGAAAATCGATCCACAGGGTCCTGATGATTATCGGCCTGTCATAAGGTTATTTAATACTGATTTTTTTTAAAACTCGGGTTTTGATTGTATTTTAGAACACATGAAAAGAAGGATCTCTGACAAAATAATGGTCCAACGGTGATAAAATCAAAACCTTTACAAAGCCTCAATAACTAAAAGTTTGATCATGATTGCACCCATTTTCCAAATTTGAAAAGTTCTTTTTTACGTTGGATACAAAACATTTTTTTTTCCAACCACTGTTTTGCGATTTCAGTGGAAACTCATGTTCATCAACATTTACATGTACCTCTCCTACTGCAAGCTGCACCGCGCTATTGGTGAGTTTTTGTTATAGAGCGCAGAGCGGCGCGCACTTACCCTCAATAAAGTCATTTTTGCTGCAAAAAATTTTTAACCGTAATTTCGACAGTGAACCATGAAAAAAAAAGAAAGTTCATTAACAAGCATATGTGATCAAAATCGCTTAGCAACTTTTGAGAGTTTTGTTGTTTTTTAGGAGATTTTTAGGAGAGAGGAGAGAGAAATTCAAGAAAGAATGCTTAATTGAAATATTAACAAAGACCGCTTCTAAGTTTCAAAAAGAAATGAAAAAGAAAATTCGAACTGCAGATTTATGACAACGCTGATCCTACGAGAGGTGCGACGTTCAATGATGCTCCTCTAGTTGCAACACTCACCGTTATGTGCAACACCGAAGGTCTTTGGTCTTTCAATGCTGGACCCGCAGTAGTCTCCGAGTAAGTAATCGCCAATAACTTATTGGAGACTTTTTTTATTAGATTTCCCGATTAGAATTGAGGGGTATAGTTACAGTTTGTTTCATTATACAAAGTATGATAGAAATATATAGCTCCAAAAGGTATTCTGAAATTGCAAGTATCATCTCTCACCATCGACTTTGCGGAAAATGAACTTTTTTCCCGAACTCTAAATTAGGAATGAAATATGGATCGATAAACCCCGTGTTAAGTTATAGACGGCCCCATCTAATAATGTGCATGTATCTCTACAACTCAGCAAGGATGGCGCACGGTGCATTCTGCTTTTTTGAACTCTGGTGCGTAATTGGGGTCTGCACCAGGGATTCACGAGACACGATCTCGTCTCGAGATTTTTCGAGATATTCCGAGACGAAATCTCGTCTCGATCTCGTCTCGTCTCGAGATAATTTTTTTCGTTTCGATCTCGTCTCGAGATGAAAAAACCACGTCTCGTGCATCCTTGGTCTTGATATGCAAAAACAAATCCCACCTCGTCGCGAGACAGTTCGAGATGTAAAGAAAGACTTTTTTACGATAAAAGGTAAAAATAAGGTGTCATATATGACCTTCCGGATGTCACATACCGAAAGCGATCAAAACCACAGCGCAGTTTTAGATTTTGCGTAATGTTTCTCAATAAGGACAATTTTTTGCAAATCTTGGAGTTGTGGTCGTTTTCAAGTGTTAATTTGAAACAAAAATGCAGATTTTTTTTTTCATTTCGAATTATCTCGAACTCGTCTCGAGACGTCTCGATCTCGACTTGAGTTTTTTTTTCCGAAAATTTCTTCGTCTCGAGATAATTTTTTTTGTCTCGTTCTCGTCTCGAGATGAAAAAAACCTCGCCTCGTGCATCCCTAGTCTGCATTGTGCGATTTCGGTGATTTTTTGGTGCAAAGGTGTCAAATCAATGCGTTCAGCGTGCCGCACCAGTGCGACACTAAAAAAAAACCGAAACTGCACGGTGCAGACTCCAGTTTCGCACCAGAGGGCAATTAAGCAGATTGCCACGTGCGCCATCCTTGCCGAGAAGGAACGTGAACGGTGCAAGCACTGCTTTTGCACCTTTTTTTTGCTGCACGGTGCATGTTTTCGTCTTGCTTCTCGCAATTCATTTCTTTTTGGGTTCAATTTTGTACAGACGTAAAAAGTGCAAAATGAACTTTTGTGCAAAATTCAAAGCACTGAATTGCAAAAAGCTTTTTTGGAGTACGCTGACATAGGCACTGCTCTTTGCACGATTTAAGTAGAGTAATCACCTCAAATCAGGCCTTTTTTCACACTCCCATAAGTTTTTTTTTCTATTCCCTATTGTAATTTTTTTTTTTTGTTGAAAAACTCAGGGAAGGAAAGCGTGAAGGCCTAAATTAAGCAGCGATTGCGTATCTGATTCGCAGTATCAACACCGTGCGGTGTTGCAGCACAGCCGCACAAAAACCCAAAAATTCGAGGTGCAAAAAGACAACATGCAGCGTGCAGCAAAAATGTGCAAAATCAGAACCGCACCGTTTCTTGTAGAATTCTCTTGAAGTGAGTTAACTTTCAAATACAAACAGTAAGACAAAAAAAATTTCAAAATTTCAGTTTTCAATCCCTCTCCTGCGCTGATAAAACTCAAGGTTGCTGATTAATTTTTTCTCAAATATTGTTGAAGTTATGATCAATAAATTCTTTCCATTCACACTGTTTTGTCCAGCACATTCCTATCCCTGTCTTATTGTTAACTGACAAAGTTATTACGAAAAGGGTAGACGCTGTAATTGGAAACGCTTGAAAGAAAATATATTACTAGCGTTTGGTGAAAATATATTACTAGCGTCTCCCCTGAATATCAAGTTGAGAATTGAGACTGTGTGGGTAGGACAGGGTAAGAGGTAAGAGCTCTTGGAATCAAAAATAAAATTTTGCTAAATCTAACAGGCAACTTTCGGCTGGCGGCGTGGTGTAGTGGTTGTGGTCTTGTGTACTGTCAATATTAGGACCAGAACTCGAATCCTTTCGGCGGATATCATTTTTGGCCTACGTATAATTTCATCATCTTCTTTTTGTGAAAAATTGTTTAGTGTTTACATCAAAAAAATTTATGAAATGGCTATGAAAACAAAAATATTCAAGAAAGACTCGTACTCAAAAATTTTTTTATAAGTGTACATAGACTAATGACAAACATCTGATCAAAAAAAATTCGTAATATTTCAAGTTTCACCGCTTTCCAGAGTTACGTCTTCCCGTCAGGTAGGATGATTCTTGTGAATGCACCCCAGACGTAATTTAACATATTTCCGAAACTTTTTTTAAAAGATTCCTGATGAGAAAAAAAGAATTTTAGAAACCGAGATAGTGTAACAGCCGTTGAATGCTCATTTATTTATAATATTAAAACGTCAAAGGCTCTAACAACGAACTTTCTATTGAAATACGTTTCAAATAACTTGGAAAAAAATTTTTAATGCTGCTAATAGAAATGTTGAAGGTTGAAAAATCAGATGTATAAGCTCACTAAAAACAGTTTCAAGTTTTTTTAGAATTTTCTTTTTATAGAACTTATTTCAAAACGTTGGAACATAGCTTTTAGTCAACATATAGAAGCACATATTCCCAAAAAGAAACTAATTAAAAGTTATATTTTGCAGTTTTAATTCTTGAACAATTTTGGATTGCAATAACTTTGGAACTAGAATGTTACATCTCTTTTTATAAACACGCACACTAAGATCTGGTTCATGGGAAAGTCGGTCTCCATACACAAAAACTCGCACTGAATTTTAAAACCGAAAAAAAACTTCAAGAAAATCAGCGGAAGCGTTCAAGAAAATCAGCGGAAGCGATCAAAATGATAAAGAAACTTTGATTAAAAAATGCAGCAAAAGCGCTCCAAAGCAAGCTTCAAAAACTTTACATTCCACTCAACATAATTGCCTATATTGCAGCGGACCGCAGGCGATACCTCCGACACGGCACCGCCTAAAGGCGCCCGCAACTGGCCGTTTCGCCTAAAGGCGCCCCGAACTCGGTAGAGTCGGAGGACCTCCGAAATTGAGGCGACGAGATTGAAAATGCGCCAGCGCGAACGATGGTATTGTCTGTTCAGATTTTGAATGTCAACCCACTAACTCCGCCCCTGCTGAGACGGTACCTTTTCGCGTCGATGTTTTATCGCGCGGGACTAATTTTGATCTTTTTTGATCTAAAAGATAGAAAAAGAAGTCAAAAATGCAGCCTTATTAAAGGCTCATCGTCATCTGGATATATAGTCTGTTCAGATTTTAAATGTCAAGCAGCTAACTCCACCCCCAAGGCTACAATATCCTTCGCGTCAATGTTTTATATCCAGATGACGATGAGCCTTTAATAAGGCTGCATTTTTGACTTCCTTTTCTATCTTTTAGATCAAAAAAGATCAAAATTAGTCCCGCGCGATAAAACATCGACGCGAAAAGGTACCGTCTCAGCAGGGGCGGAGTTAGTGGGTTGACATTCAAAATCTGAACAGACTATAAAACATTGACGCGAAGGATATTGTAGCCTTGGGGGTGGAGTTAGCTGCTTGACATTTAAAATCTGAACAGACTATACGACAAAATCTCAAGTCCGCAAATCTCGAGGACCGTAATCTTGTGTACGCAGATCTAAAGTCCCATAATCTTGGAAACCAAAATCTTGGAGACCAAAATCTTGGAAAGCAAAAATCAACGCTTTTGCGAACAGATTTTTTCAGAAATTGTATTCGGTGATCCAAACAAGAGAATATAAGTAGATAAAGTGCAATAAAGAAGACTAAAAAGGAAGATTTTTGCTTTCCAAGATTGTGGTTTTCCAAGGTTTTGGTCTCCAAGATTTTGGTTTCCAAGATTATGGGACTTTAGATCTTCGTACAAAAGATTACGGTCCTCGAGATTTACGGACTTGAGATTTTGTCGTACCATCGCGCGAACATGTTCCTTACAGTTTATATTTCAAAAGTTTTTGGGATTTCTTTTCTTCTTTTATTTATTTCTTTTTCACTGTCGGAATCGTTGAAGGTTTTCACTTTTTTTTTTATTTTGCTGAAAAAAATTCAAATAAATTTTTTTCCTATTTCTACCGCATTGCAAAAACTTTTTTTCCACTTATTTCCAGGTTTTGTTCCGCCAAACTTGATTTGAAGACTGATAGCTTCAACCATTATTTATTCAGTTATCCTAAATATGAGGTAAGTTTACCTTTTTCGTTGAATAATCTCATTTCTGTTGAGGTCACTTGTCGAATCAATGATTGACTAATTCTGAGGTTTCTATTTCTACGATGATCAGCGTTTGTGGGCTTGAAAATGGAATCGATGTTAAAACTGTGAGTTCACACGCTATGACTTCACTAAGAATAACTGACGAGATAAACGCGAGGTTGGTGGCGGTACATTGACGAACTCGCAAACATCTCGCTTTTTTCTAGGCGCGATCTCGCATTTTTCTCGGCGCCATCTCGCATTTGTCTCGCATTTTGGAAACTTTCGAATTGCAAGAGAAACGCGAGCTCGCGCCTAGAAAAGTTCGTGCTCGCGCCCAGAAAAATGCGAGACCGGCGCGAGAAAAAAAGCGAGATGTTTGCGAGCTCGTCAATGTACCGCCAGCGTCTCGCGTTTATCTCGGCAGTTATTCTTAGTGGAGAAAACAAGCTTGCTTGAAAAGCTCGCCATTGCTTTTCAAAGTAGCTGGTTTCGAGAATGTCTAATGACGAACTTCTATCGACCAGATGATTTCCAGCATTCAAACACTGAAAAATTTGCTTTAGATCCTTCTTGTCTCAAAATTTTCACAGAATGTATAAATGGAGGAGGGAGTGAAAACTGTGTTATTTATAAAAAAGTATGTGATGTAAATTATGAAATTAAATTAAAAATTTCGTGATTAAGACGATTTTGGGCCGATTTGGTTTTTACTTTCAGCCCAGCGCACATCTCTGGAAATCTTTGACAGGGTCGCGAAAAAAAGTGGGCGTTACAATAGTGCGGCACAGCCTCAAACACCAGGCATTTCGTGTGATAAATCGTTTGGCTAAAAATATTTCCTTCATATTTCCTTTTAAATAGGTTCATTGTGCGTTGGAATATATTTAAGCAATTCTGAAAGTTCAAGGAGGCCTTGGAAAACACTATTTAAAGCTATGTTTTCATCCAGTAAATGCACAAAAATCGGCTCTCACTGTCGCGCCACTATTGCGATAAGCCGCGCCCCCATTGCATGCAGCCACGCTTAATGACCACATCTGCCGCCTGATTGGGAGCACTGTGCGGTCTTTTTGCTCTGAAAACACCGCGAATTCAAAAATTTTTCGTATCTGCACAAATTCGTCAAGGCAAAAAAATACATTACTCCGATTTTATTGCTCTAATAAATCAAATTTTGAAAGCATAAGCAATTTTTTCATTTTCAAAAAAATGTCGTGTTTAAACTGAACACAAAAAAATCAATATGCCTACAGCATTTACTGTTTACTGTTTATTGCATCTTCAATGTAAGAGTACATGTGCAATCGACTTTCATTGATTTCAACTGTGTTTGAACGGCGGCAGGAGCTGTGGCTTAGGCAGAGAAGTTGTGAATTTCGCTCGTAGAACATCAGGTACAAGAGAGGTCGTAGGAAGAAGTACGGTGCCGGCTTTCCAAAGGCCGATGGCAGAGATTGAGCCTTTTCGCTGCATGCAGCTCCCAATTTTATCTACCCCGGAGGGATGAAAGGCTTGGTCGACCTCGGGGGGACTCGAACCTACGACCTTGCGGACGTTAGAAATGAGTTATGCCAGCTGAGCTATGCCGCCCCCTGCCAGCATGCTGTGAAAATATTAAATTTTTTTTCTCTTGTTCTCACAAAGGCGTCGTGTAGAAAGGCCCTTTTCACCAATTTTTTCTCTGTTTCCTGTTGTTTTCTATGTAGAGTTTTAGAGGATAACTAATTGTATGTTTTCGATTTTTTCCAGAAAAAGTTCAAGGAAACCGATTAAGTAGAAATTTCAATTTTTTTTAATGTCAAAAATGCAACGAAATATACGGTTTTTCGATCACCGAGGTGGTGCCCTTGCGGTCCCTAGGTATACTTTGAACGAAGTCCCTGTATCCAGTTTTGCAAAATATTGTTTCAACTTATGAACGCAGAAATTTTCGTCTGATTTTGCTTGAGAAAAATTTTTTTTTTTGAAAGAAGGATATTTACTTGTCTGTTGTATTCGTACGGATTTTGTGTTTACCGTGAATCCGGAAAAAAAAAAATCATTCACAACATAGGAAAACTACTGTAGCAAAGTATCTTCTACAGAGATCTCCCATGAACTAAGAAAAGAAAACCAAAAACTCGTTTTCGTATGCTGCTTAGTTACTGTAGGAGTGGCTTCAATAGCGTAACTACAGTGGGCGGGACCTAAAAAATGTGGTTCATAGAAATTGAGCAACGGTAAGCTCCGCCTGCATTCTGGCTTTAAAACCCGTCGTTTTCATGTACAAATCTCCATTCTCACTACATCTTAATTTTTGCCAAAGGTCTGGTATTTTTCGAAAATCCGCCTGCTTCTCTGACAGCTTTAGAGTAGCTCTTCTTTCGAATATATATATATATAGTGGAACCTCTTTTCTTTCTTTTCATTTTTCTTTTATGAAATTTTTTCATCAAAAAGTGTTTCTTTGTTTTTCATTTTCCAAAAAAGTTCTACGACGACTTCGTGCACGCCCGAATCTGTTCAGGGATAATTGACAATGCGTTTGGTTGTTGCGTCAATCGTTCATCTTCTTTTACTAGCAACTCATTTCAACGCAGCAGAAGATCAAATCCGTAAGTTGTTTCGAGAATTGATTGAGTTGAGACAATTTCCAAGAAAAACAAAATCGATACCACATTATGAGCTAAAACAACACGATCTGAAGTTTCATTTTTGCCTGTTTAGGACCTGGAGTTTTTTTTTTCAATGTCTTAATATATTTCAATCATGAAAATGAAACGGGTTCAAAGAAATAAAAAAAGTTTCAAAGTATATAAATAACAAAAAAAAACCGTTGAATGTGTCTTTTTTTAAATTTTTTTTCCGGCAGCTTTCTATTTAATCCAAACTCAGCCGAGCCTAATTTCTCGAGTTTTGACTTGCAAAAAAATAAAAAAAGTTGCTCAATTATATGTTTCACTTTGTCCAATCGTTGTCAGTCAAGGTTTGAAACAGAACTGGACTTTCAAAAAGCGCGTTTTTGGGTGTCATTTTCATTGTTTTTACTCTAACGTTCACGAGTATCGATAAAGTTTATTTTTTTCTTATTCTATTTTTGATGAACTTCAATTAATTTTTTTGAACCTAGTATATCTTTTTAATATGAGCAACTGGAGAACTGCCGACCGTCCAAACATATTTAACATCATATATCCTTAAGGAGGCCTTCATTATCACCTTTTTTTGAATTTTTTTGCTTTTTAAAGTTTCAATATGCAATATTTGCAACAAATTAAAAAACCTATGTGTGTCACTGGAAAAAGTTGCTTTTTTAATAAACTTGCTTCAATGAAATTTTCACGCGTTTTAAATATGAACTTCAGATTCTACGTGTAAAATAAGATAATGGGCAACCCTATCTCACGCAATTAAAGGCATAGGGACAGTAAAAAATGGGGTTTCAGGTGAAAGCAGTATCTTATATAGTTTTTCTTTCCGAATCGAATGGTGTACTCAAAAAAATTAAATATGTGACCACTTTAGAAGAAAAACGCGATTTTACTTTCCCGCCTTTATTTTTGAAAAAGCTTTGGATCGGTATGCAGACAAATGTTTACAGTAGCCGTGCACGCGATGTTGCGGACGTCTCATTAGACTCGCATTTTGTGAGAAATAACCGGGTATCTGCTTCAAGTTAAGGGTTTCTTCTCTGAAAAAACATTTAGTCAAACAAAAAACACACACCGATAATGAAGAAAACACAAAATAATGCTATCCCAATCGAAACCTGTGTGAAATTATCATTTTTCACCAAAGAAGCGTTTTTGCGATCAAAGTTTGCAAATTATTCATGAATAGAAAGCTTTTGTGACGAAAAGAACTTTGGTGACAACAGAAAAAATGGAAATTTGAAAGAAACGAAGAAAAAAGCGAAAATCCGGAAGATGGCGAAGTCTGTTGTCCATAGAGCAACTTTACTGCAAAGCGCCCTTTTCGCGGGAACTCAAACTTTCCTTTCTCCGACTTTGAATTATTTTTTCTCCAAAACTAGGAACTTCTCTAAGTTTCCAAGTTCACCGTTCGATTCGCAATGAAAAGCTCTACAAATAACTGCTTTGAACTAAAACACCGTTTTATACTGCCCCTATGCCTTTAAGATTACTTTGCGCGCCCAATTGGAATAGCAAAAAAAAGGAAGTACTGAGCAAAAAATGAGCGACCGCGATGTGTGCGGACCTTGGCGGTCTGTACTAATGTATTTCTCGCTTTCGAAAGAAGATAATTAAGTGACGTCACGCAGTAATGGTTTGCGATATAACGAAATCACAAGTCATTTTATTTAACTTCATTAAAACTTTCTGTAAATCCATAAATTTAAAATTTTTTGGCGAGTTTAATTTTCTAACCATAACCCTGAATCTTTTGGATGTTTTTTTTTGAAAACTAGAAATATTTGGAGCGAACGCAGAGTTACAACCACATACAATCTGACTCCAAAGCAAACTTTTGAGATTATGTTATGCGGTCCTGCGAAGCATCATTCAAGTTTTGAAAATTATCCTCTCCAAAACTAGAATTTTGTCCAGGTAACGAGGATGTTTTTTTATTATTACGAACCCTAAAAAGTATTTCAGAACACTTGTATAAAATTATAAAATTCCAACTGCAAAGAAAAGTTAGCTATCTCTTAAAGGCATAAGGGCAGGTAAAAACGGGGTTTCAGGTGAAAACAGCATATTTAATTTTTACTTTCTCGTCTTTAATTTTGAAATATGCTTTCGATCGGTGTACGAACAAATGTTTACAGTAGCCGTGCACGCCATGTTGTGGAAGCCTCATTAGACTCGCATTTTGTGAGAAATAACCGGAAAACTTCTTCAAACCAAGGGTTTCTTTTCTGACAAATCATTTAGGTGGACAAAAAGAACACCGATATCAAAGGAAACAAAAAATCGATGTCTCAACCGGAAGCTGTATGAAATCATGATAATCATCTTTTTCACAAAAGAAACATTTCACGATTGAAGTTTGCAAATTATACATCAGTAGAAAATTTTTGTCGCAAAAAGCTTCGGTGAAAACAGAAAAGAAATTGAAAACTGAAAGAAGCGGAAAAAAAAGGCGAAAATCCGAAAAATGGCAATACGTGTTTTCCATAAATTAACTTTACTGCAAAACGCCCTTTTGGCGGGAACTCAAAATTTCCTCTCTCCGACTTTGAATTTTTTTTTCTCCAAAACTATAAAGCTCGGTATGTTTCCAAGTTCACCGTTCGATTTGCAATAAAAAAATCCAGTACTGCTCTGAACTGTGAAACCGTTTTTTACCTTTAAAGACAATTTGAGAGTTGTTTTCAGCCTATTTGTGCTTGAAGTTCAATATCAGCTGTCCGACAACGTGAGTTTTTTTTAACCGCTTTTTGTTTGCAAAAATTTTTTTATTTATTATGTCTGTTTACTCAATTCAGAATGCTTTTTAGCATCTCCATATTAACTTTTTTTGCTGCCTTAATTAAAAATTGGAATAAATCAAAAACGGTTTTTTTTTAAAATTATCACCAGCATCTTTTGTTTTGATAATGAAAAATAAACCGAAACCGCAGTATTTATAGAAAAAGTTCAAAACTCCTGGTTTACAGAACATCTCCAAAGCCGAAATTTTCAACCTTCATTGTCAATCTGACAAGCCCGACTTCGGCTGCTCCTACAATTTCGACAACATACACCACAATTCCGACTATGACCACCTCGTCATCAAAAATATCTCCGACTATTTCAACGGTAACATCAACTCGGGCCACGACCACGGCGATCCCAACTACGGAAAAGACGACCTCTCTAAGCCCGACATCTTCCACATCTACCTTGACAAAAACTACCCCAACTTTGAGCACGACGATGATCTTACCGTCCACTTTCCCGCCGAACATTATTTCTGAATCGAGTATACCTCCCACCTCGTCTACAACGATTACATCAACTCCAAGCCCGACTCAAAAGATCATCACTACTTCGATGTCGACCAGCCTTATACCTTCTTCTGAGAAAACAACCAAAGCGTTTGGTACTTCTGCTCCTTCCACAAACACAAAGACTTTTGCGTCGACTTCCGCATCATCTTCTACTATTCAAACTACGGAGGCAGCTGATTCTTCTTCTACTTCCACATCCACTAAGGCTTCTACGTCGACTGCCGCTTCGTCCTCTTCCGTCAAAACTACGGAAAAAACTAATACTTCTTCTCCTTTTACAACCACAAATATTTCTACGTCGAGTACCGCTTTGTCTTCTTCTTTTAAAACTAACGAGTTAAATGAAACTTCCGCTCATTCCAAAACCACAAAAACTTCGAAAACATCTACAACTCCTGTCACGGTTTCAATATCGACGCGCACATCTTCATCTACTAAAAGATCTTCAACCTCCTCAAAACCTTCTTCCACCACTACGACGTCCACGACATTGTCTGAAACGACTACAACAACGAAGACAGCTCTTCCGACGTCGACCTCAGCAAAGTTTGTTGAAGTTTCGAAATTCTCAAATAATTTTAATTTTCATGAAAAAAGAAGAGGCGCCCACAGAAGCTGGCCCGACCATCGATACCAAAGGAACGACGTCACAGATGATCAAGGCCTCCACCAGCACAAGTTCATCAAGCAGTGCCTCAACTTCTTCGCCGACTAAAACTTTCTCCACGGAAAAGCCCACCTCTCCAAAGAAGAGCACGGTCACGCCTTCAACTAAATTTTCGACGACCTCTCTATCTGTTGAGACGTCTATTCCCACGACTGAAACTTCCGCACATTCTGTCACATCTTCTTCAACGGCAAAAATCACAGAAGTCTCAATTGAAAGTACCGCGGAAAAGCCGACTACAAATGTCAAAACTTCGACAAATTTTCAAAAAAGCTCCACGCCAACCACATTGAAAAAAGTTGAAATGACCGACACGGAAAAAATGGCGACTCTTACGTTTTCAACAGCCTCAGAGAAGGTTCAACCAACGTCCACCATAGAAGCCACGATTGACACGTCTTCTAAGGCTTCAAAGAACTTCGGAATGACGTCACCAGCAGAATCCACACAACCCACATATTTAGAAACATCAGAAATTGGAAAGGAGTCCTCATCCGTCTCGACGGAGGAAATCACGGTTTCAACGACATCTGAAAACGTTGAAACGACGTCCTCGACAGAAGCCACGAAGCCCACTCCTTCAACGTCATCGGAGAAGATGGAAACGACGTCCTTAACTGAAGCCACGATGGCCACGCTTTCAACGGAATCAATAGAAGATGAAACTAAGACCTCATCAGAAACCTCGACAAGAAACAAGAGCACAAAGAAGACTGCAACGACACCAAAAAAAGTTACGCAAACGGAGAAGAGCACGAACAATGCTTCATCTTCAACAACTCAAAAAAAGTCTGAAACAACGATCAAAAAGCCAGCAACGCCTCCTATCAAAAAAATCTCAACGAGGAGCACGATTTCTGAAAATGAGACCACGACCGCCACGAAGACTACCACGCCCTCCACAACTCCAGAAAAAGTCGCAACGACTTCAGAGAAGAAAATCTCGACCACGCCAAAAAAGAGCTCTATGCCTTCAAAGACCTCGAAGAATATTGTAACGACTACAGAGAAGAAGATTTCAACATCAACGAAGAACAGATCTGAACCTTCCACGGCCTCGAAAGAAGCTGTAACGACTTCTGAAAAGAAGATTTCAACCACGACAAAGAAGAGCTCCAAACCTTCCACGACCTCGAAGAAAGTTGTAACGACCGCCACTTCTCGAAGCACCGCGTCTTCCGCTACCTCCATGAAAGTCCCGCTTTCTGAAAAACCGACGACGTCTCCTACGAAGCCAGTGACTTCCACGTCCGCGACGTCGACCAGAACCGTGAGCACCACCGCCAAGACGACCAAGTAGTGATTGGATTTGATAATTTAATAATGAAGGTTTTCAGGACCACAGCGGACGATGTGAAAGCCTCGTCGACGATCGCTTCAAGCACGACCACAGAAAAAACCACTACGAGGCAACTCGGTTAGACATCTTATCAAACCTAGTCAGATTCCAATATACAATGTTACAGAATCCACGAGATCCTGGGCGACGGCATGCCCCGAAGGAGCAACTGAGGGACCGCTTTTTTGCTATATGACTGTACCGGATGGTCGCAGGCTAGTTTTCAACTAATAATTTTTACTTCTAGCCGTTCCTTTTTTTGAATTTTAGTTCTCTTTTCTAGTTTTCAATAATCAATACAAAAATTTTTCGGAAGATCTTCAAACTCTAATAAGAATATACAAGTTTAGCTGCATCAAGCCATTCTACGTGCGACCACGATCCAAATTAAAATAAATAAAACGTACAGCTTTTCCAGCAACAGCAGCTACCTGAAGGTCAAGTCGGCCTGCAACAGGATTTTCGGCTCGGATTCTTCGATCATCAGCTTGTATGAGCTCATGGACCCGGTCACTCTCAAGCTCTTCAAGAACATGACGTTGGTTTTTTTTGAATCCTCTCAAAAAAGGTCTCGAAATCAATAACGACGCGTCAAAAAAACGCTCTGCTTAATAAAACATTGAATCGAAAATAAAAAAGTGAAATTCATAGTTCTGCTAAATCATAGAATTTACGCAAGGAAAAGAGAAAAAGAAGCCAAGAAAGCTAATTAAAAATTAAATTGATAAAAAGTACGATAGTAGACTTGAAGAATATCGCGTTTTTGGGCCGGTTAGGGCTCAGAAAACGGCCAGGGAACCAAAAAGTACATCGTCAGTTTGCATGAAAAAAAAACGAAATTAAACGAGAAAATAGTACAAGAAATCAACCGTAAAGCGACGTCGGGTAGAAAGAAACATTTTGCAGCGGGAGTTCAAAATTTTCAATCTTTGCACAACATATATTTTTTTATGGTTAAGTAAAAGCGTTTTAGTTAGTTCAAGAAGGTCGTTCAGAATCTTCGTCAAGACTCAATGATGACAATCAATCCAAATAAAATCGGGAACAATTTCAGCGGCGAAAAGAACACTACCGTATTTTGGGCGGAGGGAGCGGGATCGAGGACCCAGTGGAACCGGCTGGCGCTCAGAATCAACTCTGACGCGGCGCCGGAGTTTTTCCAAGGCGAAGGAATCGACAAAGTCCCAATCTACAACGAGGATAACACCGTTGGCGGAATTTGCAAAGTGCCGAGTAAGTTGCATTTTTCTTCTGTCTTCAAGGGCTCTAATTGTTTGTCCATTGTTGATTTCATCCTTTGACACTTTCCCGTCTTTGCGGGATTTGGTGTGATATATATATCACTGTTTAATTTTGAAAAAAAGTTAAATAATGAAGCTTCTTTTTTTGAAAAAAATTTATGGTTTTTTTCATTCGTTGAGGACGAAATTGAATAAAATTTTGCGAAATTGTTTTTTTTAAACTCTGAGCTTTTTATTTCTGATGCTTTTTCCTTCAGAATATGGAGCAGCGATGGAATGCGCCACGGATACTTTCCATGAAGCTTTGTACCTCAGGGGAAAGTTCAATCTTCCGCAGGCCGGAAAATTCGTCGCCGTCGGCAATCGCATAACGTTAGTTCACCGTTCGAATTACTTATTTTTGTGGAATAAGCGCGAATCATTTGATGAAAATTGACCTTTCGATCGCCAAAATATGACATGATGTTTTAGTCTCGGTGTCTTTAAAAATATGGTCTCTTGTATTTCTCTTTTCTAAAAAACTCTATAAAAAAAAACCACTTGGGTTTGCTTTACATGATTTTAGAAAACGGCAAGCTTCTAAATAAAGTGTTTCATCGTTCTTTTTCTAATATTCGAGTGAATTTTTGACGTTTTGAGGAGCAACTGCAGTCTGCCGAACTGCTACGAGCCAAACTGGACCTTTTTGTGCAATCCTAAAGGCGTTTGGAGCCCGCACCCCGATGCCGTCAATTGCACTCAACGCCGTTAGTTTAATTTTGATTGAGAACAAGAATTATTGTTTTAAAGGATCTTTTAATGATAAAAGAGATCAGAGACACCAGACTTCTTTGACGTCTCTTCAAGCCTCTGCTCTCTTTTTCTCTCTTCTTCCTTTCTTAAACAGTTTTACAGCTGCGACAAGGACGTTGCCAGTTTCGAAAAAAATGCAGGGTTCAAAAGAAAATGAAAAATAGTTCTAGTTTTAGACATGAATTTCAAAAATTAAAAAGTATTTGTTTTAGATCTGATCATTATAAACTGGGATTTTAAAAATCTTAACTCGAAAACTAGAATCTTGTACAGTAGCCGCTTTGAAGAGCTTTAATCTGGACTTCTGCAGATAATTTGAGCAAATTCAAAGAAAATACCAGACCTCATATAGTCTGTGTGCCAAGACTTGGAATTTCACCGAACGACATTCCGGTGTTCCGCTGGATAGAAGATGAAAGAAAAATAATTTCTCGAAGCGTCTTTGCGAGCCTCGGTCTCGCTTTGAATAGGTTCTCATTTCTAATAGATGGACTGTTTCACTAGGAACACGTGTTAGTCGAGCTCTTATGTAAAGTTGAAAATTAAAAAGCGGCCGAGCACGCAGCGGAACAGCGGAATGTCGTTCAATGAAATTCCAAGTCGTGGTACACAGACTATAGTAACCTCTCTCCCATTTAATCTTTGTTCGCTGAAGGCGGAACCCTGTGGGTCGACACGGCGCGGCCCTTCTACGGACGAGAGCAGGAGAAGTGCCAGAACTGCGTGATTTTCTTGATTTTGATTTTAAAATGATTTTCTTCTCGAAAAAACTTGAAAACAGAGAAAATCAGAATTTATTCTAATGGAAGATGAGATTATCTCAAGACTTCATGGGTAAATGGAAGTTTTGAACTAAGTTCTTGAAAAACCGAAGGATTCTGTTTCGAAGCTGAGTTGAAGACTCGGAAACAGAGAAACAGTAAAGTCAATCACTAACTTCAGTTCTGCCTTTTTGGACCGTTCTTCGTCGGATTCCTCTGGGCGGGGACCGTCGTCTTCGTCGTCGCCGGATCGTTGGGCCAGGTATAATTTTACGAGAACTTGTAGGCATTTCTATTAAAAGCAACGAAGTTAGTCATTCAAAGATCCATGTGAATTTTTCAAACAAGATAGGTTTTTACAATGTCTTTCTTTTTACTAACAGCTTCCTGTAGATTTGAATGATGATTACTGATAGTAAAACCTCAGCAAAAGGGACGTTTCTCGAAGAAAGTGGCTAGAAACTTGCAAAGAGAGCTTCTCTTTTCAGTAATCTTTTCTGTAAGTTGAGCTTATCAGTATTTCAATTTATCGCAAAAAGCTGGCTTGAATTGGGTAGATTTTTCCATCAAAAATGGAGAATTGTTTCAGGCAGCCAGCACATGGAGCTGCATTGGGTATAACACGGACACGATCGTGCCCAACTTGTACCTCCTGCCGTTGTTCGTCTTCCCGGCCTTCGGCTACCGCAAATGGGCTGAAGGATCTACGTCAGTTATTTTATTAGTTCGTTTGAGTGCATTTTCTTCGTTATTTTCAAACTAGTCTTAAAATATTTTCAAAAGTTTTTGGAGTGTTCTTTAAAATACTGTGAAACTGCGATAGGAAAAGTTTTAATTTTTTTCACAGTGGAAGTGCAGTTCTTGAGTTACACTAAACAGGCCCGCAACGGAAATATTGTTAGAAAGTTCTAACAAATGAAGATTTTTTGGGTGAAGTTGTGATGAACATAGACAACTCAATTGCTAAACGATGAAAAAAGACACGATCTTTCCGATAATACAAACTGTTTCACGGATTTTAGAAACACAAAAAACAACGAAAACGACGCGCATTTCTCAATAGCCACTCTAATAATTTTGTACCTTATAAAAAAATATATCGTAGGAAAATAGAAAAATCATGAACTTAAAGGCATAGGGGCAGTATAAAACGGTGTTTTAGTTCAAAGCAGTTATTTGTAGAGCTTTTCATTGCGAATCGAACGGTGAACTTGGAAAAGTACCAAACTTCCTAGTTTTAGAGAAAAAGTAATTCAAAGTCGGAGAGACTCAGGCACTGACGGCGCGTGTTTGTTGCCAAAAGTGCGCATGCGCGCCGCCTGCTGCGCGCACGCGCGGGGTGTCTCTTTTGTTTTTTATCTTTTTAAATAATTGAAAAGCTATAAATTTAATATTTTTCATGTCTGTTCATCTTTTAACATTGCTCTGCACCAGTTTATAACAATTAGATTGCACAAAAGTTTGAAATATCAATGTTTCACTTGGCAATTTTTTTCATAAATTTGTTCGAAAGTGCTCGGAACAACTTCAAAACGTGAGCAGGGGCACTCGGTAGTATCACAAAAATATAAAAAATATATTTCGAAACTGTATTTCAATGGAAAAGACGAAAAAAGAATCAGTACCCCCGCGCGTGCGCGCACCAGTGCCTGAGGAGGAAAGTTTGAGTTCCCGCAAAAAGAGCACTTTGCAGTAAAGTTGCTCTATGGACAACAGGCTTCGCCGTCTTCCGGACTTTCGCTTTTTTCTTCGTTTCTTTCAATTTTCCATTTTTTCTGTTGTCACCAAAGTTCTTTTCGTCACAAAAGCTTTCTATTCATGAATAATTTGCAAACTTTGATCGCAAAAACGCTTCTTTGGTGAAAAATGATGATTTCACACAGGTTTCGATTGGGATAGCATTATTTTGTGTTTTCTTCATTATCGGTGTGTGTTTTTTGTTTGACTAAATGTTTTTTCAGAGAAGAAACCCTTAACTTGAAGCAGATACCCGGTTATTTCTGACAAAATGCGAGTCTAATGAGACGTCCGCAACATCGCGTGCACGGCTACTGTAAACATTTGTCTGCATACCGTTCCAAAGCTTTTTTCAAATTAAAGGCGGGAAAGTAAAATCGCGTTTTTCTTCTAAAGTGGTCAGATATTTAATTTTTTTGAGTACACCACTCGATTCGGAAAGAAAAACTATATAAGATACTGCTTTCACCTGAAACCCCATTTTTTACTGCCCCTATGCCTTTAAAGATGCACAATGAAAGGTTTTTCAAAATAGTAGAAACTTCAAAAGGTTTCTTTTCCAGGGCGGTACGCTACGAGTACCGGAGACGGCTGCGGGCGTGGTTCACGGTCTTCTCGCCGCGGAACGTCGACTTCTACAGTCGCGTAAGTTTGACAGGTTCTATAAGAAATCGAACTGAAAATCTAGAAGGTTCAATCGATGTTCTGAAAGTAGAATACTTGGGTTTGACTTTTTTTGATTCATTTTTAATCTTTTGAAAACTGAAAAAAATGAAAAAGCTATTCAATTATGAAAATGTAGATTTTTTATTTTATATGAGAGTGGAATTTTTTTGATTTTAATTTTGAAATAAAAAAATTATTCTGTTTGAGGATTGTTATAGACTTTTTGAAAAAAAATAACTAAGCTTTCACCCGATAACCGTCTAGGAAAACTAGCGAACAATTTTAAATTTCAATATCGTTTGTTTCCTGGTACTCTCGAAGGCCCAAAGGAAATGTTCAGGTGCTGAGGAACGGGCCGATGCTGGATTTGCTGCCGTTCGCCTACGCCCTCCAGTACATCGCCATGGTGTACCACGTCGCCGAGCCGGAGAACGACCAGTACAGGACGTGAGTATGAAGAAAAAATGGTAAATGAATTAACAAATGGAATAATCAAATACTTTTTTGATTTTTACGGTCTAGCCTGTTTGTGCCCATTTCTCAGCTTTCTCCCAATAACTTTTGAACTGAAGTATTTTCAAAGCAAGTGGAATAAAAAATTTTCAAAAAAACCACTCTTCTGCTAGTTATCGACACGGGAAACACAAGAAATTTTACTTCATCGAAAAATTCGAAAAAAATTACTTTTTGAGAGGTCCTGCACCTTTTCTACTGCTTTTTTTCAGGCTTTCGGCGGTGGCGATCGCCATCAACACCGTCCTCCACTGGATCCAGTTCGCCGTCACCGCGCCTCCGGTAAGGAAGGGAAATTTCCATTGAAAACTTGATCAAATATAGTTTTCATTTGAAGATTCAATAGAGAATAATTGTTTGCAGCTGTGGAACTTCGTCTGCAACAAGATGATGGTGAACCTGCCGTCCCACGTGGCGCCCAAGTTCAACACCGTGATGCGTTGGACGCGCGACGAGGTAACCTTCATGTCCACAATATATGAAATAACCTGTTTGGCCCACCGTAGCGCAACAGGTTGTGTGCCTGTCTAATGTACAAAGGGTCACAAGTTCGATCGCCACCCCGACTCAACCGAAGGGTTTTTCATTTCCCAATTTTCAATGTGAATATGCTGTTCCTTTTCAACGAATTTATATCTATAAAATTGAAGATTTCTTTAGAAGAATTAACTCAAAATGGGATGAAAGTATTTATTAGAGCGCAAAAGCTTAAACTATGTTGTGAATTAAATTTTTTTGAATTATGATTTAAAGCTTCTCCGTTGAGAAATAACCGTATTTAGAAGCTTCAAATAAGAGAAGGTCCTACATAAATTGGTCTGAAAATTATGGTTTATTTGTGAGAAACATTCATTCACTTTTGTCCAGGTCCTCTGCTGGAAAGCTCCGCTGAAATACGCGACGGAGTTTGAGGAGAAGCTGGAGCTGGAAAAACGAGCGCCGGAAAAATGGAAGTCGAGAGAGCGATCCAAAAAGCGCAACAAGATGCTGGAAAGAGTAAGAAACGGCTTTTTACACTTTTATTATGAAGTATCGATTTCTTAGTGCCCGACGATCGATCTCCGACTACTCCCTGCGGTACCGGTGTTCTTGGAGGCAGAAGCTCCGGCGGAGGTAATTATTTTTGAAAATATAGTTTATTCAATGTTGACTGGAAATTTCCAAGGATGCTGGGCAAGTATGGCGTCTTTGTAGAGTTTCTTTGAACCTAAAGTTAATCATAGATTCGGCTTAGGATTGGTATCGCCCTATAGGCAGCGTCTAATCAGAGAATCAATCAATTTTTGAAGGATTTCATCTGAAATTAAATTAGAAAGGTTAACTTCATTCAGCACTTGGCGAAACTCACCCCGAACGGCATCGAAGGTCCGGAAGACTACCTGTCGGACTTCTCGCTGGAGGTGATCCGGACACGCTTCTTCGTCAACTACATCAAAGAGCGTCTGGACAGCCGATGCGAAAGGACACATTGTGCTTTCGTGCGTCCGAATAGAGGCCTTCTCCGATGGAAAAAGCCGTTTGCAGAGGGTGGTGGCGAGGGAGTGGGTCCAAGTCGGGTACGACCAGAGCCAGATCGCCTACCACCAGCTCATCCGACTCTTCAAGCAGTGCTGCGACATCGTCAGGGACAACGACCATCTCCTGTTCGAGGGCGAAAAACCGGGGATGGACCCCCTCAAAGTAGGTTCTTGACGTGTTCCCTAAAGGTAGAGAAAATAGTAACGCATTTCTTTTCTAATAAAACAAAGACGAATGTCTTCTTTTCAAACACTGTCTCGAATGAACCGAATATTTTTTCTCCAAGATGAACCGGCCACTCGCCAAGTGCTTCGAGATCACGCAGCGGTTCCGGCGACGGAAAAATGCTCCGCCGGCGAACACAACGGAGGCCGTGGTAAGAGTCTTTCATCAAAGAACGTCCTTTGAAGTAGGAATGTCATTCTGTAGGGTTCTTCAGAAGTTGTTAGTATGATGGTCAAAAATCTGTATTTTTTTTTTGAGAACCGAGGAAACCAAGAAAAAAAAACGGTGTACACAAAGATGCTTACCGTGATCTAATAAATAAGATGACTAAAATCGGTGGCTGAAAATTTTCAGAATTCCAATCTAAACAGAAGTTTTGATGATATATGTATGAGTTAAAAAATGCAACAAAAAACTGAGCATATTTATTTTCAATTCAAAGCTGAAAATGTTGCAGAAGAAGTACGAGCGGATGCTGGAATCGATCGGCTACCGATACCCGGTCGACGATTTCAAGTCCGTCTTCTACTCGGACGTGGTCCTTTAACATAATCGAAAGAATCAACTAAATCTTCCTTTTCCAGGCCGAGGACTACGAGACCTTTATTGCCGGAACGCACTTCGTCAGCAGAATGCCCTATATCCACACCATCAAGGAGGTTTGGAGATAACGTGGTATTTGAAGTTCTCCAACTGTTTGGAGTTTTGGTAGGAGATAAGCTCTATATCAATTTTCTTAAGCTGGAAAAGCGGCTGGAGATTTTCGCGGAGCAGGCCAAGGAAGAGAACGCCATCTGGGACCACATCTACGACGACGACGATTGGTTTCTCAACATTTTTTTTTACAATATTAAGAGTCACTCGAAAATTATTTTTAAATTGATTCTCCAGAAATCGATAGATTCGAAAAACAACCTTTCTGAGACTTTAGAAACCGTTTCCCCGTTGGGAATTTCCATAGTGAATGATCAAATTTTCAGGTTCGTGGAGCGAAGCGAGGAGGAGAAAGAGGCACTGAGAAAGGAATATGTGAGAATTTTCTACTAATTGCTCGTAGTTTCATCAAAAAATTATCATTTCTTGACACTTTCTCAATTTCATAGCTAATTTCAAACGAACTAGGACGGTTTTCCCCGTCCAAAAATGACAAAAAAATGAGAGTATAAAATTTTCTAGAAATATCTGAAGTTTGCTCCATGGTAACATTTCACGACCTTCTGAAATCTTGCAGAAGATCGTGGATTCCCAACAATTTCCGAATCCGAGAAAAATGAAGCTGAAGCACCTGCACGACCGGTACTTTGACCAAATCAGGCCCGGGTAATTTCAAACCAAGTTATCGACTTACACGAAATGGATACTTCCAGCTTCATCGGTCCAAAGACGCCGAACGCCTCGATCTACCCAGACTTTGGAGGTCTCTTCTCCAGCGACAAGTTCTGGCTGGAGGTTTGAGAAAAAAATTACTTTTGGAGCTGGGAATTTTGAAAAAATGATGCCGTGTTCAAAGTGATTCCGCGAAATTCAAAATAGCCGTCAGAGAAAGAGAAAGATAACTAAATTTTGGAGGGTCAGAGACCATTTTGCATTTCGCGGAAATTACTTTGAACACGGCATGAGCTTTGAGAAAAGTTTCCAAACACCTGCCATTTGAGATTTCTTAGGCGAGAATGCAGGAAACCTGGGAAAATCAGGATAAACATCAAGTTTCAGGAAATTTTAAAAACTCTGAGAAAGAAAACCCCAGAACATTTTTCAAAGCAAAATCGAGGCCTTAGAAAGATCGAATAAAGTTCAAAGCTATCCAGTGGAAAAAATCAATCATTTCTAGATGAAACATGATTATAAAATTATGCAAAACAAAGCTGCTTCTGAAAAGAACAATCAAAACCAGGAGACTAAGTCCCATTTTTCAGAATTCTTCGAAAAGAGAAGTTGATAATTTTCGAAATTTCTCGTAGTAAATTTGAAAAATACTATTATTCTAACTGAAGGTTGATTGCATTTCCAATTTCAGATAGGTTTTTACTCCTAAAGTGACCACTGGAATCTTTTTATAAATGGAGATATCTAAATGGTATTCAATTATTGTTTCTAGGAAGCGGACGAGAAAGCGTTCTACAGCTTCATCGAGATGAAGGAGTGGAGGAAGTCGGACAAGGAGCTCTACGAAAAGTACAGAAAAGACCTGCTGAAGCCGGTGAGAAACCATGGTCATCTCAAAGCTGAATCAGAAAGATGTTTCAGAAGGAAAAGAAGCACAAGCCGCCGTTGAGAGACGTCGGCGAGGAGACAGGACTGCGGCAGCGGTTCAAAAATCATCTCCGAGAGTAACTAATAACTGTTAATGTTTAAAAAAAAGAAAAAAGAAATAAAAATGGGAAAAAGACTGTAACTTGTTCCTTCAATGAAATGAAAATAAGGTCTGGTGGAGGTTTGGAAGTGGTAGAATGGAGTTTTGAAATCAAAAGTTATTGGAGGATTTCATTAACTTCCGGTTTTCTGCCTTAAAAAACGACGCTGCCAAAAGGATTTCAATGCACAATTCCGAACTGAAAGGCTATCAAATCCAGTTTTTTGTAAACCTTGAAGGACTCGACTTTTGGAAGCTATGAATAAATTTACCAACTTAGATAACTTTTTCTTCGTCTTCATTGTTTTTTAATGAGTTTGTAGCTATTCTAATTACTAATGGATGATTCTGGATGTTTCAACTTTGATTCAACGAGAAAAGACAAACCCTTGGAAAGCCAATAAAATAAGCTACTCGAAAAGGTCTCATTTAGATAGCAAAAGTAAATTATTAAGTTAAGATTTTCCAGGATCTCAAACCAAGAAGTGATTTGGAAAGTTTCACAAGGTGAAGCTATAGTCCTTTTTTAAAAGAACGGAACTTCTCTGTGCCCTCCTCGTCTCTCGACGCCTCTCTCATGTTTACGTGCTGTTTCCATGGTTCTCTGACCTCGCCGGTGAGGGAACAGAGAGACGCAGACACGCGAAAAACTGTCAACTCGCGGCGGATTGACTACATTGGAATCGAGTGAGACCCAACGATTCACGAAAGTAATCGTAAAGACTCACCGAAAACAAACTATTCAAGTCCCCGTCTTTCGAAAATCTTCATTCATAGGTTATAAAACCACCCGGGAGAGGTCACAGTTATTTTTACTTCTGAACGCGCTCGAGCGTAATCAAAACGAATATGTTTTCTTCTTTCCTTGACAACACTTATTTTATCTTAGCGACTAAAAACCTTTTTTTCGCTTTCCTACAGGTTCAAAACAGATATATGAAAAAAAAATTGAATAAGTTGTTTCAAAGCTTTGAGAAAACTTAGAGAAACGGTGTTTTGCTGAGTTTTCTGAACAAAAAATTTTATTCAAATCTTCAAAACCTCAACCTCTTTCTCACAGTGGAAGCGAGCCAAGGCTACAAAAAATGGGAAATAACTTTTGCTGGAAATTTCCCACACAAAGGTTGGCTCCAAAACAGCAAAAACCAAAGGAAATGTCCATTTCTTGGATATTTTTTGATCTCAGTCCTTCAATAATGTTCGAAATTGGTTCCCATTAGGTCCCTAGTCAGATTTTTTTGATGTTTAAAAAAAATTTTTAATTAATCAACTTCAAAAAAACAAAATCTTTCTTGCAAAAAAACTTCGATCGTCTCGGTCGGATGCGCATTGCTGCAAAAAAATAATAAGACGCCCTCATGTCATGTCTCTGACGCAAAAAAGATTTCTATGGTTAACGAATTTTCATATTTTTAGAAATAGAAGTGAGAAAGCTTTCGTAATATTTTTAGTCGATTCTCCCCGCTTTCGAACCTTTTTTTGCGAACCAATTTTTGCTTAATTTCCGTTGTTTTTTTTTGGGGGGTTTTCAGGCCTTCATTGTATTCCTGGTGTAAAAAAAGCCAGAAAACAGGAAAAAAATATTATCGCTGACAACTTTGCGTCCCTAAGCGTACAAGGGCACAACTATTGTGAAAAGCAATATAAACATTCTTGTTTTTTAGTTTTCTAATACTACTCTTCTTTAGAAAAAATGTAAAAAGCCAAAAACTTATAAGAAATGAAAACCGTTGTCAGTTTTCGTAAACGGAAAGGCTTAAAAGCCGCGCCGGACTCGAAACGACTTACGCGAACCTCCTTAATTTTATTCTCACTTCAAGCCATTCTACGTGCGACCATATAACTTCCGAAAAGAAATTTTCAGGACAGCGTTTTGATGAGCGCTGAAGAAATATTCACAAACGAACGACCAAGAATGTATATTTTCTCAGCCTACATCATTATTTTCCTAACTATTGGGATCACATTTTTCTCAATTTACTTGGTTTATTATAAACTCTCACAGACGAACTACAGATATCATCTTCTTTCTTATATGGTCAGTTCAAATTTGTATTTTTGTTAAAGTGATGAATTCTTGAAAATTCGTGCCTTTTTTCGACACGCAATTGAAAAGTCAAAATCCTTTTTTCAGTTCTATTTTTCAGATCAACTCCTTGATAATTGTTGTTTGGGGTGGTGTTTTTTTGATTCCGAAACCATTGTTCCCTATTTTCGCCACCAAAGTTTGGGCTATTTTTAGCGATAACTCAATTATAAGCAAGTATAAAATTTGGGTGAGTTCATTTTGGAAATCGATCTGAAGTTAGAGATTCAGGAAGTTTGGACGGTTTTATTCGGATTCACACTTCCAGCGATAGGAACATGCTTCTTTTATCGACACGAAGCCGCAGCGAAAATGGTTAAGGTTGGTATTTTATTGACCCTTTTTCTACAAAAGTGTGGGAAAGATAAATCTTTCTCTCGGAAAAAAAACAGATGAAAAAAATTACTCACTTTTCAAATAAAAAAATAGACCTTTCAAGAAAAAAATGGCAAAAAAAGGCGAATGGGTTGGAGCAAGAGTCGAACTTTCGATGTTAATTTGATAATGGAGTACACTTGCCCTGCCCCATGGTAACGATTTCTTACCTGAAACACATTCGGAACATCTTTTTCGAAATTGAAGCAAACTACTACATTTTTCCATTCAAATTTCGACACATGATTTTCAGAAAAGAACGATTGGAATTTTTTTATGGGTTTCATATGTTATAACTACTTCTACTCTTTCAATTTGTGTGGGTATTTGGTTCCACTTTTCGGAACTGACGCCTTCAGAACAACTTTTTGCTATCACGGTACCCATTTTCTACTCTCTCAACCTAGAAAATTAAGTTCCACGGGGGAGGGTTGTTGTTTTCTTAATGCGCATCCGACTTGAAACGGCTTGTGCTAGGTAGCGTTTTGAGCTTTCATCGCGGCCGATTTCAAATCGACTGTTAGCCCTTATTCTAAACGCCTCCTTGGGTCATTCCAGTGCGACTCTAGAGTTAAAGATATAAAATATAAAAATTTTTTCAGTACTATCCTCTAGCCGTCAACCTGACGATGACTAATGTGATAATTTATGAATATTATATCAACGCCACAGTTCTTCCAACTATTCTTTTCACTTACACTTGGGTCAATGTAACGGTGCTTTGCTTATTGTTTATTGTCATCCGAACGTTTCTTTTGCTCAAAAATGTGCCTGGAGTCATTTCGCAACGAACTGTGAACATGCAGAAAAGTACCAACTACAGTTTGATTGCACAGGTTTGAGGTTTCGTCTCATCTCATAAGAAACCTTTTAAAAATCTAGGACCTCTTCTAGGTTTTGTTTTCATTCTTGTACTTTTTCTTTTAAGACGGCCACTCCGACGATATTATTAGTCGTTCCTATGCTCGTTTTCGGGGCGACTGTTGTGTTCACCATCTACTGGAATGGTATCATTTTCTTTCGCGAAAATCCTTCGGCATAACTCCAAATCGTCTGGCTTATCTGTGCTCTCTTTTCTCTGAAAACTCTAACAAATAGAGCGCAGACTTCTCAGATCTTTTACACGAGCAAGGTGTATTTTTCAGAAGTGATATTAGTTTGCTTGTTCTTTATCTCGGTTCACTCGATCGCCTCCAACGTGGCGTTGATCATAACGACACCTCGATTTCGGAATATTATTCTTCAATTCTTGAACGTCAAACCTCCGCCACGAATCACAACTGTTCACTTCCGGCAGAGCGATTCCGTCAGATTCTAGATGTATTGTTGGTTCACCACTACTTTTTAATGAAGTATAAAACTACTTTATGTCTAACTCGCGACTATTGGGATCCTTTCGACCTGCCTCGTTTCTCCTTTCCCTCACTAGCGAGTTCCGAGAATGATTGAAATAAGTTGAGGATGGAAAAGAGGGCGCAAAGAAGTCATGCTGTTTTATGATACGGCTATCAAAATTGTAAATGAAATTTGTGTACTTTTTACGATTGGTTTCTTGATTTTTTTTTTTCTGACAGAAAGTCATCATTGAATGCTCACCTGTACGACAATATGTGTTGAATCTGGAACTGTCTCATTTTATCAATTGCCATCAATAATCTCATCTACCTCTTGAAAATTGAAAATAAATGTTTTTTTTGGTACAAGTTTCCTTGTGAAGACTTCACTCGAAGGGGTCGCTCTCATTCTGAGGCTTCCCCCGTCTAAGCGCAACTGGATGGACTACGCGTCGAAGAACGAGGCGAAGGGCCGTAAACCATTCTGTCAATTGATCAACTACATCTTTGGACTTCTAGTTCGCCAAAGACGGCTGTTCGTTTTAGAAGCTTGTTCATTGCCTAGTCAATTACATATATGGCTGAAAGAAATAATTGATTGATTGAAAACACTGAAAATTGGAAGATGATTTTATTTTCTTTCGAAACCAAATGAAAGTTCCGTGTTTACGGAAGAAACATGACAAAGCTTCCCATGAAAATGAACTTTAGCTCATATTCAACAAACATAAACTATTTGTAGAGTCTTCAGCAAAGGTTAAAGAACCAGGTGAGCATAAATAAGAAGACCCGTTAATTATTTTTTCTAAAGGTCTTCATGTGTAAACAAATGTTCCCTTCTTCTCTCTACCTTCATTTTATCTTGTTTTTTTTTGATTACTCACCTCTTTTTAGGATCTTTTTTTGATCAAACGAGTTTCCAAAGCGTTCATAAAAATAATCAACCATTTATTTTTAGCTCAACTCACGTTTCCCTAGTGAAAAAAACAAAAAGCTAGAAAAAAATTGAGAAGTAACCAAATAAGTGGAAAGTTTCGGGTGCTTCCATATAACAAATCGTTTCGAATTTTAATATTTTTTCTAAGAAAAATAATTCTAAACTGTTTTAGGTGAGACATCTTTTCCGCGTTGCGATGAGCGCCGAAGAGATTTTCTCAAATGAAAAACCAACTACTTATATTATGACGAGCAATATTATCACCTTCTTAACTGTTCTGAGCAGCTTCTTTTCAATGTACTTGGTTTATTGTAAGCTTCTTCAAACACCCTACAGATATCATCTCCTTTTTTACATGGTCAGTTGGATGATTTTTCAAAATTAACTTTTTTTTCAGACAAATTCCTTATTGACAGTAGTTTGGGGAGGCGTTTTCGTGACACCGAAACCTTTGTTTCCTTTGTTCGGGACTAGGGTTTGGTCCAAGTTCAGAAATAACAAAATTATTGGCAATTATGAGATGTGGGTAAGGTCACGATTTCTTTTTGCGATCCAATTTTTGAATCGAGGAAATCTTCTGTGAAAAAAAAAATATTGGTGGGGCTTTTTCGTTGGAATCACCACGTTTCTCTCAATTTTTGTTAGCTGGATGCTTCATTTATCGCATTTGACATTGTCGGAGCAAGTGGAATCGATCAGAGTATGTCGAATTTTTCAAGCGTGTAGAGAGCAGGAATATACAGAAAATATCAAACTAAAAACCTTTTTTTTTGAGTGAAGAGCTGGGCTGATAAGTGCAAGCGTGGGACAAATCTGAATTTTTCTGACGCGTTGCGATTTCGGTTCGAAAAATGTTCATGCTACGTGTTGCCAGATCGCGCAAGTAGATTTACGTCGGGCGCGGTAAAACAGTTGGAGACATCATAGACTCACGTCGCAAATATTAGAAACGAACTTTTAGGCCGTCTAGTTTGAGGGACGGATCGATGGTGATATTTAAAGTAAAAACTGCAAAAGGCTGTTTTTCCCTTTAAAAAAATTTTGCATAGTCAATCCTAGCCGACTCGGGGTTGATTTGCAGTTGTGGCGCGGTGCGTGTGCGGCGCGGTTTTTGGCGGGGGACTCGAGGTCAAACACGAGCTTACCTTTTGTTCTCTTTTTTACATTTTTTCAAATTTGTTTTTTTAATGTTTTTAAAAAAAATCAGTTAAACGAACAAAATATAAAAAAAATGAAAAAACCTCGAATTCCCCGCCAAAATACGCGTCGCACACGCAACGCTTCAACTCTGCCAATCTACCCATTCCGTCTTCCAATTCAGGTAAATTTGACCATATAAGACGTATAAAACGCACGACTCAAAACCTCTTAGATCATCAAATCGGGCATTTTTGATGCTCCTGACTGTACCTCGAGCTTCCATTAACTTTAGCGTTTCAGTACTACCCCTTGGCAGTGAACATGACCATAGAAAACGTTGTAAACTACAGCTGTTATCTCAACTTCACAATAATCCCCGCCTCCATTTTCGTCTACATTTTCATCACCTCTTCAGCGTTTTTTTGTTGCGCTATCGCTGTCAGAACCCTTATTTTACTTCACACCGTGCCGCTAGTTTATTCCAAACGAACTGTGCGCCTCCAGAAGGACGCTACCTACAGTTTGGTCGCGCAGGTTTGTAAATGCATATTTTGCAGTGTCTGGCATGTCTGCGCTCTCCTTTCTCTAGTTGACGAGGTCATGAATAAATGAGAAGAAACGAGAGTCTTAGTGGGAAAAGGAAGCGCAGATTAATCAGACTTTCACAAATTTTTTTGAGTGACGTGTTTTGCTTTTTCAGACACTCACTCCGGTTATTTTGTTGGCGATTCCGTTGTATGTATTTGCAGTGATTGTCAGCTTGAGCCTGTACGACTTGAATGGTACATTTTTTGTTCTCAAGCTTTCACGTTTTGAGCCGCTTGTAAGGGCTCAATGCGTCGCGGTCGCGCTGCGTTTCGGAGAAAATTCAATTTTTCCTACAGGTGTTCCCGACCTGAAATTCTCTTAAACTTTAGGAGGCTGCCACAGGCAAAGCAGTTAGTTGTCAGTTAAGACAAGAAACGACCGTTTTGCGACCGCAACGCTTTGACCCACTCCAAAACAATTCATGTTTTAAAAAAATAGTTCAGGATTGATTTATCTGTGCTTGTTCATGGTTTCTATACATTCGATCGTCTCTAACTTGGCCTTCATCATAACGACTCCGCGGTTCCGAAGCATCGTCTGCAGGAGTCTGAAAATCAAAGCGCATACGGAAGCCCGCCGTGTTACATTTCTGAGTCCCGAATCTGCTCTTTGAGAATAATGGGAACACCTGTGTGAGGATAAATGGCTCATACTATTTTTTTATTTTTTATTATCAAATTATTTATTTTTTTCTTGATCCGCATATTTCCATTCATGTCTATCTTATTTTGTTTGTAATTTTGAATACATATTCTGTTTCAGAGGTTCGTTGATAGAAGAAGCCCAGTATTTTTTCCGCAGTGTCACATATTTTCTCTAGTTTCATTGAAGCATGCGCAAAACATCCATTTTTCATCATTTGCATGTCTTTTCTCATTACCCCAGCCGTATTATTCCTTAGAACGAATCTGTGAGTCACTCTTGCGGCTAAAAAAAAGACGTTTTAAAACTTTCCAAGCGCCGAAATTGCTCAAAATGAGCGTCGACGACATGTTTTCTAATGAAAAACCTGTCGTTTTCATTTCGGCCATGTATTTCGTGGCATTGATATCTGTGGTTATGGCTTTTTTCTCCATTTATTTGATTTTGTACAAACTGAGCCCGACCCCATACAGATATCATCTGGTTTCCTATGTGGTAAGTTGGAATAATTTATTAAATTGGAGGAAAGCTCAGATTCTATTGAGAATAAAGACCTCTGAGAAGTTTTTAGAGAAAATATCCAAGAATTCAGATCAGTTCACTATTAACCGAGCTTTGGGTCATTATTTTCTGGATGCCCAAACCGATATTTCCTCTTCTTGGAGCTAATTGTTGGAGCGTTTTCATAATTGATTTCGGATTCGATTCATACATCGCAGCGGTTAGCGTTTTGTGAATATTCTCTGAAAAAATAGAAAAAAGTTATCTTAGAAAAAAGTTTTTCCTGGAAGAAGCTATTTTTTTGAATCAAGAAGGAACTTCAAAAACGGAAAAATATAAAAAAATAAATATGAAAGTTTTTTTCTGAAAAATTGCTTTTGAATGGATTTTTTTGTATTGATGTGGTGGCAATCAGAACGAATCAATATATAGCCGGCTTGAAATTAACGACTAGCTTTAGTTTTTTTTTTGCTGTCTTTGAGCGCAAGTCGTTTCTGGTCGGGTGCGAGCCAGAGAAACCGTTACGCGTCAAGCCATTCCAAATATGACCACAATAGAAAAAAGATGTGACTAGACTTAACAATCAACCTTTCTAAAAAAATCAATTTTATTATTATTTTTTTGAATCAACACATAAAAAGCTTCCTGCAGGCTATTTTCTACACGTTTGTACTCTTGATATTCCCAACGATGGGCTCCTGTTTCATATATCGCTACGATATGGCCGCCGCGTTGATCAGGGTTCCACTTCCCAAAACTTCATCAGAAATCAAAAATGATTATTAAGCGAGAAAGATGGGGAAAATGGAAAACTATCTTCACGATTGGTCTTTCTATTTTTTGTTCTATTATCATTGGTTTCATGGCTTATTCAGCCAGATTATCGAAAGAAGAGCAGTTCGCGGCTCGAGATGTGAGTTTCATAATCCGTTTACCATTCGAATTTTTGTGGGATGCTTTTTTGGCGCCAATATCGTCGTAGTACAATCTTTTGTAGGAGTTATATTTATTTATTCGGAGTGAATACCTTCGTTTAGTCATTTTTTACGTATCTGTATCAGCTTTCTTATGTAGAAAGCGTTAACAGTTGTAAGGTTGAGACAGGTTTTTTTTATAAATGAAGTGAGTTTCTATAGCTTGTGCACCACGACTTGGAATTTCACCGAACGACATTCCGCTGTTCCGCTGCGCGCCTTTGCGAACATTGGCCGTGCTTTTTTTTAAGGTACTCTACTTTCATGCGATCCCACAGCAACAACAATCCATTGAAAGCGTGACCTAGATTCGAAAGACGATTCGCGAACGCACGCAGCGGAACAGTGGAATGTCGTTCCGTGAAATTTCAAGTCATGGCACAGACTATATTGACGCTAAAATCGCATCGCAACTGCTTTGCAAACATTTTTCGGGGCCTTGAATGATTAATAATAAAAAGAAATAAAAAATTTTCAGTGTTACCCATTGGCTGCGAACATTTCGTTAGATCATATCTTATTACACGAGATTTCCATCAATTCCATGGCTTTGTACACTGTGGCTGTCGCCTATGGATTCGTGATAACTGCGACCGTTTTCGTCGGAATTTTCCTCATCCGGACATTGGTTGTCCTTCACAAAGTCAAGGGAAAACTTTCGAGACGGACTCATAGCGCCCAAAGGAACGTTCTCTACAGTTTAATCCTTCAGGTCGGGGATTTACTTTTGAAAAAGTGGAAAAAGTTCAGAAACCAATGAAATTGAGGTGAAATACATTTCAATAAGTCTTCTTTTTCACTTCTTTCGAATCTAGAGGACTCAAAGACATCGTGTATTTATTGCTTCAAAAAACTTGTTTAGAAATTTTTTAACGTCACTTAAATTCATTACGCAGAATTTTACGTTGATCTGTGAAGGGTTCTGGATTCCTTTCTCAATCTGTTATAATTGAAAGTTCTTTCCTAGAGACTAAACCAACCAAAAAACATCTTTTTCCATTTTTTAAGCCCTTTTATCGAAACCAGCACTCTGATAGTTTTCTGGAAATTTTCATATACACGAATCAAAATTTTCACACGGTTGTTACCGAATGGACGAATAACAAAAAAGAAATAGCAAGGAAAACTTATTGATCGATACGTGGAGTATTTTTCCCCTTCAAAGACAACGGTGAAGAGCCTTTAAATTTCAAAATTAAACTAACAAAGAAGATGATTATTAACAACTTTTTAAGATGTTGAAAAAATTAAGGCCCTGGCTCCGCTAGTTCTACTTTTCGTGCCTTTCGTCATTTTTGCCGTCGTCGCGATTCACCAGCTTTACGATTGGAATCGTGAGATTTCCTCCAAGAAATACATATTTCCAATTGAACACATCAGACATTATCGTAGCCTGCGTCTTTCTGATCCTTCTACACGGGGTCGCCTCTAACCTGGCGATGATCGCGACAACGCCTCGTTTCCGCGATATCGTCTTCAGTTTTCAGAAATCCAGTGTCAAGAAAGTTTCGAGAGCATGACCTGATTTTGATGAGAAATTAAAAATTATTTGGAAAGAAGGCTGGTTTACAAGAAATAGCAATAAAGTTGAATTTAAGCGAAGCTGAAATCAACCAAAGTTTCATTGTCCCTTATTTTCAATTGAAATTAAAATCGAGGGGTCAGTATGAAATAGGAAAAAAATATAATAGAAAAAAATACAGGGTTCTGTGGAAAAACTACTCATTAGGTGAAGTGAAAAAAAGCCAAAAATTCAAATTGTTTCCGACATTCGAAAAATCTGAATTGCAGCTAGCTTTCCCTTTCCCTCAAATTACCGCGTCAATAAAATTTCGAGAAAAAGATCCTACAGCGATGATTATTACAGTAACCTTTAAAAAAAGCAGCAACAAATATGAAAAAGGAGAAAATGTTTCTGAGGATTATGTCCATTTCACGTTGAATTTTTTTGAAAATATTGAGAGAGATACATTTATTCTTTCAAAAAAAATTTTTTAAACAAATTGAGGAAGAGGATATTTGAGAATGCACCAAAATAATACGAGTCCGAAGTTTCCGACTAATCAATTGGCGTTTCTAATGATCAGTGGATATTCAGGAGACGGGACTTCGCGGCGGGCTGAAAAAAATGGGTCCAAAAAAACTATTATTTTGTGAAATTTTTTTGAATGAATTTTTTTATTGAAGGCTGTCTTTTTTGACCTGTCAATTGTTTCAAATAAATTATCGATGTACTGTTTGAGCATTGAAAATGGAAAATCCTTTTTCCTAAAACAGGGGACCGGGTCTCTCCTTGATGTACTAAAAGAATATTCTGAAAATCTCAGAGAACCTTTAAGTTTTCGAGAAAAAAGGGCCGAAAGTCCAAATTGTCTATCTAAACGGGCTTTGGGGTGACCTTTTGAAAATTTGGAAAATTGTGCAGTTTGAGATTTTCAGGATATTTTTCTGACACATCAAGGAGGGATATGCCTAAAGACAACTATTAAGAAATTCTCAATCAAAAAGAGAATGACCTTCTTTGTCTGATAAAGCCCAAAAAAAAAGAGTTCTGAAACTCCAAATTCACCTTCACGCCATTCCGAAAATCTCATACATAACATGGCGATGAGATAGCCTCCGAGAACTGGAAAAATCTCAAGTTTTTGGTTGAAAAAAAAATGGATTACCGAAAATAGGGAAAAAAAAATTGATGGACGTGCAGCTCTGAAGCCAGCTTTGCTCGTTTTCGGTGTCAATGGTGGAGTTATTCGGATCTTCAAAAAATATTATTATTATCTTTTTTTAGCTTCAGAACGGTGAAAAAGAAAAAAACGTGAAAGTTATTATTTTTTTGGTCACGGAAATTTAAAAATTCAAGTTTGAGAGATTCTCAAAAAAATCAAAGCATTTATCTTCGTAAAAACGAACCATGAATATATTTTGAAACTTTAGATTAGGTATTAAAAAAATCGCGAGGCAGAAATCCGTTTTTTTAACCTACTGAAAGTTGGATATGAAAAATTGTTCAAAGGGACTGAGGATTACTTTTTTTCAAGATTTTAATAACTATTTCATTTTGATAAATTTTAAATAACAGACTTGGATCACAGCTCTTTCCGTGATGAGCCGGGAGACAACGCAAAGTTCCATTTTTGTCGCATTCCATTCGATCCGCCAATTCTTTGGCAACAAAGCAATAACGATCACATTGAGGTCCGGAATAATTTCTGCAAAAGATTCCAAATTCTGAAACATATAAGAAAAGAAATTAACTAGAGGGTTTCGAATTTCGAAATGTTTTATGACTAAATTCTTCCAAATTACTTTTCTCATCTCCTTTCCTGATTTTTAATATTACTTTTAATACCGGAAAAAATAAGTTCGTTTAAAATATCCAAACTGGATTGAAAAATCGAGAGCAAAAAAATTTCGAGTTTTTTTGAGCCATAACATCAAGTGTGCCCCAGCGAACTTTTCATCTTTCTGAACGCATTTTTCTTTGATTATTTTTTTTATTTTTTTAATAATTCCGTATTATAGGGTTTATTTAAATATAAATTTTTTTCACTCAACTAGTGAATAATAAATAAAAAAATATATGATGTCCTTGTAAAAAGTTAGTCTTAAACTTGTCAGCTCGCAAAAAAAAACTTGCACCCAACATTTTTCCTCGTGTTTTCAACATTTTTTTTCGTACCTTTCGCAAATAACCATCGACCTAGAAGTGAAATATTCCGTTTCCAGAGCTTTTATCCATTCGGCAGTGGCGTTTGCATCGAAGTGGGCGACATTCTGCCAGAGAGCCAATCGGGGGACTAAAAACGGTTTTTTAAACGAATGAACTTCCAAGAATATTCAATGAAGTTTTAGTAGGATGAAACGCTTCTCAAAAAATGTGCGAAAAACTTACGATCGTCGTTCTTGAACGTGGTAACGTCGAAAAGAAGGGAGATTTGCGACTGCAAGGAAGATTTGTTAGTTTCGCTTCTATTTTTCAACTTTCTCAAGAATGTCCATGAACTGATTGCCGTCAGATTGTCACGAAAAAGTAGTTCAGAAATAATATAACTTTTGATATTAGTAGGGGACGCAAAAAATGAATAATTAAAAATAGAGTAAAAAAGTTTTGACAACCGTTTAGAAAAAAAACTTCAAGTGGTGATGCTGCGGATGTGTTTACGGTATACTGGGCTACAGTAATCCCTACACCGCGAAAAATGTCTAAACTGCTTTCTTTTCTTTATCAGATTCATTCTTACAATCAATAGTTGATTTAATGATAAATTTACCCCTGTTCTTTGTTTTTTTTTCCTGTATTTCATCTGAAACCCTTTAGACTTTCATTACATTTCCCCTCACTCTCATCAATCTTTTTGGAAAGTTATTGTAGAGCAAATTTCAATTTCACCTCATCCGACGACTTGAACTCGACGAGAAAAACCTCGCCCGAGTTCATTTTTTTCTCGACTTTATCTTTCCCATACATGGCTGTGAAGTCGATTTTTTTCTTTGCAGTGACTTCCAGCTTGAATATTTTTTTGGCGCGAGTCTGAAAGATTTCCGATCTGCTCTGAAAAAATGATTGTAAAGTTACCGCAGCGAGAATGACCACCAGCATAAACCCAAGAGCAAGTAGAGCTTTCATCTGAATTCTTATCCCATTATTTTTAAAATTCTTTGATAGCATTTGGAAAGGCTCAATCCACGATATGGTTAGCGTAAATACGTTAAAATTTCAATCCAAATGCGCAACACTCTGTGTCAAAATGGCAAAAAGTTCAGCATCCCTCGAAGGGATTGAACTTACCTCACGTGTTTTCAAAACCAGTCTTTTATCCACTCTATCATCGGGCTGGAAGTAAGATCCCAAGAGTTTACGATAGATAAGCTGCTTTTTTCAGATTACCTCTCAAAAACTTGCTAAGACAAATTTCGAAGACCTAATCTCATAAGAAATGAAAAAAGAGACGGAGAAACCTTCGCCAAGACATTTACTCAGCCTAATCAAGCGTGCAAATGTAAGATCGTTCTAGAAATTGGAAGTGAAAAAAAATGCTTTTGGAAAGCTCGCGACATTTTCTGAAATGTCAATCGATCTCAGGATTATTCACCTTCCCAAATTATCTAAGAAGCTATGATTCTTGAGCGTTAATGGTATCTGAGTCATCTATGTATATTTTATTCTCTTTGGAAACTATGGTCGCATGCAGAATGGTTCGAAGCTGCGCGGTCGCGATTGGGTTAGAGTTTCAAAACCGGCCGAGCATGCGTCAAACTCAAGACTTTGCGCAAGTCGGATTAGGTCGGATGCATTTCGAATAAGAAAACTGCTACACAGCCGTTGAATGCTGTCCTAGTCTATTCGCAACCAAATTTTATTAAAAATTATTCACGCTATAAGCTCAAAATGAGAACTCGCTTGGGCAGACTTTCGGGAACTGTCGGTGGTCCTTCAGTTTTCTATGGCCCAAAGAATAAGAGCATAAAGTATACCAAGTGTTAGTGATATGACTCACTTATGCCGCTCTAGAAACATCAAACAATAATCAGAGAGAAAGCTTCAGAGCTCTTTAGAAATGCTTTTTTAATTGAGAAATAGTTTTTGGAATTACTTGAAAATTTAGTCAACTTTCAACACTTGGCACGAGGAATAGATCTATCCTCCGACCTCAAAACGGCTTTTGCTTGTCGACACAAGGATTATAACACACTGAACCGCAACGCGACCGCGACCGCGACGCGATATTTCGAAACCAAATAGATTTTTTCAATAGAGCTGAATTGCTGCAAAAGATACGGCTTTAAGCTTTTGAAGAGCTTTCCCTTGAAAGTTGAAAAAGGCTTTCGAAATGAACGTTACGGAACTGATTTTAGTTTTGCGAAAAGGTCTCGAAGCACTTTAAAAGTCTCGTTATATCCAGGGATTTGTACAGAGAAATCAGTAATATTCAAGAGTTATGGAGCGTCTCACAAGGGAGGTCATTCAACTTTGTAGTCGAGCATTTCCTAAATAATTGGTCAGAACATCCCTTGAAGTACCAAAAAATGATTCTGAAAGTTTCAACCTGCAAATTTCCTAATTTTGGAGCAAGGATCCATCAAAATCAGAGTAAACCTTCAAAATCAGTCAAAAAGGCCATTTTTGGGGCTTTAAGCCCTTATTTGTTAAAAACGGGAGTTGTGCAGATTGAGTCTTCCAGACTCTTCTTTTAGTACGTCAAGAAGTTCTCTGACCAGTTTTCAGGAAATTTCCAACCTCAAAATGAAATGAGCTCCCTTGTCAAATCTAAAACGTCAAAGAAAGAAAGTTTCTTGGCTCCCATAACTTCGGGAGAATCTTACAAGCAAATCACCAGTCCGAAAAGAGAAAAAATCAAAAGAAATAACTGGTGACCACAAAAAAAGGAGGCGTACGGAGACGACCGTCTGCGGAGCTCTCGAAAAAGTCGAATGAAAAAGAATGATCCGAAAAAGGCGAGAGGAAGGAAAACCATGTGCCTTATGTGCCGCCCACCGCCCACAGGAGCCTCGGCATGACTCCAACTTGATTTTATGAACATTTCCTAAGTGAATGGATTGATTTGATCGAATGTTCGCTTGTGCTGAGAAAAATCCGAAAAAAAACCGATTAGTCATCGATGGAATTTTCTCTAAAAATGTATCTTTCGACGAAATCTAGATCATTGATCTTGGCTCCGGTGACAAAACAATTTTTTTTAGAAAGTTCATAAAATCAATTATGATTTCAAAAATATGTTCATAGAAACAGTTCCACGTCACGGAATTGATTCCGGCCCAAATATGAATTTGAGCTGATTCTTAAAGATGTAAAAATTGACGCGAAAAATCTTCAAAAAGTTTCAGAAATTCTTAAAGACCTTTATGGTCACGAAATCCCAAAGCAATTACTCAAATAAAAAAATTTTTGAAAATTTTCTGAATCTTTTTTTCCAGAAATAGAATTGTTATGAAATTTTTTTAAATTAAAGTTAAAGTCCCTGAATAGTCCTTTTTTTATTGAAATTTTTTTCTGGTTTTGAAAAAAACGTTGGAAATTCACCTGTTAACATAAATATGTTCAGTTTCAAAGAAAAGAGGATATTGAAAAAAAATTTTTCCAAACTTTCTTTCTGATGCTCCAATGTTTTTTTTCGTCAATTTATATATATTTTTTTTTGTAGCTTGGCCAGTTTTGAAAAAAGGTGCATTAACTTGTTTTTTTGTCTGTCGGTACCGTTATCTCTTTTCACAGAAAAAATGGTCCATTTTTTTGAAAATTTCGAGGAAAAAAAGAACTTTTTATTAGACAACAAAGAAATCACAATAAATTGAATTTAAAAATTAACTAATGGAGAATTGAAATCAAAGATTCCTTACAACACGAGTAACTGGAGCCACCTTGTTTCTTTTGTGTTCGTGGAAAAAGTCGATTATGACGATCGACATCAGAAGTATCGATAGGGCCAGGTAGTAGTCTGAATTTAAAGATTATTAGGTTTTGTCGATTTCAGGCGGTTTTTCTTTAAATTTATGGTCAAAATTCTAATGGCCGGATTTTTCACGCTGACTTTGAAATTTTCACTCAAAATCTGACATGGTTAGACCAAATTTATTATTCAAAAATCTGTTTTTATAGATCCGGTCTGTGCGAAAAAAAAGAAGCGGTTATGCTGTCTTTTAAAAAAATATTTTTGAGCCATAATCTGTTTCAAAGTTCCTTCCAATTTACCGTTATTTCAGTTGAGACCTAGCTTTAACCTTTGCTTTAAAGTCGAAATTTTTATTTTTTTAGAACCCTAATGTAATATTTTTCGAGCTTCAATGTTTTTACTGGACTTAAAACTTAGGATAAAGCCTTAGTAATTCTATCAAGTTGTTCATGAAACATTCACAATAATTTTCAACTTTTCCAAGCTCACAGAAGTCAGGCGAACGTTTGGAGCTTGCAGAAATAAAAAAAAATTGGATTTTTCAAATTGACTTCCTGGTGCAACACTATTCAAGCCTTTAAAAATTCGAAAAAAAAGAAATTCTCAAACTCACAATCGAAGTACTTGAAGAAACCTTGATAGGATTCCTCCTCGTCGTAGACCTGAAAATTTTCAATACTGGAAAAAATTGATCACGCAAAGTTTACCTCTGGATCCATAAAATGCCTAGCCACAATCGCGCAAACGCACATGATCATCAGCTGAAATTTTTATTTTACTCGTTTTTATTTTCTTGAAACTGCGGGAGTATGGAATTTACAAGCAAAACAGTTGCAATGTGGCTTTGGCGGCAATTTTTCAAGCTTCAGTGTTTTTACTGGACTTAAAACTTAGGATAAAGCCCTGAAGAATTCTATTAGTTCACAAAATTTTTCTAACAATCTTTAAATTCCTAGAACAATCTTGGCAAAAGTCAGAAAAAATTTTAACCTTGCAGTAATAAAAAAATTTGTCAATTGTTCAAATTGAAAATCATAGTGGTAATCATTTTGATATCATTAATTAAAAACAGCAGAATTTTGAAAGGTATATGATTCAAATTGATAAGTTGTATTGACAGCGAAGACGTGTAGAAAATCGGAAAATGTTACGAAATGGAATTGGCGCCAAAAACGCGTCGTGACCTTTTTCAGACACACTGAAATCAGTGCGAAACCGTGGAAAATGGCTCATAGAAGAAGAAAAAACTCACGCAAAATAAGAAACTCATAAAGACAATGTGTTTCAGCATGTCGTTCAATTGTTGAAAACCGGGGGAAGGTGGCTAGAAATAGTGCAAAAGACGTGATGAGAACGAGCGAAGGATCGCTCTTTTGAGTTTTGTAGCAAAAAGAAAGGGGGGAGACGACGCGCGGAAATCTTTTTTTTCCTCCTCGATTTTGGTTTCGCTTGTTTGAAATTTGGTTGCAGGTGTTCCAGTGCAAAGTTTAAACAAGGAGTTGACCATTTTGAGATTCATTTCGGCTTTTTTTCTTCCTTCAGAATGTTTTAGTAATGACAAGTCGTGAAATGTTTTTTTGAAGAAATAAATATAAATATTCCTTACCCTATTTTTCAAGTATCAAGCTTTTCGCAAAACGTGTAACTCTTCAAATAATTTTTCGCTTTTTGAAAAAAAATTTTTTTTCAATCATTGGTCTTCCACGCAGAAACCGACCGGTTTGGCGATTTTTCAAGATAATTTTGAAATTCTTCCTTTTTGGAGTTATCGATCCAGCCTTTAGTATGGATTACGACGACTATTTGAGTTTGAAAAAACTTCAATAGGGGCTATTTTTATTAATTTTTTTCTTGAACCTTCTGAAAACTTCGCCAAATGTCAGAAAAATTCCCGAGAAAGCCGGAAAGGCGGAGTCATCCGAACTTTTTTTTTACTCATTTTTCTCTAACTCGAGGTTCGAGATCCATTAATATTGCTTTTGACTGATAGAGCAGTGGTTAGAGACTTTGACTTCTAATTTGAAGGCCTTGGCTCGATCCCCATCGCGATTTTTGCAATTTAGTGACGATCTGATTCGTTTTTTCTGCTATCAGAAGCCTCAATAATAGTTATTTTTTGATCACTGGGAAAATTTCTAGTGGACACTAATTTTCAACCCCTTAAGTGGTCACTAATTTGACTACTATAGTGGACACTAAAACGCCAAAAGCCTATAGTAGCCACTAAAAATTTTCCCAGAAGTTCGATCGGTCAACTTTCAAGTTATTCCGTTTTCAAAAAAGTATGAATCTCTTGACAGTTTTTTTTCCAAGGTTTGAGTGAAACGATCCCTCGACCCAGGGGGTCAAGACTCTCAAAACAACGCAAAACGTTTCCGCTTTTTCTCATCACCCATCGTGTTTTACGACCATTTTATGGTTTTTAATGGGGTTTTTGTTGTGGAATCGACGGCCGCAGGTGTTACCATCTTCTTCGTCTTTCTTCTTGCTTTTTTGTTTGAGCCGTTGCGGACGGTGGGAAAAACCGTCATTTCTCCCAGGCGCACGACCGAATCCAATTTGTGTCCGAGAATCGCCTGGAAACATAATAAATTTTGATTTGATGGTCGTTTTTGTTTGAGATTCGAGAGGGGACAAAAAAGAAAAAAAAAATTAAAAAAGATGATTTTTTGAGATTGTCAGTTTGGCTCTGAAAGAAGCTTTTCTCCAAGGACCAAGACGATTTTTTTAGAGGCCGATTTCATAAAGGTCTCACGACGAAGAAGTCATAAAAGTTTACCTGCATCAAAAAACATAGGATTCTTAAAGGCATAGGGGCAGTAAAAAATGGGGTTTCAGGTGAAAGCAGTATCTTATATAGTTTTTCTTTGCGAATCGAATGGTGTACTCAAAAAAATTACAGATGTGACAACTTTAGAAGAAAAACGCGATTTTACTTTCCCGCCTTTAATTTTGAAAAAAGCTTTGGATCGGTATACAGACAAATGTTTACAGTAGCCGTGCACGCGATGTTGCGGACGTCTCATTAGACTCGCATTTTGTGAGAAATAACCGGATATCTGCTTCAAATCAAGGGTTTCTACTCTGAAAAATCGATTAAGAAAACAGAAAACACACATTGATAATAAAGAAAACACAAATAATCGCTATCACAATCGAAACCTGTGTAAAATCATCATTTTTCACGAAAAACGCTTTTTTGCGATAAAAGTTTGCAAACTATACATGAATAGAAAGCTTTTGTAACGAAAAGAACTTTGGTGACAACAGAAAAAATTGAAAATTGAAAGAAACGAAGAAAAAAGCGAAAATCCGGAAGATGGCGAAGCCTGTTGTCCATAGAGCAACTTTACTGCAAAGCGCCCTTTTCGCGGGAACTCAAACTTTCTTCTCTCCGACTTTGAATTATTTTTTCTCCAAAACTAGGAACTTCTGTACGTTTCCAAGTTTACCGTTCGATTCGCAATGAAAAGCTCTACAAAGTACTGCTTTGAACTGAGACACCGTTTTTTACTGCCCCTATGCCTTTAAGCACGCCTAAAATTTCGAAAAGGACTTTTCATTTTGAAAATTCCCTGTGATTTTTTAACAGTAACTTTGATAGAAAGAGCTCTAATAGAATTTTTGGAACCTTCTCAAAAATATCAAATTGTGAACTTTCAGACGGAAAATGTACAAAGTTTGAGGTTATTTCCGGATCTTCTTGAGTTTTTTTAACCATTTTATGATCCGTAAATGAATGCTAATGCATACGGTATCCTGTATCAAATCTCTAAAAAATAATTTCTCTTGAAAAATCGGAACTCATATTTTTCTTCCTGCGCCTTTGTACCGCTTGAGCGGCGTCGTTGCCCCAAGTCGATTAGCCGAGGTCCTATCCTGATGATCAGTGGACTGGCTCAAGTGACATTTCCGTCCTTGTGTGTGACGACTGGAGATTTTCGAAGTCGTGGTTTCCCACTTTCTTAAATCCCTTTGTTGGCGGGGATTGAACTTGTGACCCTGTGGGCCGTAGACAGGCACACAACCTGTTGCGCTACGGCCGCCCCTAAACTCGGAACTCATGGGAACTTTAAAAGTTTGTCGAATGTTTCAACGTCTTGTGATTGCGCTGAGGTCTAAGCTCAAAGTTGAAAGTACATTTTTGAACTATCTGATCAAAATTAACAGTGCGCAAATCGATCTATGGTCGGGGCAGACTTGGGTATATACCGCCTCGCAGCCGTAACGCATCGAGTCATTCCTCGTGCGGCCATCCATATTTTGGCTTTTTGAACTAGATATGTTGTTTACTTCATTTCCAATTTGAAGGAATTTAAAGGCGGAAATTATTGGTTCACAAGTCAGACTCTCAGGCATAGGCAAAGTTGGAAGGATCCGGTATGGATCAATAGGTTCCCATTAATTGTTCCTAAACGGGTGGTGACGGTTTTTTTTTACTGCTTTTTCCCGTTCTTTCATCAACCTTTATTCTATTTCCTTTTATCAACCTTTATTCACCCCTTTGAAAAAAAAAAATTTTTAATTGAGAATAATCTTCACCGGTGACTGTGTATGAACTAAAATGTGCTACGGTAAAATCGGAAATCATCAATGGCCGAGACTTTCAGCACTCTTTCTTCACCCTTCTGTCGACCTTTCCCTTTTTTCACCCTTATTTGAAGCTTTTTAGCCTATCAAGAAAGAAAGGCTCAATAAAGGCCATAAAACAGAACCCTTTTAGCAGCCACTTTGCACCCGTTTTCCACACTTTGGTAGTGAGATTGGTTTCCAAGAAGCGGTCAATATAATAAAGTCAAAATATCCAACTTTGAATGCAATCTCGATAATAAAAATTCCTAGGCGCTGATAATATTCTAGATCCTTGGCGCTGTGGTTCGACGCCTTGACTGCCATTCTGAGGACCGTGGTTCAATCCCCACTGTTCTTTTTTCTTCTTCAAACCGATAATAATCTTCTTCTATCATCATTTCTTTGCTCGAATTCCCTTTCAATTTTATTGCACAAAAAAACAACAATGTTACAATAAATATTATCGAGGGAAATGTCCTGAGCGTTTTCGGGAGAGTTCAAAAGGGTCACCGGGTCGAGGCATGTCACATCGAAAAATGGAAATGAATTTTTTTGGGTTTTTTTGTTTTTTTTTTTTCGTTTGAGGAAGACAATATCCTGAAATTTTTGGGGTAAATCAAAAGGTTCACAATCGCCAATGAGTACAATCAAAGTATAAGAATCGGGCGAGAAAATGAGGGGGAAAAACTGGATTTTTTTGGTTTTTTTATTTATTTTTTTATTAAAAAAACTTTTCAAAAATTAATTGCACAATCAACAATAAACATTAAAAAAAGGGAGATATCCTGGAAAAAAATTTTTGGGGAGAGATCAAAAAGGTTCGAATGGCCAAGTGGTAATGAGGACATGGGCCGAAACAATCAAACTGGATTTTTTTGGGTTTTTTGATTTTTTTTTATATTTGAAGATGACAAAATCCTGGAAGTTTTAATGATCATTTGAAAGGTGCTCACCAATGCATATCGCTTGAAACAGTTGAATTTGAGCCCCCATTTCCATTGGGAGAAAAAAAGAAAAAGTTATATTTTTTTCAATGATAATACTAGACCTTAGAAGTTTTTAAGTTATTTTGATAGTCTCTATTTATATCATTTTTTTAAAAAATCAAGTCGCTGAAATTTGAAGATAACATTTAGAGATAACAATGAGCCGAATTCACAAGGAAAAGCTCTATTTTTCTCTTTTTTTTAAATCGCAATAACCTGGATAGTCCAAAAGTGTCACAGAGAAGCAGATTTAGTGAGAAAAGACTTGGAGGAAAAGAAAATAAAAACTCATGCCGTGTTCAAAGTAATTTCCGCGAAATGCAAAATATCCGTTAGAGAAAGGAAAAGATCACTAAATTTTGGAGAGTCAGAGATCATTTTGCATTTCGCGGAAATTACTTTGAACACGGCATCAAAATCCATTTTGACATCCATAGAGAAATATATTGTCATCAAAGTATAATCAACGTTGAAAAAGTACAATTATGAATTGAACATGAAAAAAAAAGAAAAAGAAAAAAATTAAAAAAGAAATTTTCCAAACGTTCTGGAAATAAACCTTTTGATCGTATTCAATTCCAGAAAACGTTTGGCTTTACATTATGGATAATCCGTCTTTGCGCGTAGTACAAAAAAAAATGTGAAATTTGACAAAATTAAAAAAATAAGCTCGATGAATACTTCTTGGATCGAGAATTAAAGATGACTTCGACAAAAAAAATTAGAGATTTAATGATTTTTTTTTTAGAAAAAAAGGTTTCATCCAGCTGATTTTGCTTACAGATTTAAAAAAAAAGGCCAAACAAACTCTGGGAAACAACCTTATTATCGAATTATTTTCCGAAGTGAGTTCAGATTCATGCGATATTGAATCAAAAAATCAGTCATTGGTGAATTTTTCCTGAATTGAAAGACGAAAGAGTGACTTGGTGTGGTTTTTGGCGCGAAAACTAATTTCAAACGCGAGCGGCCTCTTTTTATTTTCGACAGTTTTTCGATCGTTATAAATCTTTTTCAAAGCTGTTATTTTATCTATCTCATCATTCTTGCGTTCGAATTTAAATTTCGCGCCAAATTCCGCTCTGCAAAAAGTTAGTCAAAAAATGTATGCGTCCTTCACTTTTTCAAGAAAAATTCCGCAGATTCTGAAGAAAAGACCTTTTTATCGTATCTCTCTTCAAAAATCGTGTTTAACCATACAAAATGAAAGGAAATGAGGCAGAAAGGTCAAAATGAATTCCATGAATCTAAAAAAATTAAGTTTCTTGAGTCGCTTTTTTTGACATCTTTGAATTTTTTTTAATAATAATAATAATATATTCAGAGATGATTGTGAACCACAACGAGATAATTGAAAAAAATATTCTTCATGGAACTCTTTTTGATAACAAAATAGACGGAAAAAGGTCCCAAACAGATCTTGGAAATTAATCTTTTTATCGTATCACTTTCCAGGATTCAGTTCAGCTGTGCACAGAAGTGATTTAATAATACAGCAAGACAAAAAAAATGAAACAAAAACCAAAAGAAACAGAAAATAATGTACCCTATGGATAAAATGAACTCTAAAGACTCATTTAAAAATGCTTTGACATCATTAACTTAGAACTATTCCTCGACGTTTCTGAGTCATTATAGTGATCACTTAAGTGCGCTAACGCCGCTAGATAGATCACTAAATGTCTCAGAAATTGAAAAAAAATAGGTCTCTACTGAATAAAAATTATCCATAGGGCGGAAAAGTTTTCTAAAAAGATCCTGAAAATCGAACTTTTTATCGATCCAATTTTCACATCTTTCTAGCTGTACATTTCTGAAGAATCCCCTTTACGTAGAAAAAGCGAAAATGAGACAAAAAGTGCAAATTGTTAGATTTGAAATACAAAATTGATGAGAAAAAAGGAAATTAATAAGATGAGTTCTATGAAGATTTGTCGAATTTTCAATTTTGAAATCTTCAGAAAAAATATTCAAATTTTTTCAAAGAAATCATTTTATTAATAGAATTAATCAATGGAAAAATTGACTTTTTTTCATATTACTTTTTTTGGAAAGTATAAACGACAAGCAAAAAAAGAAAAAAAGTGCGCCCTATGAAAACAATACCAAAAAAAATCATTAAATTTTCTTAATTATTATTAGAAACTATCGAAAAAAATGATAATAAATTACTAAATCTTCATAGGGCGTAAGTGAAAAAACAAATGAAAAAATTTTCAGGCGAAACCCGGAAAATAACCTTTTTATCGAATTATCTACCGCATTATGCCTGACTATACAATTTACTTGAAGCTTGGAGTTTGGATAACAACAAAATGCATTAAATTGATTCACTTTGAAAAATATTTAAAAGCATTTGGTTAACAAGGAAAAAGAAAAGAACAATAATAATAATGAAACACAAAAATTAAAAGACAAGGACAAAACTAGCTTCACGAACAGTGTAAAATTCAAAAAATAGGCTACTTTCCTTTTGATCAATCTTAAGCCTGGAAAAAAAACCCTTTTTCGTGAAGCTCCTTTTGTGGACGAAATTGGGAGAAATGTTCTAAAAAGACTCTGGAAAATAACCTTTTTATCGTATTATTCTACAGAGTCTTCCTAGCTTGACATTTGGGCAACTTCGCACAAAACTCGACAAACAATGCCCAAAATGCGCTACATTAATGTAGAAAAATAGTTTCGAAAGGTTTCTAAATTAAAAAAATAATTAAAATCTATGTAGCGCACTTGGTTTACAAAAAAATGTGGCAATAAAAAAAGACACAAAAAACAGAGAACGAACAAAGTGAGCTCCCAGAAAAAGAAAAATCAATAACTATTTCTCAAATTATCTGAAACTTTGGAATAGGTCATTTTCGCGGAGCTCACTTTGTTGACAGATTATACGAAAAGGTCCTCGAAAAACCATGAGAAGTAACCTTTTTATCGAATCACTTCTCACAGTCTTTCAAGCTTTACAAATTTAAGACGATTTACGGCAAAGAGGGGTCGCAGAGGCAACAATAAATTGGCTAACAAAAATATGGCAACAGATAAAATGAAAAGAAAAACTCAACGAATATTTTCCCCCTTTGAAATTCAATCAAATTTAATGTACTTCAAATAATTCTAAAGCTTGAAAAAATATTCGTGGAGTTCACCTTTTCGACAGAAAAAGGTTTTGAAAAGGCCATGAAATTCAACCTTTTTATCGTATTGATTTTCAAAGCCTTCTCAGCTCGTGGGCAATCAAGTCAATATTGGCGAAAAATAAAAAAAAGTACGCTCCATAGATCAAAAAAATCAACGTTCTCCAACTTTCAATCAATTTTAGAAAGTTCAAAAGAAATAAAAAGATCTATGGAGCGCATACAAATGACGAAATGAATCGAAATTTTCCGAATTCGTCTGAGTTTACGGAAAGGCAACGCATCCTTAACAAAGATGACAAAAAAAAATGTGGCCCATAGAGAAAGAAGCATCAAAAATTCTCTTTAAAATCACTTAAAACCTCTAAAAATTCTTTTTTTTAAAATAGCTCAATATCCATGGGGCACATGTGATGAGAAAAAAAGGTAAACAAATTCTGAAGGAAAAACCTTTTTGATCGTATTATCTTCGAGAATTTGTTAGCCTAAACATTTCAATTCAAGGACAAATTTGAAACAACAACAATTTAAAAAAGGTAATTATAAAAATAATACAAACAAAACGAAGTTTAGATATTCAAAAAAAAAGTTCCATGATCATATTTTGAAAATACCTTTTGACTCAGACTTTTAAAGTTTAAAAAAAAATGCGTGTCATTTTTTTCATGGAACTCTTTTTTTCTTTCAAAGAAAGGATTCAAAAAAGACACTGGAAAGAAACCTTTTTATCGTATCACTTTCCAGAGCTTATTCAACTGTACATTTTGGATTATTCGTTCACGTTGAAAAAAAACACAACAACAACATAGACACGAGGAAAAGAAAACCGAGATCCGCTCCATAGACAATGAGAAAAAACAATCTTAAATTCCACTCTTATGATGATTTCAGAAAAATTGGAAATGTCTAGGGAGCGCATTTGGTTCGCAAAAAATTGATGAATTTAAGAAAACGAGTAAAAAAACAAGAGAGACATATGGAAAAAATTTTTGAGGTTTATGACAGAACAGATAAATAGCCTCACAAAAATAACCATCGACAAAAAAGCCATTCGAGAAAGATACAAAATAGTCTGGAAAGAAGAGCCGCAAGATGCGCTCGAGCTCGGGGAAAGTGTGCTCCATGGTTAATTTGATTGTTTTTTTATTTCATTATGAGAAAAACATCATTTTATCTCTGAAGCAGCGAGAGAATATTTGATAATTCGAGAGTATATAATTTAACTGTAGAATTAGCCGTGCAGCATACTTTCCCCGAACTCAAGAGCCTGTGGCGGCTCTCCTGTATAAGCCGTTTTCCGGCTCTTTTTTGTTTTTGTGATGGTCCTATGGCTTTTTATCAACGGCTGTTTTGTCACATACCCCAAAATTGCAAACCAATTCTTGAAAATAACCTTTTTATCGAGTTATTTCCAAAAACAGGTTCGCCTTTACATAGAATCAAATTAACGCTCACAAAAAAAACGAAACATTAAGAAAAAAAAACATACAAATCGAAATAGAATGGCAAATTTCTGAGCAAATCCTGAAAGTAACCTTTTTATCGCGTCACTTTTCGGAATCCGCTCAAACTTTACAATTGGTTAGGGATCAAATCACAAGAAACACAACAGAAAATATATATTGACGAGAATGCGCTTCATAAACAACTGATATTTATCTTCTCTCTACACCTAAATTTAACATCTCACTTAAAAAATTACGTATTCTTGAAAAATGTTAATTTTAATTTATGAAACGCATCTCTTGACAAAAAAAAGAGACAAAATGTTCTGAACGGACTCTGAAAAAAGACCTTTCTATCGAATCGCTTCTCAGAATCGCGTTCAAACTATACAATATAGCAATATGCAAAGGTCCGAGCCTCAAAAAAAAAAGTACAAAGCAAGAAAAATGAATGAGCGAAAAAATGCGATCCATAGATAAAATGATAATCTTATGAAGTTCTACTAATAAATTTTCAAAGCTAATGCCGTGTTTAAAATTAATTCCGTGAAATTAAAAACTATCTCTGACTTTCCAAAATTAAGTTAATTTTTTCCTTATCTGATATAGACTTTGAATTTTATATCGCAAAAATCGGACGCGGCATAACCGGAAGCTAAAAATCGTGGAAAATTTTTTTATCTTTGGATCGCATTTAGTCAACAAAGAAAAAAGAAAAATTTTTCAAACGGAGTGAAAATCGACCTTTTTATCGTATCCATTTTCAGAATCACGTTCGAGCTGTACAGTTACTAGTGTCGTAGGCGTGGATAAAAAGAAAATACAAAGCAAAAAGAGAAAAAAAATTACCATAAAAAGGAGGAAAATATAGATCTTGGTAGTGAAAAAGGGAGTTTATCAGAGATATGAAAATCTTGATTAAAGGAAATAGGAAGACACGAAGAAAAGAAGTCCTGATGAAATTCGGGATTCGTCGAAATGAGTTGATGGATGAGGGTGAGAAAAGAGAACTGTGGAAAGTTTTTTTTTTGGATTTTTGATTTTTTTTTTCTAGAAAGAAAAACAGACAACACAAGATAAAAAAGAATATGAAAGAAAAGAAAGAAATTACGGATTTTTTGAGTTTCTTACTTTTTTCTCCCAGTCTCCGTTGGAAATTTACATACACTACTAGCTTCTCAAATGCTCTCTACTAAACTGCTTCCCAGGAACTTTCAAGAATTTTCACAAAATTACATCTAAAAAGATTTTTGTAGATAAGATGAGTTTAATGTTGAAATATTTAAAAAATCAGGTGATAACTTGATTTTCAATGAAAGGTCTCAAGATTGTCTTTTCTCTCGAAGTTTATCCCTAGGAGGAGATATACGAAACCATTTTTCAAGTTTCGAAGTTTTCAAGCGATATGCATGGTGTTGAACTCTAATTGTAATTCGAGCAACTTTCGAAATTTAGAGAGCGTTCAAAAATGAGGGCTGTCTAGCTGTTGAAGATGTGGATGATGTAGATTCTGAGGTTGGAAGGGTTGAAAAAAGGCTTGGATTTTGTTTCCTTCAAATTAGAAGTGGGAGAAGAGTCATTCAAATATGATGACAACGACCATTGAAAGCGTTAAACGCCACCTCATCGCCCTCGTCGTCGTCGTTGCACCAGAAGTTGGCGAATCTTCTGACGGAGCATCTGAACAGGGCAGCGAAGTAGGCCAAGACGATGATGACTGAAAAAAAGCTCAGAATTACATCACTTTCTTTTGAAAAATTTTCATCTCAAACTTTACTTTTCACTGAATTAGATTTTCTGAGAAATAAGCAACTCTCACCAGCGAAACAGATGCGCCCAAGGAACTTTTCAAAGTGTTCGAAGCACGAATGACGTTCCTCCGTCCAAGCTTGGATCTGAAAATATTTTCTGAAGAACAATAAATTCTCTCGAAGATAAAACTTTATTATAGCCCGATAGAAAAGTTCTTAAAGGAGCATAGACTAAATTTACAAAGGGTTTCAAGGCAAAAACCCAGTTTCAGTGTTTTTTTTTGGTTTTGTAAGTGTTTTACTTTTCACAGAAACGTACTAGATTTTGCCGGTGAAAACTTGTCATTTTTAGTGCGCCCGACGATTCGTGACTTGCGCAATGCTAAATTGTCTGGAACCATTTTACCTACTGATTTCTCTAGCTCCTAGCAAAATCTAAAAGCCGAGCGTCGCAAAAAATAAAGTTTTGAGTTTGAAATGACCGAGACGTTTTGAGCCGACTATTCCAGGTTCAATAAAATTACCTCAATGATGGGCTCTGAGAGCTTCTTGGAGTCTTCGAGGTGTTTAGGAGGAGGAGTCCATTCAGGAGGACAGTCACAATCTTCGGCTTCTTCCTTCTCAGCAATGCGTCGACCTTGAAAAGGAATTTTTGATATTCTTCATTGGCCACACATTTGGAAAATCTGACTTGTCTGTTTTCTCACGTTATCAATTACTCTCTTATGCTTAATTTTTCTATTATAGTCAATGTTTCCCGACTTGAAAGGCGAGGGAGGCGGAGCAGGGGGCGGAACGCGTAGCGTGTGCGTACGCGGTTCTTGGCACGAGCTCAATTTAACCGCCATCGAATATTTGGAAATCCTGTTTTTCGCTCTTTTCATTCCTTTTTCAATTATTTATTGATTATGTTCATGAGTTCATCAAAAAATAGTAGAAAACATTGAAAAAGAGCGGTTACCGAGCTTTTTAAATAGTCGGCGACAATTGAATTGAACTCGTGCCAAGAACCGCGAACGCACACGCTACGCGTCCCGCCCCTTGCCCCGCCTCCTTCGCCTTTCAAGTCGGGAAACATTGACTATAACTTCGATGAGAGAAAGAGAGAGCGCAGACAGTTAGAACTTGACGACACCTTTTTTATTTCTCCGCTCTAAAGCAAAACTGTCTAGCTGTCCGCAATCTCTTTTATTCACGTACCCTCTTTCATGCTGCATTTCCTACGATTTTGGAAAGAAAAGAGAGCGCAGACAAGACAGAGTGTCTTAAATCATGAATGATAAATATATAAGCATAACTCAAAGTAAGCCTAATAGAAGAAATGAATACGCACCGCCCTTGCAAACTTTGTCGTTGCATTTGAACTCGCAGTGCTCTCCGTAATAACCATAGTCGCACAGGCAGGTCACTTTTTCACAGGGACCGTGGCCCAGACGGCAACTGTCTTCGGCGCCCGTTTCGATGCTCCCATCAACCGGCAGGACGATACGGTTGCTGATACCGACACCGGTCGCGCCGCAACGGTCCCACACTGAAATTTCGAGAAAACTTTAATTTTTCTGTTGAAGGAGGTCAATTTATTGTCGAATTTGGGATTTCGACTAAAGTTGCCAAAACATGTTGACGTTTCACGAAGTAAGAACTCTCACTTTTTGACTTTTGTTATTAACTTTAACGAAATCAAGAGCATGGTTAACGCTCACCAGAATCTTGAGGCCGAATGAAGTCTTTTATTTCATTTTGAACGAAAAAGACGACTTTCATTCAGCCCAGCAATGGTTTTTGTTAGCAACAGATGGTTGCTTGAAAATCCCTTGAGACAGAATCGTGCCAAAAGACAAGAAAGGAGGCAACTTTGGCGCGCCGAATTTGTTTGGATAGGTCGAACATGTGGGACGGAAGAAAAGCGGCAGAAAGTTGGCGCCGAAAAGGACTCGGATCTGTTTAGCCGAATGGACGGTCAAGGGAAGAAGAATACCGGGCACAGATGTCTTTCCGAATTGTTTATACCGAAAATGTTTTCGATGCGCTTTTTCTGCTCCTTTGTTGTCTGCGAGTTGATTTAGAACCTTTGAGATACTCTTAGCTGATCAAAAAAGCTTTCTGCGGGTTTTGAAGAAGTAGATGCACAATTTATGAAGGTCTCGAAGCGAAGAGCGATTCTGGTTCTTTTTGTCCTTTCAAATTTTCCCGTACAAGAGGCTCTCAATGTAGGTATTGTTCTAGAACCCCATCCGGTGTATGCACAATTTCAACCTATAGTTCCCGCTAAATCGAAGTGGAATCTCAGAAACTACTAACACTGTTTGCAATCCTGGCCCATCCGGTCATTTCTGCAGCGAACATTTCCTTTCAGGTCGCATTTGAAGAGACGTCGGTACTCTTCTTTCACCTCGCACTTCCTATCGCACTTGTCTCCGAACTTGTTGCTGAAAGTTACTTCTTGAAAAACTTTTTTTGAAAAGCTTCAACTCACTAATCGACACAGCCGATCGAGTAAGTGACGAAGACGGGTCCGTTGTCGTCGCCCAGGGCGATTTGGGTTTCAGGACGGAAATCGGTCAGTTGGAACGTTTCGATGGCTTTTCGGCTCATGGTGCCCGGTTCGCAAACTTCGAGAGTCAAGTTCGCTTTCTGGGAAGGAAAGTAATTGAAGAATGGATCGAAACGGAAAAAGAGTAGAGTTTTTTCTTAAAAGTAGGTTTCCTTCTGAGAATTTCGATCCTTTCGAACTTCTTCCCCTTACTCACAAATGTCTAACTGTCTGTGATCTCTTTAAACCACGTGCTATTTACCTATGTCATGATTCCGGAGAGAAGAGGAGAGAACAGGTGGTCAGACAGTTTCACGTATTGGAAAGCAGCATGCAATTGATTTTATTCAACTAGAACTTTTTTATACATCGCTTCTTGGAACCGCATAGCTGTCTGCGCTCTCTTACTCTCTCACTCTCTTCCTGATTTACACCCCTCCAATGAGAGAAAGGGCAGACAAAGAGACAGTTGAAAGTATATACTTTTTATAAAAATCATGATTGGTACCTTGGCATCAACGCTGACGCGGAATTCGACCCAACCAGTGCTGTAGCTACGCATCGAATACCCAATACGCGTCATCTGCTTCTTACCTGAAAAAAACGAAATCTTCCAAAGTCTATCTAGTGATTTGAAATCCGAAAGATGGCTCATACTTTTTTTCAGAACAAAAACTGACCGTCTTGGGCAAAATCCGCGACGAGCATCACTCCTTCGGCGCTTTTGAAGTCAAACCTGATCCTTTTAAGCTGTTTGTTGTCCGACTGAAATATTTAATAATTAGGCTTGATATTCATTTTTATCGATTCACCATCACAAGAGAGCTCATCGTGAGCAGAATGATCCCAAGTTTTAGACGCATTTTTTGGAGATAGTCTCTGAAATTACAGTGGTTCGTTGAGAAGGAAGGTTGTTTGCTGTGCGTCTCGAAAAAATGACCAGAATAATCTCTGAAGTACCAGTTAAAAGGCCGGCAAGTTTTAGCCTTCACACCTTCCTATTTTGAGAAAAGGTACGTCGAAACCTACAAGTTTTGTTCCAGAAGGGCTGTTTAAAACTTTGAGCTCTCGTTTCGCGTAAACTACGAGGCTGTGAAGGTTAAAAGTTTCAGCATTTTCATTCGGCATATCAAGAAATACTCTGGTCAATTCTTAGAAAATGACCACCCCCCCCGCACTGCTAAGAAAGTCAGTGTAAAGAGGCTTTTTGAAGGCTTCGGGAAACTTCATTTTTTGGAAATGTGAACCAATAGTCGCCCAAGGACACAGAGGCCTACGGTGGGTCCGAGCAATTGTTAGAGTCAGAGAGTGAGTGAGAGAAGTCAGGAGAGCACGAGAAGAAGCGGGCGAATTTGAATTTGAGCGGTAAACAAGTCGAGCGACTTTCGAAAATTGTTTTTGTGCGTCTCAATTTTTTGCTTTTGATTAAAAATTCGCGCTTTTTGGTCCTAATTGGAGAGATATTGATGTGAAACTTCTCGAATGATGTCTATTTTGAAGTGACTTCTTGAGTGATGTCCTTTCGTGAATCAAAGTGAGTGTATCGAAAATCGTTCACCAAAATTTTAAAGTCGTCTGATGGCTTATGAAAGATGACTTATTTGGCTTTTTGCCATATACACCGCGTTCCCAAACGGGGTGGGGAGACGTCAAAAAAATTTTGGCGTGAAATTTGTAATCTCAAGTACGCAGCCAAATGTATTCTTCATACCGTTGAATACTCAGCTTAATTTACAACGATAGGTAGCTGTGACGTCACAGTCCTTTTCTCCGAAGCACGCAATTACTTTTTTTTCGGTAAATCCAGAAACTTTGACGCCTTGCTCACCTTCCCTCACCCCATTATGAATGCCGTGGTATATAAAAAACGGATACGTTCCGAAAATTCCTTTTTCGCCGAGATTTTTGCTGAAACTTTTTCTAGAGAGGAAAAAAACTTTCTTCAACTGATGTTAATATAAACTTCTGGAAAAATTCAAAAGAATTATAGCTATCTCTACACATAAAACAGCAGCTATATTATCACTAAAGCCAAGCAGCAAGCAATTTTCGAGAAAGTTCTCCAGAAGAAAAAAGGAAATCGCAAGGAAACAAGAGGAGACGACCGACCGGAGCGGGAGCCAAAACAGAAATGACAAAACTTAGGCGACCGGCCGAGCCGCCCACGGCGTCTGCACAGTCCGAGGAGACGAGGGAGTGCAGAGATCTGGGAGGGTGCAGAAGAGCAGAAAAGGGGTGGGGCTTCTTGGCTCTTAGTTTCGAAACGAAAATGAGGAGGACTGGTATAGAATGGAAAGCCTTCGTATCATATCGATTTGGGGAATTGTGTCTGAGAAAAAAAGGAAGGGAGGAGATGGCGAACAATCAATAAAGGAATTTTTAATACCCTTTAGGAATAGTTATAAATACCCCTAAAGTATAAAGAAATCGGGTGAAGGAAAAAAGAGACTGAGAGAAAAGAATAATTGGGATATTGATCTTTGACGTAAGTCAACTTTCTAAGAAACGATTTTCATCTTCAACGTGCTCTTATTCAGTGAATGAAATTCATTTAGTAGTTCAAAAAGTTTTTAAGGACTCCAGTTTTCCACAAAGCTTTATTGAAAATGCTTTTGTAGGACGTCAAGTTCACCGTCACTGTTAAAGCTTCGTGATATTTGAATTTAATTCATTCAAGAGAGTATATTTGATCAAACTTTGAAAAAAATTCCTGACGAAACAGATACTTTTATCGTTCGAAAAAAATCGAAAAATTTCTCTTGAAATCACGGTAGTTGGACATTCATTTTAAAGAACGTGGTGAACACTCACCAGAATCTTAAGACCGAATGCTTTCTTTTATTTTATTTTGAACGAAAGGCGACTTTTTAAGCAACCCAGCGAAGACTTTTGTTAGCAACAGGTGGTTGCTTGAAAATCCCTTGAATCAGAATCGCGCCAAAAGACAAAAAAGAAGGCAACTTTGGCGCGCCGAATTTGTTTGGATAGGTCGAACATGTGGGACGGAAGAAAAGCGGCAGAAAGTTGGCGCCGAAAAGGACTCGGATATGTTTAGCCGAACGGACGGTCAAGGGAAGAAGAATACCGGGCACAGATGTCTTTCCGAATTGTTTATACCGAAAATGTTTTCGATGCGCTTTTTCTGCTCCTTTGTTGTCTGCGAGTTGATTTAGAACCGTTGAGATACTCTTAGCTGATCAAAAAAGCTTTCTGCGGGTTTTGAAGAAGTAGATGCATAATTTACGAAGGTCTCGAAGCGTAAAACCACGCTAAAAATTGTCACCTTAGGTCATATAAATACTACTTCTTTGGTTAACCTATACTAGAGCGGTATTGAATGGCTCCCATCCCGGTAAATCCCTTGTTAGGGCGTTTTTTTATATCGGGTTCCCCTTCACTCAAATTCTTCCTTTTTAAATACTCTGTATTTTCGTGTTTGAATGAAACAAATAAATAAATAATGGACTATAATTGCTCAATTTAAAAATTTCCATATTGCCTGGTTCACTAGTTCAAAAAAGTGGTCATTTGAGAAGCTTTTCATCATAATAAAACCTTTCGTCGCAATCAAGATAAAGATTTTGAGTCAGTAAAAGTTAAACTAAAAAAAGCTTTTTATTGTACAGACCCCTACATTTTTTTTGAACTTTATTACAAACCGACTGGCTCTCCTTGGCACCTGTTTTGGTAGAAGCAGAAGTGGCCATCTGCAGGCTGAGCTTTTTTTTGCTGTTTGTGCAACTTTACGGTTTGAGAAAATAGCACGCGGTTTACAGATGTGTGAAAGGTGCGTGAGAAAAATCAGAGGCACTCTTGACTTTTTCATCCATTCGTGTTGATTCATATTAAAGAGGATGAAGGGCTTTTAATGGTTTTGAAAGTTGACGCCTACACAGAATATAGAAGCAAGAGAGAGGTGGAAATTGTGAAACTATAAGAATTAAGTCTATTGAAGACTTTTGAATAAAGGTTCCGACTTTCAAGGGGTGCATAAAAATCATTTTTGGAGATCATAGTTGAAAAAACCACACCTAGAAAACCTGGCTTCATTCAAGAGCCACACTGCTACTGGACCCCTTTCACTGACCCAAAATCAAAATAAAAGCGGTTTTCTACCCGTTTCACAGTCGGAAAGGATTGAAAAGGGTTCATAGAAATGTTCCTTTTTTTTGCCTTTTTTGCCACTTCATCGGCTCTTTTGCACCAACTTTTCTGCCTCTCTCTTTCTCCACCATTTCTCGAACCTTCAAAATCCCAGAAAAAAATGAAAGGCTCCATAAAGAAACTCTTTTCGCTGCCTTTCTGCGGCCTTTTTTGAACCGTTTTCCTTTAGCGGTTACTATCCTCCAAACCGACCGTCCTGTCATCCTATTTTCAAAAAAAAGTTCTCACGAAAACCTCGGATAATGTGTTCTCCATCGGAGCCCATAAAAAGGTTACTCATATCCAGGCTTTTTTTCTTCATGCCGACACGGTTTGAATAGACGCGGCGAGAATAAAGATGGGAGAAACGACTTCTTTTTTTTGCCGCTGCGATATTCGGTGTTGCGTTGAGTCAGGCAATCACGAGGAAATGACCTTTTTGATTTATTTTTTTCGCGACTTTTTGAATCGAAAATGAACTTTTTTTCGAAAAAAATATATATTTTTTTCAATCACAGCAGACTGGAAAAATGAACAAATTATAAATACTTTTGAGTAAACTGCCGAAATTACTAATTGCTTGTACTCTCGAAGGATTCTTTGATCAACTTATCATCGATGACGTTTTCACTGAAATAGAAATGACACTTTTCCAAAAAATTAACAAAGTTTACTTTTTCGGAGTAACTTTTAGGGGCTGAAAAACGAAACTTTTCATTGCGATACACGATCGGTTCTTTTGTTAAACACTCAATCAATGTTTGAACCATTATTTTCAATCATCTAGACTACAACGACCCATTTAAACGTGACCACCTTCCCGACGTAGAGAAGGGAAGCACAGCGTCTTGCTCGCGCAGGCGTAGAGCGCACTCCGTGGGCCGCGTGGCCTAATGGATAAGGCACCAGACTTCGGATCTGGGGATTGTAGGTTCGAGTCCTGCCGTGGTCGAAACTTTTTTGCCACTTTTTATTTTCTTTTTTTGCGTCTTTTGAATGTATTTTAGTTGATTTTTTGAGAAAAATTTACCAAACAGAACAAGTATTGACAGGGTTCATGGGTGTTCCAGGGGCACAATTGAAAGCGCTGGCGAACTCGGGCTGATTCGATAAAACGACGTTGACACGGTATTTTCCAGGCGAATGAACGTCGCTTTGTAAGTCCGTCATAATTTGCTGGGGTCGTGCCGCGTTGCACCAAACCTGAAAAGATCAAATTTGTTTTTTATTGGTTAAAAAGATAATATTCAGTTTGAAAATTGTGAAAAATATTTCGTAGTGTAAAATTAAACTTTTTTATTCAACCTTTTAAGCTTTTATATTTTCCCAAGTAAAATTCCACCTCGTTTAAAATAAGCAGAAGGTTCATTCCGATCAAAACTCACATATCCATAAGAAAGGAAAAACATTTGCATCTGAGAAAGTGATTCCAATCCCGAGATGACGTCATTCCTCTGGCTGGACAATTTCTTGGCCGCCTAAACTCTGTTCATTTTCCGCTGTCTCTGTTCCTTCTCACATTTATCGTTATATGAAGTCCACCGTTGTCGGCTATGTTCTCATCGACCGTTAGTCTGCCGTTGATCTGTCAAAAAGCCCTAAATTTTTGGGGAATAGAGCTCTACCGTAGAATTGGTTCCCGTCACGGTAACATTGCCATATTGATCTTTGAAACAAGTCGTTTTATTTTCAAATTGAGCCAAAGTTTGGGAATCCCACCAATTCACACGATTGCCCTCACCGTCGTAGGTGGCACCTTCAAATTTGAATTAGTCGAATCGTCAAAGATCGAATGGTTTGAAGGAGCGTGGTCCCTACAAATGTGCTCCCGACCACAAAACGGTTTTCGCGCATAGCTTCAAAGTAAACTGGCGTTTAAGAGGGTATAATGTTTTTGATTCAGACAGCAACGCATTACAGCACTCCAAATGCGACCGTTTTAGCTCATGCTTCATTTTTTCGGACTCTTGGCCAAGCATTCGAAAACAAAATGCTACATTGCTTTATGTCACATAGCGCAAGTCGTTTTTGGTCGGGTGAGCTTTGAGAACAACCGTTTTATCGAGTTTGAAAATAATCTAGATCGGTTAAATTAAGCGGAACGATTTTTAAAAAACTTTGAAAAGTTTCACCAGAACTATCGAATCCATGAGTCAATTCATGTCCAATGATCGCTCCAATCGCTCCAGTGTTTATTATTCTGAACAATTTTTCGGAGTTATTTCTCGAAAAATCTCACGGGGGCAGTTCCGGATCAAAAAAACGGCGGTTGTAGAATGCCAGCAAGAATCGCTTAATTTTTAATATTATGTTAACTGTTTTTTGCACAAGAGAAATTTGAAAAGTATTTCCACTGCGCCCGACCGACAAAGAAATATTTGCGCGTGGCGGTGTCCTTTGGCATAAAAAGAAGACCGCTAAAGGTCGCTGCTTTGAAGTTAGAATCAAAGTTAGAATTTTTTTTTGAAAAACCCCCACGAACCAATGGAATTAGTCGTCGGCTCATAATAAGCGTTGACATCCGCTCCAGCGAAATCCAACGATCTGTTATTTTTCACACCAAACAGAGCGATATTCTGATTGTTCCGAAGCTTCAGAAGGCCCATAGAAGCGGAGAGATACGAGTCGGATTTCGTGAAATTCAGCTGGAATACTGCTCCATTTTTATAAGTGAAAAATGTCGAAACTCTACTTTTTTATATTTTTCCGTCATTGACGTCTGATCGAAAATTTTGTCGTTGTAGCCAATGTACGGAGTGATTTCAGAGAGCTGCAATAATTTTTTTAAAAATAAAAAAATATTATTGATACAAGTTTTTTTTCTCATTCTAACATTTTTCCCAGCGATATGACTCAATACAGATTTCTTCGAAATGTTCGCAGAAAAAAACTATCGAAAAAAATTGTTTACCAAACGAAAAAGTCCACGAGAACCACATAATAGTATTAGAGCATTGAACAATTCGTTTTTTCCTTCTCCGTTTTTATCATGTTTACGACTTAAAGTTGACTTTTTGTGTTCATGATCAACAACGAGAAGCTCAAAAAACGTGAAAAAAGTGCATAAAAAAAGCCACGGAGGACTGTGATATCTGCGCTCCACGGCTAACTTTTGAAATTGAGTTCAAGAAAAAGAGTTGAAACTGTTTATAAACTTCAAACTTAAGCGACAATTTTTTTTTTTCAAGCTTCTGCCTAAAAATTGATTTGACAGTTTCACTATAGTCTCACTTTTTATAATAATTTTTTTGAAGTATTTCTGAATATAAAGTGAAAAACCTTGGTCAAGGCCTTCTGCTTGGTTTGCTCGTCCATCCACTTGCTTTCATTAATCGACTGGCGGAACGATTCTCGAATATTCTCGATCATATCCCTTATTTGGGGTCCTAGAGCTTTCTTTTACAATTGTGAATTCTTCAATCTTCGAGACTTGTAGTGTTTGGAAAGTTTTTCTCGATGTACATCTGATCGAGAACGTCACCAAAGGCGTCGGAAGCGGCCGAAACGCATTTTACCCCAATATCGGTCGTTGTGCCGCCAGTCGTTTCGATTTCGTATTGCTACAAAGACGCTTAATATTCTAGGAAAAAAATCCACGATTTTCCGTGAAAACGAGATAAAAAATTTCAGAATTTTTGAAAAAAAGTTTCAAGAAGAATCTTAACACATTCTAGACCTGAAAAAAGCGAACAAAAAGTAAAAAAATATATATAATCAATATTTTGAGCTTATAAATTTTCCCTTAGGCACAATTTTATATTTTATGGATCCATCGAGTTATATAGCACTTTAAAACTTCTAAAAAAAAATGAAAAAAAGAAAAAAATGACACATGAAGGTGATAAGACATCTTCCAAGTCTACGTCAATTTTCTGCGAAAATCCAGTTTTTTTTAATCAGAATTTCGGGCCGTTTCTCCATAAATGACGACCAATCGAAAAACGTTGTCGAATCGCAATAAGAAACTTGAAAAATAACCCATTTATTCGTTGGTCATTTTCCTCTAAATCTTCAAAAAAAGAACCTGAGAAGCGTTCTGGAATCGGCTATCCAAGTAGTCTCCATAGGCGAAAATGACGTAGAAATCGAGGTACATTTCCAGAGTTTCATCGTCCAAAGTCATCAGAAACGTCTCCAAATTGGCCATTCCTTGTGAATCCAAAATTTGCACTTCGCCGTCGCCCAGTTCTTGCCAGGTGCTTTGCGGGAAAGTCCTCTGGGCATAGGCTACCCAGTCAACCTGAGCAATAAATAATTATTAAGACAATTCATGTAGGCTTCATCAGTCACGAACTGACCACAGTATGACTTGCCTGCGCTCTCTTTTTTTCATTCTTATATATTTTTTTAGCCCCCAGCGAAATGTCAAACTGTTTTCAGTCGCGGCAGATGATGTAAAAAAATGAAGATTTACTGAAGTTTACTTTTTGAAAACTGCTGATTGAGTTGGTAGAATGGAATGTGACTAGTGGATTTGTTATAGGCTGACGGGTGAAGAGCCTGAAAATTTTTTATGAAGTTATGACGACCAGCGTAAACCTAAAGACGTTGAGAACAAAAAACGCACCATGGCGCAGTGAATAGAAGTTGTTTTTGAAATTTTTATGACCAAAGGTCGATTCTCCTCGGCGCCATTTTTCCTACCATCTCGTCTTGTATATTGCTTTTTTTACAAGTGACAAAATCCCCAGTTTCGAAGATTATAGTTAATTTTTTCTAACTTGAAAGATACTGGCCGCACATGGAATGGCTCTAAGTGGCAGCATCAAAGATTTTCAAAACAGCAGCCGACCTAAAACAACTTACGCACGAATGCATCAAGAAACTTTTGATCAAAAAAAAAAATTCAATAAATCGTTAAAAAGATCCTCATCACCAGCAGTCTTTCATCAAAATAAATTGAGGAAAGTCAAGTTGTTCTCAATTTTAAAAAAAATTTTTACGATTTTTTTACTACTTCACCAACCTCGGCGATACCCCTGTCAACTCGGAAAAACGCGTTGACCCTGTTGACATAGTCCATGGCGTTCCCCTTGAAAACTTCCCGATCTTCGTCTTCGACCTCGGCAATGTCCAGCATCGAACAGAGGAACTTTCTCATCGCTGTGTATTCGTAGACGTAGGAATTGTCGGTGTAGGCTTCGTAGCTGAGAAGAGAAGCTCTTGGGGAGACCTGGAGAGAAGGGTTATTTTGAAACATGATGGAATGAGGATATAGTCCACAGTAAGCCGGGAAAATGTTTTGAGCTTGTTTTTAGCCGCATCTATTCTCCGCCCCCCTCTTTTTTTATTTTATTCTTCGGAAGTTTACATTATATTTTTAAAAAAACACTTTTATGTAGATGATTCAATTTTCTCCGCTTCGAGACTTTCGTTAACTCCATTTGTGCTCCTTTAAAAGCCACATAAAACTTTTTTGGATGGACTCAGACTAGCCCAACACTTCTTAATCAAGTCAGGGAGATCAAAGGAGCAGAAAAACAGCTTCCAAAAACATTATCGGCCCTTCATAATTTTCTTGTACTTTAACAATTTCCACCTTCTGTCTCCTATTATCTGTGTAGGCGTAAACTTTCAAAACCATTAAGAGCCCTCCATCCTCTTTAATATGAATCAACACGAATGGATGAAAAAGTCAAGAGCGCCTCTGATTTTTCTCACGCACCTTTCACGCATCTGTAAACCGCGTGCTATTTTCTCAAACCGTAAAGTTGCACAAACAGCAAAAAAAAGCTCAGCTTGCAGATGGCCACTTCTGCTTCTACCAAAACAGGTGCCAAGGAGAGCCAGTCGGTTTGTAATAAAGTTCAAAAAAAATGTAGGGGTCTGTACAATAAAAAGCTTCTTTTAGTTGAACTTTTACTGACTCAAAATCTTATTTTTGACTGCGAAGAAAGGTTTTAAATTGATGAAAGCTCCTCAAATTATCACTTTTTCAATCTAGCGAACCTGGCAATATGGGAACTTTGAAGTTGTAAAAATATAGTCCATTCAATACAGCTCTAGTATAGGTTATCCAAAGAAGCAGGAAATGTAAACGACCTAAGGTAACAATTAAATATGGCTCGTCTTTGGCTTCGAGACTTTCATAAATTATGCCTCTGCTCCTTCAAAAGCCGCAGCAAGTTTTTTGATCAGCTCCGAGTATCTCAACGCTTCTAGATCAACTCGCAGACAACAAAGGAGCAGAAAAAGCGCATCCAAAACATTTTTGGTATAAACAATTCGGAAAGACATCTGTGCCCGGTATTCTTCTTCCCTTGACCGTCCATTCGGCTAAACAGATCCGAGTCCTTTTCGGCGCCAACTTTCTGCCGCTTTTCTTCCATCCCACATGTTCGACCTATCCAAACAAATTCGGCGCGCCAAAGTTGCCTTCTTTTTTGTCTTTTGGCGGGGATTGAGAACCAGTGGACTTCACGCAACTGATATACTTTTTAGGACATTGAAAAGGCCGAAAATGGTTTCTAGACCACGAGGTCATCGTGAAAATGTCATGTAAGATAAAGGTCATTTTTCTTTCTCTTTCTGACTCACCTGCAATACATTTTTCGTCGCGTCTCTCTCATCAGCGGCAATAACAACTTCGTAAATAAAACTTTGCGGCGAAAAGTTGATCATCCAATTTGTCAGTGGGTTCCATGGCAACTTCCTCGTGGCTCTTAGAAAATTTGTTTGATTCGTGAAATCGTGAAATACTAACGCTAGGCCTGAAACGACCGATAAAAAGGTGGTATTGTCGGGATCCAGGAAATGTTCGACGCAAATATTGTAGAAAGTCTTCGCCAGGCCTTGCTCGCGTGTTGTTGGTGGGTCTTCCGAGGCCAGAAGCGCTGAAAATTCTAGTAAAAATGTTGATGGACGCTCAACATTCGGCTACTACTGTCAGGTGATATGAACTACTCGCCGTTCTTGATCAACGACAGTTTTGTGAATGAAAGAGAAGATTTGATTAATTTTTAACAAGGTGGTCGTCTTTCCTACCGTACACATCAATACTACTTCTAGAAAAACCCAGTATAGATAGATCCATTTTTATGAGTCACTCACAATACTTATCAACGACGACATTCCCAGAAACGAGAGCGAACTGGCTGACGGCCGGGTCGCCTTCTTCCAACGGATGAGTCGCCATCCAGCCGTTGCAGACGTGGGCGTAGAAGTCGTCGCAAGGGTTCACTGAAGGGTCGATGGAGTTGACGAGGCCCTGGTACATGTATTTGTTGTTTCCAACGGATGGCATCATGGAGGTCGTCGTCGACTCGAAAATTGGCAAGTCTGTCAAATTTCGAGGCAGACTGGCCGGCGTCGCTTCTGGAAACGAGACAGTTCCATTTTTTGAAGACCTTCTGGAAAAAACTTGAGAGCAAAACCCATTTAGTTTTCTCGAATTTCTCAAAAGAAGTTTTTTTAGTGAAAGTAATTTTACTTTCAGTCATAATTTCGTGCAGTTCTATTAATTATTTTGCCTTTAATTTCGAGTCGAAGTGGTAGGTAGAGTAAATCAACAGGTAAGTGCTGCTCTCTCGAAGTTGCAACCGACTCAAAACTACTTACGCTTGATATCACAGAGAAACATCCAAGAAGCTTCGAGCCTTGGACTTGCGACCAAGAAGTCGAGTCGGATAAAACAAGTCAAAAAGTTTTTTTTTCTTGAAAAAATCCTCTTGCGATAAAAATTTATTGAGAAAGATTCTAGCTTGCGCTGTTTCGAGTATAACGGCAAATTAATGAAAAAATATATAATATCATCGAAAATCCTAGCCTGAATTCCCTGTTAACAGCGGGCGGACCCCATTGACTAGCAGCTCGTCGAAACTGATGGATCCGTTATGAACGTCGAGATTCTTGAAAGACAAGGTCATGTTGTCGGCGTGCATATCGATGCCATTCAGAATCGTGTTCAGATTCAGCTGAAGCTGCTGTCCGACGACGAGACTGACAAGAAACACTGAAACGACGAGGAGCTGCATCGCCAAAAGGTTAACGAACAACTGAGTTATTGGGTTCGATTTTCATCACGAGAACGGGATAATCTCTCCTGTTTTCTGCCCAATTTTTTCGGTCCCGCCGTCGAACAGAGATCGGATAGGAACGGAATAAAAATGAAGTGCTTTGAGCCTTTTCAAATGAGTCATCAGGTTATTTTGATTTCAATTCATTTATTTATTTATTTTGATTTGCTCTTGAATATACTTTTTCTCAACAACAAGTTCAAACATTTTCAAGAACCGATAAAATGACGAGACTTTTCGTGTCAAAAAAAATTAAACGTAAAAAATCACGATATTCAGAAAAAAGTTTTTTGAACTACATTTGGCTAGAAAATGCCCAGAAAAACAACTTTTTTTCTGAAAAGTTAAAAAAAATTAACCATAAGAGGATAAACACCGGTTTTCATGCCAAAAATGACGTAGAAATCTCTCTCGGTTCCATTTTTCTAGAGCTGGGAAAGTTTTGAGAGAAATAGAAGAAAAATGGAAAACTTCTAGTTTTTCTGTATTACCCATCATGTTTTGAAGATTTATTTTTTTAGAACTTTGCTGAGATTTTTTGAGGAGCTTTTGTTAAACTGCCAAAAATTCATATCACTACTTTCATTCCCAGATTTTCCCAGAACCTTTACAATATCGAAAAAGCGAAGTCTTCAAGCCTCAAAAATTGAATCTTGAAGGACTCTATCAGGTTCCGGTCGTGTTTTTTTCGATGATATCGTAAACCCCCCAAACTTTTCATGTGCACCCTTCTGGAAAAAAGATCTGCCATCTACCAAACGACACATTTATTCTCAGGGTTCATATTCGACCCAACAGGACAACTAAAAGCGGCGGCGAACTCTGGCTGATTGCTCATGGCGACGTTGACGCGATATCGCGGTGGCGCGTGGACGTCCTCTTGGAGGTCCGTCAGAAAAGTCTCTTTATGCTGGCCCCGGCACCAGACGAAAGCGTTCGACATGAAGAACAGTTGCATTGGAGTGTGGTCCTCGAGTCCGACGATCAAGTGACGGAATCGAGATTCGTGACGGTGGAGTGCCTGGAAAGTATGATTAATGATATGATGAAAATAAAATATGAAATTATGGAAATATTTCAGGTATTTTAAAAACGGTAAAATCAGACAAAGCCACGGAGTTCCCAAATAGGGTGGGAAGACGTCAAAAAAGAATTTGGCGCGAAAATTGAAATCTCAAGTACGCAGCCAAAGGCGATCGAACAAACAAGTTATTGAAGTTGAATACTCAGCCTAACTTGTGACGTTAAATGACGTCATTTTATTCGGAGCGCGCACTTACTTTTTTTTGTGAATTCAGAAACTTTGACGCCTCGCTCAGCTTCCCTCACCCCATTAGGAACGCCGTGCTGGGAAAAAAAACCCGCGTCTTCTTCATCTTTTGAATTTTCTGCGAAATCATAAAACACGTGAAAGTAGCAATTCACTATGAGATTGTCGGTTAGAGTAAATACTAAAATATAGGAAGGTAAAAAATTCTTTTCATATAGGTCAGAGAATAAAAAGCAAAGGTAACACTAGCCAATAAGGAATTTGGAAGATTAAAAATCTAAGATTCTATTAAATTTTTTTGATGATCTTCTCACAGTTTTACTGTGAAAAAAATTTTTAAAAAAACCACTTATAGAAAATCTGTAAAAAAAGTAATCCAAGTTTTATTTTTTTAATACGAAGGTTTTTCGAAATTTTTTTCATCAAAATTACCTTTTTATTTGAAGTACATTGATTTTCCATTTACTCTCAAGAAAAACCCCCTGAAAAAAACTCACCCTTATCGCAATCCTCAACGCTCCATTGTCGGCAATATTCTCATTGATCGTCAAAAAAATCCATCCAACTGAAAAAAATATATATTATTCAAAAAAACTATGGAAAAAAATATTACTGTCACATTGCTCCCAGCAACTACAGTGTTACCATACTGCTCAGCGATACATTGGGATTTTTTCAAAAAAGTCTCCGCCGTTTCTTCGTCCCACCAAAGCACTTTGTTGCCTCTCTCGTCGTATTCAGCACCTAAAATAATAGTATTTATCTTCGAATTTCGAGAAAAAAAAAACCTCGATTATCAAACCCATGTGTGATTTCATGACCAATCGCACTGCCAATCGCGCCGTAGTTTATGAAACTGGAAACATAGACAAAATTTAAATATTCATGGGGGGAAAACACCTAGGTAAGGAATCGTTGAAGTAGGGCGTTTGAAGAACACCGGCGAGAATTCCTAAATAAAATATGGAAAAAAAAAGTTAATACTCATAAAGTTGTGAGAAAAAATTGAAAGATAGATTTTCCAATAAAACTTTTTTCTTATTTTGGACTAGTTTACTGTGGCTAAAAATGAAATAGACCGTATGGAACGAAAGCGATCAAATATTGAGCGAAAAACAAAAATTTTCCTACGAAAATATTCAAAGGAACTGCTCCGACAGTAGTAATTATCAAATAGTATAAAAATGAAAAAATTTCAATGGCGTGTTCATCGCAAAAACGTAAATTGCTTCGAAATGCAGAAAAATTGCTCCAAAACAAAAATTAGTACTGTTTTGAAGCAACTTGGGTTTGAAGCAACGATGAACATGATTTTTCTTTTTGAAGCATGTTGCTTTTCTACAATGAACACAAGAGAACAAAATTAAAAGAAATACAAAAACCAAATTTTTTTTTGAGGTTAAAACGCACTGAGTTGCGGAACGACGTAAAACTGCACCCAAACGCGCAAAAAATGATGGTACGACAAAATCTCAAGTCCGCAAATCTCGAGAACCGTAATCTTGTGTACGCAGATCTAAAGTCCCATAATCTTGGAAACCAAAATCTTGGAGGCCAAAATCTTGGAAACCACAATCTTGGAAAGCAAAAAAATCAACGCTTTTTGCGAACAGATTTTTTTCAGAAATTGTATTCTGTGATCCAAACAAGAGAATATAAGTAGATAAAAATGCAATAAAGAAGACTAAAAAGGGAAGATTTTTTTGCTTTCCAAGATTGTGGTTTCCAAGATTTTGGTCTCCAAGATTTTGGTTTCAAGATTATGGGACTTTAGATCTGCGTACACAAGATTACGGTCCTCGAGATTTGCGGACTTGAGATTTTGTCGTACCATCCAAAAAATTTTTACAAATTTTTAATGCCGTGTTCAAAGTAATTTCCGCGAAATGCAAAATGATCTCTGACTTTCCAAAATTTAGTTATTTCCCATTTCTCTAACGGGCATTTTGTATTTCGCGGAATCACTTTGAACAAGGCATAAAGTTTCTTCACAAAAAAAACCAATAGTATTGGCCGAGTGATCGTAGAAGGCATTGACGTCTGTCGCGGGGAAGTCCAAATGGACTTCCTCTCGAGTGGTATTCAACCAAGAAACTTGCAGATTCATCGTCCAGTGGAGCATCTTTTTCATCATTCCAAAATAGCTCTCGTCCGAACTGAATGAGAGCTAAAATTCAAGAAAATCTTTAAACAGTAAAAAAACTTATTCACCTTTTCATACTTCCTTCTGATCGCTGTCTCATTGAAAATATCATCATTGTAGCCAACAAAATGTCGCATTTTGCTCAACTGTAAGTTTCAAAATATTCGAGACGCTCTGTTCTTTTGTTTTAAGTTCTCGAAGTCAAAAAAAAAAGTCTGAAACTACGCCAAAAAGTGAATAGCTCAAGAAAAACCTTCAGACTTGCTTTCTCCTTGGTGACGTCATCCATCCAATCGGACTCACTTAAAATTTCGGTGAAAGCAGATTTGAAAGTCGCGACCATCTCCGTGAGTTTCTGCCCTGAAAACGAGGCGTTGCGGTCGCGTCGCGGTCTCTTACTAGTTTTTTCACTGAAATGCTTATCGACGTACAGTCGATCAACTAATGAAGTGAAGTAGAAGCTCGTTTTCACGACACAATCTTTTTCGGGGCTTGTTTTCGTGGCGCCGGTGGTCTCTTTGTGGTAGATCTGATGAGGTAGAAAATTTATTCTGTTATTTTGTTCAGCTCTCTACGAAATATTTCTCAAAGAAAAAACTCAGGTATAGTCCGTTTTTGCCACTTGAAAGGACGGGACTTCTCGGCGACTCTCATATGTTGATGTATTAGGTCGTTTACTAAGTTTCTTTCTTTTTGCGGTTGAAAGTTTCTCGGTGTATAACTTTTCGAAAAACAGCAAACAATTTTTCCACTCTTATCATCAGCTATCTGGTAACATGACTGTTAATTTTGGAGTTCCTAACTTCAAAACGAGCAATGATATAGTCAAAAAGGGCAACTAACTCGATTTCAACCCCTCTTAGAAAAACTTTTTCTGTTTCTTCTAAAAAAGTTTATGATTCAATGTTTTGTAGTTGATGACAACGAGGGAGGATGGAAGTACAGATAGAGTAGGCAAACTGACTTTTTAAACAAAAAACCAGCCTGAAAATCTTTTATCTTTAAAAGTTTCGGTCAGTGATCAATGACAACGACATGGTCGCTGAACATTTAGACGCTTTTCTCATGAACGGCTTCAAGGATGATTTTGATTTTTTGTGGTTAGTTAGTACAGACATGGTCTGTATCAGTCAATTCTTCTCCAGAAGCTCTAAACGTTGGACGCCGTCACAGAGCCTCCAGAAGTTCATCGAACTGTCATTTCAATTGACTGAGGTTTCTAAAAATTTTTGGCCGGAGAAACTCAGTTGAACCTTTTCTTCTTTGACACACGGCTGCAGTGACCTTCGTTGTACTTGTTTTTTTTTATATTAACTTGAGCGATAGCAAAAGAACAGAAAATTTGAGAGTGGATAGAAACCACTGCCCCCGTGCTATAAACATTTTTTTGATGAAAAAAGGCTGTAAATTTAAATCCTCGAGTTTCACGGTAGCTGCCGGTTGCCAATGTTATGCTTATAATTTTTTTCAAAACCTCAAACCTGATAGATAATTACAAATGTATTATGGGGAAAATCAAACGAAAACAGAACGCGCATTGTTACAACAATGTTGGCCAATCATAAATTTGAATTGTCTGGCTTTTGAAAAATTAACTCATTTCTCAAATTTTTTGGAAGCTAACGAAAACTTTTATGAGAAACTACACGACATCAGTTTACTTTTTATGTAACTCGTTTGAATGATAAGATTGAAAAAGTAAGATAAAAAATAAATTCGCAAAACTTTCCAAAAGTCGATATTATTCGAGTTAGAAGAAAATGCTGTATCTTTCTACTGTTTACTGTTATAGGAATAAAATAAACTTCAACCTGAACTTCAGATTTTGTACTAGTAAACACTATAACAACAGAATTCTAAGATGCGCTTTTTTGGTTGAAAATTTTTTTTTGAAAAAACCATTCGAAAAAGAAAGAAACTTAGTAAACAACCTAATACTATTTTCTTGTTTCTCTGACCTCGTCGGTGAGAGAACAGAGAGACGCAGACACGCGAAAACTGCCAAGCAAAACTTAAATTTAATCTGGATGACAAGGATCTTCTAATTTCAAAAAATAGCCGAGAAAAAAAAAATCTATGGCTGGAAACTGAAAAAAAAAATTGAAAAAGTACTCTGAATGCTTAAAATATGTTGGGGCGTAACGCAGAGAACTTTTTCAGAAAATTATTTTCGAAAAAAAAAATGAAACACTCTGCAAACCTTATAAGAATCCTGATAACGACTGTCCAAAAAGGTGCCGAAATGCAGGACGGTGGTCCAATCCAGGAACATCTCCAGGGTTTTCTTCGGAATCATCCGCAGAGCCTTGTCAATGGCGATCATCCCGAGGAAGTCATGAACTTGAATTTCGCCATTTTTCACGAATTCGGCCATTTCAGGCGATAGAAAACTTGAAATATACAAGTTCCAATCGACCTGAAACAGAAATTAGATGATTTTCAAGTAGGCAAACCTAAGAAAACCATGGAGGCGTATCGGGAAAGCTTCCGGAACTTTATTTTGGCTGTGATTTGTCGGTAGAGAGTCGATTGGAGAGCCTGAAAGAGACGCGTCGCGGGCGCGGTGCGGTCAAATCCTTTAACCTGAGCAATGGCGCCGTCGACGGTCGAGAAAGCGTTGACTCTCTGGATCAGTTCATCTTTGGAACCGTGGAATATTTTGCCATGGATATCGTCGGATTTGAGAAGGTTCACGACTTTTATCAAAAGTTGGCGAGTCGCCAAATATTCGTAAGCATAGTCATTGCTTGTGTAAGCGTTGTAACTGACGATGGAAGGGGCCGGACCGATCTTAAAGGACTTAATTCCGAGAGACACACTCAATTTTCGAATATTCTTGAATGAATATGATCGCACTTAGAATGGATCGACGGCTCAAAAGCGGTTTACGAAAAATCAGCCGACCGAAAACGACTAACGCATGATAGCATCGGAAACGTTATTGAGAGTTCCAGCATTTCAAATTTTTAAATATATATGCTGATCGGCAGGTAGGAATGAAGTCATTCTACATGCGACCAGGGCGATTTTGGGAAAACAAAGTTATCCGAAAAACCCAAAAAAAAAAACTAGCAACCTGTAATATGAATCTGCTCGAATTCCTCTCGTCCACGGTTACCGACGTGTCATAAATAAACTTCAGAGGTAGAAATTCCAACATGTAGTTGGTCAGCAACGTTGAATTTCCCTTTCGAGTCATTCTATAACTTCTTTTCCTCGAAATGAAGTAATAAGCTCACTCAAGTTTCTTCAGCATCGTGTTAAAAGTTGATTTGTCTGGCGAATCGCGGCGGTTTTTGCATTTTACGTAGTAATCCTTCATTAGTTTGTACTCACGGGACGAGTTTTCAGGAAGATTATCGAGAATCGCTGGAAATCGAGACGTTTTCAAGTTTGAATAACAGTTTGAAGTAGGTAGTTATAGTCTTACAATTTTTATTTCGGATTTTTATGAGCGACTTTTTTCATCCCACAGTAGGGCTTCTCAATAGATCCAGGTCCAACGAATTACACGGCGTTTTTGGTTTTTTTTTTGTGTTTTAAAACAAATACCTTGTTGAAAGGGATTCCACGAAATTCGAAAAAGGCACCAGAGAGTGAAAAATATAACTGATGTGCGAGAGCGCCGCGGTGCATGCACACGACACAACACACTTTACGGAAAAAATATGGACGGGGCTTCGCCAGAAAACCTCCATAATAATTAATGAAAAATAATGTTTCCAACTAGTAGCACTCATAACTTTTCGACAACCTTGAGAGTCATATTTTTTTAAACAAAGATTCGAAAACATCAATATAAAAACTGCATTAAAACGGTCTATTTCCTTTTTCTCAAAACTTACCTTTGATTTGCTGTCCAACCTTCTCGGTCAGCTCGTCCATGGGGCTGATTGAAGAAGAATCTTCCGGAATTGGATGCTCAGAAATCCATCGATTGCACACATGTCCATAGAAATCATCACAAGGATCGACATTTCGATCGATTGATTGGACCAAATCCGGGTAAAAGTGATATTTGATGTTTTTCTGTTGGGGTAGGCAGTCTAGAAAATTTGAAATGAGTTCAAAATAAATGAAATGGCTTTCAGCAAGTTTTTCTGTGCACTTTTTTTTTGAGTCATGTCGTTTTTTAGGTTCAAAAAAATCATAACTTAGGCTATAGGTGTCCTAAATTCAAGTCTCAGGTATCAAAATGTTTAGAACTGTTTGCTTGATAACCCTAAAGAACTTTTTTCCTAAAGAAAACCTTGGGGAAAATTTTAAGTTGAGAACAAACATTCAACAACAGAAGCAAGAAAAAACCGGGACTTGATTGAAAAACCAACCTTCGCGCTGACCAGAATCTTCGTTAGCAGCTTTTTCAAAATTCAAATCTGCTGAGTAAATGATTGAGATCCAGTAGAAAATCAACAAGGAACAAGTTACAACCATTAAACCAGAAAGAATAAAAGGAAGAAACGGAGGAAAATGAAACTCGAAACGACAAACGGCATGTGTTCTTTGTAAATGATCTTCTTTGCAGTTGCAAACGACTTTTTCCAAATATTAAAACGATTAAGAACAGTTTTCTTGATAATAATAACGATTTATTTCATTCACAAAAATATCATCGTTCAGTGATCAATAAATCAATAAACTAGGAGCCGGAACAACAAAAACTTTCAAAAAACTTTTTCTAATTGAAAAATAGAAGTTCAAAGCCGCAGCTGTAATATTCAATCTAGATAAACTTATCATTTTTCTTCTGCATAATTCTCCGTCTTCATTTCAGCAATTTTGCAAATATGAAATTTTATCTCCTCTACCGACGCGTTCTGCTGCTGATTTCTTTTATTCGCTCACAAATATTATTTCTGAATTTTTTGTTTTGGAATTTATATTTTATAACAAACAATTTAATTATTCATTTGATGCCTTGTTCAACAACAAGTCTTCATTCTTTAATTAGTAATTTACTACTTAGCGGTTATTCACTGATATTTAACCAAAAATAGCTTTCAAGGTGTCTCTAGAGAAAAAAATCGCGTTACTATTGAAGTTGCAAATTTAATACAACAAAAAAATTTTTTTGAAACTATATTTGAAAAAAATAGAAAAATTTTGAGATAATTCAAGCATTTTTAAACTTATTACAAATTTCAAAAAAACGTTAAGGCAAAAAAAGCAAAAAAAGTTCGGGCTGAGCCGGGGATTGATCCCTGGGACCTCTCGCACCCTAAGCGAGAATCATACCACTAGACCACTCAGCCGTCTGGCGTCAGGCCTCGTTTTCGCGGACAAGTGACCTGTGTACGTTTCTGGAACGAGGAAGGAGTTTAGTTGGAAAGCCGGAATTACTTCTTTTTTCTTTGGTTATTAGTAGAAAGGGGGAAATGAAGTGTTTTAAAATCCGGAGTTAGAAAAAAACACTGAAAATTCATCGCTGACGAGCGCTTTCAAAGAGACGACTATTTTCCCATTTTTTTTTCTTTTTTTTTCAGTATTTTTCGATTTCATTTTTCGGAGAAATTAAACCACAAAGCCCTTCAAAAATAGGATACTCGCGGGAGTCGAAAGAAATGGAACTATACAATTTTTTTGTTGATTTTCATATACTTTGCTGACAAGTCAGGAAACCAAGAAGAGATGAAATTTCCTAGTTTCTGAATAAATTAAAGTTCTTTTTAAAAGCTGTCATGAATTCACAAAATGTTAGGAGGAATATTTACTTCCTTCGAAGTTACCATATAAAAATGTTACAATTTCTTTTTTTTTTTCTTTTTTCCTTTTATTCTTATCGGATCCGACAAACATATTTTCATGTCGCTCTATAATTACATATATCGAGGGTGAATCAACTTTCCAGCGAATATTGGACATGCACTGGCGCCAAGTTCAACATACGTATTAGCCTTATTCACCTGCGGAAAACTCGATCAAAACAGAGCCCGATTTCAAAGTCCCTTGGGCCTTCTGTGGCTGTTGACCTTTTCAAAATTTTCCTAGTATTGGATTTCAAGTTTTTTTCTTCTGAAAGCTCTACTCTTTCCCATTTCCTAGGAAGTTATTAAAACTCGTTTTTCGTCAGTAACGTGTTCGGTTTTCAAATTTTAGTTAGGCTCTGGAAAAAAAATTGCCAGTTATTGAAGCGAAACCCCTTATTTCGAACAGTTACGAAATATTCCACCTTTTTAAACTATCTTCGAATTTTTCGGGTAAGTAACGCCGGCTTCCAACGACATATCCTTGTTAGCTAAGTGATCCCTCAAGTGTAGCTTTTATCGAAAATCGAGACTCTGATTTTTCGGTGGTACAACTGCGCTTGTCGCTCAATAAGTCTGACAGGAAAGGTACTTTTACTCACCGGTTGAGAACTTCCTGAAAATTGGCCAGAACGCTCCTTGATGTACTAGAAGAAGATTCTGAAAGTCTGTAGAAAAAAATTTAAAATTTGTGCAAACTGAGGCTTTCAGAATCTTCTTCTGGGACGTCAGGAGGTGTTCTAGCCAACTTTCAGGAAAATCCCAATCACAATGTGGAATGAACTCCCTTGTTAGAAACTCGCTAGAAATTCTCTTATCAAATTAAAAATCCTTTACTGGAGACAGCTTTCAAAAAGTCGACTTTTTCGAAAGTTTGTCGGAAGTTTTACGTAGATATCGCCTCATAACCTTGAACAACCGTATGATTATCAAGTTTGACATTTAGAGTCACCAATAATTTTTGTCTACGAGATATTAAAAATAAACTTGCCATTTTTCATCTCTGTACTACTGTTACTAGTAAGCAATTATCAACATAGCGCAAAATTGAGTTGTTAAGAGTCTTTTACGAGAAGGAAAGTTTCCAAAAACGCTGATATTTATTGCAAAAGCTCTGCCAAATCAAAGTCTGTGTGCCACCTCTTGAAATTCCACGGAACGACATTCCGCTGTTCCGGTGCGTGCGTTCGCAAAGCGTATTTCGAATCTGGGTCACACTTTCAATTGATTGTTTTTGATGTGAGAACCTTAATAAAAGAAAAAAAAAATCAAAAACCCAACCAAGGCGCGCAGCGGCACAGCGGAATGTCGTTCGGTGAAATTCCAAGACGTGGTACGCAGGCTATGAACGATTAAACGATTTATTTTTTCAATTAATGGGGCTAGATGTTTTTACTTAATGACCCGTGACACATAGGCTACTTCAAAAAAAGGAAGTTTTTCCATAGAATCACACCATCGCTGCAAAAGTAGTTTACTCGGGTAGGTGTCTAATTGAATTCGTTTTATTCTTACGCAAAGCTGTGATACATAGTCAAACCTTTTCTCTATTCAATTATGGACACTCTATTATATAGAACCTCCAATTTTTTGCTTTTATTGAATTCCTCGATAGACATTGGATTAATCATATCTTTCTATGTGTTTGAAGTCCTTGTTAATCTTTTTGAATATTTCGAGAATTCGCGGGCCACAGCTATAGTTTATCAACTGAAACTAGCGTTAATTGCATATCCCAAGCCTGAAGTTTAGGGGACAACGCTTCAACTTGCGATAAATGGAAGCCAATTCTAAGCTGGTGATGTTCGCTGTCAACGAGAACCACCTCGTCGCTTTCCTTATCTTCGTGGTGGGTTTTGGATGAATTAATAAGTATTTATTATTCCAGGTGTCCTTTGTTGGCTTGTTGGCCAACGCTACGGTTGCTTTGTTCAGTTCCACACTTGGGTCTCTTCAGAACTCTTTCGGAAGACTATCAGCCAGCCAAGCTATCGGGGAAGGGATTTTGACGGGCCTTTTTTGTTTCTTCTATGTTCCGACGGTGTTTTTGTGAGTTTTCAAGTAACGCAGAAGCAAATCTTTTGCGTAAGGAGATGAGCAGAAGAATGAGCTTGAAATTTGGTTATTCTGTTAGAGGATAGAAAGTAAATTAGTTCCGGAGTTTCATCACCGACGCTTACAAATATTGAAGAAGGCGGTTGAAAAAGAATTTTAAAGTATTTTCGAAAAGAAAAAAGGCAAAAACTACTTGAAAATAATTACGGTTTTTATGAAGACTAACTTTTAACAAAATTAATATTCCAGTCCTTCTGAAAAAAATGACGTCATTTCTCTTCATTTTCAGCAGTCTGACGTCTTGGCAAGAAGTCTCTACGTATTGTGGCGTTGTCCTTCTTTTCTGCTACGATGTCTGTATCTATTGCCATTTATTTATCTCTCTCAACCGTCTGACCGCCATTTGTTTCCCCATTCGTTATGACCAGATCTTCAGGTAACTTTAAACTCATAAAATTAAAGAGCCTTTGAATAATTAAGTATCCGCACCACGACCGTATACATTGTCATAGCCTACGTCCTTGCTGCTTCTTCCAGCTTTTACGTTCATTATTTAAGTAAGTGCAAATCTGGGTCACACGACTTGAAATTTCACCGAACGACATTCCGCTGTTCCGCTGCGTGCGGTCGCGAAGCGTCTGCGCTTCAAGAATGTCGGTGGCGCTTCCTTCTTTTATTTCATTCCAGTATTTGATTTTCCGTGTTCCCAGTGGAACAGTCTATACACCAGCAATGACAAGGCTCGCAAAGACAAAAAGCGGAACCACGGAATGTCGTTCTATGAAATTTCAACTTGTGGCACACGAACTTTAAACAATGTTAAAATGATGGAAAACTTTCTAGACCACTGCGAATTCGCAATGACCGGCCTTGGATGGATTTTCATGTTCGAAACGAATCCGATTTGTGGGGATTTGAGCTTGAAATTCAACGGTTTCAAGGACATTCTCGTTGTTTCGATCATTGCTGTTGTGGATGTTATTACGCTGTTGGCGATCCATCTTACTAGAAAAGTGAGCCTTGAATTTTAGATTTTCCAAAATTGAGGATTACTTTTAATTTCAACAAGGGAACTTGGATTTTTTCGAAACAAAAAAATTTTTAAATTTTTAAAGCTGAAAATTGAGGATAAAGAAGTCAACAGCGTAATTTGCTCAGAAAATTGTGAGTGAATAAGTTCTAAAGAGCCCAATTTTTTTACCCACTTATGGACTGTAGTTTGTAAAGGTATATTAGATTAGAGCTATAAATTTTTTTATCGATTTTTTTCGAATTTTCATCGATTCGGATTGAAAAAATGTGTCTCTTTGCAACAATTTTTCAAAAATTTTTTTTCTACCGATAATGTTCCTTTTAAACTGTCGGTCTTGAAAAACTAACTCTGGAAGATTGAAAAATTATAAACTTTTTCCTTTTTTTTCAGTCAGTCGCGGGCAATAGCAACAGTCAACGACAGCGTCAGCGTGAAATCGCGTTTGTAAAACAGGTTTTTTCTTTTTACCAGATTTTTCTAATTTTAAATGTCGCTCATAAAATGAAAAACTTTCCAGGCAATCCTACAAGGCGTCGTGTTTGTCACAGAGTTGTTCAGCTACTTTGTTCTACCGAATTACTTCGAAAATCGCTGGCTTCTGTTCTTTTCAACGACTTTCGCGTGGAATATCGTTCATTCTGCCGATCCGTTAGTTTTTCTCGAATTTGGGTTTTCCACTATAAAATTTCTGAGAAAGCCCAATTGACTAATTTGAACTGACTTCAGTCTCTCGAAGTTTCAAAGTTTTCCCCGTCAAATGAAGTTTTCGAGGAGTTTTAAAACAATTTTCAAAGAAGATAAGTTGATTTTTTCAGTCTGATCATCATCCTATTGAACAAAGAGTTCCGGAAACTCATCTCCAAGCCTTTCAGCAAACTTTCGTGCTCTTGCAGTAAGTCTCATATTGTAAATTCGAAATTATATTAATTTTCCAGTTAGTTTCAAGCCAAACTTCGGACGAATCACATCCTACAGCGGCGAAACTCAACCAAGGGCAACCAATACACCAGCCTGAAAACTGAGTCCAAACAGAAACTATTTTTTAATTAATTTTCAATGTCATATTATCATAATGAATCTTTTTTTGAAATACATAACTTTTTAAATGCTCCGTTGTTTTGATATTGAGATATGAACTTTTTTTTCAAATTGAATAACTTTTTTTGAATCGGAATACCTAATTTGAAGGTGTCCGACCTTATAATTTTGAGTAAAAAAATTCTTTTTTTTTTCTTTTTTTCTTGGTTATCATTTTCTCAGAGATCTTATTCTGAAACTTCATTCTAGGAGTGCGCCTTGACTTTTAGTTCTTTCCGAGTTCTCATGCATTATAATAGGAGGGGGAGAACTCTGGTTGATAGCAAGATAGGAAAAACTAATCCACTTTTAAAGCTAGTTGTTGGGTCGAGGCGGGGATCGAACTTGTGACCCTCCGGACCGTAGATAGGAAAAAACACAACCTGTAGCGCTACGGTCTGCTCTTGTTTTTTTCTGAATCCCAATACTTCATTTTGTAATAACCACAAAAAAGGAACTCCTATGATTTGAAAAATAAAAATAGAAGACAAAGCCTACTTATTCCCAGTATTCTAAAAATTCTCCTGAGACGTCTGTATTTTTAATCTCATCTAAATACATAATAGAAAAATGGGTTTAATGAGGCGAAAAAAGATGCACTTCAAAACGACTCGAATAAAAAGGAAAAAGGCGATTCAACTGTAATTAACTAGTTACCTAATGGACTTTCTCCTCCATCAGTAGTTATCCCAATCCCTGCTTCCCAGTGTTGCCTTCAGTTAAACCCTTTCCATCAGTTTGAACTAACAAAAAAAAAATTGATAGTCCAATATTTTGCCCAAAGTTTCACATGTTCTGCAATTGATATCACAACTTTCTTATCAGCTTCACTCCCTGCTTCCCAAAAATATTATCACTTCGGACTACTTCATTGGGAACTTTTTAGCCTGTTGAACTCGACGAAAATGTTCCTCATTCTGATTCCCATCGCTTTTTCTGTTCTTTTCTTCTTCTATTGGAAAGAAGTTCACTCGGCGATTGTTGTGAGTTCATTTTATTCTTGGTTAACGTAAGTTTCAGGGAATTTATAATTAGAAAATTGAAATATAGGGTGGATCGGTGAAAGATATCCATAAAAAAACGAAAAAAAAAAAAACTGTAAACCAAGTTTCGTTCTTGACTTTTTTTGATAAAAATTTTATAAAAAAATAAACCCTTATTATTGTAGATTTTGGACATGAATGAACAGCACTGAAACGAATATAAAATATTCAAAAGTTTGTGAGTGAACTTTTTCAAACGCCTTTTGAAATTAAAAGGTTTCTTTATCATCAAAAATTGAATACCTACAGGGTGACAAATAAATATTGAAACCGTTTTTTGTTTGATCGCTGCTTTTTGCACAACGGACTGGCCTTTGAATTTTTTTGTTTATTTCGTTCATTCATGCTCACTTATCATGTGTTTGAAGTTACAGCTCATACTTTTCAGTTTTCAGGTAATCTCCGTACCCTACCGCAATCATTGATTGTGTCAAAAGCTGAATGACGAATTCAGAGATCGTTAAAAAGCTGAAAGTGTCTCGTGTTCTCGTTTTTCGAACTGCACAACGCTATCGGCGTCTCGGTACTTCAGGTGACATGCAAAGAAGTGGACGTCCAGTCACCGTCACGACTCCAGAAGCAGTCGAAGCCGTTCGAGAGAAAATCAGACGCAATCCGGAAAGAAGCATGAGAAAGATGTCAAAAGAATACGAAATGAGTCGAGAATCGATGAGAACTATTGTCAAGGACAAGCTGAAGATGATTCCCTACCGTATGCAGAAAGGAGCCTTCCTCAATCAAAAAAACAAGACATTGCGGATGGAAAAGGCTCGAAAGCTGCTCGCTGGCACGAAAGATGGCTCGAATCTGACGACGCTATTTACCGACGAGAAAATCTTCACTGTGGAGGCGAACAAGAACGGCCAAAATCATCGGATCATCGCTACTGACTATCAGAGTGCCTGTGAAAAAGGAAAAATTGTGAATAAAACTTCGCATCCGGCTTCCGTGATGGTTTTCGCCGGAATTACCGCTGACGACAAAACTCCGCTGATTTTTGTGGATTCTGGAGTCAAAGTGAACCAAGTATACTACAAGGAGTAGATTTTAAAGTTGAGGGTGTTGCCCTGAGCCACTTCTCACTACGGAAGCCGACCATGGACCTTCCAGCAAGACGGCGCCCCGCTCATCGTGCCAAAGGGACTCAAGAGTGGTGTCGCGCCAATTTTCTTGAGTTCATCTCGGCTGCTGATTGGCCTGTTTCCTCGCCCGACCTCAACCCGATGGACTATGCCGTGTGGATATATCTGACCGAGAAGGTCTCTTCTAAGAGCTACCCAAGTATCAAAGCTCTGAAGACCGCGCTCATCAAGAAATGGGACGAAATCGACGACGACTACCTTCGTGCCGTGATCGATGCGTATCCGAAGAGACTGAAGGCCGTTATCAAAGCTAAAGGAGGACGTTTTGAAAAACTATTCTTGAATTTTTGCTTCTATATTGTATGAATAAAATTTGTTCCAAGTTTGGTGGTGTTTGGTTGACTTTTGAGAAAGTTATAACGTTTCAAACGCGTTTCAATATTTATTTGTCACCCTGTAGATAAGGTAAAACTTCAACATATTAAAAAAACTACTTTTTTTAATTAATTAAACAACAAAAAGTCCAAACTGAGAAATCAAAAACAAACTTTCTGAACGAAAGATGGATTTCACAGCTTCTTCTCGCTCGACCCACTTTTTGGGAAAAACTTTTTTTCGTGGGCTTTTTTTTTCTCAGTCAAAGTGATTGAACTAGAAACAAATCATACGAAACACGGCTCGAAAAAGGAAAATGACAAGAAATTAATTACATTCAAAGTTTTGATCAGTTGAAAAAATGTATTCATACAGAAAAATTTAAGACAATAATAAAAAATAAGAAAGTTTCCGAAGCTTTTTTTAGAAAAAGAAAAAAAAGGCATGAAAAGGGTTGAGAATGTTGAAAAAAATGAAAAATCTTAACGATGCTTCTAGGTCTCAAATGGAAGCAAATTCACAAGAAAGCCTTCGTCTTCAATATGCTCTTGGAAACTTTGTTGTTTGAACAAAAAAAAAGTAAATTGCAAATATTCCGTTTCACTCGCACTTCCAAATGAAGCAAATAATTAAAAAAATATTCTATAGAAACAATTTTTTTACTACGAAGTAAAAGAAAGAGCAAAATACCAAAATTCATTCAAGAGTTTCAACTAATTTCTTGTCTACCTATAACTTCTTGCTCAGGAAAGACAACGAGTCATCAAACTCGTCGACAGCTTGCCTGGACCTTACTCGATTCCGCTTTTGGGCACCACCTGGCAATTCAAATGGAATATGAAAGGTACTTTTATGAAATAAGCCCTCCAAAAGCTTTAACATCTCTGTTTAATTTAGCCTAGTGGAGTCCAGCCAATAATCTGTGTTATAATTTTACCTTATGACTTGATCAATCATCCTTTTTTTTCTTTATCGTGTTTCTAGCCTAGTATAGTTTGATTAAGCCTGAGCAGAAAAAAAAGTCTTATCAATTGTACATAAATGGTCTCTGAGTGTTGACTATTCAGCTTGGAAGTCAGTAAATAATTGGAAAAAGAGGAGAATTTTCAAGATCTCGTTCTTCAAATGCGAAGCTGGGGATTGTTCTACTCAGAAAAAGGACATGGACTCTTGAGATTGTGGATTGGAACGAGGCCAATGGTTATTGCGGTCCGGCCTGAAACTGCCAAGGTTTCTTTTTTCATAAAATTGCGAGAAATGAGAACCCTCAAAGTCGAAGAAAAGTTACAACAAAAAAAAAAATTGAACCGCCTACCGCAGGGGCGGAAAATAAATTGTATTGTACGCAGTGCACGCGATGCATAAAAACCAACGCGCAAAAAGCAAAAATTAATGTTTATTATGACCAAAATCAACTTTTTTAGACGTTATTTATTCAGGAATCACCGAAAAAAAATTCTACAATATTTATATATTCTAATGAAATCGCATAGGCCTATAGGAATCCGTACGGATTGTACTACGCCGTCTCCGCTGACCATACTTAACTATTTTTGATGGTTTTTTTATTTAATAAGATGAAAATGGCTGTTTTCCACAGATAAAAAATTAGAGTAAAAAGTTTTTATTATTTATTACTTTTTTTATTGAAAAAGTAAAAGTAATGTTTTTCAACCGCGTTTTTTTTTTCCAGGTTGAAGCCATTTTTGAATTCAGATAGTTTTGGAAAGCACCGAATTGATCACAAAAGGACCGGAATACGCAATCCTGAAGCCATGGCTTGGTACTGGACTACTCATCGCTTCTGGTTTCAATGAAATTCCTCGATGAAAAAGAAATTTGAGGTTTTCAGGAGACAAATGGAGGCACCGCAGGAAGATGCTGACGCCATCTTTCCATTTCAACGTTTTGAATGGTTTCCAGGCGGTTTTCGACTACCAATCTAAGGTTTTTATCATTATACGTAGTCTTTCAAAGTTTGAAAAATTCCGCCCTGTCTTTTTCACACGCTTTTTACCAGTTTCTTTGATCCTGTTGGTGAAACAGGTCAAATTGTTCCGAATCGTGTTGAACTATTTGATGGTTTTGCCGTGAAGAATTGGTCATGGTCGCGTGTGGAATAGCTCAAAACTTAGGCGGAACTTTGAAGTTTGTCGGACCCAAAAAGACTTGCGCGCATCTTTTTTCATCGTTTTGACTCATTCCAAGGCTTTTCAAGCCCCTGAAAATCAAATAAATCATAAAAAAGGTACAGATTTTAATAAATCTCAGATTCTTCTCGAACAAATCGAGCCCTTTGCAAAATCCGGCCAAATTTTCGACGCTTTTCCTTACATCAAACGTTGTGCTCTTGACATCATTTGCGGTTTGTCTTGAATATTTGAATATTTATTTCACTCTGATACATAAAACAGCATGAACTACAAATAAAGAGACACAGCTTGAGCAAGAATTACATCTGAGTGAAATTAGGACCGGGTTTAATACGCCCTCACGAGCGAATTTACCGGTATAGAGAATAGGACACGTAGCAGGATTTTTGATCACAGTAGACGTAAGGGAATGTTGGAAAAGAGTTCTTCGTTGCTTAGCGAGTCGAGAAACTTTCTGAAACAGGTGGTAGACGTGTTAGGGTTGAATGATCAGAGTCTTTTGTCTTATTTGATCTGAATTATTTCATTAAGTTCTGTTCCAGAAACAGCAATGGGATGTACAGTGAGCGCCCAGACCAACCATTCCCATCCCTACGTCGTTGCTGTACGGGAAATGAACATTCTCGCTTTCAAACACGAACGGATGCCCTGGCTTCAGATTCCTTTAATCGCGTTAGTTTTCAAGTGATTTTCCAAAAACAAGGAATTTTTCAGCTATATCACTGGCTTCAAATCGGAGTACAACAGAAATCTGGAAGTTGTCACTCAGTTCACGAAAAAGGTTCTATCAATCAAATCATTTATTTTGTTGTTTTAGTCTGATGTAATCGACTAGGCGGTGAACAAGAACTTTAAAAGCTATAACGAACAACCGCCTTTGGCGAGCTAGAAGTCCAAACGTGTAGTCGAAAGAGTTGAAAGCATGGTCTTACGGTCCTTCGCCTCGTCCTTCTGCGCGTAGTCCATCCAGTTGCGCCTTGACGAGCTCAGAATGTAGTGAGTGGTGTAGCTGGAGCCCGGAGACCGTGCTCCAGGTGGAAGCCTCAGAATTAGAGCGACCACTTCGAGTGAAGATTTTACACGGAATATCCCAAAATAAAACTCGAAAAATATTTTTTTTTAGGTTATCGAAGATCGGATGGCCGAATTTGAGCAATATGGATGGGTGACGGAAGGAAAAAAGGCGTTTTTGGACATGCTTATTGAGGTTTTCGAAATCATCTTCTCAACGTTGATCCCAGTTATTTCTGAGCCTCATTAGAAACTATTGATATCTGTTCTATTCTTTGATAAAATGGAGAGTTTGGATCAAAACTACATGCGAAATTTCGAATAAACTCAAAAAGATCCTGCTTAGAGGATTCGAACCTTGGTCGTCAGATAGCTAGGCTAGCACTTCAACCACTTAAACATCGGTTAATTTAAAACATGTGTTGAGAAACAATTTATTGCTAATTGAATCTCGAAAAATGCAGCTTTTCCGACTAGAAGGGAATGCTTCCATTTCTCAAGCTTGAAAGATTTTCAAGACCGATTTAATTTCTTCTAGTTGAGCAAGGACGGCGGCCTATCCTATGAAGATATCCGCGAAGAAGTGGACACTTTCATGTTCGAAGGCCATGATACGACGGCCGCTGGAATGGGCTGGGCCCTCTGGTGCTTCGCTCACAATCCTGACTGTCAGAAGAAAGTCCAAGCTGAACTCGACGAGATTTTCAGTGGGTTTCAAAGGACAACAGCTTTCTCCTGCATGTATCAGATTAAAGAGCATGGTAAAATTGGAGAGACCAGACTCGTACACTCCTCGTTTTACACAATGTCTAGGGGCCTTCGTGGAGAGTGCGAGTCTGTTCTCTCCAAGTTTATCGCGCTCTCTAAACTATCGTTCATTTTTCGGTACTTTGTCGCTTTTTTCTGAGTTCTAGACTTCATTTAAAGTCCGTTCCCCCTTTCACCTTCCCACCTTAGTTTTTTTTTTTCTTTTTCTTACTCTTTTTTTAAGAGAGCGCAGACAGGTCAGACTGTTCCTAGTCATGTTGAATGACGGATATTGTTTTTTTAATATGTTTAAAAAAATGAAAACCGATATTGTTCAGGCGGTTCGAATCGAGAATGCACGGTTGAAGACTTGAAGAAAATGAAGTACCTGGAGAAATGCGTGAAGGAAGCTCTTCGTCTGCGACCTTCGGTTCCGAATTTCTCACGGGTCGTCGAGAAGGACATTCTTATTGGTAAGAGAGCGATGAAAAACAGCTTTTAGTAGATTTTTTTCTTATTGAGCACAAAAAAATCCGTTCATTAAAAATATTTGCAAATTTTTTTCTCTTAAAAAGGTCATTATTTTATTTTTTTGAATTCTTTCTCTTTTTTTCTTCCTTTTTTTCCTTTTTTTCTGTAACTTCAACGGAAAGGGAAAAAGATACGCAGAACCTTCAAACTTTTCGAAATTGAGAAACAGCCCATCTTTAATGTTAGTCAAATTCAGACTTTAAGTTTAATCTTTGACCTTTTTAAAACTCATTTTCAGGGGAAAGTTACAACTTTTAGTGAATAAATGAAGCTTAAAAAGTAAAGAAGGCTATAGTCTATGTGCCACAACTTGACGCTTCGCGACCGCACGCAGTGGAACAACGGAATGTCGTTCAGTGAAATTTCAAAGAGTGAAATACAGACAATAATATACTTTAACCCTTTTTCTTCATCACAAAAATTCCAATTAATCTATTTCATGACTAATTTCAGACAATCACCTCGTCCCGAAAGGAACTTCAGTCCTTGTGGCTCCCCAAATGATCCATTGTAATCCACAGGTTTGATTTAAAAGATCCAATCTCTATTGGATATCAAGTCAAGGTCTACGACAGAATAGACGTTTTCGATCCGGAACGATTTTCTGAGGAAAATATCTCGAAACGACATCCATACGCGTACATTCCATTCAGCGCTGGACCGAGAAATTGCATTGGTTTTTTTTTCCGAAAATTCTACTTTCAAATCGCTTTTCCAGGCCAAAAGTTTGCCATCCAAGAGGAGAAGACGATTTTGTCGTGGATTTTGAGACGATTCGAGGTAATTCCAAGCTTTTTTGAGGATTTATGCATGAAACGTTGAGGTGAGCGCCGAAATGGGCTTTTTGGAGAACCTGCCGCTGCCGGAGATCATCATCAGGCCAGAACACGGGTTTCCAATGAAGTTTAAAACGAGAAATTGAAAAAGTGCTTTTCATGCATTGATTCTGTAAATAAAAGTTGGTTTTTTTTCGCTTTGAACTCGGTAAAAAATCTCGCAGAAAAAGCTCTGTTTCCAATCGAGAAATCTACCAAGTCGGGTAGTGCGCCATTTTTATGAAAATTTGGTAGAAAAAATTACAAAACAGCTATTTTTTAATAGGTAAACTTTCATTCTTGAGTTTATCGTAGCCTCGATCTCTTACGTAGCTTATCTCTCTGATTGATCTAGACTCGATTTTGAATCGTTTTCCGATTCTTCCTTTCTTATTCCGTGTTTATTGTTTCTCGTTGGAAATCAACTAGTTCCGTTTGAAAATTATTTGAAAATTTCATCGTACTGGAAGAAGTTCCCTCACTTATTACTTTTCCTGTGCTGTTTTTTCGCTGAATAGTGACAATAAAAGAAAAAATTCATATAGACTTCATAAAACAGTGTTCTCACGGAAACTTCTGAGACGAACTTTTCAGTGTGAAAATTGGCGGTTTTTCGAAAAATTCCTTGAAAACTAACTCCAGAAGGTCCCTCCACCTGCGCAATCTTATTTGGTTTAAAGATACGATTTTTCAAAACTCTGAATGGTTGTAAGCCTAATTGTCACATACCTCGCTTCAAAGCATCAAGAAAGGTTCGAGAACTTCGAAAAAAATTTTGTCAATTATTTTGTCGGGAAAACCGGCTAAACTGAAGCTTCAAAGTCGATAACCTTCAGTATTTTCTGATTCATTCTTCAAAAAAATTTTTCTCATGAGCGTCGGAACAGAGTGAAGGTCCTTTTGAGAGGGCTTCTGGAATTTTTCTGACTAGGGAACATTTTTAGCCCCCCGGCAGAACTTTTTTGATGAATCTTAAAGTACTTTAGGATCTCGGAATTCCAGAAAAAAAAGGAAATACATTTTTGCAACATATCTGGTTTTTGATTCTTTGAATGCTTGAAATAGTGTTTTTTTTTTGTCAAAATTAGCGTATTTTGCCAACTATTCATCGAAAACAAGGTCTATTGCAAGACATGTTTTCTCGTTCTGGAATAAAGAGTTCCTATAGGGCATTTCAGCCTAGTTTCATCGAACGTAACCGTGAGTAAAAACGTTTTCTAGTTAAAATTTCGCGCAAACATTCTCCGATGAACGTCCTTCAATTGGCCACCGTTTTATTTTTCGAGAGATTTTTTTCAAGTTCGAGAATATTGATTCATTTTTTGGACTCGATTCTGTGTACAACGGTTCCTATGAGTTTGTGAAAATTTCCAATACAATTTTGTCCAATATTTCAGTGAACTCCATACTTTTGCTTTGAACATCGGACTCTCGATATTCCTTCTACTTTCCCTTTTTTTCGTGATTGTGAAAAAATCGAAAGCGGTTTTCACGTTTTCTCACACACATCTTTACGTCAAGGACGGCGGAATAAGGAGTCTAAATCCGGATTTTGGGGGCCAAACACACGACACGAGGTCGTTTCAGTATGAGAAAAATGGGTTGCTTGGGAACGCCTGAGTCCCTATTAGGGGGTTAGGGTCAAAATAAATTCAAGTTCTCCGTATGAAAATTCTTTTGTCTCATAGAGCTCATAACAATAAACTACAAGCGGGAATGCCACTTTTGCCCTAGAAATGCCGTAAAATGCCCTAGAATGCCCTAGAATGCCCTAGAAATGCCCTAGAATGCCATAGAATGCTCCAGAATGCCCTAGAATGCCCTAGAAATGCCCTAGAATGCCCTAGAAATGCCCTAGAATGCCCTAGAAGAGCACTTTTGCAAGCTTCAGTGCTTTCTATAGGGATGAGGTGGTTCTGGATAACCTAACAGTCCCCTATAGGGACCTCTCTGGCTATGTAAAACAGAATTCCTGTCCAGCGCTGCTAGTTCCCAAGCTATCAATTGGCAGTGTTCACAGACTACGATGACCACCTGCGCAGATCGATCGCCCCTCCCCCCCACCTTTCCGAACACTTGACCACTTGACCACACTCTCGCCTATTACTCGGATATCTCGATCTATTGCTTCCGTTTATGGTCACGTTTTATGGTCGTGCGTTTCTACGGCGTTGTTTCAAATGTTTCTTGCCGTCTTCCTTGTCTTTTTTTTTCAATGGAAAAATTTCTCGCCTTTCAAGAACTTCGGAATTGAACGGATTCTCAAGTCCCTTAAAAAGTTTCCTGAAAAATCACTCCTTTCAAAAGTCGATTATCAATCTTTCAGAGACTTAGAAAGTTCATTGCATGAACTAAAAAAAAACCTGGTAAATTATTTTTTTTTCCGGTTCAACTGTTCAATGAGCTATTCTTTAATGAAAATCCGTTATTTTCGAACTGTCAATATCCTTTTTGTTCTCAACTTCAAATTGATCTTCACTTCTTAAGTTTTGATTCGTTTTTTTCCTCCAGATGGAGTCCAATTTCTACAACATCGAGCCAACTTTCCAGCTTCTCATCCGCAGCGAAAACGTTCCAAACATTTGGGACCTTGTAAGGATTATTTATTTTTACTTATGAAACTTTAATAGAGAAAATCATTGATATTGAGGCTTAATATCATCCTTTTTTCTAGATCGACCAGGTCACATGCAACGACGATTTGCTGTCATTGGTTTTTGAGAGCGAATTTTTGAAGTATCTTCGACATAAACCTGAAGTTCGGCAGTACCTTTTGAATGGTTTATGGTCGATTTGTCGCAAAATGCAGCGATTCGATATGAAGTGAGCTTTCGAAATAGATAAATAATGTTTTGATGTTTTTTTTCTTACCATTAGAATTCATGAACTCTTAGCAGTTTGATGTCCTAAATTTTTTCTTTTCTTGACGATTTTTTTGGGTTTTCATGTTATTTTATGTTTCTATGGACTTGCCGGTGAGGAAAAAGAAATGGGAACAACCCCTGTAAGGATCGAAAAAGTGGTCCCTTCAGGGGTTTATTATTTTTTTTTCATTTCTCTGAAAATTTTAGTGGCCACTATAAGGTTTTGACGTTTTTGTGGTCACTAGAGTAGTCAAATTAGTGGCCACTATAGAGGTCTAAGTGCTACTACCAGACCACCAAAAGTTTTAGTGGCCACTCTAGGGGTCAATGAATCAACATTACTGGTCCAATCTGGTTTTTTTAATTATCAGAGTGACTGGAAGGAATACTGGATGAAAAACTACTTAAGTGCCCACTAAATAGAGAACCTCTATATCGGCCGCTAAAACGGAAAATAATGGCCACTAAAACGGAAAATAGTGGCCACTTTAGTGTCCTCTCTCAGTAGTCCTTGGCGAGCCTCTATAGTGGCCACTAAAAACTTTCACAGTTCTCAAAAACCGCCTATTCGTTTTTTTTTTTCTATGTAAATGCTTCTCCCCTTAGAGTTCAGAACAATTATCGGCTAGCATGTCCCCTACAGTGGTCACTAACTAAAACCCCTACAGGGACCACTTTTTCAAGCTTTAGAGGCCCCTGTTAGAGTTAGTGAAATGGTCGAAGGACCCCTTAAGGGCCCTAAGGTTGCCCCTATAAGGACCACTCTGAGATTCCTAAGTAGACGGATAGAGTGCAAAAAAGACCTTCTTGAAAACTTTTATCTTGAATCAGTTGACCTTAAAGTGCAAATATTCTGATTTTACTTTAATTTTAAAATGTTTCCATTTTAGTCACACCGCCAGACAATTCTGGGAGCTGAATGATCGCGTCACCAGCGTCAGATCATTTCTGGAGGCGTCTTTTCCGTTCATTTTCGGAAGAGAGAATCCTCTTGGGGTCTCTTTTCTTTGGGTTGGTTACTTCTCGTTTTCAGAGTCCAACTAACTTCTGCTTTTTCAGTTTACGGATGGGATGAACCTCCGTTCGGTGCACACTTACGATAGTCCTCCTCTGCTTCCAATAGGTTTAAGATGCATTATGAAAGCTGTGAATCGATTTATAACTCGAAAGATCGTATCCTCCAAAACAAACCTTGAAAGCTCACATGTTCAGAAAAAAATCCAAGTTTTTAAGCTTAAAGCGCATTTATAGCCTGTGTACCACGACTTGGAATTTCACCAAACGACATTCCGCTGTGCCGCTGCGCGCCTTTGGTCGCGCTTTTAATTTTTTTTTTTTTCTAAGGTACTCTACTTTCATGTGTTCTCACAGCAATAACAATCAATTGAAAGCGTGACTTAGATTCGAAAGACGCTTCGCGAACGCACGCAGCGGAACAGCGGAATGTCGTTCCGTGAAATTTTCAAGTCGTGGCACACAGACTATACGAACTTAAATTTTCATAATAAGAATGGCCTTCCAACCATGAAATCCGTGATAAATCTGATTCTAGTCAAAATTTGTTGATTAATTCTTTATACCACTGTATTTTGCTATTGACTTTTTTGAAAACCCGAATTTTTCAGAAGGAAATTTCGCCTATCTCGAAAGCTTGAGCAAAAATGGAAAAGAGGGAATAATTATTCGACTCCAAAACTTTGTGAGAAGAGTCGCCTTGCAACTGCTCAGGTTCAAAATCTGAATACACCTCTTGGAAAAGAAGGAAAAGTTCAGATGTGTTCTGAGCTGCCAACGAATGAGTCGAAGGACGATCGAAGCGGTTTATGATGGGAGCTATGAACTATCGGAACTATCGGAACCGACGGAACAAGAGAGCTATTCCGCAGAAGAGACGGGGCCGCCTCTCAAGAGGTCTCGACTCGAGAATAATACGCCGGTTAGTTTTTTTGGTGTAAGTTGATAGGTAACAAATCACTGGAATGGAGAAATTTTCTCAAAATGAGAGAATTTTCACAAAAATGGTCTCGCAACGATTAGAAAAAAAAACGCGTGGAAAAGGATCTTGATAATTATTTTTGAAATGCTCGTTGTGAATGAACTTCAGCTACCATTCCTACTTTCTTTGAAAAAAATCATCCCTTGATTGAAAAAAATTATAAAAGCTCACGAATACTTTAAACTTTAGAAAAGTGGCGTGGTCGGATTAGATTAGACCGAAGTTTGGCATTTTCCAAAAATAATTTTATATAATTATCTTTACAATCTTTAGTCTGAGTATCAACCTTTCTCATCGTTCAAATATTTTTAGGAATCGGCAGTCTTGGATGAGGATAATGAGCCACAAGAAGAAGAAGAACCAGTACAAGAACAAGATGTGAGATTTTTTTTAAGATCCTTCTCATTGATTTTTGTCAGGATGAACAAGAGGAACCGGAAACAGCGCAAGGATATCGCCAGCCAGAAAACAACTATTTTGTAAGTCTATCGTTTGCCTTTCTTATTAAAATCGATTTTTCAAGGAAGAAGAACGACAAGAAGATCAATCAGGATCTCGATTTGTATGACATGAATTCGTAAAAAACATAGCAAAGTTATTTTTTAGGAACCTAGGAGTCAGTCAACTCCACGACGGCGCAGAAACGTTAGTTTTTTTCAATCCTAAATTTAAAACGAACAATTTTTTTACAGGAAGACCGAGAATGTCCCGAACAAGAGCCTGAAAATCCTCGTCAAGAAAATAACTATCACGTATGTCCATCATTGAGTTTTTTTTAAACTAAATTTTTAAGGAAGAAAATCGACAGGAAGACCGGCGCTCGGCGTTCCGATTTGTGAGTCTTCCCTTTATTCAAACTGAATTAAGCAGAATTTTTAAGATACCCGGGAATCATTCGACACCGCGAAGACCGGAAACGAATGTGAGTTGGGCTTTTTAAAAACTCCGAAAAAAATCCTTCTTTTGATCTTGCTTTTTTAATTGAAATTGTTTTAGGCCGTACATGGTGAAAAAGCGCTAGATTCAATTTATGTTTTTTTTTTCTAGATTTGTCTTTTGCTCTATAATTTTGATAGTGTGGTTACCATCCTTCTTGCGGAAATTTAAAAACTTGAAAAAAAAATGGATCTTACAGCAAGAACAACGACAGGCTCCAGCACTCCCAATTCCACCTTTTGTTGATCCGAATAGTGGCCCCAGCTCGTATGAAAGTCAATGGAGGTGAGTATTCTTTCAGAAAAAAAAATGAGATTAGACTTCTCAAAGCTAGAAAAAAATCTGTTTTCTGTTTCATTCCTTTTCAATTTTTTCAATGATTTCAGACAATTATGGGAGTACAACAAGTACCTTCAAAATCTCGCACATACGCTCTACACAAGGAATCAGTATTTGGAGAACAGACTGGCCTCGATTCGAACCCTCACAAATCCAGAATAAGACTTTTCGGAAAACAAATTGAGATCATTTTATTTTCTCTCAGGATGCTTGGATAGAATCGAGAATTTTTTTCCAGTTCGTTTTTTAATACAAACAGGTTAACAGTGAAGTTTGGTCTTTGACATTTTTCCTCTCCATTTCTTCCCGTCTTTCAGATCTACCTCTGCTGCTCAGTTCGAGATTTTATTGCCTTTTTTTTCAATTGAACCGTTTTTTGTTGTTGAAATGAGTTTTTATTTTTTTTGTTTGCGATTTAGACAGCTTTCAAAAAGAAAAAAAAAAATTCGAAGTAATTCTCGTTTTTCTTCTATGAAATAATTTATTGCACTTTGAATTCAGTTTGGCAAAGGGAGAATCCATTTTTTCAACCTTAAGACCCTAGTTGGGCCTTTTTTCCAGTAAATTAAACTTTAATTAACGACTTAAATGGCGGTGAAAAGTAAGCCAATGTATTATTTTTGACATTCATTCTATTTTTTTGGCTTAGCAAGGTGAGGTCAAAGAACGACTGTGTCAATATTTACACAAGAGCAGCTAGCCATATGTGGTCAAGTCTTGAGACCGAGAAACCTTTAGGAAATCCCAAACTTGTACGCTTTGGAAAAAAAAACAGGCATTGAAACTGTGCTGTGAAAATTGTGTCATAGACCCCTTTTCTTTTGAAGAAACCCAAAAACTTTCATTCTAAATATTCATGAACCCATTTTCTGCGAGCTTTTGAAACAGTATGAGATAATTTCTACTCTTTCAAAGCGTAGTCATAGTTTTCTGGTTCGAAGGAGTTGAAAAGAGGAACGTTGAGAGTTGTGCCGCCGTCGATGACGAGGCAGTGGCCAACGATGTAAGAGGAAGAGTCCCGGTCGGCGAGGAAGGCGACGGCGTCGGCGATGTTCTTCGGGGTGCCGACGATGCCGGCCGGGATGTTGTGCCGGTTTTGAAGCATCTTCTGGTTGATCTACAATTTTTTCGTTTTGTACAATCAATGTTAGTAGCGCAACAGGTTGTGTGCCTGTCTACGGTCCACAGGGTCACAAGTTCGATCCCCGCCTCGACCCAACCACGAGGTTTAAGAACAATTTGTAGTGGGAAACCACGGCTTCATAATCCCCAGCCATACAAGGACGGATATGTCACTGGAGCCAGTCCACTGATCATCAGGATAGGACCTCGGCTAATCGACTTGGGGCGCCGACGCCACTCAAGCGGTATAAAGGCGTACGAAGAAGAAGAAGAAGAATGTTTGCATGGAGAAGAAACTCGTCTAAGGTGTTCAACGCGCAGTTCTTGACCAACGACAGTTTCGCGGACCAACAACTCTCCAATCATTGCATTATTCAGCAGAAATTCATACGTCGCCTAGAAGTTCCCTTTCAAACTCCAAACAAACCTCATTATAAAGTTCGTCGCTGATGCCCTGCTTGGCCATGATTTTGGTCTGAACGACTCCAGGGCTGAAATATTGTTTTTGAAATAGGCTCTGAAAATCCTTTATCACTTCACACTGTTGACCCGGACTCCATTATGAATGTAACGAGCTGCCAGGGCGCGAGTCAGTTGATCCAAGGCCGCCTTTGCAGCCGAATAATAAGGGGAAGAAGCCATCTGAATGAATCGGAAGAGTTGTTTTCAAACACCAAGTTTGAGACGAATATTGAATTATTGAGAAATTTCAAAATTTAACTCTTCTTAAAACCGCCAGAGTTGTCACGAGAGAGTTTTGGGAAAAAATAGCGCTTGATATAGACTAAAATTGAGGTACTCCCTACAGGAATTCAGGCTCTGACTCCTTAGCCCCTAATGCTTGAGTGGTCCCTATAGCGAAGTTCTGATTTGAAAGTTGCCACTCTAGGGGCCAATCTAGCGTTCCAAAGTCAATTATTTCAAAAATTTATTAATGCAATTAGTTTTAGAACATTCATCCTAGAACCTGAACAAAAAACTTCCCTGTCTTTTCCATTTTTCACGGAAAATTGGATATTAATATGAAGTTCTGTCTTTTGGAATTTTATTGAAACCTGATACAATTATTCAAAAATTTTTGCTTCAAAACTGAACTTTTTTTAAGATAATAATGTAATTTCTGCTTTTATAGTCTGTGTGCCACGACTTGAAGTTTCACGGAACGACATTCCGGTGTGCCGCTGCGCGCTTTTTGCGAACCTTGGTCGCGCTTTTTAATCTTTTTATTAAGGTACTCTACTCTCATGTGCTTCTACAGCAAGAAAAATCAATTGAAAGCGTGAGCCAAATTCAAAAGACGCTTCGCGAACGCGCGCAGCGGAACAGCGGAATGTCGTTCCGTGAAATTTCAAGTCGTTGCACACAGACTATATCAAGTTTTTCTTCCCTTTTCTCAGACCTCACATTCTCCTTCAGAAAGTACTGTTTTTCAATCGGAAGATTCCCAGAAAAAAAAATTAGAAAGAATTACCGAAACAGGAAGCGAAGCAATGCTGCTGATGTTGACGATTTCGCCCTTGGCCGAAATTAGATGAGAAATTGCGAGTTTGGTCAAATTGAGCACCCTCAACCCTTCTATTATTTTATAAAAAATGAAGAAAAAAAACTCACGATTTCACATTGAGGTCAATCGTGTAGTCCCATTCCTCGTTAGTCTGATCAAAACCGTGGCGTGGGGACATTTCCGGGAGACCTCCGGCGTTGTTAACCTGGAATGAAACAAATTGAACTGTAAATGAGAGTCATCAAAAAGGTACCAAAATATTGATCTTGCCGAACTTGGCAACAGTCTCTTCCACAAGGCTTTTCTGAACTTTTTCCTCTCGGATATCGCCCCTCACCACGAGGACATCGGACTCTTTGACCCCCGCATCGTGAAGCTCTTTTTGGGTTTCCTGAAAAGAAAACTGAAATTCTAACGAAAGTATACGTTTCTATCAAGCCAAAGAAAGCCAAAAAGGTTTCTCTGATCAAAAAAAAAAAAAACAGGTCCTGAAGCGGCATCCTTTCCTTCATCATCGAAAAGCTTCGAATAACTCACAAATTATCAAAAAAGTTCTGAAACAAATATAGTAACTCATGTTTCAGAAGCCAGAGGTCTGTCGAATAATGAAACAAACAGAAACTTTTTCCGAGCCTTTTGAAGGAACATAATTCTTGAATGATCATTGTTAACGACTCTTCCACTTGGGACCTTTATCAAATCCAACTATGCGCCTTTAAAAAATAAGAAATGGGTTTCGAATATTTGATATATACCTTGATGGATTCCTCATTCCTTCCATGAATGGTCACTTTAGCGCCTTCAGAAGCAAAAAGGACTGCGACAGCTCTGCCGATTCCATTCGAAGAACCTACAAAGAATATAACAACTAAACACAATATTTAACTTCAAAAGACCCACCAGTAACGATAGCGACCTTATTTTCAAACCGTTTTGTCATTTTTACAGCCAAAAGAGGACAACTAAGAATACAAGGATGAAAGATAAGGAACGGTTAAATATTGCGCATTTGTCAGCCAAAACTGATAAATTATCGAATGGACGATATATCATGATGAATGGTATGGTTATTGAACAGTTTGTACTGTTGAGCTCTTCATCTATTCATTTCTATCTTGTAAAAATTTGTTAGTGTAAAAAGTATATATATATATATATATATATATATATATATATATATATATATATATATATATATATATATATGTATTCAACTTTTAGAACCGTTTTTGGCTGATCAAATTTTTTTAAAAAATCGTATAAATCCCTGACCCTTCAAAAAAAGAGAACTGTGAATCGATATTATTTTTTTAAATAGTAAAAAAAGTTGGTCCTTTTTTTCAGAAAAAAATCTTTCTTTTTTTATTCAGGCAAATTTTAATTTCATAAATATTCAGGTAAAAAAATTGTCTTTTTTTCTTTTCTTTTTTTCTGTATAAAAAAACTGGTCTTTAAATGTTACAGAAAGCGTGAAAAAAATAAAAACTCCCCTAAATTTTTTTGAAAAAAAGATGTACATCTGGGAGTCATAAACAGGCGTTCAATAAAATTTTTAATATTGACTTACTGGAAGTCCCCGGAAACTCCGATAAAAATCCAAAATTCAAGGATTGAAGACAACACAATACTTTCCAATCAAACGATCATCTTTCAAAAAATTTCATTGCATAGAAAAAGTACATAAGGTTACAAATATAGACAATCATTGCTTTTGTTTGCCCAACGCGGCGAATTTCTTGCTGCTGGTGGACATGAGTCGCATGTTGAGATGGGAGCCGCCGTCGACGACGAGCAAATGGCCGACGAGGAAAGGCGACGCGTTGCGGTCGGCGAGGTACGCGATCGCCTTGGCGATATCGCTCGGGAGGCCGACGCGACCCTCCGGAATGTTGGAGTCTTCTTCCAGAGTCATTGCCTCCAGCTGAAATCGAGGGTTTTGTATTCAATATTCTGAACTGTTCCGAAGGGTAATTAAACAGTGAAAAATGGCTGTTTTGGAACAATTTAACGGATTTTTTCTGCTCCTTTGTTGATAACTCTGTCGAGAGAAGGCAGTTTTTGAGAACCGCTTGAAAAATTTTACAATTTGTTCAAAGAACTCCACTTTATTAAACTTTGACACCATTTTTCCTTAATTAAAAATACTCGCTGTCAGAAATATGTACAAGAGATAAATTATCAAAAAAATTTAAAATAATGTATTGATAAGCCTTACCTTTTTCCTGCAGGTCGCTGTCAACTCCTTGCTTCTTCATGATCGTTGTTCGGACCATTCCAGGGCTTAATATATCTTCTTTTTCTATAAGGAAATTGAAACCAACTTGACACTGTTAACTCGAACTCCCTGCTTAATGTAGTGAGTTCCCAAGGATCTGGTCAACTGGTCAAGACCCGCTTTAGCGATAGCGTAGTATGGAACACTTTCCGCCTGAATTATTAATTGTTTTCTGGATTATCAAACTATTAACTTACTCCAAAGTTCAATCCAGCGATGCTGCTAACGTTAACGACTTCTCCTTGCGACTTGATCAAGTGCGGCATGGCCAGCATCGTCAAAGACAAAACTCTGAAAACTCTCGACATTAAAAGACTCACCGAAAAAAAAAACTAACGATCTCAAGTTCAAGCCGATAATGTAGTCGAAATCCTCGATAGATTGCTCAAATCCCTTTCTTGGGCACAGTTCAACCATACCTCCTGCGTTGTTGACCTGAAAAAAACAAATAGAAACTCCAAGAAACTTCCAAAAAGGTCACCAAAATATCTATCTTGCCATGCTTGGCGAGGGTTTCCTCAATCAACTTCTTCTGGACGCTGTCTTCGCGAACATCTCCGCGTACAACGATAACATCATTACCACCAGCTTCGTGAACCTCCTTCTTGGCTTGCTGAAAGTTTATCACTCGGTAAAAAGGGGAGAAGAAAAGAAAATAGAAGAAAATGAAGAAAATGAAAAGTTCTTGCGTAAAAATATCAAAAATAAGGATAGCGCGCGCCAGTGTCAACTAATTACATTGTATTCCGCCGCTTAAGGGGAATTTTTATTTTATTTTCTTTCATTGGTTGTACAAATGTATTTTTTGTGATAACAACTTTTTCACTGTTTTAACTCATTTTATTAAAAAGCAATACCTCCAGGGCTTCTTCATTTCTTCCATGAATCGTCACAAGAGCGCCTTCCGCAGCAAAATGCCTGGCCGTTTCGCGACCGATTCCATTGGAGCTTCCTAAAACATTATGTCGAAGTTAGTTTGATAATTTTGTAAGAATATCTTTGAAATGTGTAGAAAAAAGACTTACCAGTAACGATAACGACTTTGCCGGCGAATTGGGGCATGATTTTCCTGCAAGCACTTGACATTAATTCTGTTTATCGTTTGATATTAGCTCGTAAAAAAGAAGAGTTATAAATTAAAATTTCGGTTTTAAGTTCACTATAAGGAGCAAACATAACAAAAAGTGGGGGAAGTTCTCCGTCTTTCTCTTCTTTTATATAATTCTTGCGAATGGGCGTGGCTTACTCTTGTGCTTTTCCCACGTGTTTTGTGCTGAACACAAGTCACAAAATTTCGAAATGTTGGTCAAAAAAATTATAGTTTTTGATCTCATTTAAGATTTAGAAACTACGAAAGGTATTTAAATAGTGAAGGATATAAATTTGAAGTTTGAGAAGTGAGCGCCATTAAGAGAGTTTTTTTTTCTCGCAGTAGGTTCAATAAAAATCGTTCAGGTTCTGTTTTTCAGAGCGAACTACATATTTTTTTGCAAAAAAAAAAACGGTGGCAAAGCTCTCAGTATATCATTCTGCGGCAATCGAAGATTTGATCAAAGTTCAAAAAGGAAGAAGATCTTAATATCGCAAAAAAAAAAAATGTTTAGCATCAATCTAAAAATTGCCAGCGGGAAAAACGAATGTAATAAAATGAGATGGCGTTGCCGTTGCCTAGTTATGTGCAGGTTGCTATGAGAAACCGCAGTACCGGGATTACTCCAGAAAATAAAAGTAAAAATTACGCTTTCAAAAAAAGAAAAAAATAAATTTTTTAAATGTAAATGGAGCCTTGCTAGAGTGTTCCAGGTAGCATTCAACAATTTTTTTTTTTTGGAATGTTTCTCACAGCAAAATATTTCTCCAGTGCTATTCTCGGTCATGCAAGTTTCCCGCGAATTTCCAAGTTTGATTTCATCAAATTTGAATTCAAAAAAAGTTCATCCAGATAATCTAGAAAGATCTGAAAAAAATTCGAAAAATTGACAATTTTTTTAAGCTTGAACTTGAAAAAATTTTGAGCATGTAAAACAAAAAGTTTCATTGAAAGAATCTGAATAGAGTCGAAAATTTTCGAAAAATTTGACGGTTGCGCTACAGAGCACAAATATGCTGCTTGGAAAAAGGTTCTCGGAAACTACTTTTGCAACTTGATACGATTGCGAAATTTCGTGGTTTGGCGCTGCTACAAAATACATCTCTAAGGGCCGATTTCGTTGAAACAATCGAAAACCACCCGATAACTGATAAAGAATACGTTTTTTTCCCCTGCATCTTTGATAAGAGCGATTGTTCGGAACGGTTTTGTGATTTGTAGTCTTTTTTAAAAGTTGAAAGAAAATTATAATTTCATTCACGAAAAGATGTCGAATTATTAAAGAAAGTAAAGCCGTTCCGAGAAATTTCGATGATAAATTTGGGAGTTCGGCACGCTCAGACGGCAAACAGAGAATGAAAATTCACGTTGTGTCAATAGATTTTGGGCGAAGTTTGATCTTTTTCGACCAACGGGGACGTTTTTCATGAGTGTTGAAATAAACAGACCCTCTGGCAACCTTTTTTGATGCGCTCCATTTGTCAGCATCATTGAAACTTCTCACTGGAGAGTCGGAACATGAATCAAACTTCAAGAAAAGTATAGTTCCTATCTGGGCAAAGTAAATAACATCGTGAACATTCAACGCATTTCGACACTTTTATCATCTTATCGCAAAAGTTTCGAGAAAAAGCTTACTCATGAAGAAATAATGTCTCCGGATCGAACAAACAATCCATGAAAATCAGAGAAATGGCAGTCGTGAGAGTAGTTTTGAAAGAAACTAATCCAAAAAAAATAATATTCCCAGGTTTTTGTAGTTTTCTTGTACTTCATAGGGGCCCTCTTTATTTTTTCCATGCCCAAAATCACTCCGAAATAGAAGAAAAAGAAAGAAAAGACGGGCGTTCACGAAGATCATTGCTTCATCAGTTGAAAATCGCGGGAAAAAAATGATCCTTTTCTCTTCCAATAGTTTGGGACATTGGTATCGCGAAAACACGCTCCGGACAATTCTGGGCATTTCTAGGGACCACTTTGATAGCGAAAGCACTCTTAAGTGATCCCTAGAACTTCCCAGAACCGTCCGAGCGCGTTACAAATGTCCGAGTTACAAATCAATCACAATAATATGAATAATATAGAAGAAATTCATCATTTTCTTTTTATTAGCTTCGAAATTAGTCAGGAACTTTTGTGTTTTCACTTAATTTCGGGCATAAATGGTAAAAAATGTAGCGATTGCTCTGTCAGTTTGACGGTTCGAAACGAAGTTTAAATACAAACTTGTGACATTCTATAGCTGCGTCCGACTTCTTTTTTGGTGAAGAGATGCTTCCGGGCGTCAGTATTTTCATGCCCGGTGCACTGAAAACAAAGCCTTGGTGGTCCGCGACATATTAAGTTTTGTCATTTTTTTTTCCGAGAAACTTCTATAAGATGATACGATATGACACCACAAAATGTTCGAACTACCCTACCGGAAGCTTTTCTGAAAGTGCACTGATATTTGAAACTTTCGCAGAACTCGCACTGAAGTCATTATCTCATTTCAACATGATCAAAGCTTTGAAAAGCAACCTTTTTGCGTTAATTTACTCATGCCATTTCCAGAGACAGGTGCATTTTCCCACCTGTTTTTTTACTGCCGTAGGTGTCAGATATACCATCTTTTCAAAATATCTTTCTACGTTCTAGAAACGTTCTAATATTCATTTTTATTCACTGTTTTTTCATTCATGGGACGCTGAAACGCACAGATTACTGTGGAAAAGCTGAATTTATTTTTCTGGTTGTAATTCTTCATTTGTTATTTTTTCAAGTTTTCACTGTGGATCGCTGATAATTCAACTATGGAGCTTATAAGATTTCTCAACAAACCAGCCGTTAACTTTACGCTCGAATTTTACTTCCGAGGCTTTTATGACGCATACGTTTTTCATGAAAGCAGGTGAGACTTGAAGTTTTTTGTTGGATTTTTGTGGAAAGTAGAAAAATCAGAAAGAACTTTGAACGGAGGAATGCAAGTGGGAAAGGTCCTGACAGCATCCTTCACGGAAATATTGAATTTTTTCATTCCAAGTTTGAAATTTCTTGAATAACTACCAGGAAGCTCTATAAGTCCAAACTCGAATTTCTTCATTGAATTTCCTATAGGAGCTAACACAAAGCGCTAACTCAAGCTACTTTTAAGGCGTTACCAAAAAAAAGCGACCTTCAAAATTTGATTATTTCAGAATTCAATAAGTCTGGAACTCTTTCAGTCTAATGACTCTCCTATTCAGTCAATTAATCTTCAGGTCATATTTCATCATAACTAATTCATTCACAATAATTTTACCCACCATTGGTATCCTTCTATCGGCCTTCACTTTAAGAGTCATGGTTATTTCGTCCTACCTCAACATGAAAGAATACCAAAGGCTTTTGATGGTTCAAGTTGTATTCGCCAATTTCGCTGCCTTCTTATTCGCTACTTCAACAATTTATCAGATTTATCCCTACCCAGTTTATCTCTCCCATTATCCACAGTCTCTGATTCCCTATCAAATGATGCTGGTATTCAGCGCCATCGGACTTTGCATAGCCCTATTGAGCTACAGTTTTCTGCATAATTTCGTCGTCTGCTCTCAGATAACGTGTCCTTGCTTTTCCGACTGGAGAACTTCCCTGTTGTTTTCCAAACTTTTTGTCCTCTGTCTGACGTTTTCCGCCTTCGTCTTGTCGTTTTTCTTAATTTTCACGGGATTGGAAATGGATATGAGCTTTACGCAAGCCAAAGTTCTGGAAATGGATCCGAGGATGAGCTATGTGTTCTCGCGACACAACTTTTTCATCCCCCATATCAGTTGTGCGATGCTCATTCTGCTTATTGTTGATTCGCTTGGAATGCTTCTACTTCTGGTACTGTGCGTACTTGTTCTGGGAATGTGAGCTTTTTGAAAAAATTAAAAACAATTCTTTTTTTTTAAAGCGAGCTCAGACTTTTTTTTTGTTACAAACGGAATTTTTAAAAATTTTGGAGGAACACATGCGATTTGTTTTTTTTTGTTTCTGGCAAGGACAATGATTTCACCTCGTTGTTTGAGATTTTCCAAAAAGTTTCCTAAACACTCTTTGAAGGTCCATATACGATTCTTCATGATAAATACCTATCAAAAGTTTCAACTTTGGAATTATGCTTTTCTAAAGGAGTTCAGCTTGAAATCAGTCTTGCAGCCAGTATTTTGCAATTCTGAAAAGCATATCCTAAAGTTGCAATCCCAATTTTCAAAGCAAAATGACCTCTTACACTAAATATCTTTCACAATGTAAAAAACACCCCAATTTTAAATTTTATTCATCTCACAGTTCAACTTTACAGGAACTATTTATACATTAAACGACGTAAGTACAAGATTTCCACTGCTGTACAGCGACAGCAAACATTGATATGGATCCTGGAAGTTGTCCACCTTTTCCTACTTCTCGCCATTGTTTTTCCATTTGCCTTTGTCGCTGTAAGCCCATTCGCCGTACAAGTCTTGGGAGCCACTGTGTGAGCACTTTTCTTGCTTTTTCAGATTTGTGAAGGATAATTTCAGGATCCCTTCAATGCTCTTTTCTTGGGTACCTCTCTTATTAGTGCCAACCATAATTTGTTGCAGCTTGTTATTTATCATCAAGCCGTATCGGAACACTACAGTAACTATACTTCGTAAACTTCGGGGCCTTGGTGCGATTATCAAGCCTGAAAAGAACTTCTCGACCTCTCCGATCATTTTAACAGTGCCATAAATTTTTTTCCGATTTTTTGAAAAAGTCGGACTTTTGAGGCGCGGAAGATTACCCTTTAGAGTTGTATCAGTAGAAAATTTGAAAGGAACAGTTCAGAGTGTGGTCAAGAGAGTAGCATTTCTAGGTATGAAAATGGATCACTATTGAACGCTAACCATAAACATGAAGGGATGTAAGAACTTGGGAATGTTCATTATTTTTCCTTCAATAAGTCTTGTCGAATAATGCTCAAAAATCTTCAGACAACTATTATGATTTTTCCATTTTTACAGTGTCTAGGAACACTGGAAGGCTTCCAAAAAGTTTGAATTTTAGATCGTCATTAGGCAGGGGCATAATATCATTTTTCTTCCTAGGTGTCGAAGTTGTCCAATCCGCAGACGATTTGAACTAAAAATTTTTGAAAACTATTCAATGTTCCTAGACACTGTTTAGATGGAAAAATCGCTAATTTGTAACTCATAAAACACATGTATTTAGAATACCCCAATGATTTTTAATTAGTTGCTAACTCCAATGGTACTGTGTTGAATTTCCGATATACAATCGAGTTTTTGTAGTTTTTACAACGCAGATATAATAAGAAATAGTTCATTTCTTTGGCATTGATGCAATATTCGAGTTCAAAATGTACAAATAAGTTTTCGTCGAGTCTTCGAGGGCTCTACTTGCGGCGACAGCACTGTCCGTTTCCGCAGGGCGAGTAGTTCTGCTGGCATCCGCAGGAGCTGGACGGCGTCTGCTGGCAGGGGGTCGTAGCTGGCTGGTAGGCGGCACAGGTGTTGGCGCAGGACTGTTGGCAGGCCGGCTGGCACTGGCTGGCCGACTGTTGAGTCTGGCACTGCGACTCACATTGCTGCTCACACTGAGGAGCACACTGCGGCGAGTTGATCACGCTGGCCTGGAGGCTGATCTGGACCTGGTAGTTAGGAGCCTGAGTAGTGGTGGAGGTGGTCATTGGCTGGCTGCAGGCGGCCTGGCATTGGTTGCTGCACTGGTTGTTGCATTGGTCGACGGCGTAGGTCTGCTGGACGCACTGAGACTGGCATTGCTGCTGGCAAGCTGGTTGGCAGGACTGCTCGGCGCTGATGTGGAGCTGGATCTGGACGACCTGAGGAGCCTGAGTGGTGGTGGTCATAGGCTCTTGGCACTGGCACTGCTGTTCACACTGAGGCTGGCAGTACTGGGTTGGAATCTGCTGCTGGACGCATTGAGAGTTGCACTGCTGGACACATGGAGCACATTGAGGAGCCGGCGTCGTGGTCGTGGTCGTGGTCGTCATGGTGGTGGTCGCAGGAGGAGCACAGCTAGGAGTGCAGGAGGATTGGCAGGTTTGCTGGCACTGAGGGACCGATGGAGCAGCCTGGCAGGACTGTTGACAGCTTTGCTGGCAAGCCGACTGGCACTGGGAGGCTTGAACCTGGACCTGCTGGACTTGCTGCTGACAGCCGCAAGACTGAGTCTGCTGCATTGGAGCTGGAGCAGATTGGCAAGAGCAAGTCATCTGAGGAGCGGCGGTCGTCGTGGCGGCGTACACCGGCTGGGAGCACTGACACGTCGGCTGTTGTTGTTGAGCCGTGCATCCGCATTGACGTTTCTCGCGGATTGCGCTTCCCTGAAAATTTGAGCTTATTCATAAAATCTAGCTGCATCAAGAAACCGAAACAAGAAGAGCTGTAGAGGCGAGAAGAAGAGCAACCGTTGAGAAACGCATTTTTTCCTGCCCAGATGAAGTGATGCCGAAGAAGCTCGGATTGTGTCGAACCTTTCTTCCGGCCGCTCTTTTATACAGCCGCCGGGGGACGATGCTCCAGACCGGTGTTTACGCGGAAAGTTTCCATTGCCCTCTCGGGGGGTGCAAAAAAGCCTGGCTGAAACGTTTGTGTATGTTCTTGTGCGACGAGTGTTCAGAGGCCGCTCGGAGGGGTGATAAGCCGCCGCACCGACCAATCTTTTGGCAACTTGTCCGGCGCGAGGAGGCAATTCACCGAGACGCTTCTGATTTTTGATGTAACAAGCAGCTGGAAATTTTATTGCTATCGAAGTATTTACAAAGAAAAAAAAAGCGGTGGTTTACTGGTTCAGGATGTGAGAAGCATTTTGTTCCATTCATAAAAATTACTTTTCACTTTACAAGTTAACAAAGATAATCATTGGGCAATTAAAACCGGATAAGTTTCAAAATAATTTGAATAAATTGGTACTCTTCAAATTTCTAACTTCACAATTAGGGCAAAAAGTCTTTTTTAAAAGGAGAATAGTTTTGAAAAAAAGTTTAGAATTTGAGAGTTATTTTATAAGAAGATCAGCTTTATGAGGACTTTTCACAGTCAAAACTGTATTTTTGAACATTTTTTTTTCCAGATGTTTGTCAAGTGGAAACCTTGATAGGCGTTGAAACTAAATTCTTACTGATTTAGCTAGTTTTTTTTCTCAAAAGTTGTGATGGTAAAATTCCTTCAATATTTGGCTATTCAGAAATAAGAAAATATTTTTCATTTGTTTGTATAAAAAAAAAATCATCCTATCATTGTCGGATTCAAGCGGTTCTGAATGAGCCTTGACATAATTTTGTCCTTTGGAATCACAAAAGTATTAATATTTGGTATCACGTGTCCGAATCCGATATGACGATCAGACGCCCAGTTGATATGCTGGAAAAGACAAAATATTGGAAATAAAAATTGAAAAGTATACTTTTTGAGCGTAGAATCCACGTTCGGCTGGATCGGATAATGTTAGAGGGTATTCCAGTTCAATGATTGTGAAAGAGGCTCCTCCCCCTGTGTTTCATAATTTTGAGGTTAAGTATAAAAAGAAAAACCTTTGAAAATCCCACGACCGTCCAAATCAAACAGCTCGTTTACCCCGGGAATCGGAAGATCCATATGTCCTGAAGTCAATATTTTTTTCGAAAGCCAGGGAAAGATTAATTATTTGAAAGTAAAAATCTCTTTGAAAAGTTTTAAAAATCATGAAAGTGAGTAGAATTTGAAATAGAGAACGATAGTATTAGTTCATTCAAAGGGGGAGAAATGAGAGAACACGGAAGAGATTCCAGGAAATGAGGCATTTTCTTTACTTGTCTGGCTTCTCTCAAAAGTGTTGTTCTTTCTCTCGCTTCTGCCTTTTTTTATAGTTTAACTGTATAGTTCGTCCGCCGCGACTTGACAGTTTTCGAGTGTCTGCGTCTCTCTGTTCCCTCACCCGGGAGGTTAGAGAAACATGAAAATAGCAAGTCAACTTGAGAGGGTCGCTGAGAGAGGAGGAGGGCGCAGAGAGGTCCCGCCCTTTCAAGTCGCGAAAAAACGGACTATATTAAGATTAAAATTGAAATTTTTAACAATATATCATACTAATTTTCACCTTCAACCTCACGAATTTTCGACGGATCATATTCTCCGCCAACAGTAAAAGCCGTGATGAAAGGCTGATAAGTGCCGTCGTGTTGACTGACAGCGTCGGCAAAGGCGTCAAAATTACGACGAACGGCCAAATTTAGGGCATTCACGCCCTAAAATTTTTTTTAGTTAAAATGTTTTCATCGAAAGTTACTCTGAAATTTCTCAGTTTTTAGGCCTAATAAGCCATCAGAGACGACATTCAGCATTCGAAAAAAATATTAGAAAAAAAGTGAGTAAAAAAAGTTGATTTTCTAATATTTTTGAGCAGAATTTTTTCTTGCAATTAGAAAGCCTAGAATGGACTGGACCTAATAGTAAAATCCAAAAAGTTGGAAATGGATTTATCATACACGAAAATGAAAATAACTAACGCTGACAGCGAATCCAGAACCCCAGGAATCGGAAATATCCTCACTGTAGGTGGCAGAAACGGCTTGAGTGAACGGGTTGAACGCAGATCTGAAGTTAGAAAATTCCAAAAGGAAAATCAGCTTTTTAAAACCTTCCGGAAAACTCTGCAAATTGGCCAGGTAGATGAACGTCGGGCACGGTTTGAGGCTTTCTTTCGAGCTTAAATTGATTTCAAACTTGTTTTTTTACTTTCCGAGGTTTTGAAATTACCTTATTCCCCGCAATGTAAAGTCCTGGCAAGAATGGAGCCGTTCTTTCATCAGCGGTCCCTGTGGGAAGCTGTAAAAGGCCTAAACCTCGCGGCCGGTCTCGTAAATAAGCGGCTAGAATGTTTTAAAGTTCTTTGAAATTTGAGGGAAGTTTACCTCGACTTTGAACGACTGGAGCCGAGTAGAATACTGATAAAAGGTATAGTAACTGAAACATGGCCAAAATGGATTGAGATTGAGGTAAATGGGTCAAGATAATGAGTTAGAACCGGTAAAAGCTGTGGGAAGCAGGGAGTATTGTACTGGGACAAAGGCTGTTTTTTAACGGTCCTGAGATTTCTAAGGTTGTTTTTCCAAATTTTATTCTGACAGGGGTTAAAATTTAAGTTGGGAGCTTGGAATTTTCTTCAATCCTGTTCAATGACACTTGATCTAATTTACGGAGATATCTGATTCTCTTTTCCAAAAAATATAGTTTTGAAGATTTTTGGCACAAGATACAATACGCTACAACTTCGATAATTCAAATTCCCAAAAAATGAAATTTCCCTTTTAGGAATTTATCAGCCCTTCATATCTACACCTTTAAGCATATTAGACATGAATCAATAAAAATTCCAAATTCCAACCAAAATGTCCTTCTTCGTTAAAAAGAAGCCCAGTTTGACAGTCATCAAAGAAATCAAAGACGCGTGAAAAACTCTTGAGCAAACAGGGAGAAGTTCACCGAAAAACCACGATTGCAGGAAGTTCACTCGCCGATCATTTCTATTCAACGTCCTCATTTTTTCAAGTCTTGTAAACACGCTGTATTTGCCAAGTAATTTTTAAATAGATACTCTGTTTGTTTTGGAACCGAGGAAAACTTCGAAAATCATCCATCAATCTGTAGAATTGAGCTGAACGAAAATGATGAAAGATTTAGAACTGGGTTTCAAGAGAACTTTGTATCAAGCTTACTGGGTTGATGGAAAATTTTTATTCGAGATAAAGAGAATAAAAAAATATTGGAAATATTTCAAATTGCTTGACTTATTCATAGAAGAGAGTGCGCTCTAATGAACGAAAAAAGAATTTTTTTAAAAATTTTAAAATTTTATAAAAAAACCTTTTTCAAAGTTCCATATTTTTCCAACTTCGGGAATATTTAATAAATAGAAAGCTGTCTATATTTTTTTTGATTTTTTTCTTTCTTGAAATATCGATTTTATTCAAATATAAAGAGATATTTATGAAAAAAAGACTCGATTCGCAACACTTTCGGACTTTTTTCAATTTTTCAAGGTTTTTTTTCTCTTCTCTCTTGGTCCACGTCATTTGTTTCTTTGTACGAGTGATTTTTTGTTTCAAAAAAGAGTTGGGAGATTAACCGTCAAATTGGATCCGACCTCGCCAAATCGTCCGTTTTTTTCCCCTACTGCCCCCAACTCGTCGTTGCAAACTTGCATTGTTCGCCTTGTTCGGGCTAGTTTCGAATGAATTTGTTCCAAAAATCACGTCATTTTTCTTTTTTGACCTTGCTTGAAGAGGTTACGCACAACGTCATTGAAGCAAGTTTAGCAAAGAAAAACCTTTTTTTTAGGAAGTTAAACTTTGATTCTCTTTGGAATTTGTGACGTTTGTTTTTTTTTTTTGTTTTGAATGAATGGCTCGAAAATGAGTCATGGAGTGAGGAAAAAGAACAAAAGCACTTGAAACTTGAGTGTTTTTCTACCAATTTCCGAAAAATACTCTGGGGAAAAGTCCCATTCTTCAGTTGAAACAGCTATTTTATTGCTTTTGTTGTCTTCTATGACCTCATTAATCTCCGAAAATCACTCTGTTAATGATTTTCTCGTTAAACAATAAAACTTTCGAATAATTGAAAAGAAGAAAAATAAAAGTTCGACTTTTGGTTGTGAAAAAAGCATTTTTAGATTCATTCAAGTTTCATGATAATGTTTATTTTGAATCTTTTAAAATTCAAGTGCGTGGACAGTGTTTTTCTAATGATAAGAATATCAATATGTGAGTCATTTTGTCGAAAAACGTGAATTTGTTGATGAAAACAGCTTCCAAAAGTCGGAAACTGTTATTTTTCACTTTATTTTTAATCCCACCGAAGACTTGAATGTCTCAAAGTTTCCTTTTCCAACTTGCTTCTGCAAAATGTTTGTTTTTGTCAACAGAACTCTGATAAGAAATGCAGTACTTTACGTCCGGTCATGCAAAAAAACTTGTTATAAATGGAATCTCACTTTCTCATCTTTCACTACAAAAAAAAAGCGATTTTTCCTATTATTATTATTACCAAAAAAATCGTGCAATTGATCTCTGAGCAATGTGACACCTGCTCAATGTAAATATAACCATGTCTGTATCACGAAAAAAATATTTTTGCATCCCGCCACGAGTTCAAAGCTTCCATTTTCATTTTTATTCTATTTTTTTCTGTGTCTGGTTTGGAATAAAAAGAAAGAAAAACGTCAAAAATCAACATTGGTTGAGTCACTTCTCGCTATATTTTGGGAGCGTGCTGCCAGAGGTCACGCCTATTTTTTTTTTGTTCCTTGGGTAGTATTTAAAAGCCATTCGAAAGGATAATATTTTGAGTTCAGAAGTGCTTTTGTAGAGAAAAATAGTAGATTTTTGTCTTTTCCCATGATTCTTATTTTTATAGATATCAGAATTCGGGAGTTTATATGAGAAAATTTTGAACTAGCCTCTTTGAAAACCATTTTAAACTTCCAGACAAGAAATAATTTTTGCGTTCGTGGTATAGTATTTCCACACAAGGGTTATCAAATAAGAAATTTTATTTTTTTCTTTTATGGAAACCTTCTCTAATATCATGCATTTTCTGTGAGATTTGTGACCATAACCTTATTCCTCACTCAAGCTACTGAAAACATTTCTTCTTTTTTTCCATTTTCCGTTTTTTCTTTCTTTCTTAAAAAGCCTTCCATTATTATCGTTCAGAAACAACTGCAAGTGATTTGGCCGGAAGATGATTCAGTACTTGGTTAGTGTTACATAAAGAAAAAAGCAAAAACCTTCAATTTTTTCAGGCAGCCCTCATTGTGATATCATCGGCACTTTCTTTGCCTCCGCCGCAAGATTGTGGGTTTTTTTTTTTCAATTTTTGACAATTTTCGAAAAATTCCTCATTTTTTCGAATAGAAAGAACATTTTTTGCAGCCGGAGCATCAGAAAAATGTGGTCCCAATGAAAAATTCTTCGACTGCGGCACACCCTGTGAGAAAACGTGCGAAAAACCGGAGCCGGTAAACTCTTGAAAACCGGAAATTGATGTATTTTTAAAAAAATTCTAGCTGTTTTGCAACGCTATGTGTGTCCGCGGATGTCAGTGCGACTTTGGTTTTCTGAGAAATAAGGACCGTAAATGCGTGGCGGCCGCCGAATGCAATCAGAATGGAACGAGTCGTGAGTTTTCAATCCCTGGCTTGCTTTTTTCATATTTCGTCCGGGAACTTTAAAATAAGCTTTTTCTTTACCTCCGCATGCATTTCATAAAAAATTTCAAAATTTCTTTTTTTCCTGAATGTCTGAAGTTGGACAAAGAAGGGAATTGGTCTAGAGAATCTTGACTTTCATTTTTTTTAGAAAATTCTTTGGAAAGAGGTTATTCTGAAGCTTTTTTGTGAATCTTTATGGTATTTCTAAGAAGCCTGACTTTTTTTATTTATACTGTAGAACAGTTTCATTCCCATTAGGAATCCGAAATTTATAGAATTTCTTATTAGACCAAAAACTATGAGCTTCAGACGCCGGTCCATCCTGTGAATTGGTCGATTGCAAAAGCGGCTACATTTGCCAGATGGACAACGGCGCGGCCAAATGTGTTCCTCGTGAGACTTTTATACAATTTACAAATCAAAATTTGAACTTTAGAAACTTTAACGACTCAGAACGGAAAAATAGTCTTTAAAAATGTATCAAAACTTTCGTTTGTAAATTATTAATTTTTTCTTAACTCTTACCAGAAGCTCGAAATTCTTCGAAAAAAAGAAACCTTTGCAGAACCAACTTTGAGCTGCGCTTCGACTCTTTGCGCCAATGCTCACCGTTGCGAAGACACCCCGACTGGCCCCAAATGCGTTCCTATTGGTCAGCAATCGTTTCAAAAATGAAAAAATTTTCATTTATAAGACAGTGCGAAAATTCTGAGTCAGATTGTAACTAAAAAAAAATGAAAAAAAATATAAATTTCTAGAAAACGCAGAAAAAAACTGAAAGGGATTTCCCTTAACTATATTTTCAACTTGAAGCTTTTCTGACGAGATTTTTGATTTCCGTCCTTCCTTACTCTTCTCTTAGGCCGCTCTCTAGCTTACCGAAGATTATAGGCAATCCTAAACTATACTATTTTTCATCTTTGGGTTCGTTTGTACTTTCAGACTTTTCAGAGAAAAACAACGACCCGAAGATCACTTGCGCGAATGTCCGCTGCGCCGGCGGCGAGTGTCAAATGGTGACGAACCCTTGCAATGGAACCGATTGCCGTTTCACACCGAGATGTGTCACGGAAAATGGTTAGTTCAGGGGGATCGTGAGCTCGAAGAAACAGCTGTATGTCTGAAATTATACAATTCGGGGAGGCTTGTGTGTCAGGCCAACTCGGGCTTCAAACCCTAATTTTTTTGCGAAGAAGTCTGCTTGGGTCAGGCAAGGCTTCGAGGGGGGCTTGGTTCGTGTCAAGTTTTTTTTTGGATTTAAGGTGGAAAAATAACCAAATCTTCGTCGGGCTTAAAAAATTACCTGATTTCTTAAGGAATATCTTTTTCCAGCGTGCGCTGCAACCACCTGCGCTGTCGGTAGCCAATGTGTCCTGGTCCAAGTTCAGTGTTTCGCTCCTCCCTGGTAAATTTTCCGATCAATCAACTGAAATAATTTGAGGAATTATAAGTCGGAAATAACTTTTTCTTTAATTTTCCGATTGATAAGTAGAACTGTGATCAAAATTAATCTTTTTTTTTTTAATTTTTCAAGGATTTTGCAATGGATAAGAAAATGATTTGATTTTCGGATTGCGATTAAAAGTTTCAAAAGATTCCAATGAAAGGATTCCAATGTTTACAAGTCTCATAAGTTTTATTTCAGCCCACCAATCGCCCAATGTTTGAATCTGAACGAGAGCTCCGACAAGTGCAAGGAGAATGAGGTATGTTTCAGTGTTTTTTTTTATAGGAAACAACCTTTTTTGTGTTTTTTCGCCTTAACTTCTCATATCATTTCGCAACGAGTATAATGATTATTGGAGTTCTGACGTACGTATAATTGAAAGCAAGCCAATCAATCAATCAATTTATTTTTGCGATGCGACGCAGCAAGAGGAAAAAAGAATGACACCAGGAGGATTAATTTCGTGCTCAAAGTGATTTCGCGGAATAAAAAATAGCCGTCAGAGAAAGAAAAAGATAACTGAATTTTGGAGAGTCAGAGATAATTTTGCGTTTTGCGGCTATCACTTTGAACACGGCGTAACAGACGCATTATTTCAACTGTTTTGCCTGATTTTTCCACTTTCAGGTCTTCTCAGAGTGTCACAACTCGTGCAGCGAGCCCAAGTGCTTCCCACAGAACAGAATGGTACAGAAAAAAAAAGAATAATAATTGGTTTTGAAAAGAATTTCTTCAAGGCTTGTCCCATGGTCTGCTCGACGGGTTGTTCGTGCGCCGAGGGATTTTTCCGCGATTTTGAGGGCCGATGCGTTCCGCAGTCCGAGTGTCGCCAAGGTGATTCCAAGGGGAAAAAAATTAGATAAGATGAAGTTTTTTTGAAATTCATTGGACGTAAACCCAGAAGAATCGGAATAGTTTTTAGAATTAGAAAGGAAAATCATGCTTATTTTCTAGAACATGAATTTTTCCGAAAAAGAGTTGAAAATAAGATTTTTGGTATATTGAAAATAGCCGCTGTTTTCCGGTTTCCGCGAATCTTCTTATTATTTTGGGACACTTTGAAAACATTGCATCGATGTTTTTTAGAGTATAGGACAAAAGCGCCGATTCCAAGAGCGCCGTTCAAATTTAGCGCCAGTCCGCAATGCGCCGTCGCGTGTATGCGCCGTGTATGCAGACGCCGCTTTCTTTTGCGCCGAGTCCGTTTGCGCCGAATCGTTTTGCGCCGTTATTTCAAACTTTTATTTATTCGCTCTTTTTATATTATTTTTTAATAATTGTTTACTACACATTCATATACGACTCGAATAATTTTCGCGCCATCCGTTAATGATGAGTTTTAGGTCCACTTTGGTCCAGGTAAATTATTTTTTCCCCTTTTTTCTTTTCAAAGTAAAAATAAAAAAGCAAATATGCTTTTCTGATTTCGAAAAATACAGAAAACGAAAGAAGAAGAGAATGGATAAAAAAAATTATTGCTTTAAACGACATATTGAGGGATTTTTTTTGTGGTTGCAAATTTTCTGCGTTAGGTAAGGCAAAGTTTCAATTCTAGCAGACGTGAAACAGCAGAAAATCGTTTTTCGTAACGTTGAACTCATTTTCTTGAAACAATAGTTCGAGTTTTTTCGAAAATGCGGCAGAAAAAGTCCATATTAACAGATGGCGCGAAAAATTATTCGAGTCGTATATGAATGTGTAGTAAACAATTATTAAAAAAATAATATAAAAAGAGCGAATAAAAATAAAAAAAGTTTGAAATAACGGCGCAAAACGATTCGGCGCAAACGGACTCGGCGCAAAAGAAAGCGGCGTCTGTATACACGGCGCATTGCGGACTGGCGCTAAATTTGAACGGCGCTCTTGGAATCGGCGCTTTTGTCCTATACTCGTTTTTTATTTTGTGTTCCTGAACCTCTTCCACATTTTCGAATCAAGAAAATTAGAAAAAAAATAATCAAAATAATCCTGAAAGTATAAATTTGAATCGTGAATAATTTTCTATTACATTAAGAGCGTCCGAAAAATTTCTTAAACTTCAATTTTTTTAAAAATGATTTTTTTACCACTTTGAACTCCTGAAAGACTTAAAAGGCGTTTGCTAGAAAAGGACTTTTTTTAAAAATTTATATAACATAGTTCTCAATTTTCACTCATTCATATCATCTTCCTAGCCTAAGAGAGATTTTTCATCTGATTTTGAGAAACCCTCAATCTTAAAATTGACAAATTTTGATTTGTCTTCTTTCAAAAGAAATTTCTAGATTCAAAACGCTTCTAGGCTCGTTTATGAGATCTCAATGTCTCGTATAAAGAGTTTATTGCCCAGTTTATTGCAATCTTTGTCTGTTTATTGAAATCGCTCGCGTTTCTGTTTTTTTTTCGCTCGTCGAGAGCAAGGAAAAAAGAAAAAATATATGGTGCGTGGAATCGGATTCGGAAACAAAAAACCAGATAGGAAATGGTTTTGTTGATCCATAAAAATGGCGTGATCATGGGCGAAGCTCATGGAAAGCAGACTTTTTGAACAAAAAGATCTTTGAAAATCGGAAAGTTACGATTTTTGACAGAGCTTCAGAAGTGCATAGATTTTGAAATTAATATATTATTTATTCAACAAGCCCAAAAAAATTGCCCCTGTTCACTTTAAAGCGTGTAAACGCGTTGCGTATACAAATGTTAATTTTTGATGCTATACAAATGTTAATTTTCAGTATTTTTTTTTTCATCCGGTATCATCCGGTAGGGAATTAGAAGGAACCTGAGACATACCGATTCTAAATCAATCGAGAAAAACGTCTTTTTTCATTTTTGTAAAGTTAGAACGCTTCTTAGTTTTCTTCAGATAAGAAATGAGGTTTTTGGCGTTCTTGAGGCGTCATAACTTTACTAAAAGGCGTAAAGAGGAGATTTTTTATAGCTGGTTTGAAAAAGGGTCTTTTGAAGTACATTTCTGCGAAGTTTCAGAAAATTATGAACTAAACTCTTTGTACAATTTCCGTTCGAGACTTATTATATCAATAACTTTGTTTTAAAAAAATAGAAAGTTGAGTTGTGCCACATCTAAAGAATTTTATGTGATTTCTTGTTCCGAAAAAGTATACTTATAAGTTTTTTTTAGATCCTAACCACGGATGTGCCCTGATGAGATGTACTGCTGAGACGAGATGTATTGATAATCCGGATGGTACTGGATCTTGTGTTCCCCTCGACAAGCTTCCCGGCGGTGGTTAATTGAGAAAAAAGTGGCAAAAATAATCTAAATTTGTTCAGTTTGCAAATTGAACGAAGAACGGAGAGAATGCGGAACGGCGTGCGAGCCGAGCTGCAAGAATCCATCTCCAGTTCGTTTTATAATTTTTTTTTCCAGGGAAATAATAAAATTTAGAGTTTTTTTCTGAATATACTTTTGTGAATTTTCATGTTTCAGGTGGTTCGATCTTTTGAAATTTTTTAACCATAGTATACACAGTACACAGAATATATTTTGCTCTAAAACTTGATTGTTTTCGCTTTTTTGCTTTGAGACCTGTGAACGGAAGGTATACGGTATTTTGATTAAAAATAACATGAAAAGCTGGCGCAGAATAAGCTATATATTCGCGTAAAATTTTCTCAGACTCTCCAAAATCTGGTTATCTTTTACACTCCCTGACGGTTATTTGGCAGTGTGCGGAATCAATTTGAACACTGCATTAGAAATAATTGGACCGTAATGGGACCAAGTTTAAAAGTTCAATTCTTATTATTTCACTCTTCAAATTTTTCCCAATTTTAACGAGTATTGAACTTTAATGTTATTAAATTCAAAGGAGACCCTCAATTTTCAGTCCAATAATCTTAAAAAAAACATTCCTGCAAGCCCCAACAAGGCATTTTTTTTTCTCGTTTTCGAGAAGCTTTTAGAAGAAAAAGAAGACGATTCCGCCATGAAAAATAATATCCTTCCGTGGCAATAAAACGTCAAAAATAGAATCCATAAAAATCTACAAAATTTTGATTTTTTCGTCAGTCTTTTGCAATACCTTCTACAGGATCCAGGAAGAATAGAAAGAGGATTTGAAAAGAAAAAAATCGAGTCGAAAGAAGTTGAGCAAAAAGAGGATAATTGTGTTAATAAATGAAACAACAGACGATGAATTTGACAAGTTTTAAGATAAATTATTGGGAAAAATTGATATCTTGAAAATCGTTGAAAATTGATCAGTAGTGTATAAAATATTAATTGAGAAGTCGGAGCATTTGTTGGTTGATAAATTAATTATTAAGAAACTTTTTTTAATCAATTGAATATGATTCAAACGAGATATGGGATAATTTCTAAATTTGAGAGCTTTTTTTCAAGGAATAAATATATCAATTTTGAAAAGAGAACTTCTAAATTTATTTTTTTCCAATTATTACAGCAAATCTGCACCCTGCAATGCCTCGTCAACGTTTGCCAATGTTCCGCCGGATTCTATCGTTCTGAATCTGGAAGTTGCGTAACGCTGGACCAGTGCAACAGCACAGCACCCGGTAATAATGATCCGCCCCTTTCGCTGTATCGTTTTTTTGATGCCATTGTACAAATAAAGTTATAAATATTAAATTATAAACTTGACCTTATGCTTGAAATTTGAAGTGAAAAAAATTATCTTTGAACGGGAAAGTTGAAGGTTTTCCTTTCTTAGTTCACTTTGAAACAAGGTTCGATGAAAAGTTTATACACAAAAAAGGATTTTTCAGGCCAGGTTTTGATAAGTTTTATAAGCCCTCGTGAGCTGAAAGAAATTTTAAAAAGTCAATAAAATGGTCAGAAAAGCCTTCATGTCGTTCTCCAATTTTATCATTTGAAAAATTTTTTTCATCGAATTTTTTACTCGAGTTCCATCATTTAGACATTGTCAGATCCATATTTCTCTGTTTGCATAAACTTAATTTTCAATTTTAACTCTTATGTTAACATTAAATCTCCCAAAAAACAATTTTCCAGCCTTCCCCGACTGTTCCAATGCTACCTGTCCAGCTGGCACAAGTTGCCAACAAGTCATGGTCAACTGTTTCGCCCCGCCTTGGTGATCATATTCATCAAAACTCATTTATAGCATATTTTACAGTGAATCCCCACTGATCCAATGCTTGCCAGATGTTTCTCCAGCTCCTGTTGATCCCAGCAACGATACCTGCGGCCCTAACGAGAACTTCACGGAATGCTACAACAGATGCGCCGAGAAGAAGTGTCCGATTCCTGGAATCGAAGTGAGGAGACTGGAGTTTGAACTTCAGGCTAGGAAAAAGTTATCCAACACGAACACTGTCTTTATATATCACTGATTAAACTTGGTTGAGACAGTGAAAAAATAGTCTTGACAAGTAAAAAAAAAAATAACGTTTTGCTTCCAAATTCCTAAGTTTTCTAAATTTTCATATCGCCTTTCTGCAAAAAGGAAGAAAAATGTTTTTTTCAAGAAAAAGAAGGTCTTAGAAAACCCCAAAAGACTTGTTTCCATTTCGTTTCCCCTTTTTTACAGCCTTTATGAAAAAGGTGCTGGAAAGCCACTAAAAAGTTCCCAAGCGATTCAGAAAGGTTCCTCTGGGGCTTTGAAACAAGACCCATCTTTTCAAGAGCTTTAAGCGGAATTTTCCAGCTCCTTCTGAAGCTCCTTAAAGGAGTTTTTCGCGTTTCATCTATGCGCTGTGGATAGAACCTGTCCGATAAAATTGAATTTTTCTTTTCTTTCCAGAAAAAAATACTGGTGTTTTTTAAAAAAATTTAACGTATAAGAACGGTCTCAACACGAAAACGCGAACTTTTAGCCCTTTCAAAGCTTTGAAAAAAAATTTTCACGCCGAAACATCGTGCTCGATGCAACTTTATTGATCATAAAAGTTAGAAAGTATGTTCGATATTTGATAGATCCATTTCGAACCCATTGATAGTTTGGCAAAGTCGGAGGGTTGGATAATGGCCGTTGAAAGGGAGAGGCTCAAAAATAGCCGCGGAAAGGTAGCAAAAAGAGTCATTTTATCGAGCCTTCCTTTTTTCTGGGATTTTAAAGACTCGAGAAATGGTAAAAAATGGGAGAGGCAGCAAAAATGGTGCATAAGAGCCGATGAAATGGCGCAAAAAGGGAGCAAAAAAGAAAAATTTCTATGAACCTTTTTCGACCCTTTCCGAGTATTTCGGAAAATTTTGCTGAATTCGATGAAAATGAAATAATTTTCCAGGCCAACCGATTATGCCCGGCAAGCTGCACTCGAGGATGCGCTTGCCAACCAGGATTCTACCGAAATGTTCACCAAAAATGCGTATCGGAAAAAGAATGCTCGAGTCAGTGATTCGAGAGTTTTGCTCATAATTTATTGCTCCAAATTCACATTTTATTAACTTATTATTTGTTCATTTTGCTTCAAATAAACTCGTTTCTATTAAAGTTTGCATGTTTTATTTTGAAAGGGTAGAGCTAACCTTGAAGGAAATTGGGTATCATTTTGTTGTAAAGCTTTTATTTATCTGTTAAGAGACTTTTCTAGCTTTTATTGTGTTTTCAGGGACATTATTAACCATCTTGCATGATTGAATAATTGAAAAGTTTTATAACTATTTTTGAACGCCTCGATTTATTTTTGTATGAAGTTTTCAATGAAAGTTGATCATTAATTAATTTTTAGTTCGATCAAGTTTGGACTAACTTTAAAAAGTTGATAAAAAAAGAAAGATTTTTGGTATCATTTTGTTGCGAAGCCTTTTTTTATATTTTCAGCAATTTTTTTCTGTACATTATTTTATAGCTTTTTCTTGTGTTTTTCAAAGATATTCTAACCTTTTTTTAAGCAAATAATCAGTTCTAAATTAAGTTTCAGGGCGGTTGATCAATTTTAAAAATGATTCGGAATCAATTTCAACTTTTAATGACTGAAAAATTAATCAAAACTCATTTTAAATTAAATTTTCAGCTTTTCATTCACGCAGGCTCTGAAAAAAGCTTATCCTTTCCGTTGCAATTATTTTAAAAATCATCAACTGCAACTTTTATTTTCATTTCGAACTTAAAAAAACTCTATAGGGGCCCCTAAGATTTTGCCCCCTATAGGGGTCCCTGAAACAAAAAACCCCTCAGAAATTCCTCAGAACGTAAACTTGAAAAAATAACAAAATGTTCTTCAGCCCTCTCTTCGCCTCCAGACAATTGCCCCATAAACGAGACTCTGTCGGATTGCTTCAATTCTTGCAGCGAACCAAAATGCTCCTTCTTAACAAGCAATGTGAATTTTGGACTGATAAACCGAAAATTAATCAAGCATTTCTATTAGGAAACCGTCTGTCTGGAAGTTTGCGGCCATGGCTGCACCTGCCGGCCAGGATTCGTGAGAAATCAAACCGGCTCTTGCATTTTGGACAAAGAGTGTGTTGGTGGGTTTTGCGAGTCGAAATTGTAGAAGTTTCAAGCTTTGCTTTTGAAAATCATGTTAGGAGAAGACTTCAAGATACGTAAGGAAAAAAAAGACGGTATCTGTTTGAAAAAAAGTTGGAAAAGGTGAAAAAATGCTCCTTTTTGCTGTCTTTTTGCGCCATTTCATCGGCTTTTATGCAACATTTTTGCTGCCTCTCCCTCTTTCCACCATTTCTTGAGCCTTTTGAGTCCCAGAAAAAATGGAAGGCTCGATAAAGGGACTCTTTTTGTTACCTTTCTGGGGTCTTTTTTGAGCCTCTCCCTTTTAGCAGCCACCTTTCGAATTTGCCAGAGGATCAATGGGTTCCAAATGGATACATCAAATATCGAACTTACTTTCTAAAGAGCACTTTCATAAAAATATGAGTTTTCCGCTCTGCTTCGATGTAGCTTTTCTAAATTCCCTTTATCAAAAGGAAGAAGGGACCTTCTCCGAAAATCTTTAAAAAGTTCGATTTCCAAAAGACCAACAAGATATTGCAGAGAAGCCTGTGTTAGAACATCAATGCAAGAAAAAGGAGGTTTTCTCGGATTGTGCCAGCAAATGTTCCGAACCCAAATGCGGCGACGTGAAACAGGTAGGGAAACTCGAAAAAATATTTTTGGGTCATTAAACGGAGCAGAAAGTTTTTAAAACTTATGAACCTAATTTTCGGGTTTCTCTTTTTAATAAACGAAAGAATTTCCGAAGAAAATGATTATTTTGGAGGAAAAAAGCAATTTTCACTTTTCAGAGAGGTTTTTGTCCTCTATCTTGTACTGCCGGCTGTACCTGCGCAGAAGGACTGGTTCGTTCCGGGGATGGGGAATGTTACGAACCCGAAAAGTGTCCAAGTAAGGGTTTCGAGGGAAAAGAACGAAGAAAGTTGAGAAAGGTAGAAATTATAGTCAAAAATGATATTTTCCGCTTTTCGTCGACGTTGCCAAGATAGTTGTAACTTTTTTTTTGGCCATATTTTTTTAAAGTTTCGAAATTTTTTTAGTTAAAAAAATCGTTTCCAGGTTTCCTAACTATTTCTTGCCGCCAGTTAATTCAAAAATTCAAATACCCATTTTTGGATAAACTTCTTGAAGAAAAACCACTGAAAAGCTAGTTCCAAATTAATTTATTTGGTGCTCTCTGAGTCTTTCGGAGAGTTTCAGAGATTTTTTTCCAAGCCCTGTTATTTTTTTCAAATGTTCTGGTTCTTATAATTTCTAAATCATACAACAAGTCCAAAAATTCAGAACTATGCAAGAAAAATGAAGTTTGGGGATGCAAAGGATGCGAGGCGACATGTGAAAATCCTGATGCGGTGAGTAAACAAAATATTTGAAGGAAATAACAAAAGAATCAGCAAGAAAATTTGTAATAAATTCAAAGAAAATCGAATCAAAACTGATGTTAACGGAGGCATAGTTCAAATATTCAAGTTTCAAGGATTTTTTTACCGATGGAAGACGGAAAAAAAGATGATTTTCTGGGTTTCAAATGACATTTTTTTATAATTAAGCTTAATCATACTTGTGACACACTCTTTTCAAAAAAGTATATCGAAATGGAACGAAAATTGGAAGATTTTAGATTCAGAAAATAATTGATTTTGTTGACGAAGCAGTGGTTTTTCCTCAAAATAACTTGGTTTAAAATCAACCAAATAATTTTAGGATAATCAAGAGAGTTTTTGTACCTTTTTCCAATCGTGAGCTTTTTGCCAAACCTTTATTTTTGAAAAAAATAAAGAGAAAAATCAGCAATATGAGGAAAAAAATCCAGGTTTGTGAAGACACCTGCACGGCTGAATGCCTGACAATTTTAGACAAAAATTGTGAACCAATTTTTTTTTTAAATTTTGAAAATTTCTCAGTTTTTCAGTCCTTTAGTCAAACTTTAATGAAATTTAGTGTTAAAACGAGAAAATCCAGGTATGCGGAGACACCTGCACGGCCGGATGTCAATGCGCCAATGGCTTTGCCCGTTCCAATGGAAAATGCGTATTTTTTGAAGATTGTCCGACTACCAAAGTTCAAAGTTAGTGTAGAACAATCTACACTGCTCCACATAATTATATATCCACCTGAGATTTTTCGAAAAATCAAATATTTTGAGAGTTTCTGAAAATCTTTTTGTTGTAAAAAGATGCGAATCTTGATTAGATTAGTATAGCTATCAATAAAGTTCCTATTGAAAAATGAATGCTTTGAAAACTTTCAATTTTTCAAAAAAACTGAATTTTCCGTTCCACATAATTATATATCCACCTAAGAATTTAAACTTTTTGAACCATTTTTTCCGGTTTTTTGTATCAGTTATCATTTTCTCATTATTTTTGTTTGAAAATAAGAAGAATAACAGCAAAAAGGTTTTCGAAAAGGTGGAGGAACCTTGGATCTAATCAGAAAACGGTCACGGCGTTGTTTTGTACTCCAGCTCCACAGTCATCAATGTGAGGGTTGAATTTTCATAATCAGGGTTAACTCAGAAGTTTTGAGAAAGTTTATCACAAAAAAGATTCTTGAATGGGCGTCAAATTTTGAAAAAAAATTTCAAAAACCGTGAGCGCCTTTGACAAAGTTATCAGTTTTTTCAACTTTAACTCGCTTTTCTCAGTCATTGAGAGTAGAAATTATAAATCTACAATGCAACAATGCTGAGGAGAGAATCAGCAATAGTTTAACTCAGAAAAATCTGACAAAACAAACCTCAAAGCTGAAAAAACTTCGGAGAAACAAGAGTCAAAAAAGGATAGTTCGTGATTTCGATTGTATTGACTTTCTGTTTAATTTTCTTCGCTGAATAAGGATAATTATGGATTATTCAATGTTTTAAAACAAAAATATAACTGTAATCTTTAATCATGAGAAGAAAAAAGTAATTTAAAATTCGAAGAAAAAAAATTCAGATTCCTATGAATTTGACTTGAAAGTTCCTTAGCTATTTACCGGTCTTGGTCATTCTTCTTCGCTAGAAGCAGGTTTTTTTTGATGAGACCAACTACTCTTGAAGTAAAAAAACAATTTTATCTCAGAAAAAGTTTACATAAATGGTCCGAAGGCATTTTAAGCTTCCTATTTTTGCCAAAACTGCGAAAAATTCATAAATGTTATCGGAAAACTCCTTCCTTTTAGTGCAAAGAAATATTTTACTGAAGTTTTTTGAACTTAAACTGTTGCTCGCAAGTACATAGGTACTTATGAAATCAAAATATTCACATCATAATCGATTAAAGAGAAGCTGATGTAATGAACAGCACCGCGATCGTTTACTGATCAAATCCAAAGTTCCTCCCCTTTTTGGAAAACCTTTTTGCTCTTATTCTTTTTGTTTTTAAACAAAAATAATGAGAAAATAATAACTGATATAAAAAAATGGGAAAAATGGTTCAAAAAGTTTAAAGCCTTGGGTGGATATATAATTATGTGGAACGGAAAATTCGGTTTTTTTGAAAAATTGAAAGTTTTTAAAGCATTTATTTTTTTCAATAGGAACTTTGTTGATATCTATACTAATCTAATCAAGATTCGCATCTTTTTACAACAAAAAGATTTTCAGAAACTCTCAAAAATATTCGATTTTTTTCGAAAAAAATCTCAGGTGGATATATAATTATGTGGAGCAGTGTATATGTTATTTTTTTAATGAAAGCATTGTTTTTAAGATATAACCTGCCTCGGCACCGAGGTCTACACCGATTGTATGCCATCTTGTGAGAGAACATGCCATGGAGTAGATACGGTAAGAAGTCAAAAAAAAGCCTTGCCTTGGAGCGAGATTCCTGGAGAAAATAAAAGAAAACTGCTGGAATTCTCCTGGAAAGTTGAAAAATGTTCAGTGGCCCCTGTAGAGTTTGACGTTTTAGTTGCCACTTCAGTAGTCAAATTAGTGGGCATTTTAGAGGTCTAAATGGTACCACTAAACCACTAAACATTTTAGTAGCCTCTTTATTGTTCTCTCCAAGTAGCCCTTGAGAAACATCTATAGTGGCAACTAAAAATTTTCCCAGTATGTATTTTTTTCAAAAAATGAACGCAAGCTCAATAAGAGGGAGATAGTTCTTTTTTTTCATCTTTGAGCTCAATTATTTTATTTGCGATCTTCGAGTGAAATGTTATTATTAGCAAAGGCTTTGAATCAGAACAAAAAACTAGAGGGAATAATCATTAACAGAAAGTTTCTGCTGGAAAAGTCCTGGAGAGTATGAATATTCATTGTACTCACAAAGGAGGTCATTTTTCCTTTCCAATTGGGATTTCCCGAAAATTGGCCGAAACGCTTCTTGATGAACCAGATGAAGCTTCTGGAAGTTGAACCTGCGCAAATTTTTATTTTTTTTAGGAAGGACACGTCTAAGCCAGAGAAAACCTAAAAAAAATTGGCAAAAATAGGCTCTGTGCTCTTATTTCTCGGACACTAGAAAGTTGTACAGGTTGGGACTCTCAGAATCTTCTTTTAATACGACAAGAAGTGTTTTGGCCAGATTTCTCAACCGCAAAGGGAAATGACCTTCCTTGTCAGGATATCTACAAAGAGTGTAAAAGACTGAAATGGGTGCCATTTATAATGCGCCCTCATGAGCGAATTTCCCGTTCCGAGAGACGAAAAAGATTTTTGAAAAGATAGTGCTGATGTAGAATATTTATAAATGATCAACAGTTCTTATCAGAATCTAACTTTTGACTAATTCAGTGCAAGATGAACCCGGAGACGGGCGGAGCGGACGTCTGCAAGCCTGGCTGCCTTTGCAAGCACGGCTATCGGAGAAGCGCCACTGGAGTCTGTACTCATCAGAGACTGTGCTTCAAGAGTTGGGAAACCGTTAAATTTATGATAATATCATTAGGAACGCCAGAGGGGTTCGGAAAAAAGCCCATTTAGAAGACAAAAGAGTGCTTCCTAGAGGGTTGAATTTTGGTGATTCCTTTAGGGGCTTAGGACCTTACCCCTGAGCCCCTAAAGCTCATCTGGTCCCTAAAGAAGTCTCCTAAGATTCTCTTCAGTTAAAAAAACTTGAACGATCAATCCTGTGTTGATATTTTTCATCCGAAAAACGCTAGTTTATTTAGCTTTTCGTATAGAAATCACAACAATAAACGACTAGCATGTCCCCTAAAGTGGACACTAGCTAAAATCCCTAGAGAGGCCGCTTTTGCAAGCTTCAGTGCCCATGTATGGGCAGGTAAGATGGTATTGAAGTTCCCCTAAAGTTGCCCTTCTAGGGACGACTCTGGCCTTCCTGACTAGGGAGTGTACTCTCTTTCTTACTGGACCTTTTCTCGAAAACTATAATCGCTATCAGTATCGACGTTGTCCTCTAACAAAAAGTGTGAAAAGGTTCCTGAGAACAGCCAAATTTATATTAAACATGAGTAAGCAGTTTTCGGATGATGCAATCGAGCCAAGACTATCATCATCTTCCTCTGCACATGTTCCGCCTATGCATTGAAGAGCCAACGTCCTTTTTTTGATTTTCAGTGGCTTCTTGGCTCAGTTTTTTTCTGTCCTGGTAGTTAATTAATTACTGTCTCTTGCTACATAATTAAGCAAGACTGCAGAGTCGTTTTTGCTGCCCGTTTTCACTAGAAATTTTCTAGGTGCTGGTTTTTTCTTTCTGTGGGGCTTTTCCTGCAGCTGAACAAGATCCGTAAGTGGAAGTATCTGTACAATCTTGCCTCAAAAATACTTGAAAACCCAAAGTTTTTGGTGTACATCCGCTATTGAGCTGCTCTAATGTTTCTCATTACTGTAAAGCGCAAGTCGTTTCGTGTCGGACCACGATTTTTTGAGCGCGACATCTTTAACTCTTGCTTTTTCAATAACTCTTTTCTGATACCCATTCCCCACTACAGTATACCGATTCCAGAGGCGACTTGTGAGACCAACGAGGAGTGGTCCAAGTGCATGCCGCAGGAGGAGAGCTGCGAACATCTCCGATTCCTGAACGAGACGTCGACGTCGCTTCTGGAAGACACCCTGGCCCCAGTCCCTCTTCAGTACCAAGGCGGCTGCTTCTCCGGCTGCGCCTGTGTCGACGGCTACGCCAGAACCGACCACGGAACTTGTATCCCTGCCCAAAATTGCCCATGAATCCTCATCTCACAAAAAATAAAAAGTAAAATCGTTAAGTCCAAATGCAGAAAAAAGAACCGACGCGGAACCAAAAAAAAAGAAGGAAAATTTTTATTGGGAGGGGAAGATGCCATAAATCGAGAAAAATTGACAAAACCGATAAAAACTGATTTCAGGGATTGCAGAAAAAAGAGGGAATAAATGACGAGTTTTATGGATGTGCCGCCCACTGTAACTCTAAGAATCGCCTATAAATTCGCGCCTCGACGCGTTTCAAACACAATTCTTCGGCTTCCGATATTCTTCTGTTTTATTTTTCTTTTCTTTTTTCGAAAATGTTGAAATTTTGACTCTATTTTTGAGTCTTTGCCCTCCATTCTCGGAAGCTAGAGAGCACTCGGAAACAGGAGAGTTTAGAGAAAACATTTCTGATCTCCAGCTTCCGAAGATTGAAGATCCAAAAATCTTTCAAGATTAACCGGAGAATTTTCAGAATCGGCTTGTAATTCAACCATGGGGAGGCTGATACGGTATTTGGTGAGTTTTATTTTTTTTTTCTCGAAAACTTATTTTTCTCCCAGGTTACCGCGGTTTTCCTTGGTGCGGCCCTTCCTCGAGGATTGGGTAATTTCTGAAAAAGTGAAGCTTTTCTCAAGAATTGATAACTTCAGATGGACTCACTTGTGATATGTTAGACTGCCCCACGGGCTTCAGTTGTGTGATGGTCAATGGAAATCCCGAATGCCATGAAGGTGGGAAATCGGAGGAAAATCAGGAGAAATAATAATTTTTTTCTTCAGGAGGAACTCCCGCGCCAGTCAACCCATCGGGTTTGTCAAGCAATTCCCTTAACATTGATTTTTTCAAATTCGATTTTTCTAAGAACAGCCTTCTGTACTATGTTTCTGAAGAGTTCATTTCAAAACCAATCTCCAAAAAAAAAAATAGGAACGATAGAAATTCAGCTATTCACAAACCTAGAAAACTTTCTTAGAAAAATATTTATAAATATTATTTTTTTAGAAGGAACGCCACCTCGAGCAGTGGACCCAACAGGTTTGTTGAAAAAAATCCTTTTTAAAAAAATCCAAAAATTTAGCCTGTAGCAATCTCGTTCCGCTTTAAGCTTCAGAGTTGTTCTTGTCAATTTTTGAGAGCTTCTGAATTTTATTTCAAATCGATTAAAGCCGGAAAGAAAATTTGAAAATACACGACTCCATCCAGAAAGTTTAATTGAAACTTTTTCATGACTTAAAAATACAAGAATATTCAAGAAAAAGGAGGTAAATGTGAAGAAGAATGAAATCTTCCTTTCAGAATCAACTCCAGTCCTAGTCACGGACCCGCCACCTACAATTCCGCCAGGTTTGTCCAAGAGTTTCATTGGACTTGGTTTTGAAACGTTCATGATTTTCCAGAATGGATTCGTAGGTTCAGTAGGATAAACTTGCTTCACCTTAATATTTCAGAGTTTTTGGACGAGTTTTGAAATTTTAGAGCTTCATATCAAACCAGAGAGAAATGAACTAACCAGTAAGAAGGTTGCAAAAATTCCAGATTTCGAGTTAAAGCTAAACTTTTCTTGTTATCTTTTTTTAATGGAGAATAAAAATTGAGCTCATTCTTACCAGTTAGAAAAGAAAAGAGAGAGTAGGAGAAAAGTTAGAAGTCTATTTTTTTAAGCGGGTAAACTAAAAAAAGGCTTTGATTTCCTTTCTGTTGGAACAAAAATTTGAAAAAAACTGTGAAATGCTTACAAATTCATTCAATTCAAAGTTTTATTAAATACTAGCGAATGAATTGATTTAATAACTTCAAAAAAATAGATTGAAGATATGATTTTTTTCACTTTAATGCAGAATAAAGCGAAAGCGCCACTTTAAAATGAAGGCTATTATAAAAATAAAGATTGGAAATTATAGGTAGCGAGCAGGAAAAGTGCGCGACGATCAAATGCGAAGAAGAGTTCCACTGTGTGGTGGACACGCAAGGCAGCCCACATTGTGCGAGAAGTGAGTGAAAAAGAGAAAAATGACCAAAACTCAACACTGACTGATTTCAGTAAGAAAGATCAGCAACGAAACGAACACGGTGTTGACCTGCGAGAACACCCGATGCGTCCGTGGAACTTGCGCCGTCATGCAGTCTTGCGACCAGTCCGGCTGTATCGTTGCGCCGCGGTGTTTGGGCAGAAATCGTGGGTTTTTATCATAATAGAGATGTGTCTTGATAGTTGGATTTTGAAAGACTACTGAAAAAAAAGGATACTGAAATAATGAAAAATTACGATGATTTTTGCTTGTACCTTTAAATTGATTTAAGGACAGTCAGAGAGTGAGCAAGATAACAAGATTTTTTTGGAGGGTCAGAGATCCCTGAAATGACTGAAACTGTAAAGTTCATTTATTTATTTATTTATTTCACTCAAACACGAAAATACAGAGTATTAGAAAAAGTTAAAACCGTATTTTTCTAAAAGGTGACTTTCAAGATATTCCCAGCCATTCTTCTTTCAGAACAAAAAAAAATTTTAAAATTTTTGCTTCAGAGAATCATTTCTGGAGCGACCTTAACCTTGAAAAATTTAAAAACCGATTTTTCAAAAAGATTTATTTTCAATTTATACTTAGCCAAAGACTGTCAAAGCTTTTTTTATGTTTATTCAATATAATTCTCATAGCTTTCTTTAAAAAAATTAATCCGACTTGAAAAAATCTCAGGATCCATCATGCTTGCTTAACGTAATGGGTAGAGTTCAGACTTGGAAAAGTGGAAAAAAAAAATGACTCGAAATTTTCATTTTACGACAAAGTTTAGGCATTCCGCTACTGAATAAAACTATAAATCAAAACTAAGAAATCGATATTATGAACATTTTTTTAAACTGATAAGTGTGCGATTAAAACAAGACATACCAAAATAAACTTACCCGATGTAAAATATCAACAGAAAAGAAGATGAAGCACTGAATTTCAAACCTTGAAAGATTCATTTTCTATTTAATTAGATCTTTCGCTCATTTTTCTTGAATCAAGTTTCATAAGCTCAATACTTTTTAGCTTGTGCGAACACGGTCTGTCCACCCGGCAGCGAATGTCGACTCATGGAGCCGCTTTGCTCGACTCAGCCATGGTTATTTCTATTCCTTTCCCCCTGAAAATAGCCCGTTTTGAACATTTAGCGTGACCTACACCCAGTGTTACAAGCCAACCGTCGAGCCGCCACAGTGCAAGGCTAACGAAGTAAAAAAAAGCAAAGGAACAACCAAAAAATGATCGAATTTGAAGGTTGCCACGCCCTGCTACAACCCCTGTCTCGACAGATTCTGCTCTCGCCAGAACCTTGTGAGTTTCCATGGGATAATACTCGTAAAGGGATTTGATTGAAAAATAATCCTGAAAAGCTTGAAATCTTTTTTGAAAACCCCTTCGATAGTTCCATCCAGAAAAAAAGCTTGAAAATGATAAATTCACGTCAAGTTTTGCTTCTTCATTTTTCACATGACTATGTACGAATTCGAAAAAACTCATACATGAGCTCAAATTTATAAGTTTAGTTCAATTTCTCTACTTACGGCCGAAAATCAAACCCAAAAGCTCAAAAATGTTTTCCCAGCAATTTTAAGAAGCTTTGATTAAAAAAAAACCCCGGAAAGTGTATTCGAGGCTGAAAAAGTCCAAGAGAACGCGCTCCACGGAGAAAGTCGTTTTATGACTGTTTTGCACGGTTTTCAAAGCTTTAAATCAAGAGAAATATAGATAATTCGCGAGAACCTATCTGTGTAGCGCAACTCGAGATTTGAATTAAAGTTTGAAGTTTACAAAGAAACTGTAGTTCATAAAAAGTTAAAATGTAGAAGATATGATAGAAAAATCAAAAATAACCGAAATTGAAGACCTGCGCCACTGAGTGCTCAGCTGGATGCGAATGCGCCGAAGGGTACTTCCGAAATGCCGAGAGCGTCTGCGTCAAACAGGCCGACTGTCCTACAAGTATCCCCCGAACTTTTTCCGATTTCGCGAACCCCAAAATTTGAGCGAAACCAATCGATTGCGACGCCATCGAGTGCCCGAAAGGCTTCAAGTGCAAACCGACCGAAGACGGACCTCCAATCTGTATCAAAGGTCAGAAAGTTCTGAAAACGAAATGAGAAAAAAAAAATAGGATGATAAGAAAATAACCTGCATAACTCATATCTACGAGAAGCTAACCTGTCTGCGCTCTCTTATTACTCCTCGCCTTTCTTTGGTCACTCAGGCGAGAGAAAAGAGAGCGCAGACATGTCAAACGGTCTTAACAAAACATAAAGTTTCGAAATTGGGCTTCAACATTCTAGGAAAAAATATTCTTTTTTCAATAATTCATATAGTCTGTTCACTTTTTGAATGTCAAGTAGAATGACGTCATTCGAAAACGCTTTCTGGATGGTTCGCTCTCTGATTGGTTCATCGCGTCATTATGGGCGGAGCTTGAGCGACGACTTGACATTCAAAATCTGAACAGACTATACTTCTTTCGATCCTTGTTCATTGCAAATCTCAAAGAAGCTATAATTTTTCGAAATAGGTCTTCAAATGATTAGACATAGTGCACAACTTTCTGCCCATAAATGAGTATACAAAATGAATTTTTCCTTCGATACAGAAGGAAACGGTAACCTGACCTGCGCCAACACTCTCTGTCCCGAGCCGAAAATTTGCGTCGATGCTCAGCTTTGCCGCGGCAAAAAATGCTTCTTCGAACCCGTCTGTGTCGACAAAAATCGTTTGGAAACTCTCAAAACTTTAAAAAAAACGTGTTTCAGCTTGTGACGGAGTTGAATGTACCAAGGGAAGTGTCTGTCGACCAGTTCAGACCCATTGTCGCCGCAGACCTTGGTGAGATATCGAAAAAAGCTCAAATATTAGGTTTTCCTCTTCAGCCCGATCGTTCCTCAGTGCTACACTCCCAACCAGGACAGATGTGGAGAGAATGAGGTATGCAAAGAAAATCCTAAAATTATTCAATCCAGGAAGAATGAGATTAAAAAACATCTTTTTTTTCAATTTTACTGAGTCCGAGATCTTTTTTCCGATACATGGCTGTCGAGTGCTTCCAAAAAATATTTTCAAGGAACTCTGGGAAAAACTGAGACCTGGTTTCAGAGACCATTTCACACCTAAAAGTTCACCGATTTGACTTTTTCAAATCAAAACGTTATTTTTATCTTTCAAGGTCCACTCCAAATGCTTCACCGACTGCACCGAGCCCCGATGCTTCGAATCAAACACTGTAAAAATCACCAGAATACAAATTTGTACTCAACAAAATATTCAGCCGTGCCCCGGCGTGTGCAAGAGTGGCTGCACCTGCAAGAAAAACTTTGTTCGTAACGCAGAAGGAAAATGTGTGGCGAAGAACAAGTGCGGTGAGTACTGCTGGAAAAAAAAATCCAATTTTCTTCTAACATGAGCAATAAATTGCTAGCTTGAGGATTTTTTTCCATATTCAAAAATCGCCTCAAAAAATTCACATCACAAATAAATATCGAAATATTTCCCTTAAGTGAACCCTTGCCGCCCTGGAGTCTGCCCACCTGACACAGGCTGCATCGTCAACAGCGAAGGAAAGCCCGTATGCGTTACAAGTGAGTTGAAACGTGAACTTAATGTAGATTGATGAAAAATTGTTTCAGCGGGTTGCAATGACATTCAGTGCCCACCTGGAAGTCGCTGTGAAATCAGAGGAGGCCCAGTCTGCATTCCTACAGGTGAGAGCCAATTCAGAAAATGGAATAAATTCCCATTTTTTGGCCAAAAAATTCATTATGATCTTTGAAAAAATCGGGAGAGTTTTTTTTTTGCTCAGTATATGAACTACAAACGAAGATAAGTCAAAAATCGAGAAATTTTAAAAAAGTTGTAAAAAGTTCGAAATTTCATTCTAGCGAAAATTGTCCATGGAACGCATTTTCACCAAAATCTCTTTTAGCTGGGAGTCCCGAATGAAAATCTTAATAAATTGAACTTTTCCAGCTGTTTCTCGAAGAACTATCCGTTCTTCAACTAAAAATTGAGAAGCAGGGTTTCAAATAAATTTTACACTCTTGAATCAAAGTCCATCAAAATTTTTTCTCGTTAAATCCACTTATATCCCACTAAGAAGTCTCTTTTGAAAACTATAAGTGAATTTCAGGAAACGGCACTGGCAACGGAACCGATCCATGTGAAAACTGCGAAGCCCCCTCGACCTGCGTCACCGTGGAATACTGCAGAAAGAAGTGCACCTGGACCAAGACCTGCCTCAATGAAAACCGTGAGTTTTGCGGAGATTGACACAAATCGCAAGCTTGATGGCGCAAACTTGGTGCATTTTTTTTAAAATTATATTTTCTCGCTTGTTTTCAATTGTAAAATTCCAATTTCACTTAGCATTTCAGATTAAAAAAAAGCACTGCGACCGCATTTTCATTCGAATATCTATAGAGTGAAGAAATTCAGTACATTTTTTTGTTGATGGAACGAAAAAAATGAAATTGAACTTACAGAGAATATGAATTTACAATGTTATTTCATTATTATTTTTTTGCTAGCTCTCAGATTTTTTTAGAAAAATATTTTTTTTAGGATTTTCGCGTGAAATAAATTGTTTTGGTCGTTTTGTCACCGTGTCTGCGTATTTTGCGCCTAGAGAGAACTCGAAAAATTTTCTGAAATTTTTTTACGTTTTTCAAACTTCAAAACTACGTTACGCGTTTGGTACAAAGTTCTCATAGACGATTCGCAGTCTTTAAAATTCAAAAGAATTTTCGAAGCTTGCCAGGGAATTATGTTGTTTCTTGTGCAAACACCGCGTCTTGATTTTATTATTTTCTCGCCTTATTTCAGCTTGCGCTACTCTTCAATGCCCACCAGAAGATCAATGCAAACTCGTCGTCACCCACTGCTCACCAAAATCTTGGTGAGTTCTAATGTCTTCATATTTTTCTGTGAAGTCAAGAATCAAATGATAAATCATTCTTTTTCAGCTTGGCTGTCGCCCAGTGCGGAAACGGAACCGGCCACCAAACTTGCGGTGACAATGAAGTAAGAAAAAATTCAGAAAAACAGAAAATTAGCTTCAAATTTCAGGCTTTCTCCCAATGTGCCAACCCTTGCTTGGAGCCGAAATGCAATCAGCCTGCTGAGGTTGAAAAAATTGGAGATTTTCGAAGGATTTGATGAATATTTAGGCTTGCCCATTGGGTTGCAAGCCTGGATGCAAGTGTGTCGAAGGATTCTACAGAAATGAACAGAACAAGTGTGTCCGACAGTCGGATTGCCCAACGGGTGAGTTTGAGAAGTTTAAGAAGAGAAAATTCAAAAAAAAAAGAAATTTATCAAAGCTAGATTGCCCCCGCTAACTAATTAGCATTAGAAAACCGCAAAAACCACATTTATTTTGTTTCGATTTTCATAAAAAAGAAAGGAAAAGTTTTGCTTCTTTCCATAGTTTGAAAAACGACTTAAAGTGTGCTCTACCGAGAAAATAGAGCGGAAACATTTTTTCTTCGATAATTTCCTAAAAAGTACTAATCTAGAATAGAAAAGGTTTCCAGAAACTCAGGAAGCCCCCAGAAAAAATTTATCTTTCCTTAATTTTTGTCCTGCGCCTTAAAAAATTCAAAAATGCTTCGAGCTCCATATAAAATTATGTATCCACGGCTAGCTTGGGAGGCAAAGATGCGTGACCTGTCTGCGCTCTCCACCAACCAGACACTGTCTCTTGTCGTGTCAGGACCTTTTTTCGATACCTCAAGCCAGCCGTGACAGAAAATACCAACACAACCCCTCTTTCTTCAGTCCCACCATTGACCTGCGCTAATGTCCTTTGCCCCAAGGGCTTCAAATGCGAAGAGACGGCCGACGGTCCGCGTTGCACCAGTAAGAATCCCAAGAAAAATGGAAAATGCTCAAAAATAACTTCTAAAGAGGCGCCGCCAACTGGAAACCCGACGTGCGCCAACATCGACTGCCCAAAAGGATACAAGTGCAAGATGGTCGGAGCCTGTTTCCACGACGGCTGCCGCAAAATCCCGACCTGTGTCAAAGGATACGATCGTGAGAATCCGACGGAAGGAGATCTTTAAAATGCGGCCTTTCAGCGTGCAGCAAGGTCCACTGTCGCAAGGGAAGCGTCTGCACTCTCGTCCGAACTCAGTGCTACAGAACTCCATGGTGAGTTTAAGAAAGGATAGAGAAGGGCTTGAGGGAATGGAAAAACGGAAGAAGAGTCACGTTTTTGTATAAGGGTTGATTAGGCTTAGGTGAACTTTATAAAAACTGAGGTAGACTTCATGAAAGCTGATACTCTACAGAACGGATAAAACAACTCGAAATTGTTTAAATTCCAAGAAACGAGTCTGTTATCTTCCCAAATATCACCGAAACTAGAAATTGAATTTTTGAGCTTCTCCTAATTTTTATTAGCTTAAAAATTGAAAAATTAGGCTTCGTACTGTGGTAAGCCACAAAAAATAGTGTCCAAATCAGGGGTTTTCGGGGCCAGAAAAGTAGAATGTTCTCAAGAAAAAAAAACAAAAGCTCACAATAAAGACCCTTGAACTTTCCGAATTCTAGCCCAATCGTCGCTCAATGTATCGTTCAACCTGGAGGACCATCTTCATGCCCCAAGAATGAGGTGAAAAAGGAGAAATTAGAAATTTTTGAAAAAATAAATCGGTTCAGATTCTCTCGGACTGCTTCAGTAGATGCTCTGAACGCAGATGCAGACCTCTCAGCGGGGTAAAAATTGATTTTTCGCTTGAAATACCTGAAAAGAATTTAGTGCACCTATAATTTCTTGAACTTAACATATGACCTTAAAGTTAAGGTTTCCCTTAATCAGTGGACTTTTGAAAAAATACATATATTTTTTACTCGACCAATCTGTTCACTGAAAAAAGGTAATTATTGATTTTCCAGGTGTGCCCATTGGCCTGCCGAAAGGGATGCACTTGCGCTCCAGGCTTCTTCCGTAACAATCAGGGAACTTGCGTCCGCAAAAACCAATGTGAAGGCGGTCCCGGCGGTAAGATTTCCGTGGAAAGTGCGCTCCAACGAATTAGGCCTCTTATTGGCTGGTATAGCCCTTTTTGGAGTAGTTTGAGGAGGCGAGTCTGAGAGTTGGGAGCGAAATTTTCAGTTTTATCCAGAATTTCATATTATTTTATATTCAGAGAGAAAACTTTAACAAAAATAACACGAAAAGGTGTTAATGAAAGATACAGTTTGAAAAAAAAATCAGCCATCTTGGAGATTTTGGCTCTACGGGTTTTTTGTTCTTAAAGGTCCTTATGAAGCTTCAAAATAAACTGCTAGGGCAAAAAGTAGATTTAAAAGGGTCTCAAATACATTAGTGATTTTAATACGAGAATTTTCAATCCAAAACGAAATATGAGAAGAAAGTTATATTCTTCAGGTGTTTCTTGCAAGACCGTGAAATGCCAGGCCGGCTACATCTGCAGAGAGTTCCCGAACGGCCCACGATGCGTCAAAGGTACTGTATATCCGAAACTAGAACGGAATAAAGTTTCCATTATGAAACAGTTTTTAATCACTTTCAATTCGAAAGTTGTTTTTTTAGACTTCTCTCAAGACGAGGTTCTGAAAGAAGCTTTGAAGAAATCCAACTTAAAAAAATAAATGTATATCCTCATCGATTTTTCTTGAGACCCTATTGAAAAATGATTAATTGAGGAAATTCAGAGAATCCTTGCCGCGGAAACCCATGCGGAGCTGGTAAGAAATGCATTGTCGACACGGACAACGGCGGCTACACCTGTCAACCAGGTTAATTATTCGGAAAATTATTCATTTTTGAAAATTTTCGGAGAGCTAACGGAAGCTTGTTTATGTGAATCGATCATATAGGATAATTCCAAAAAAAAATATTACTTCGAGACTTTTTTTGATTAGCTAAAGCATTCCTAATGGGGTGACTTTCTGAATTTTCCAAAAAAAAGTAAGTGCGCGCTACGGATAAAATGACGTCATTTTACGTCAAAAGTACTCGGACATTGGTAACGCGGAACGGACGTGCTCCGGTCGTTTCTGGGCGATTCTAGGGATCCCTTAAGAGTTCTGAGGCTACTAAAGTGGTCACTAGAAATGCCCCGACACGTCCGATTCGCGTCCCGCTCGCGTTACCAAGGTCTGAGTAGTGCGATGAGTTTCTGAATATACAAAAAAGATTAAGTGCGCGCTACGGATAAAATGACGTCATTTTACGTCACAAATTAGACTGAGTATTCAACATTAATAACTTGTTTGTTCGATCGCCTTTGACTACTTGAGATTTGAATTTTCGCGCAAAATTTTTTGAAATTTCTCTACCCCGTTTGGGAACGCCGTGTAAGATAGTTTTTTGAAACAATTTCCTAAAAAACTTAAAATTTAGAAAAGAAGTACTTTGAAAAAAAATCATTGAGGACCGGTATTTTTTCGATATCAAAGAGGAACTAATAAACTTGGAATTTCCAGTCGATCCTTGCGCCTCCAGCCCTTGCCCACCTGGTCAAAGATGCGAAGTTTCGTCCGATGGATCTGTCAAGTGTATTCAAGGTGAGTTTGAATGAACAATATCCTTTCCCTCGAAAAAAAGACACAATTTTGCTCTGAATTTTCTTCTTTTTCAGTTATAATTTGAATGATTCACGAGCAATTTTCTCTAATTTCATGTTGGCCATTGAAGATATTCCTTGAAAATGAAAGAAAATATGTTTCTGGAAATATTGATACTTTTCCCAGAAGTCACTTGCGCCTTGGTCGACTGCGGCCCGGGACAAGAATGCCAGGAAACTGACCAAGGACCAGTTTGTGTTTCAGGTAAAAATATAAGAAGGGTTTCGAAGAAAAGAGAATGTTTTTTTGGTGCATTTTTGTCGAATCGGTATCAAGTTGAAACTTTTGAAGTTTTTTTGTTGATACATTTTGTTTAAAAAAACAACAAATCATATAAAAAAATCGTATTTTTTTAAAAATCCAAATATTGACTTCCGGACATGTCTGTTGAGAATCTGGAGCTCCAGTTTTGAAATACGTAGAAAAAATAATAAGAATCTGATTTCTTAACGTTGGAGTTGAACAAGGCATGATGGAAAAGTCAAAAAAAAAGTGAATTTTTGTAATTTTAATGACCAGCATTTTTGGAAAATGAGTAGTTATACCATGAAGAAATAAATACTTCAAAACCGTTAACAGCTTTAAAAAAAGCCCAAACATCTTTTCAAAATTTGTACACTAAAAAAAGGCTTTTGACCGACTTTTCCAGCATGAACACTTTTATACAATAAAAAAGATGACTAAAAATGTTTTTTTCAGAAAACAACGGATGCAAGAAATGCAAAGGAAAGCAGTGCACGGAGGTCGAAATGTGCTTCGGTAAAAAATGCGTCTTCGTCAAGACTTGCCTCACTCACAACCGTACGAGGAGTTCAGAAGTATTCGAGAAAATGATCGATTTCAGCTTGCAAACACGCGAAATGCGGCCCGAAACAGAAATGTCGCCTCCGCGTGACTCACTGCAGAGGATCTGCTTGGTAAGATAGCTTGATGGAATCGTTAAAATAATCATATCTCAACTGGTGTCGTGTTTAAAGGAGCAGCCTGGGTTGGATTCGCGCCAAAATAATTCGTTTTTAGAGTTTTTGAACTTGATAGAAGTCGGTTAGGGAATTCGTCGAAAGTTTCTCTTTTTCAGAAAATCAGAAAATTATGTTTTTGAAGTCAGAAACTTCTGGAAAGTCATGAGCAAATCGAATAAAGGGGTTGTTATAGTCTGTTCAGATTTCAAAGGTCAAGTTCTCGCTGAAGCTCCGCCCCCTAATGGCGCGATAAACCAATCAGAGAGCGAGCCATTCACAGAGCGTTTTCGAATGACGTCATTCTAATTGACATTCAAAATCTGAACAGACTATAAATCAACAAAAACTCTTTAAATACTGTAGCTAAGACATTTTTAAAACAGTCAAGCTCCCTTGAAAAAAAGGAAGCTTCTTTGTTCTTTTGCATTTTAAATTTATCAATACTCAGTCTTTAGAATTTGTTGAAAGTTGATGGCTTGAAGAAAATTGGAAAACACGAAAAAAAAAGACTTTCCAGGAGCCTCTGGAATTTTACGAAGCAAAAGTCGTCAAATTTTGAAAAAAAGGGTTCATTTTAGAGCTTGAAATAATTCTAAGAGGTAGTATTAGAGCTTGGAAGAAACCCCCAAGCACCAACAAGTTTCAACTTTACCAAAACTCTCATTTTCTTTCTCAGCATGATCATCGCTATGTGCTACGGCGGTGGAGACCCACCCACGGACCCGACTTGCGGCACCAACGAAGTCTACTCCCGGTGCACGAGCTCTTGTCTCGAGCCCAAATGTACCCAGGAAGGCGGAGTACGAGAAAATCCATTGATTAATAGCTTCATGATTGGATTTTGAAGCTGTGCCCACAAGTTTGCGAAGCCGGATGCACCTGCGCCGATGGATACTACAGAGATGCCGCCAACAAATGCGTCCGACAGTCTCAATGCCCGCCTGGTGAGATTCTAGGACTGAGAGACTTTTCGATAACTTTGATAAAGCCTCAGGAAGTGGGCAGAAAAAAAAATTAGATCAGGCTGATTTTCTTCAGTGATCCGTTGAACCCTTAAGAGCTCCCTTGGACTTGAAAAATTTCTAGAAGAACCGGAAAAGAAATTTTTATAAGATTTGAACTTTGAAAAAAGACTTTTGATCCATGGTTGTACGATAGAGCGCACTTGTTGATTTTTTTCTGCTCAGTAGGGCTGCTTTTCACTTTTTTTGAATGTTTCCACTTCAATTGGGAGAAAATCTCTATTATTTGTCCATCAAACTTTAAATTGCCAGAAAAAAATGCTCAATCTTTAATCTTTGGAATTGAACGAAATGATCTCCCCGGTAGTTCCGGATATTGATGCTTTCAAGAAATTTTTTTGCCTTTTTTTGAAAATATCCTCAAAAGATACGATTTTTCTTTTGAGCCGATTTTATGAAAGTTCGGCCCTTTTTTTCAACACTATTTGAGTCCACCGTATGAAGTCTAGATCTTCAAAAATAGTTAAAAATCAACTCCAATCAACAAAATTACAGTTGATCCGCCAACCTGCGCGAACTTCACCTGCGGCGACGGTTTCAAGTGCTACGACACTCAATTCGGACCAGTTTGTGTGAAAAGTAGGGAACCATGAAAGATATCGATAATGGACCAAATCATGCAGCCGACCCACCGGGAGAGGGAAACCTGACCTGCGACGACATCAACTGCCCCGACGGCTGCGCCATGATCGACTTCTGCGACCCGACCGGCTCGTCCTGCGTCAAGTACCCGAGATGTCTCCACAACGGCAACCGTCAGTTTTGTAGAGTTTTCAGGGAGAAAATGGTGCAAGTCAATACTTTTTCTTATTGAACTCTTTCTGTCAGAAAAAAACTGTAGAGGACTGATTTTCCTGCACCGTCAGCTCCACAGACTTTTTGAGGAAGGAAACTAGTCAAAAATAGGCGAAAAATAAAGCCAATAAGATAACAAGAATTCATAAGATTTTTCATTGAGAGGGCACAGAGAAACATAATTAGCGCTAGAGCGCACTTGGCCGACTTTCAACTTTCTGAATTTATTCCATTTCTTTCTCTTTTCAGCTTGCAAGGATGTTCAATGCGCCGAGGGAAGCTCCTGTCATCTGGTTCGACTTCCGTGCCGCAGAAGACCTTGGTAGGACATTCCTTTAAGGAAATTTTTGATGAAAATCGGCTGGAATGTTCTTTGGGACCTTCTCGTTCGAGATTGAGGCAAAAGTTTCGAGGAAAAGATAATTTCGAAATTATGACTTTAAAAACTTGCTTTGAACTTTGGAGTATAGACTTGAGCATACATGGGCAGACTCTTTTCAAACCCCCCCCGCTCCTCTTTTGAATTCTTACTAAATCAAAGTCAACACAACCTCCTCGAGGTTGGAAATCAATTTTTATCTTTCTTTGTCTGGAATCTTTAAGTTCCGTAGTCCACTTCTCTCCCCTTTACTTGACCACGTACCTGAGAACATTTTAGGAATATTTGTGAGGTTTTTCATTCTTTTTCGAAGCCCGGAAAGTTCTACAAAGTCTCAGCCAAGTCCCATACTGAGTTGGACAAAAGATCGTTAGGAATTATCAGAAAATTGACGTAATCTTTTTCAGCCCCGTTGTGCCACAGTGCGTGACCGACGAAAAGCCACCAACTTGCGGACAAAACGAAGTCGTTTCCCAGTGCTTCACTCCGTGTACCGAGCAAAAATGCATCAAGAAGCGTGATGTGAGTTTGATGGAATGTATTTTCAGGCAGATTTTCCATTTTTTTGAGGAAATTGTAAGATATTTAAGATGAAGAAGGCGAAGAATAATAGAAATATGAGGGAAATTCAAAAAATTCAACTCCACTTTTAAGTTTTTCCACCTTATTTCATCCTTCGCGGCCCTGCTTTTCTAGGATCACTTAAGGCAGTTGACGCCCCTAAAGGGGTCACTAGAAATTCTCAAACAACAAAAAACGCTCCCGGCGTGCATCACCGAGGCCCGAGCCCTCAAACCTTTTTTTGCTCAAGAAAATGAATAATCGGGTAAATTGAAGATGTGCCCATCGGTGTGCCAAGTCGGCTGCACCTGCGCCGTCGGATTCTTCCGTAACCCAGAAGGAAAATGCGTCAGCAAGGCCGAGTGCCCACCTCGTAAGAGATCTTCGAAGAAGTTGCAACTTTCATTGATGGATGTTCAGAGCCAAGCTGCGACACCGTCAAATGCTCGGCCGGATACGAGTGCAAGATGGTCGGCGGAGCCCCGACCTGTGTCAAGAGTGAGTTGGGGGGGAATAAATTGGGAAAAGAGCTCTTTAACCTCTTTTTAATAGTTTACCATCCACCCGACCCTTATCGTTCTACAAGTAGTTTTTGATCGGGTGCATTGGAAAATGAGTTTTTCCGAAATTCGAAAGCTTCCAATCAGAATCGTTCAGTCCCTGAGAAGGAAACCTGCGAGACGAAGAAATGCAAAGAGGCCTGCGCCTACATCAAAACCTGCAACGTGTTCTCCTTCTGCCAGTACCTGCCGACCTGTATCCACACTAAGCGTGAGTTTTTGACCAATCCCTCGAGATTTTTCAGAATTTTCCCTGATTAAATAATCTCATTTCCAGCACCGACCTGCAACAACATCGAATGCCCGAAAGGCTACACCTGCAAGATCCAAAACGGAAAGCCGACCTGCGACGAAAGTTTGTCGAAAATCGGGTAGCATTCTTCCAATCGTTCGGTTTGCAGCCTCAGTCGAGCCCCCGTGTAGAGATCACAACTGCCCCGACGGAAAGATCTGCGTCTCCAGAGGCTACGCTCCCATCTGCGTTGGTACGGTTTTGGGATTTCGAAAAAAGAAAGAATAGAACATTTTCTCATGTTCCATTTCAAAAAGCTACCTTTTTTGATAATTCTTCTAAACCCTATTCTGAAAACAAAAAAGTCACTAGCAAGCAACCGAAAGAGCCTGATTAGAAACGCCTGAATCAAAAAAAGCTCAGATCTTGTTTCAAAATCATTTTTTTGCCTTCAACTTCCATCAGAAAGCTTTCAACCCTCTGGAAAGAATTTTAAAGGCCACTTGAGAGTTTTGACCCTTTAGTGGTCACTTTAGTCTTCAAAATTAGTGGCCATTTAGATGCTTGAAATTTATTGGTCTCATTAGAGGTCTCAGTACTAATAGACCGCTAAAAACTACTACAGTAGTCACTAAGAAACGAAAATGGTTTGAGGTAATTTCAGTGGCCAGTTTAGTGTCCTCTCCTTGAGGAACCTCTATAGTGGCCACTAAATTTTTCGAGCTTGCCAAAAAGTCAAAAATGCAATACTTTTCGAAGTATGATCCAATCACTTTCGATACTTTGAAAAAGATGAAAAATAATGAAGATATTTTTTGAAAGAGTTGAAACTCCGAAAAAATTGCTCTCAGAAGTACAGAAAATTCGATTTTAGTAGGAAAATATCTAGAGTTCAAATCTAGCTAGTGAAAAAATTGATTTCGCTCGCTGATTTTTCGTAGATTCTCATTCAAAAGTAACCTTTCACGAAATCTCTGATTCAGACCCGCCAACGGATCCGTCCTGCGACGATTTGAACTGCCCCAGCGGCCAGTGCGTCATGATCCCGCACTGTCGCAAAGGAAAGTGCCGCAAGATGCCGACTTGTGTCAGAAATCGTGAGTTTCAAGAAAAAATAAGTCATATAAAAACGTAATCGATCCATTCCAGCACCAACATGCAAGCAAATTTCCTGCCCGCCCGGCTACGAATGCAAGATCATCGGAAATTCGGCCACCTGTGTCTCTGGTAAGAGAAAAATCAGAGAAGAGCCTCAAGAAAAATGACGATTTTGCAGTCCCGACCCCAGACCCGACCTGCGAAGATAAGCACTGCAAGGAGGCCTGCGCCTACATCAAGACTTGCTTCGCCAAGGGAGGATGCCGATTCCTGCCCACTTGTATCCGCACCCCACGTAAGTTTCGAAAGAAACATAGTTTAGAGAAAGGAACAGCTTTTCCTACTGTTGAGCATAATTCATCTTATGCGCCAGGCCTCCTTTTGTTTAGAGTCTGAGTTCTTTGGAGCTCCCATCTTCTAAAGCGAGATAGCACTGCTAAATGAGAGAGTTCAGAGAAAAAAAGGCCTGCTCTCACTTTTTGAATGATCTCTAGTTTGAAAGCAAGGGAGGACTGGTAAACGAGAGTGTTTAGAGAAAAAAAAGCCCTCTCTCATTGACTAATCTCTAGTTAAAAAGCGAGAGAGCACTGGAAAACGAGAGCGCTCAGAGAAAAAAAAAATAACGCCCGATCTCTCATCTCTTGAATGATCTCTAGTTCAAAACGCGAGATAGCACTGCTAAATGAGAGGGTTCAGAGAAAAAAGGCCTGCTCTCACTTTTTGAACGATCTCTAACCTTCGAAATTTCGAGAGTTTCTAGTCCTTTTCTTAGGACTCGTAAAGGATTCCGAAGTTGTATTTCTGCGAAAACGTTTAAATCGAAAAAAAAAAAATGGATGAATTCAGCAAATTGCTCGACGATCAAATGCGAAGAAGGCTACGAATGCCAAATCGTCGACGGCAAGCCGAGATGCGTCCAAGTCACCGTCCCCCCACTCTGCGAGACCAAACAGTGCGAAAACGGAACATACTGTGTGGTCCGAGGAGGCGAGGCTGTCTGCGATCCTGGTATCCGAAATGAATATGAAAATGTATATAGTCCTGATACAGAGAACCACGGACCATCCTGCGACGATTTGGACTGCCCCAGCGGACTCTGCGTCAAGATCCCGCACTGCCGCGGAGACGTTTGCCACAACCTGCCGACCTGCATCACGAAACGTGAGTTGTTTCGAATGGAAGTTTTGAGCAGTAGGAAGCTTTCAAAAAGTTTTTAGTGGTTTAAAAGTACCATCCTGAAACTACTCCGAGACAAAATAACTTTCCAGCACCAAGCTGCGACGACATCTCCTGCCCCGACGGCTACCAGTGCAAGATCCATGGAAAATCGGCGACCTGCGATCCGAGTAATTTTCGAAAATCCGACCGATTTTCCTCAACTGGCAACAATTTCCAGCCGAACCAGAACCGACTTGCGAGACCCTCAAATGCCCCGGACAATGCGCCTACATCAGAACTTGCTTCACCCGTGGACGATGCCGCTTCCTGCCGGTCTGCGTCCATCAGCCAGGTAATCGGAATGGATGGGTGCGGAGCGGCTCGCGTCGGGGTCAGATGGGGAAACTGTCGAATTTTCTTTCTACCATATCTTGTTTCAGAATTCGAGGCGGTAGATGGTTTTTTAGAAAAAAGAAAAGAGAAAATTATTTAGAAATTTTAGAGCTATTCAAAGATTTCCTATCTAGAGACTTTTATTCGCACTACGGTAACGGAAACCAGAAATTATTCGCAACTCTAGGGGTCACTCAAGACAGTTAAAGCCCCTCAAGTGACCACTAGAAAACGCCCGAAACGACCGTGTTGCGTTACCGATTTCCGAGTAGGTATAACTTTCTTTCCACCATATCTTGTTTCAGAATTTGAGACGTCAGATGGTTTTTAAAAAGAATTAGCAATTTCAAAATCTAGTCCAAGATATCCTATAAAGATATTTCGAAAAAAGAAGTTTATGAAAAAATCAGGAAAAAAGTATTTCCATGAGACTGAGCTTGATGCAGAAAGTTGCAAAAAGGTCTTCCAACTTTTCTGATTCGAAACTTCAACGATTTTGAACAGTTTGGACGTTTTTAGCAACGCTAGGGCTCCCTTAAGACAGTCGAAGCCCTAAAGTGGTCACTAGAAATCCCCCGAAACGAACGTGTTGCGTTACCGAGCTCCGATTAGGTGTGAGGTCCAAAAAAATCAGATTTTTATCAAAAATCGTCTCTTTTCCTACAAAAAGGTTTCTACTTCAGAGAAAAACTGCGACAATGTCGACTGCGGTGACGGCTACAAATGCGAAATGGAGAAAGGAAAGCCGACTTGCGTCTCCAGTGAGCTTCCCATTCAGTGGGAAATTATATAAATGATGTTTTTCCAGTTACGGAGCCACCGTGTGCTGATGGACAAACCTGTCCCCACGGAATCTGCGTCGTCAGACACAATCGCCCGGTTTGTATCGTTGGTGAGTTTCGAAACGACTTCAAATTGAATTTGAAGCGTTTTAAGTTGAAAAGTCATGGTCATGGTTTATCCGAAAAACGACGATTTCTAAGAAAATTCTTCCCTAGGTGTTTAAAGGAGCATGGGGACATTTTAGAAAGGTCTCGAATGGAAAAGCGTGATATTTTCGATCTTAGGAGACTTTTGGCAAACAGGAAATGTCACAAAATGGTGGCTTGGTTTGAAAACTACAAAAAGTCGGAACCTCTCATTTTTGAACGCTGTTTCGCTAGTCTATCAGTTTTGAGATTGTAGAACGTCTAGAGCCTGATATAGATTCAAAAAGATATTTTCAAGATTTAAAATTCCCTTAAACCGGTAATAATAGCCATGATGAGCAAGAACAATAAAAAAACTCCCTTTTTTCCAGACCCGCCACCAACTCGGACCTGCGACGACCTGAACTGCCCCAGCGGTCAGTGTGTCATGATCCCGCATTGCCGAAACGGAAAATGCGTTCCGCAACCGACCTGCTACCACAAACGTTCGTAGAATCGAGAAAACGGAGAAGAAATGTGGATTTTCAGCACTTCCATGCAGCCAAGTCCGTTGCCCACCTGGACACGTCTGCAAGAGGGTCGAGGGAGTCCCGACCTGTGCTCCGAGTGAGTTTGAGAAGATTTTGGGTGACAGTAGATAGCAAAAACACTTTATGAATAAAAGTAAGAAATTTTCCTTTTTGCGGCCTTTTTGCGCCATTTCATCGGCTCTTATGCACCAGTTTTGCTGCCTCCCACAATTTCTCGACCTCTTAAAATCCCGCGAGAAATGGAAGGCTCGATAAAGGGACTCTTTTTGCTGCCTTTCTGCGGCCTTTTTTGAGCCTCACTCTTTTAGCGGACATTATCCACCATTCCGACTTTGCCTGAGACTAGAAAGAATGATTAAAATTGAAAATATTGCTTTAAAAAGTGTTGCTGCTCTTTTTCATCATTAAACTTTAAAGTCACTCCTCCGCCGAAGTCGTGCGACGATCTCAAGTGCACCGAAGGCTGCGTTTACGTCCAGACGTGCTGCCCATTCCGTGGATGCCAATACGTGCCGAAATGCGTCAAGAATCCGCGTTAGTTTCATTTTTTTCGGAGGAAATTTGAGCCTGAACTAATTGAAAATTCTGTCTGAATCTCCAAAAATCAGTTATCTTTTTCTATCTCTGACGGCTATGACATCAGACATTATCTCGGAAGTTCTCCCTAAGGAGGTTCTAATAAGCTCCCTGAAGGACCCACTGGATCTCAAATTCCCTTTAGGGCCCACTTCAGCTTTTCCCAGTATTTTTGGAAGAAATCAGTTTTAATATGATTTTTCCATACAGCGCACAAGATCTCTTAAGTAGATTTTGTTGTTTTTATTCGCGGAGAAGCCTCAGAAACGTTAATAGTTTTTTAATTTCTTCCTCTTTTATCTTTATTTGATTTCCTGTAGCAGTCCTCGAAATCCTCTAGAAGTTTCTATTTCAGCACCAAACTGCGAGGCTGTCCAATGCCAGCCTGGACACACTTGCAAGCTCAGAGACGGAAAGGCGACCTGCGAACCAGGTAGTTTTTTGCTCATTCTCTTTCAAATCTGAACGAGGATCAAAATTAATGAATTGTTTTTCCAGAAATCACCTGCAAGGAAAAGAGATGTCCACCAGGAACCGTTTGCCAGATCAGAAGAAACAAGCCAGTTTGCATCCGTTCGTTTTCATTTTTTGAAGTAGAAGCCATTGAATCGACTAAAATGAGGCATAGTATCACTCAGAAAAATACAGGATGAAAAGTTTCTCATACTTTCAGAAAGTCTTACCTTCTCTAAAGCGAGAAGGCAAATATTCACGATAGGAAGTAGTTCATATTTTTCGGATTCTTCTAAAGAAAACTTCCAAGGAAATCTTTTCCCAGGGCCACCAACCGAAGGCTGTAACGATTTGGACTGCCCCAGCGGCCAGTGCATCTACATTCCTTACTGCGACGGCGACACCTGCGTCAACCGACCGGCTTGTGTCGTGATCCGTGAGTTTCGAGATCAGCTTTCGGGGTTTAGAATCTTTTTTTGAAAATTAGCTGACTTTCGAAGTTTTGTTCTCAGTTTGCTTTTTCTAACCTTTTTTTCATAGACGACCATAAGGAAAGTTTTTCTGTGAGAAATTTGAGGATTTCTGAAAATTTGCTCGAAATTCTTTGACTAGAAGATCCCTCATCGTTATGTGTTCATGATTAGTTCCAAAATATGGGTTTTAGGACTATATCTTCGTTAAATGCGAAAATCAAATGATAATTTGAAAAAAATGTAGAGGTATGATGAATCTTGATCTAGAGCTTCAAAGAATCTTGGAACGAATTTTCAGAAAGTTCCAAACTTATCACGGAAATCACCTCCTTTGTTAGAGACGTTATGTGAGAAATCATGAAAAATACACCTCCCAAGAATCTTTGGGCGATATTTCAGATGATCTCAAATCAAAACTAAGATGACCCTCTTGAGAAAAACGAAATTGACTAACTGATAAAAATCATTGACTTTTCAGCGGTGACCTGCGCCCAAATCGAATGCGGACCCGGACAACAGTGCAAGGTCATCCGTGGAAAACCACGTTGTGTTGACAGTTAATATCAACCCGAAAATCGGAAATTAAAGCTCGGAATTCAGTCGTTGAGCCGCCACCGACCTGCGAGGAGCTCAACTGCCCCAGCGGCTGCACTTACCTGGTCACCTGCTCGCCGAGCTTCGGATGCCGTTATGAAGCTCGCTGCATCGTTGTTCCTCGTACGTTCTGAGTTGTGAGAATGGGAAGTTCAAAGTGGCCCCTTGAGGGGCAACCCTAGGGGCTCTTAAAGTTTCCCTCAAGCTCTTCACCTCTAGATGGCCACTGAAGCTTGCAAAAGTTATCCTCATGGCCCCTTTAGAAGACATACTAGTCCATTTTGTATCAGGCGTATCCAAGACAATCTTTGAAGTCTCTCTTTTTCAGTAAATCGGTGTTTTTTCAGCACTCAACTGCACAAACGCTCTCTGCCCCGAAGGCTACAAATGCGTGATGAAGGACGGTGACGTCACTTGCGAACCAAGTCCGTTGAGATGTCACTTGAGTGATAACGTTTTCAACTTTTCAGCATCGCCCTGCGATTCTCAGGAATGCCCCGACGGACAATTCTGCCGCGTGAAGAACGGCACCGCCAGTTGCACCAACCGTTCGTTTCTCATTGTGGGTTTTTATGATAAAAAAGTTTTCAGCGCCAGAAACCTGCGACGAGATCACTTGCCCCAACGGCCAATGCGTCCCGAAACAGTATTGCAGTAATACAAAGGGTTGCATCGTGATCCCGACCTGCGTCGACATCCGTCAGTCGAATCTGATGAAACTTGTTTGAAAAATGGATTTTCAGCGCTGACCTGCTCCGAAGTCACTTGCCCGACTGGATACGAATGCAGGGAGATTGACGGCGTCGTCCGTTGTATCCCAAGTTTGTCCCGGCCTTTTTTGTTGAGACTGGGATTAGGAGAAAGTAGGGCGAAAATCGGGAGAGCTGAGACTTTCTGACGTCTCCTATGCCGCTGCTGATCTCTATTTACTGAAAAAAATGAATATCAGATTTTGAGCCTGACTGTGGCAGCGAGAAAGCAGTTACATGAAGAGACACCAGAGAAAAAGAGTTTCTTTACTTCTCTGGGATCTCTTCCAGTCGCCGCTGGACTCTACTTACTGAAAAAAAGAACATCAGATTATGAGCCTGACTGTATACCAGCGAGAGAGCAGTTATATGAAGAGACACCAGAGAAAAAGAGTTTCTCTACTTCTCTAGGATCTCTTCCGGCAGCGCTTTGTCTAACTTAACCTTTGAAAATTGATGCGAAAGAGATGAAAATTCAACGAGAAAAAAAAACAGAATAATCCCAAGTATTCAGTCCGACCACCTCCATTGACCTGCGAGGACATCGAATGCCCAGAGAAATGCGAATACAGAAGAAGATGCGACCGATGGGGAAGATGCCGCTACGAACCGACCTGCGTCGACACACCAAGTAGAATATCCACTTTAGGGACACCTCAAAGAGCTCTTTACAGCGCCAAACTGTGATACGGTCAAGTGCGCCCCAGGCTACGAGTGCAAGATCACCGATGGAAAGCCAGGATGTGTTCCAGGTATAGTTTCGAAAAATGGTAGTTCGGTAGTTTCAAAATAGTATGGTAAGTAGGAAAAACTGTGGTAGAGCTTTTCTTTCAGCTTCTTCCGCACTGAGAAAGTTCCTGATTTCGGAAAACAACAGTTCCCTTACCGTACTCACGTCTCGCTAAATTGCAGACTTTTAATTTTCAAAAATACATGATATTAATGAAAAATCTCCACAATATGATCTTATAAGAACTATGTAAAATTCGAAAGCCTTTTTTTTGAAAAATTGAAATCTTACAGTGAAAGTCTGTGAGGACCTGCCTTGCCAGGAAGGCCAACACTGCGAAATCGTGAATGGCACCGCGACCTGCGTTACCGGTAATATCAATGGATTTGGAGTACAAATCAATAATTCCTGGATCTTTCTCAGATCCGGAAGACCCTGACTGCGACGATTTGGACTGTCCCAGCGGCCAGTGCGTCCTCATCCCCTACTGCTACAGAAGACAGTGCCACCGAGTTCCGACCTGCGTCACTTATCGTGAGTTTGAATAAGGCGTACTGTAGGTCGGAGTTGTGCATACACTGAACGCGGTTCTTTTTCTGAAGAAAAGAAAGGAAAATAACTAGAAAAGGGATGGCTGTAGAAAAATCAAAATTTCAAAAACTTTGAAAGTTTGCTCTACCGAACAATTTCCCTTATTAGCTAGACACGCCCATTTCTATTGCTTATTCAGTCCGCTGGAGCGGGTTTCAAACTCGAAAGGCGTTTTGAAAGAACTAGAAGAAAAATATTCCCTTTTAGCACCAACCTGCGATGACGTCACCTGCCCACCTGGATCCGAGTGTCAGCTCATCGACAATTCGACTGTTTGCGTTGAAAGTTTGTTTTTCGAACTTCTTAAGAGGATACTTGAAACTTCAAAACAGTTGTTTAGACTCCTAGAAAACTTAGAAGATCCATCAAGGGAAACCTTGAACTTGTTTTCCCTCGCGGGCTACGACACTTCAATTTTCGATCAAATTGAAAAATCCGATTTCAGTCCCGACGCCTCCTTGCAAAGGCCACCCTTGTCCATTCGGAACCGTTTGCCGAGTCCGAAATGGCCAGCCTACTTGTGTCACAGGTAAGACTATAATCAGTCGATAATCCCATAAATTGCTCGATTTTCAGTCGGCCCGCCACCTTGCCACCGTGTCAGATGCCCACGTGGATACAAATGCAAACCGCGAGGATATTATGGAGTTTGTGTTCCAGGTGAGGGAAAGAGAATAAGAATAACGTCTGGTACAGCTTTTCTTGAGCTTTGGTCATTATTATCATCAATATCAAACTTTCCAGACCCAGGACCACCAACCTGCGACAACGTCAGATGCCCACCTGGATACGTCTGCACTATTGAGGACGGAATCGCGAGCTGCGGTGATCGTAAGTTTTGGAAATAATGAAAGAAAAGGAGAAGCTTGTAAGTCATTTGCAGGTGTAAAATAACGATTTTAGGGATATTCAGTGACAAATTAAAGAACATGACCCTTTCGAAATTCTTCCTTGAAAAGTCACAGTTAGAACTTTCTGGTCGCATGTAGAATGGCTCAAAGCGCAATTTATCTTTTTCTCCTCTTGATTTTCTCATAACCCCTTATAGCTGATTCACGGTTGGCTTGAGCCATCGAAAAAAGGGTCCTGACACGATAAGAAAAGAGAGTGCCTGATTATTGGAGAGCGCAGCCAGGCCACGCCCACTTAGCGTCCCAAGCTAGCCGTGGATCAGCTATACCTTCATAGTAACCGCTCCAAATAACCATTTATCATGCTTTTTCGAATCAACTGTACCTTTTTATCTCATTTTCCAGCAATTGACTGCGAACACAAGCGCTGCCGACCAGGATGGACTTGCTCCATAATCGACGGAAAGCCCGTGTGCTCTCCACCAGGTTTTAGTCCCCTAGATGAAAAATAAACGGGAAACGGGTTAAGTCGATCCTTGCGACAACCACACTTGCCCTGACGACACCTTCTGCCGCAGAACCCCCAAAGGACCTTACTGCTTCCCGAGTAACTCTTAGAGAAGTCCGATCAGAGGTGAAACTCCGTTTTCAGTCATCGAACCGTGCACCAAAGCGACCTGTCCGGCCGGATCCGTCTGCTTCGTCGACCAGGACGGCAAGCCGACCTGCCAGCAAAGTTTGAGCTTTTCCTCACATTAGGAATTTCCTGAAAACTGGAAGCTTCTTGATGTAGAACATTAGGGTCCTGAAAGCCCCCTCTTTTTTCCGAAAAAGGAAATCATATCCGCTGAAATATTCTCAGACACTTTGAAGCCTTCTGATTGCAGAACAAAGACAAAGTTTCTCGCAAGACATCTTTTCTTGATCAATAACCCTTTGAAGCCCGTGGAACACAAAGATCATGATAATTAGCATCATAACTCGAATAAGAAATCTATTGAACCTTCTTATTTGGGCTCAGGGATTTGAATCTACCCATTCAGCCGAGTTTCATCAAAAGATCACTTGAAGTGAAGCTCATTCCTTCCCCGATTCTCTTGTAAGGAAGGATTTTCAGCCGGCGTGAACTGCACCGACTACTACTGCCCGACCAAATGCGTCATGCGACGTGGACAGCCCTTCTGTCTGCCTCGTAAGACTGACCTTATCATTCTTCCTCTGATTGTTGATTTCTCAGCTCCACCTGGCTGCGAAAAGAAAAACTGCCCACCAGGAACCGTCTGCCAAATTGTTGATGGAAAACCGAAATGTGTCGCGAGTAAGGCTTTTCACTATAGAACAGTATTAGAGGCCTTTCAAACAAGTAGAAAAGCTCAAAAACCCTAGTTCAAGTATTATAGGGCCAATCGTGATATCTGTAGGTCTTGGAAAACGGGCAAAGAGATCTGATTTCACTATCAAAGGGTGTCTTTCCAATGACTCAAACGTCGTATTACAGACAGTATCCTGAAAAGTCTATTTATGATGTGAACTGGAAGATTTCCTAGATGCTAGATAGAGACATCGTTCTTTGAATCCAGCCTGAGAAAAAAAAAACGATCAAATATAGAGAGCACTCTGATTTTTCAGCCTGCGAAAACAACAACTGCCGACCTGGAACGGTTTGCCAGATCATAGATGGAAAACGTCGTTGCGTCACAGGTGAGCATTTGACAAGCCTTGCCCCCTTCTTGAAGGAGAAGAATTCGTAGCTTGTTGAGAAATTGTTGCTCTATTTTTCAAGCTTTTTTTGACACGAAACCCATAAAACTGAACTTGTTAAGTTGATCCTTGCTCCAACCACACCTGCCCCGACAACACCTTCTGCCGCAGAACTCCCCAAGGACCTTACTGCTTCCCGAGTAATTTCCAGGAAGAAAAACTAAGTCATAAGAAGAATCTTCCAGACGTTGATCCTTGCACCAGCGCCAGCTGCTCGGATGGACAGATTTGCAAAGTCGACACGACAACGACGGCAGAGGCTCGAAAAGTATCAGCCAAGGCCGACGAACCCGCCAAGACGACTTGTGTTCCTCGTAAGGGTTCCCCCAAAAAAAGGAAATCAAAAAAACTTCCAGCCACCGGAGAAAACTGCACGGACTACTACTGCCCGACCAAATGCGTGGTCAGAAACCGAAAGGCTGTCTGCACACTTCGTAGGAGTCTTTTTTATCAAGCCCTAATTTAGTGATGATTTTCCAGCTCCCCCGGTTAACTGCAACGATAAGAAGTGCAAAGCCGGATCGACATGCGCGATCGTCAACAACAAGCCAACCTGTGTTCCAGGTGAGATGAGTCACCTGAAGACAATCTAGAAAAATGGATATCGATGAATGAGACTTCATTCCTGCAAAAAATGATTTGATAGGAAAATTCCATGCTCAGTGAGTTACATTTCATCACAAGGATAATATTTGAGATGAAAAAAAAACCATTAAGATAGGCGAAGTCACTTATCAAAGAAGGATAAACCAATAATAATACCGTTAAGTCGACGTTTGCACCAACTACACCTGCCCCGACGACACCTTCTGCCGCAGAACTTCACAAGGAGCTTACTGCTTCCCGAGTAAACCCCAGAAGACCCTCCGAACCAAAAATCCCCTTTTAAGACAACCCAGCCCCATGCAACAGCTCTACCTGTCCCGAGGGAACCATCTGCGCCCTTGACCAGGAGGGTAACACCATCTGCAGGCCAAGTCGGAGATTTTCCCGAAAAGAATCACCCAGGAATCTTTTTCAGAGCCCGGAGAGAACTGCGACAAGTACTACTGCCCAACGGAATGCTACATCTACCGCGGAAGAGCTGTCTGCGAACTTCGTACGGACTTTTGAATATTCTCTCGAAAATGCATAGGAACATAGATCGGTAGTCTGAAAAAGAACTGGGAAGACGGTTTAAGGAAAAAAAAAACTATCGTCATTTATCCATGGGGCGAATTTTTTCGAAAGAAATAGAGACTTCAAAACTTCCTGATTTGAGCGTGACAATCAATCTCACAAATAAAATAAACCAAGAATCTCTTTTTTGAATTCGAAATGAAACTTTTGAATGTTCAGCTCCTACCTGCGATAAGTACCGATGCAGACCTGGAACGGCTTGTGAAATCGTGAATGGAAATCCAGTCTGCGTCCCGGGTAAGAGTTTCAAAATGACGGGAATAATCAGAAATCAAATCATAATAAAAACACTCCTATTGTTATTTCAGTTGACCCCTGCGACAAGAAAATCTGCCCAGGAAACACCTACTGCCGCAGAGTCCCTGGAGGAGCCTTCTGCTTCCCGAGTAACTATCCCATCATTTGATTCGATCTAAAAGTCATACTTTAGACCCTGATCCATGCACCGTTGAAACTTGCCCCGAGGGAATTTGCACCGTCGACCAGGAGGGCAAGACATTCTGCGTGCCAAGTTTGAAGCTCTCCCGAGAACCTTCTTAGAAAGGATTTTCAGCCGGTCCTGCAGACAACTGCACTACCTACTACTGCCCGACCGAATGCGTCATCCGCAACGGAAGACCAGCCTGCCTTCCTCGTGAGTTTCTCGATCTGATGAGACTCGACAGACCTTATTCGTTCTCATAATCTTCCCTCTTTCATTTCTGACCGTTCAGCTCCCAACTGCGAACGCTACCAGTGCGGAGAAGGAACCGTTTGCACCATTGTCAATGGAAAGCCGACCTGTGTTATCAGTTAGCATATTTCTATCTCAAATGATCAGAAATAACTGAGGTATTGATAAAATGATAATCTTCAGCCTGCGACAACGTCCATTGCCCAGCTGGAACCACTTGCGACACTGTGAACGGAAATCCAGTCTGTGTCCCGGGTGAGAATCTCAAAATAAAAGTAGAAATTCAAGTGACAGTGAATACTTGAAAGAAATGTATGGAGAATAATATTGGAAAAGTATACTCTAGTCTGGAAACTGAGCAACGTCAAAAATCAGAAAATATGCCAAGAAAAAAAATTTTCGAGTAGATCGTATCAAACGTCTGTCTACCACAGGAAAAGTTCTGAAATTTTCTAACTAACCCTAAAGAACGATTTGTGAACCGTTTCAAAGTCCACTAGCTACACGAGGGATAGTAAATCGAACATTAAAAAAACAGTCCTGCTCAGTTTAGAAGAAGATCTTTTTGCTCTAAATTCAAGTTTGCCTTGTTCAGTTGACCCATGCAAGGACAAGCAATGCCCAGACAACACCTACTGCCGCAGAGTCCGTGGAGGAGCCTTCTGCTTCCCGAGTAACTTTTGATAACTCTATTAGATCCACATTTTCGATTTCAGCTGTTGATCCGTGCACCAAGGAAACTTGTCCTGATGGAATTTGCAGCGTTGAGGATGGAAACACCAAATGCCATCCATGTGAGGGATCAATCGAGAAAAAAAACCATCTAGAGAAAAGTTTCAGCCATCGGAGAGAACTGCACCGACTACTACTGCCCGACCACATGCGTCTTCCGAAACGGACAGGCGAAATGCACACTTCGTGAGTCCTCAGAGCTGTGTAGATGAAATTCAAACACCTATTTCTGATCTCTTTCAAGCTTTTTAACGTTGAAACAAATTTTCAGCTCCAAGCTGCGACCGCTACTCATGCCCACCAGGAACCGTTTGCAACTTGGTCGACGGAAAGCCGACTTGCGTCATCAGTGAGATATTTTTCATCTTGACAATCATCGGAAATAATCGAGGCTTTCATAAAATGATCAGACTGAAGATGGAGAAAGACATTCTAAGGATTTACCTTTAAAAAAATTCCAGTTCTTCTTGAGGCTCACAAGTTTCCTTCAACGAAAACTAATCAGAAACCGTTAGGGTTCTGAGGTCGTATTAATGATAAATTACGCATCGTTAGTACGAGGGGTCTACAGAAGAAAATCGTTCTAGTCCCACTTTTATCCAAAACTTCCAAGAAGCTATAAACCCGACTCCTTATTTCAATCTTTCAGCGTGCGACAATAGTAACTGCAAAGCTGGAACGACTTGCGAAATCGTCGCCGGAGAACGGTATTGCGTCCCAGGTGAGTCTTTTTCCATATCGAGAAGTTGTTGGATAGTAACGAACTTGAACTGATAATCTGTGAGACTAGCAGTCTTTAAAAATTGTATTGTGTGTGGTAAAGGTGTACTGTAATATCTTTTGAGAAGCTTCGCAAAAGAAAGTCTTTCTGAGAGTTCTAGAGGCATATTTATATACTCAAAAAATGGAAGTCAGAACTTTTATCGAAGGTTCCTTGTACCAAGAAGCTTACAAGAACAGATACAGGATTTTTAGCTCAAAATTCAAGTTTACTTTGTTCAGTTGACCCATGCAAGGACAAGCAATGCCCAGACAACACATACTGCCGCAGAGTCCGTGGAGGAGCCTTCTGCTTCCCGAGTAAACTTTCGATGGCTCTATTGGATCCACATTATCGATTTCAGCTGTTGAACCGTGCACCAAGGAGACTTGTCCCGACGGAATTTGCATAGTCGATGCTGAGAGCAAGACGAGCTGCGCGCCAAGTACAGAATGATCCAAATTCTGCTTTACTCAGGAAAATTTTCAGCCGGCGGAAATAACTGCACAGACTACTACTGCCCGACCACATGCATCCTACGCAACGGAGAGCCGAAATGCACCCTTCGTGAGTTTTATTTTGATCCATAACAGTTTGACGGGTCTTATCAATTATTTAAAAATTTTGAATCTTCAGCTCCAAGCTGCGACCGCTACCAATGCGGACCAGGAACCGTTTGCAACTTGGTCGACGGAAAGCCGACCTGTGTTATCAGTAAGATCTTTTCCATCTTGCCTATCATCAAAAATAATCCAAGCCTTGATAAAACGATAACTTCTAGCCTGCGACAACGTCCGTTGCCCAGCTGGATCCACTTGCCAAACCGACAGCGGAAATGCGGTCTGCGTCCCGAGTAAGATCATCAGAATAAGGCTAACCTATGATCAGAATAGTGGCTCACAGACGGAAAATTGATATTTGAATCTTAAAAACGCTTGTCAAAGAACAAAAAACCATTATAAAAAAAGCTGATCGGTTGAAGTGTTTTATCCGCTTCGGGTTTATTGAAACTCGAAACCTTCAAAAATCTATCAAACAAGCTTCTTCTCCTCGACCTTGAATTTTTCAAAACATCCAGTTTCTTTCTCCTATTTGGACTGGATGCAGATCCAAGAAACATAACAACCCTTTGAGAAAAGGACAATCGATAGAAATATTCAAAGTTCTGATAGGAAAATTCAACAGAAATGTGATAGATCATGCATGTTATCTGTTAAGTTGACCCTTGCGTCAACAAGCAGTGCCCCGACAACACCTACTGCCGCAGAGTCCCGGGAGGAGCCTTCTGCTTCCAGAGTAACTTTTCGATGATTCGATCGGATCGAACGTTGAAATTTCAGACCCCGACCCGTGCACCACGGATACTTGTCCTGCCGGAATTTGCAAAGTCGATTCTGATAACAAGACTTCCTGCGAGCCAAGTCGGACATTTCTCTGAGAAAATACAGAGGAAGAATTTTCAGTCACACCTGGACAGAACTGCTCAGACTACTACTGCCCGACCAGATGCATCTTGCTCAACGGAAGCCCGACCTGCCTTCCTCGTGAGTTCTCGAATGGGAAAGGGGATCAATTTTATGAAATCGATCGGAAATCGGAAATAATTCTCAAAACTTTTCACCTAGGCCTTTAGAAAATGGACTAGTTCAAAGTGAAACATATTCTCAGAGCTGTAAAATATGATTAGTAGCCCAGTAGATGGGTTTAAAAATACATCATACATTTTACGATTTAGAACTTTAGTTTTATTTTCCAGATTTCTGAAATATTTCCTTGAAAGATTGGTTATAACAGTACCATATTTTGAACTTGAAGATTCTAAATTAATGGGTACAACTTTTCAATTATACAACGGGCTTCTTCTAAACCAGATTAGGAAAATCTGCTCATTTTTTTGATTAAGCCACCTTGCAATCGAAAAAGAATTGGATTAACTGTAACCCTCTTAGTTTCCAAACGAACTTTTGGATTTTCAGCTCCCAACTGCAACCGTTACAATTGCGGACCAGGAACCGTTTGCAACATGGTCAACGGAAAACCGACCTGTGTTCTGAGTGAGCATATTTCTATCACAAATAATCAGGAATAGGCCTTGATAAAATGATAATATTCAGCCTGCGACAACGTCCGTTGCCCACCTGGAACCACTTGCGAAACTGTTGACGGAAATCCAGTCTGTGTCCCGAGTAAGATTCTCAAAATATTCCTGGAAGTAGTCGCAACGGATGTACCCCTGTATTTGAATCTGTTTGAGTCTCAGCTGTTGTAAAAAGAGGAAAAAGGGTGCAAGAAGAAATAGGTTCTAGCTGACTTAACCTGCACTCCATTGGCTTTATATCTGACCCGCCAGTTCTACAGATCCACTATGATCCATCCAAGTCACAAATTGGTCTATGTGGCCCAGATGTCTTCATTTTGCAAGTCTGAGATCCAGCTGCGTATGCTTGAACGGTGCCGAAAGTTCTAGAATATGTGCTTATATGGGACACCCGTCTGTACCCCGTGCTAATCCCATCAGAATGAGAAAACGTCAAATTCTAATCTTCCTGTTCAGTCGAACCATGCAAGGACAAAGTGTGCCCAGACAACACCTACTGCCGCAGAGTCCCTGGAGGAGCCTTCTGCTTCCCGAGTAACTCTTGATGGCTCTATTAGATCCACATTTTCGATTTCAGACCCCGACCCTTGCACCAAGGATACTTGCCCTGGCGGAATATGCAAAGTCGATGCTGATAGCAAGACTTCCTGCGAGCCAAGTCGGATATTCCTCTGAGAAAGTACTCAAGAAGAATTTTCAGTTACACCTGGACAGAACTGCTCCGACTACTACTGCCCGACCAAGTGCGTCGTCCGGAAAGGACAGCCGAAATGCACTCGTCGTGAGTTTTCAGATCTTCATGAATAACTTATTCAAAGACCTCACATTTCTGATCCCTTTTAAGCTTTCTGATTTGAGAATCATAAAATCAAAGATATCTCAATCTTCAGCTATCACTTGCGACAACCTCCGATGCAGAAGTGGAACCGTGTGCAAGATCGTCGACGGAAAGCCGGCTTGTGTTCCAAGTAGGAAACTTGATTCATTTTCTAATGAAAATAGAAAAAAATAATTTTATGAGAAGTTTATATTGCCACTCTTTTGAACTTGAAGAGAACTCATTTCGATTTTCCAGCCTGCGACAATAACTCTTGCCGAGAAGGAACGACTTGCGAAATTGTCAACGGAGAGCGGTATTGCGTCCCAGGTGAGTCGTTTTCCTGATCGAGAAGTTGTTTGATAGTGAAAAGTTCTTAACTAATAACCCACAAGGCTTTCAGTCTTTCAAAATTGCATAGATTGTGCGGTAACAGTACACAATTGTATTTGAACAATGAAAGGAACTTGAAAAACTTCTCAGACGGTTGTCTTCCAGAAGAATATCGAAGTTTTCAAACCAGTCATTTTTTTCAGAACTTTGAATATTTATCCCAGTTTTCTTGTACCAAGACGTTGTGAAAAATAGAAGATTTGTTAAGTTGACCCTTGCGCCAACAAGCAGTGCCCCGAAAACACCTACTGCCGCAGAGTCCGTGGAGGATCTCACTGCTTCCCGAGTAACTTTTTGATGGCTCGATCGGATCGAACCTTGAAATTTCAGACCCTGACCCGTGCAACAGCACCGCGTGCCCTGGAGAAATTTGCAAACTCGACGCCAACAACAATCCGACCTGCACGCCATGTAAATAATGAGTTGAGGGAACTACTCAGGAAATTTTTCAGTCCCTGGAGAGAACTGCACGACCTACTACTGTCCGACGGGATGCGTCATCTTCAACGGCATTCCAAACTGCGTTCTTCGTGAGTTTTTGACTACCACACGTTTGACCGAATGATTTCGTACTCACCTTCATGAGCTTCAAATTGGTGATTAATTTGGAATTCTTCAGCTCCAAGCTGCGATCGTTACCGATGCGGACCAGGAACGGTTTGCAAATTGATCGATGGAAAGCCGACTTGCGTCATCAGTAAGATCTTTCCCATCTTGCCAATCATCAGAAATAATCCAAGCCTTGATAAAATGATAATCTTCAGCCTGCGACAACGTCCGTTGCCCAGCTAGAACCAGTTGTGAAACTGAGAACGGAAGTCCAATTTGCGTCCCGAGTAAGACTTTCAGAGCTTCGAATCAGAATAACGATTCTTAGACAAAAAGTTCTCAAAAATCCACACAAAGATGACTTAACTGTCAAAGTATCTGGGCTCTATATGCGGTAGCAAATCTGGAACTAGAATTCTCCGGAAGCCCAGTACTTCTAATAACTTTCACTCTCTGAAGAGCCATGCATAACAAGCGGTTGATAAAACTTTGCCACAAGCGAAATTTTGACTACATTAGACGCTTTCAATCGTATTTTCAAGATATTTGAAACAAAACATAGAAATTTCTGTTCAGTCGAACCTTGCAAGGACAAGCAATGCCCAGACAACACCTACTGCCGCAGAGTCCCTGGAGGAGCCTTCTGCTTCCCGAGTAACTTTTGATCGCTCTATGGGATCGACAATTTCGATTTCAGACCCCGACCCGTGCACCAAGGATACTTGCCCTGGCGGAATCTGCAAAGTCGATGCTGAGAACAAGACTTCCTGCGAGCCAAGTCGGAAATCCCTCTGAGAAAATACTCAAAAGAAATTTTCAGTTACACCTGGAACGAACTGCACAGACTACTACTGCCCGACCACATGCGTCGTCCGGAACGGACGGCCGAGATGCACTCGTCGTGAGTTTCTAGACCCCAAAATATTTCGTAGAAGACTGTGTCTATAATCTTTGGAACTAACAACCTGTTTGCATTTTTCGTAATGACCTCTTCGGATGAGGGAAAGAAATAAGTTCCCAACAAAAAAAAATTAGTCACGCCACAGTTTTGAGTTGAGAATATTCAAACAAAGATAAAAATCGCAAGGATTTCTCATGAAATTTCTGAACCTTTCCAGCTCCAAGCTGCGACCGCCACCAATGTCCACCAGGAACCGTTTGCACCATTGTCGATGGAAAGCCGACCTGTGTCGCGAGTAAGAAGCTTGATACTTTGATGTTAAGAAAAGAAAATCAGGATGCTAGATAGAGACATCGTTCTTTAAATCCAGCCTGAGAAAAAAAAACGATCGGATATAGAAAGCACTTTGATTTTTCAGCCTGCGAGAACAACAACTGCCGACCTGGAACGGTTTGCCAGATCATAAACGGAGAACGAACTTGCGTCCCAGGTGAGTATTTCTTCGAAGGAAAATCCAAAGCAGATCTCGACATAAAAACTATTGATTTATTGTTAAGTTGATCCTTGCGCCAACCACGCCTGCCCCGACAACACCTTCTGCCGCAGAACACCTGGAGGACCTTATTGCTTCCCGAGTAATTTTCAGGAAGAAAAAAGTAGTCATAAGATGAATCTTCCAGACGTTGATCCTTGCACCAACACCAGCTGCACGGATGGACAGATTTGCAAGCTCGACGCTGAGAACAAGACGACTTGTGTTGCTCGTAAGAGGGTTGTCTTGAAACAGGATATCAGAAAGATATTCAGCCGGAGGAGAGATCTGCACGGACTACTACTGCCCGACCAAATGTCTCCCTGGAAATGGACTCGCCGTCTGCACACTTCGTAAGAAATATTATCAAACAATTATTTTTCTTTATACGCCCAGACCGCTTGAGCGTCTGTTAGCCGAGGTTCTATCCTGATATCAGTGATAAAGCTCCAGGGAAATATCCGTCAATGTGTGTGACGGTTGGGGGTTATGAAGTCCTAGTTTCCCACTACTAACATTTCTTAAACCCCTTGGTTGGGTCGACCTTGTGACCCTATATACCGTAGATAGGCATACAACCTGTTGCGGCATAGAAAGTAGCTCTAGTGTGAACTTGAAAAATTACCTTTGCCAAAAAATCTTCAAAGCCTGCGAGTCCAAACTGGTGATATTCCAGCACCCCGACCATCTTGCCGCAACTTCCCTTGCCCGCCTGGCTCGTGCTGCCGACTTCGCGACGGAAAGCCAACTTGCATCACAAGTAGTTCAAGTCAAGATTCTGGAGCTGAAATCTCTTTTCAGGACCTAAAAACGACTGCAGCATCTACAGATGTCTACCTGGAACTGTTTGCGTTATGATCGATGACAAGCCAGCCTGTGTCCCGAGTAAGAATATTTGTTTCAAAACGGAAACATTAAGTCAACGATTTTCAAGTCGACGTTTGCTCCAACCACACCTGTCCCGACAACACCTACTGCCGCAGAACACCAGAAGGACCTTACTGCTTCCCGAGTAACTTTCAGGAAGAAAAAAGTGATTATAAGAAGAATCTTCCAGACGTTGATCCTTGCACCAGCGCCAGCTGTTCGGATGGACAGATTTGCAAGCTCGACACGACAACGACGGCAGAGGCTCGAACAGTATCAGCCAAGGCCGACGAACCCGCCAAGACGACTTGTGTTCCTCGTAAGGGTTCCCCTAAAAAAAGGAGATCAAAAAGAGTTACAGCCGGCGGACAGAACTGCACGGACTACTACTGCCCGACCAGCTGTCTTCCTGGAAATGGACTCGCTGTCTGCACACTTCGTAAGGATTATTATCACAAAATTGTAGTTTTTTTCTTCACTCGGGGAGGTTGTTCTAGTGGGGCTTCGCCAAAATGTTTCGAATTCCAGAGAGTTAAATCGGAGATATTTCAGCACCGCGACCGTCTTGCCGCAACTTCCCTTGCCCGCCTGGCTCGTACTGCCGACTTCGCGACGGAAAGCCAACTTGCATCACAAGTAGTTCAAGTCAAGATTCTGGAGTTGAAATCTCTTTCCAGGACCTAAAAACGACTGCAGCATCTACAGATGTCTACCTGGAACTGTTTGCGTTATGATCGATGACAAGCCAGCCTGTGTCCCGAGTAAGAATATGTGTTTATGAAACGGTAAATTTTAATCAATAATTTTCAAGTCGACGTTTGCTCCAACCACACCTGCCCCGACAACACCTACTGCCGCAGAACACCAGAAGGACCTTACTGCTTCCCGAGTAACTTTTAGGAAGGAAAGAGTGATTTCAAATTGAATCTTCCAGACGTTGATCCTTGCACCAGCACTAGCTGCACGGATGGACAGATTTGCAAGCTCGACGCGGAGAACAAGACGACTTGTGTTGCTCGTAAGGATTATCTTCAAAAGCAAAATCATAAAGAGTTACAGCCGGCGGACAAAACTGCACGGACTACTACTGCCCGACCAGCTGTCTTCCTGGAAATGGACTCGCCGTCTGCACACTTCGTAAGGATCATTATCGCAAAATTATAGTTTGTTCTAAAAGGTTCTTCTAGAGTGAAGTTTGGAAATCTTCATCTAAACCTCAAAGACAGTTTGAACAAATTTAGAGGAAATTTCAGTCTTCCCACTAATTTCACCTCTCAGGAATTGAACTTTCTATTGTTCCAATCAGTCTCAAAAGCTCCATTCGAATCAAAAGATTCAAGAAGGCCCAGGCCAAAGTTTAACGATTACTAAAAAAATACACGAACGGATCGAACTTCGAAGATTTCCCTTCAAGTTTGGTGATATTTCAGCACCCCGACCGTCTTGTCGCAACTTCCCTTGCCCACCTGGCTCGCACTGCAGAATTCGCGACGGAAAGCCAACTTGCATCACAAGTAGTTCAAGTCAGGATCCATTAACTAAAGTCTCCTTTAAGGACCTCCAATCGACTGCACCACCTACAAATGCCTACCTGGAACTGTTTGCGTTATGGTCGGTGACCAGCCAGTTTGCGTCCCGAGTAAGAACTTGTTTTTGAAGAGTCCAAGTTTCTAATCTGAAGTCCTCTCCTGGTTAGTTGGAAAAATTGATCAACAAAAAGTAATTATGGGTTTTGAAAAGTGATGAGAAGTTTCGAAGAAAATGTAGAAGTTCTGGTTGAAAGTATTAAAAGATCATAGGACAAAGTATAAGGGTTTCATAGCAACTTTGCAAAAAGTAGAGGTTCAAACGACCGGTGAAAGATTAGAACAGCTCTGCCTCCAAATAACTAAAATTAAAGTCCGCTAGTCCCTCGAAAATAATTTCTTAAGTCGACGTTTGCGCCAACCACACGTGCCCAGACGGTTACTGCCGCAGAACTTTCTTCGGAGCTCGCTGCTTCCCTGGTAACTCCACCAAAAACGAACACAAATCAACGTTTTGTTCAAAGATTTCCCTGAACCTTGCAACAAGACCGCCTGCCCCGAGGGAACGATCTGCACCTTGGACGCAGAAAACAAGACGATCTGCGCGCCAAGTATGGAAAGTCCCTAAGGATCAGCTGAAGTAGAGTTTTCAGCCGGTGGACACAACTGCACGGACTACTTCTGTCCGACCAGATGCACCTCCCTCAACAACGACGCCTACTGCGCTCCTCGTGAGTTTTGAGACAGGAAAAAAAGGAAAAGATTGATCGAACCGAATAGAAAACGGATCAATAAAAAGAAGCTAAAAATGCGAGAAATAATTTAAAATCACTGTCTCCTTAAGTAAGATATAGCTAACATCCAAAAGAAAAAAAAAAGAAAATTAAACAACAAATACTTGGTTTCAGCAAAAGGAAACCCATGCGATCGAGTCCGTTGCCCAGCTGGAACAGTTTGCTCCATTGTGAACGAAAAACCAGTTTGCATTCCAATTGGTGGGCTTTTTCGACAAGATAGTTGCAAAAATTGAAGGCTTAATTTTCTTGAAAAATGATCAAATTGATCTCGATTTCGAAGTTAAATGAAAAAATAGTAGCTTTTTGGTATTGACCCATTCGAACCATTTTATACATTTTCGAAGAAATTCATTAAAAAAAAAAGAAAAAAGACTCAAGAAAAAAGGAAAACTATATGCTCTCTCATTGAGAGAACTCAGAAAAAAGGAGAAGGACGATGGAGCGCACAAGTGCGACACTGATAAAAAAAAACAATTGCAAAATAAATTCTCGAAACTTGACGTTTGGTTTTTTTTTTTCGCCTTTTTATTTTTGAGTTTCGGGTTCTGAGTGGTCGAAAAGCACCTCGAGAGGTTTAAAAAATGTTTTGAAGTAATCTGAAAGAAAATTTTATTGTTTGTAACCTTTTTTTTTGAGAACTTCTATTATTACTGTGCTGCAGAAAAACAAATCAGTTTGATAATGAAATCGTTCAGTCGACCCTTGCGACGGCTTCTCTTGCCCGAATGGCACTGCTTGCCGCGTTGATTCTGGACAACCTACTTGCACTCCGAGTAAGTTTTTGAGAAAATATCTAATGTTTGACGTTTTTTTTAAATGGATTGTGTGATAAGTAAGACTTTCCAACTGCTTCTATTGTTTGTAACCTTTTTTGAAAACTTCTAACATTTTCACTGTGCTGCAGAAAAACAAATCAGTTTGATAATGAAATCGTTCAGTCGACCCTTGCGACGGCTTCTCTTGCCCGAATGGCACTGCTTGCCGCGTTAATTCTGGACAACCTACTTGCACTCCGAGTAAGTTTTTTTGAGAAAAATATCTAATGTTTGACGTTTTTTTAAATGGATTGTGTGATAAGTAAGACTTTCCAACTGCTTCTATTGTTTGTAACCTTTTTTTGAAAAACTTCTAACATTTTCACTGTGCTGCAGAAAAACAAATCAGTTTGATAATGAAATCGTTCAGTCGACCCTTGCGACGGCTTCTCTTGCCCGAATGGCACTGCTTGCCGCGTTAATTCTGGACAACCTACTTGCACTCCGAGTAAGCTTTGGAGAGCATTTTTAATATTTAACGTTTCTTTCCATAAAGTTTGGATAGAGTAAGATTTTCTAGCCGGCAAATGCTACTTTGGGAATATATGAGAAAAGATCATTTTTAATAACAAAAATATATTTAATAGTTGCATGATTTTTTGAAAAACTTTCAAAGAAGTTTTTTAAACGCCTTGAAATTTCGCTTTCCTTTCACAGTGCAGAAAAGAAGGGTAAAATCAGTTTGATAATGAAATTGTTCAGTCGACCCTTGCGACGGTTTCCCTTGCCGAGATGGCTTTGCTTGCCGCGTTGATTCTGGAATACCTTATTGCGCTCCGAGTAAGTTTTGTAGAAAACGTTTAATGATCGACGTTTTTTTTATGATTTTTGAATATAGAGTAAGATTTTCTAGCCGGCAACTGCTCCACCACCACTTGTCCAGAAGGACAGTTCTGCCGGGAGACGCCAGCTGGACCAAGATGCTTCGAAAGTGCGTAGTTTGAATTCTCCTGAGTTCTACATTTTTGGGGTTTTCCCAAAATCTCATCGGGGAAATACCAAAGTTAATATTTTTAATAAGTAAAACTGTATTCATTGAAGGCCCATCGCCTTGCAAACCGAACAGCTGTCCGAGCGGAACCGTCTGCATCCTTCTGACCGACGACACATTCAAATGCATGCCAAGTAAAATAAATCCTCAGAAATTCAAAAAAATGAAATTTTTCAACAACTGCAGTTAATGGAACGGACTGCAACTCGTACTGCTGCCCCAGAGGATTCAAGTGCAAAATGGTGAACGATAAGCCGGTTTGCGAAGAAGGCCCCCCACAGCCTTGCGGAAATACGACTTGCGAGCCTCCAAACCGCTGCATTCGCAGGAACGGCGAATCGCAATGTGTGCCACGTAAGGATAGGATCTCGATTCGGAAATGATATTGTCTTGCCCAACAGTACATTCATAATAAGGATACGTTAAGATTATTCACCATCTTGAAGCGGAGAAAAAAGCTTAAAAGAACCAAGGTACTAACCCTACAACTTGGAGTGTTCTCATTTCTCTGCGCCCTCTTCTTCTCTCAGCAGTTCCCAAGACCTCGCAAGTGAGAGAAAAGAGGGCGCAGACAGGTCAAAGAATTCAATGTTGTGAGTAAAAAACTTTGAAGACTGTTCAAAGTTAGCGATCATTTTTCAGTAATTCAGCAAATTTTCTTCATTTGAGCTCTATAATATTCAACTGAAGAAGGAAAAAAACATCATCGGGATATCGCGGATTTCAGCCACCGGCCCCGGATCATGCGAACAACTGAACTGCACCAGCGGCGAATGCGCCTACGTGCTTGTCTGCATCGGAGAAGCCTGTCACATAGAGCCGAGATGCGTCACTGGACCACGTGAGTCTAAAAATAGAGAACAAGGAATCGTTTCTCGAAGTTTAATAAGAAAATTCTTCAAACACGCATAAATATACTTAAAATGATTCTTTCTGGAAATTTTATTCACCTCTACTTGGTATCTTTAATGAGTCTTGCTACATTCAGAAAAGGTTAGCGAGAAAAAGAGGTTCAGGTGATGAATGGAGAGTTGATGTTTAAGCTACAAAATATAATTTTAAACTACGATTCTGAAGCTAATTTAATGTTTATATGATCAGCAATGAGAACAACTAGTATGATGAGGAGGTAATTAGTAAATGAACCAATATCCAGAACGATTTCGTGAAATTTCCTCACAAGCATCCCAAAACAAGCCGAAAATGTTTAGCGCCGTCTTGCGACCTCGTCAAATGCGAAGATGGATACGAGTGCGAGAACACCCGAAACGGCCCGAGATGTGTCCCGATCAACCCGTGCAGCACCAAGAAATGCCCAGCCGGACAGGAGTGCAGAATCAGACGAGGAAGACCCGTTTGTGTCCCAGGTTCAAACTTTGGTTCCCGAGTCTCTCGGAGAAAAAAGTGCAAAAGACATTTTTTTGACTTAATTGATTACAGATAGAGAAGGCCCGGTGACATGCGACGATATCAACTGCCCGACTCGTTTCTGCGTCTACATCCGCAGGTGCTTCGCCGGTGTCTGCAGACGTCGTCCGTACTGCCGTATCGATCGTGAGTTTGGAATGCATTCATCAGATTTGAAGCGAAACATTTTGACCCAGCAAAGACCTTGACTTTGGTAGTTCTGAAATTCGAGTTTCCAACATGGAAGCTTTTCCATTGTCTCTGCAAAATTCAGAATAACAGTTAGTGAGTGAGAAAGATAACTAAACACTGGAGAGTCGGAGATAGTTATAGTCCGTTTTGATTCTTAACGTCAACTAATCGCTCAAGCTCCGCCCCTTATGCGTAGATCAGCCCTATCTAAGAGAGGGGCGGAGTTTGCTGATTAAAATTCTAATCTGAAAAATTAAGTTCATCTCATCGACAGCCTCAATATCATCCCTAAATGAATGAATTAAGCTCCAACTTGCCGAAACATCAACTGTGGAGAGGGCTACAAATGCGAGATGGTCAACGGCAAACCTCGATGCATTAGAAGTTAGAAGAATGGACCCCGAAAGAAACACCGAAAATGAGTTTCAGTCCGCGAGCCGACCTGCGACGAGCTGCAATGCCCGAGCGGCCTCTGCGTCCGCGTCATCGTCTGCTCTGGAAAGGGCCGAGACCGCGAATGTCAGCACAGCCTGACCTGCGCCGACGTCAACAGTTCGTCTGCCTCCGTCCCGGCAAATGCTCAAATCTGACTGATTCAGACGCGACCTGCGACGGCACCCCTCGCCTCGACTGTGGATTCGGATACGTCTGCAAGCAGAACGGCACCGAGGCCACTTGTGTCAAAGGTAGAAGGGACTGCTTAAGGGGAAAACCATACGCGTAGAAAAAAGAGCCAGATATAGGTCCTTCAAAGAAAAAATTTAAAAAGTTAAAACTAAAATTTTTCCGAAGTCGAAGGAGAAGCTGATAGAAAAAAAAGTAGAGACAGTAAGATTTTTTGTTGAAAAAAGTTTTTGCAAACTCATCAGTATTGGGAAAAGGGGACAATTTTTCGTACGGAAGCTCCAAGAAGGAATTGTAACTGTTCGAATCTATCGTTGCCAGTGAAGAAATAGTTCATTTAACCCTACAAGTTTGGTCAAATTCGCCAAGGTAAATGCGCTCTGGCGAGATTTTTTCGGAAATGATAGCTCCGAGTTTTCCTTCATTCAAAGTTCAAAAACGAATTTCTAGACCCGCTTTGCGATGGTCATGTCTGTCCGGAAGGAAAAGTCTGCGCCGTCTTCAATGGTCGTCCAGTCTGCGTCACTGGTATTGTCAGAATGAAAGTACGAAAAATAATCGATCTTTCCCTCAGTCCCACCACACGGAGGACCTGGAAACGGAACCTGCGACCATTGCCCGAGAGGCCTTTGCGCCCGAATCTACGTGAATGTTAATGGAGAACGGACCAGGGTCGTCAAGTGTATCGATGAGGGTCAGTTCTTCCTTTCGACCTCCAGATTTCCGCCGAAAGAATGTTTTTTTCGGCTCAAAAAATAATATCCAGAAGCTTCAATAGCTTTGAAAAGAAGATCACAGAATTAGAGTGTTTTATACTGACTTCCATTTTTCGAAAAAGTTTGCTCATATGAAAAGTTTTTTTGGATTTTGTCATAAATAATGGGTTCAATAGCTTTTAATGAAGATTATACCCGAAATGTTGTATTTTTTCATTTATTTATTTTTTTCCCAAAAGAGGAAACCCAAAGATTTTTATACTACATGTAGATTTATATGATGAATACGATTTTGATAGAAAAAGAAGAGTTGAAAAGTGCTATTTTAAGATCCAAACTGCGATACGATCCAATGTCCTCGCGGCTACGTTTGCAAGTCGAAAAAAACAATACGGCCGAATGTGTTAAAGGTAAGCTTCGAGAAGAGTAAAAAAATGAAGTTGAAAAAGTTAAGCAAATTAGAAAGCTTCTGAACAAGTCGGAAAAAAATGATTTGAAAAAGAAAAAAATTTAGTTTTTCTTCAAAAATTTGGTAATGAATTGTATGGCTGATTTCTGAAAACTTTTAGAAAAAAGTTCATTGATTTCTGAATATTCGGAAAAATTCGTTGTCTCAAAAAGTGTATATATTGGTACTGAAACGAAAGTTATACATACACTTTGCCACTGTCAATAATTATTCAATCGTCTTGACTTCCTCTTTCAGTATTGAAATTTCCTGGTGCAAAAATTATTCTTGAAAAAAAGCTGATAAAAGGAATAATTCATAAAAGTTCTTGTCGACCGCCTAGTCCATTACATACATGACCAGAACAAGCAATAAATATTGACTGATTCTACAGAAGAAGTCCCGCCCCTTTGCCGAAACCACAGATGCAAGCCCTACCAGAGATGCATCGTCAAGGAAGGCCGACCACGTTGTGTCGACTTTGGTAAGGGAAGAAAATAGTCCAGAAAAGAAGAAAAGGTCACAAAATGATTTCGTAGGTTACAGTAACCCTGAAATTTATCGATATTTCGGATACATTTAGAGAATGAGAGTTATTTTGTCAGTGAAAATTGAACGAAAAAATTTTAATTTCAAGACGCTGGATTAACAAAACGTTACTAAGAAACTCAGCTAATCACCATTTAAAAAAATGGCTCTCAAAAATAACCAAGTTCACTTCCAGACGACCTCTGCCGACGTCACAGATGCCCACCACGCCAACACTGCGTCGTCCGAAACGGAAGACCAGAATGTGTCGGCGGAGGAGGACCTGGCGGACCAAAAGGTACGCAAATCCTAGAAAAACTCGTGATAACGCTCGAATTTTACAGACCCATGCGACGACTTCGAATGCCGAAGAGGCCAGGAATGCGTTGTGAGAGGAGGAGACGCCGTCTGCGTCGATCCCAGTAAGAACCCAAAAAAATAGCCGCCTGATTATCCATGGAGCGAATTTGCAGCCGGCCCAGGTTCTTGCCGCAACCACGAGTGCAAGCCCTACCAGAGGTGCGTCATCAGGGACGGCCGACCGAGATGCATCGACGATGGTGAGGGAGATGATTTTTTCGGAATGGCTATAGTCCTGAATTCATAATCATATCTAGTAAATTTGTAAGGAAAAATGGTTCGACGTTTAGGAGATAGACTGAGATTTTTGAAGACTAGGGGAGTTGAAAATCAGCTGAAGCAAGATAGTTTGAATATTTTTCAAAAAGTCGTGTAAATGCAAAAAAAAATGGTGAGCTCTTTTCGGTTAAGAAAACTGAAAAACTTGACAAAAATGGCTTTCTTTCGACTATGAGTCATCTCTAGTTGGAAGATTGCTTGAAAATTAAAAAGTGCCTCTAGTAAAAAAAAAACCCTGACCTTTAAAAATTCGTGACAGAGTTCCTCCAGCTCAAAAATTTACAAATTTCAAAAAAAAGTTCACCTCTGAGATCTTGGTGATTTCCCAAACCTTCTCTCGAACAAAAATGTTCCAGCAACCTTCAAAAATATCTCAGAAGCCAGATAATCAAGTAAATACTTGCAGACGACCTGCCGCCCCTCTGCAGACATCACAGATGCCGACGAGGCGAACGATGCGTCGTCCGTCGCGGCAGAGCCGACTGTGTCAAAGACGATGAGGGTTCGGATGAAGATTGATTTTCCAAAAATCCTTCAAAGCTTCTCCAATTGTCCAAAAACATCCATATTCCCATTGGCGATAAAATATTTAGATATCTGAGAGTTCTTTTGTAGCAATGAAATATTCGGAAAAAAGCTTTGATTTATCAGATTGTTTTGAAATTTCGGACCCTTTTGGAGTTTTTAGAATTGAAAGAAATTGGAAATTTCGGACACCTTGGACCAGCTTTTAGAACTTCGGACAATATTGTTTTTGAAAATACAGAAGATTTTAAAAGTAACCTAGATAACTTCTCTTCAAAATCTCGATTTCAGACCCATGCCAACACCACGAATGCCGATCTGACCAACGATGCGTCGTAAGGAATGGAGCCGCCGTTTGCGTCGACCTCCGTAAGAATGATAATAAATAAACTCATGAGAAACATCTAAATTTTCAGCCGAGATTCCGTGTGGAAAGAACGAAACTCGTGTCGAATGCTACTCGGCCTGCGTCGAGAAGAAATGCGACTTCTCTGGCCATAAGGTGGTTCAGTCAAAAAGAGTTTTCAAAATTTGGACCAGTACTATGGGCCTTCGATGTAGACTCTCACGCAGATTTTTAAACTCCTTCAGGAATTTCCAAGGCCTTGGGAAAAGTTATGATTCTAAATTCGACTTTCTATGTCTATTTTAGCAGGTAGAACCAGCTCCGGTTGTTAAAGTAGCAAATTTTCGCTTAAAAAATGAATTTGAGCGAAGTTACGATTTTTTCGTGACCAATTTTGAATAGTTGATAAACCTGGTCAACAAAAAAAGGCTCAAAAAAAAGTTAATTCGAGCAAAATTATGATTTTTAAGATTCTCACACGCTTATAAGACTATTTTTAGGGGCGAGCTTCCGGTTTTCTTTAAATTTGAACATTGATAGTTTCTTCAAATCATAGATTTGTTTTTGAGACCGATTTCTGCTGATTTTTTCGGAAAAGTGTTAGTGGTCAGATAACACATTTATCTGTATTGTTCAAGACAGAATGGGTGAAATCACGGTTATTTTTTTGGTATTCATACAGAATATCATGAATCGGATGAGACTTCTCTGTCCAGCGAAATATAACAATATGTAACTTCAGGTCGAGCAGCCGAAATGCCCGAAGAACTGCGGCCCTGGCTGCGGCTGCAAGGAAGGATACGTCCGGACCCACAAACGACAATGCGTCCTCCCGGCTGACTGTCCCAAGCCACCAAACTGTGTTTAAATGACTTTGCCTTTTCCGTCCCTTTTCTCAAAATAAAATCCTCTTTTAATTTTCTTGTGTTCCGAAATATCCTATTTCCATCGCATCCTGAAAGGTTGTGAACAAAAACAGTAAAAAAAAATAAACTTTGGAAGTGATAATTTGAAGACCACTCTAGGGGTTTCGCTTTTCGTCCCAGTTAACTTCTAAAGAAAAATAAAATTTTCTTGCCCCTTAAGTGATCCCTCTTGCTTAGGATCTGCTAGATTTAAAATTTTCCATTTTTTCATGTCTTTTGAGACCTCCGACCTTTTACAAGAGTTTCATTCATGATTTTTCATTCATGATGACCCCTTAAGCGATCACTTCAAGGGAAAATACCTTAAGTGCTCACTTGATGAAAAGTGTTTCTCTTTCGCCAAGGCAGCCTTGGTCTGTTCAGATTTTGAATAACAAGTCGCTCGATCTCAAGCTCCGCCCCCTAATGGCGCGTTAAACCAATCAGAAAGCGAGCGATCCACAGAGCGTTTTCGAATGACGTCATTCTACTTTCGAAATCTGAACAGATCTCAATTTTGCGCTCAAAAATAATAATTTATTATCAAATTCGTATATTCACAACAATATCTTCACGATAAATTAAATAATCAAAAAGAAAAAAAGTCAGACGACCGTACTATTCATGAAGCTCTGATCAAAGCCCAGTAGAATATAGTCGTAGTAGAAAATTTTGCGGAAAATGCCCATCAAATAAGGGTCTTTCAATAAGTTCTGCTTGACTTCCTCCCTATGATTCAGTCCGTGAGTCGTGTGGCTCATGTTCTTTCCTTAATTCAGAGTTTGAACTTCAAAAAATAGAAAAAAAAAACTAGAGACCTTTGTTGTTTTTCCTGTACTCGTTGAGAACGTTTTCAGGGACTCCAGAGCTTTTGAGCAACTCCGCGACGGCTTCAGACGTGACGGTCGTGTTTTTCTCATCGAACGGAATGATTTCGTAGGTCCCCCATTCTTTGTCCAAGTTGCATTGCCTGAATTCGGATTTCGGGGTGTTAATGGTTCAATTTGAATTTTTATAAGGGGTTCCAAAGGTTATTCGAACTTTTTTTAGCTTCGAAAAAAATGGAAAAAAATAGTGAAAAATGATATTTCTCAAGTTTCAAGTCAACGTAGGACTTTAAGATTTCATGATTTTTCAAAATTGAGGAAGGGAATTATCTCAAGATCTTGATCAACGAGAATTAATTAGTTGAAGTGTTTTAGAAAAACAGCCAATCAACAAAAATCTTCCAAAAATAAAAAAAGTAAAAAAAGAGTTTTCTATTGTATCACCGCAAAAAGCTTCATTCAAAAATAATTTCCCCATTTTTTTTTTGTTATTACAGATGTCTTGAGTCATCGAAAAACGGGTCCTGATACGATTAAAAAAAAGAGATAGTGCTTTGTGTGTGTAGAGCGCAGACTGGCCACGCCCCCTTAGCGTCCCAAACTAGCCGTGAATCGGCTACACTTGCCAAATTTTATAAAATTGACTATTTCTCACTTTTTCAACAAAAACTTGTTGAAATAGTCTATTTTTCTCACTGACCAGGTGAACGGCATGAAATGCTCCGTGTAGTAGTCGTGCGAAGTTTTTGGCAGCTGTCCAGAGGAAAATCCCTGGAGTCGAACCAGCAAATTCTCCATGACGCAGGTCAAATTCTTCTCGCACCCGTAGCACGCCGCTCGGCTTCCTTGATCGTACTTTCTGGATAAATATGAGAAATTATCATCATTATCAGTCGAAAAAAGGGATACCCATCACAACGGTCCACAAATCCGCTAACGAAACGCTCGAACGGGTCTCTAACTATCACAAATTTCCGGAAATGCTTCACTTTTTCGATCGCTTCCGGCGTTGCGTAGTGCTGGTAGATGATCTCTCGCGCGTCTTTGCATGATCTGGACTTTTCTTCCTATTCCATAGTTTAAGCTTATTTCAAGCTAAAAAATCCTTTTTTCCTTCTCGGTGCATAATAGAAATTACCAGCTTTAACGGTTTTTTTTTTCTTGAAAAAGCCATCTTGTAAAACTTCATTTAGCGGTTTACAGAGTATTTTTTGAGAATCAACAGTGAGATGGATTCATAGCTCTTCCTAGAGAACTTGATTTCGGAAAAATTGCTTTGAATACTAAAAAAAATGGGCAGCTTCAAAACTGCAAGAATTGTAAATTTTACCCTTTTTTTTCAATTTTTTTTGTTACCAGCGGCAGAAACAAATACTCAGAAAATAACTGAAGAGCTCATTTTTCAAACATTGATCTTTTGAACTTTTTTCTAGATAGAATTGAATAGGAATGACTCACTCCAGTGTATTGTATTCGACTCTCTCGCTCTTTTTCTCGTCTGGAAGCGCCATATAAGCATCCGTATTGTGTAGGACGCAAAAATACGAGAAAAGCACCGAAGACATGCTTTTCTCCAGAGCACAAGCCTTCAGTTTGAACCTGTCGGATTGCTGGAAAAATATTTTTAGCTGAAAAAAAGAAAGAAAACCCACGAAAAACGAGGTTTTCAGGTTGAAAAATGGTGGAATTGGAGTGTCGGCTGAAAATTTCATATCTCCAAGACCATAGTCGCATTTAGATTAGCTCAAAAGAGGTTATTTGATACGCGCCCGACTTTAAACGACTTGCGCGAGAAGGTATCATGAAGTATCAGAGAAATCGACAGCAATACTAATCCAACTCACGTTTGTTGATATCCACGACAATATTGCTAACATTCTTGGAGATGTAGAATTTAGGGAACACCGGAGGCTTCTCTCTGGTTAGATGATAGACGAGGAAAGACGTCTCGAAAGCCATTATTAATATTATGAATGTCGAGCAGTAGGATCCCTGAAAGATGTGGGGAAGTTCCAAAAAAGGAAGATAACGAACCCATGGAGTTCTTCGACTTTTCGGCATCAGTATGTAGTCTTCGTGCTCAGGCCACATAGGAGAGGTGGGAATTCGATTCGAACAGGCTTTTGGGCTTTCAGGAAGACAAAATAATAGGTCTGAATATTTGAACAAAAATTAAAGGAAAGAAGGTAGAATTTAAGGTCATTATCTAATAATAGAGTATTGAATAGTCGTTTATATTACAAGGCAAACGAATGAAATGGTAAAAATGACCTCATAAGTTTGAATAAATTAATTAAAACTGAAATAGTTATAAGTTTTAGGTCATGAGAAAGTTAGACTTTAAAAATTGTGCAAAACACTTCTGTCCATTTTTGTGAAGCAAGACTATCAATTTCACCATTTTTGTAAGCTTGACAGAAGCTTATTTCATGAAGTTTGGACATATTGGCACCTAGTCAGTGAACAGATCTCATAGAGTGTGTCTTTTTTTAAAAAATCAGAAAAAAGAAAAAAAGGCAAGGGCACTATACTATCAAAAAAAGAGCTGCTTTGGAAGGAACCAATTTTCTGTAGAAGTCAGAAATGAATCGAAAAAAAGGCAGAATTTCGTTCACTGAGAAAGAAATCGCTATAAAAACTACGGCAAAAAGAATTTTTCTTGTAAAATAAATAAGAAACCTATAAAAAAAAATAGAAAATTACTTCGCCTGAAAAACCATACAGCGTCATTAAAAAGCTCTTGAGTTTTTTTCTTACAATTTCAAGTCTAAATAAAAATCGCGTATAGAAGCTAAAAAAAAACGCTGAGAAATTGAAATCCTGGAGATGCCCATCCTTTTTGAAACAGTGACCAGCAAGGCGCAGAACAGGATCTCTATCGAAATGTGAAATCTCTCGCCGAGCGTCTTCCAGTGAGAGATATTCCGGAGTTCGGACTGAACTTTGAAAGTCAGACGAAAATGCCTTCGCGTAGATCCCAAGAAAAAATTGTAGTCTGATCCGAATATTTTTTGATTATTTAACGGCGCAGAATCTTTGGATGACTAGAATAAGATTCAAAAAGAATTTTTTGAAAAAGTTTTAAGTTTTTTCAGAAACATCCCCACGGATTTTTGAACAAACTGGGGAAATTGGAATTTTTCGAAGTGTTTTTTTGATGACTTCCTACCTTTTTGATGTGACTGAAATTTCAAAAGAAAAATTTAATGAAATAGTTAATTTCATTAAGCGACAGGTTTAGAGGTACCTTGATAACGAGTTCGGGATTTGAGAGTATAATCCTGTCAGTCTAATTTTTTTCCTTGATTAGAGAGTTTTAAATCAATTGATAAGTGTATAGGAATGGAAAGACCGTACTTATAATTTTTTAACTCAAAAAAAAGTTCAGAAAAAGTAAAAATCTGAGATTTTTCTTGCAATTTCTTCACAGTCTCAGATTTTCGCAGATTTCATGGAAATCCTAATGAAAACACGTGCTTTAGAAGATTGAAAAAGTTGAAGAGTTCGCAAATTTTTCGAAAATTTTTTCGACCGTACTTTGAAAATTAATTTTCAGGTCTCATACAGAACTTATGTCAAAAATCCCCCCAACGATTTTTTTGTCACTGAAAATCCTTTGATTATGAACTTCAAAGAGTCGAAAAAAGCCATCTTTTGTTCATTTCCGACTACAAAAAAGTGGCCACAAATGTTCACAGTCGCGATTTTGTGGCCTCCGGTTGTCCTTGACTTGTTTGTTCAACAATTGTGTAGTTAGAGACCTCAAAAGTTTGTGCCCAACAGAACGTTTATAAGCACCTGACAGAGATCATTAAACACGGGTTTCGATTTCTTGTCGGGAAACTTTCAGAACAGTTTCCTACCTTTGAATGACACCTTTTATCTTTTTTTTTCTTGGTTATTTTAAGAAAAAAATATCCTTTTTGTTACCTTTTTTTTCTTTTTCTATGATTATCCTCTGAGCTTTGAATAAAACATCAACGTTATCGATTTAAAAAAAAAGAAGTTAACTTTCATTTTTGGACCTTTTTTGTACTTATTTCTTATTTTTTGATGGTTTCCGTCATTTCACAACACTCCCAGTTATATTTCATTGAATTACCTTTTTTTTAAAGTTTAATTTTTCTTGAAATCCTTGTGTTATGTAGGCTCCATTCACGGGAAGCTTGCAAAAAAATATTTCTCCAGGAATCTTTAAAACTCCTCCTTTTGCACACTATTTTGCTGGTTGGAAGATTAAAAATACTTTTTTCAGCAAAAAATGTTCCTTATCATTTTTATCACCGCGATTTTTGCCTTTTTCCTTCATCAACTATATTGGAGACGGAGAAATCTTCCGCCAGGTTGATACCTTTTTTCAAAACAAAATTTGAATTCTGAATTCTTAGGCCCGATTCCCTGGCCTCTTTTTGGGAATCTGTACGAGTTTTCAAAGCATCCGCCAGGCTATCAAGCATTTCTCGACTGTCACAAGAAATATGGGCCGGTTTTCACTTTTTGGATGGGTGTGTTATTCAAAATTTCGACAGGTTTTCGAATTTATGGTGATTTGTTGAAAGTTCTCTTGAGTCCTTTTTTCAAAAAAACTGGTTCGAATTGTTTTTTTAAGGTCTTGAGTTTTATCTGTATAAAAAAATAGTAATTTTTTTACGACTCCAGGGGTTGGTAAAGTGGTCCCTAGAGGGGACCCATCAAGGGCCTCTAGGGTTGCCCCTATAGGGAGCACTCTGAAGATCCTAAGTACTACCCTCAAAAATCAATCGATCATATGATATTTCCAGGAAGTGATCCAGCCGTTTTCATAACTGATCATGAGCTTTTGAAAGAAGCTTTCGTTCGAGATGGCGACACCTTCAATGAAAAGTTCATCTATGAGAATTTCAATGAACCTTTCCGAGGTGAGACTTGAAAAAATATCAAGAAAATGCCTCAAAATTGAACATTAGGCGGAAATTTCGGGGTTTTCGATGCAAATGGTGAGACGTGGAAAACCCATCGGCGCTTCGCCCTTCATGTTTTCCGAGATTTCGGAATCGGGAAGGATTTGATGGAGCAGAAGGCGAGTTTCGAATCCAAAAAATCCTTACGAAAACAATTTTAGATCCTCTTGGAAACGGAAGAAATCATCAAAAGTTTCGCCAAAGCGACTGGGGACTTCTCTGTACAAGTATTTTAACAAACAAGAAAAAAAAAGAATCAGTTTTTAGGAAGACTTCGATTTGGCCGTGGGCAGCATTATTAATCAGGTCCTTTTCGGCTACAGCTTCAGAAATGTGAGTTTCGAAAATTAATAACAATACGAAAACATTTGGAAAATTGCTGTGAGGACTTTTCAAGTGATCACTTAAAGGACCTAGCCCAAAGTCCCGTGGAAGTGTTAATTTTTTCTCCCTTGAGCAGCCACTTGAAATGAACCATTCGAAATGTACAAAAAAAGGACCGGAGTTCATGTTTTTCCCAAAGCTTTTAAAATGTTAGAAAAACTAAGATTTGATGATCTGTAAAACTACTTAAGGGACCACTTGGACCTTCAAAAGATTTAAATTCAGCATTTTCTCTATTTTTGTGTGATTTCCGAAATTTTAAGCTTCAAAACTTGAAAGAAACTTTGCTTGAATCATTTTTGTGTTCTCAGAGCTCATATAAGCCTTTTTTTCATCGAGTTTCAATCAAACTTGTGAAAAAAACATCCCTTGGACACTTTTTTGCCATTGTTTCTTGTTCCAGGAAAAAGAGCCCGAGTTCCGACAGCTCAAATCTGTCCTCAACGAACTGATATGTTATCTCGGCTCAACTGAAGCCATTTTCACGCTCACTGTTAGCAAAACATTGGCGAAACTCCTCAATCCGAACTACTTCAAGAAGTTTGAGCTAGCCCTGAAAAACTGAAAAAAAAAACAAGTTCAGGATGAAAAAATATCGGGAGAAGTTGATGAGTTTCTACGAGTCGCAGATCGAAAAGCACAGCGAGGAGATCGACTTCGACTTGGAAGAAAATAAAGATTACGTCGAGGCTTTTCTCAAAGAGCAGAAGAAGCGGGAAGCGGCTGGGGATTTCGAGAGCTTTTCGTGAGTCTTTGCTCATATTAGCTGAGTTTTGAAAGTTTATTGCTCATGTTAGGAAATAAATTCAGTTGGTTCCAGGGAAAATTTATGTAATTTTCAAACTTGAAACGTTTCACATTGTTCATCTAGACAACATACAGATTTTTCCCCTTTTAAAAATTATTTGACTATCTTAGTGTTGCTCATATTAGCTGAGTTTTGTAGGTTTATTGCTCATGTTAGGAAATAAATTCAGTTGGTTCCAGGGAAAATTTATGTAATTTTCAAACTTGAAACGTTTCACATTGTTCATCTAGACAACATACAGATTTTTTTCCCCTTTTTAAAAAAATTATTTGACTATCTTAGTGTTGCTCATATTAGCTGAGTTTTGTAGGTTTATTGCTCATGTTTGAAAAGAAATTCAGTTGGTTCCAGGGAAAATTATATAATTTTCAAAATGAAACGTTTCACATTGATCATCTAACAACATACAAAGTTCCTTTGAAACATTATTTGACATATAATCTCAGTGTTGCTCATATTAGCCAAGCTTTAAAGGTTTATTGCTCCTTCAAGCAAGATAAAAAAACAGTTCGGATGACAGCTCTCTTCAATTAAAAAAACCAAATTTAAAGAAGTGTTTTCTTCTTATTAATCATCTCAACAAGATACGCCCAATTTTCCAGTGTTCCAGATTTTTTCTCATTATTGCTCATGTTAGTAAATTTTTCTTTATCAAATATCATAGCTTCGAACACAAATTTCAATAAAACTTCTAGGATCAAAAAGAAAATGATTATTATTTCAGGAAAATTCAACTCCAGAACATGTGTTTCGACCTTTGGGTGGCTGGAAGTGATACCACCACAAATACCATGTCTTTCATGATTCTCTACGCTCTCCACAACCCTGATATGCAGGTCTTTTATTCTTAGTTGATTTCTGAAGGGAAAATATTCAGAAAAAGCTACATGAAGAGTTGGACCGGGTTATCGGGTCGAGAAGGCAAGTTTCGATGTCCGACAAGAACGATTTGCCGTTTCTCACCGCGTTTATAAACGTGAGTTGCACACTTAGTTTGCTAGAATGTATTTTGTAAGTTTCACTCTGTCACTGATTTTTAGACTTTCCAGAATTTGTTTTTTTGCAGTTCACCTTAGGATCTTAGTATTTCCTGAAACCTTTTTTTAAAAATTGTATATTTTAAAAAATCTGTGATTTGAAAATTTCCAGCTCATCATCAAAATCTCATTTTTAGAAAATTATTTTTTTTCTGTTTAGTTTCAAGTTTGACTCTATTAGAATATGTTCCAATAGGACTCCATTTTTTGGGATTTTTCCAGAGTTTTTTCGCTATATTTGAAAAAAAAATCCGTTTAACAGTTCACGGCGTTCTCAAACGGGGTGGGGAGAAGTCACAAAAATTTGGCTCGAAAACTCAAGTTTTTAAGTACGCAGCAAAAAAAAAAACAAATCGATGACGTTGAATAATCTGTGTAACGTAGAATGACGTGTCGTGACGTAATTTTATCCGAAGGGCGCACTTAATTTTTTTGAAATCAAGAAACTTTGACGCCTCGCTCATCTTCCCTCACCCCATTAGGAACGCCATGCAGTTCCTTGAAACTTTTTGATCATTTTTTAGAAGCGACAATTTTTTTTATCCCTTTTTTTTAGCATAGCATCGTTAACGTCCTACAAGGATTTTTCAAAAATGGAATTTTTTCGCGAATTTTTAAAAGAAACTCAAACATTTAATCGTGTAGGAAACGCAACGGCTGGCCAACCTTGTTCCCATAAATTTCCCAAGACAAATCAAAAAAGACGTCGTCCTGCAAGGCCATTGGATCCCCTCCGGAACTACCATCGTTCATCAAATTAGTGCCATATTTTATGATGACAAGGTATGAAAAAATCGCACAGGCAAAGTCCAAATGATCTCAAAAAGCCCTTGAAAAAGAAGAGCCTAAAGCTCCTTTTTGAGTTCCTAGAAAGATGTCAAAAGTTTCTCGGAATCTTCTTTTTTCCACCTTTTTCCGGTTTTCTTTACCTCCTTCTGAGGAAAAGGTCTAGAAAAAAGCTCCTTTGAGACCTTTTTTTTCGGAAGTCCTTTTTGAGACCTTTTGGACTTTGCCCGTGCGATTGGAATAAGGTTTTCCGGAAAACTACCATTCAGGTCTTCCCGGATCACCAAAAATTCAACCCATATCGCTTCCTGGATAATGAAGGGCAGTTGAAAAAAGTTGAGAGTTTTCTCATTTTTGAATATCGTTTTTTTTTTTCAAAGGTCGACGAACTGATCCCATTTTCGATCGGAAAAAGACAATGTCTTGGCGAAGGCCTGGCCAGAATGGAGCTTTTCCTTTTCACTGCCAATATTTTCAATCATTTCGAGGTTTTCTTTGATTTTTTATCTCATAGAAATGTTTTTTTTAGTTTCTACCTGGAACCGAAGGACTGCCGTCATTGGTTAAAGATTTCAGTTCAGTCGTCCGGCCCAAAAAGTACACCTGTAGAGTTTTGAAACGGGACATCCCATAATTCAAAAATTGAAGGATCAAGCTTGAGGGATTTTTTATTTTTAGGCACCAAAAATCAAAGTTTTATCGGTGTATTTTTTTCGATTTCAATAGAGCAAGACCCATTTTGATGATTGAGGTTTTTGCAAGCCATCAGGTAAATTAAATTAAATTATTTCTCGTGCTAAGCTTTTGAACTATTTTTTTGAGCTTTTTAAGGATTTCGCAGCAGTTTTTGTTTGAGAAACAGATTTGTTGAAATTATAAATAAAGAAACAAGTACTTTTGAAGTTTTTATTCGATTTTGAGCAAAAAGAAATCGTGAAAAAGAGAGAGGCAGTGATATGAAAGCAGTTTTTCTTTAAGAAAAATGTACAATTGTCAAAGAATCTAATATCCGGGAGCGACTCTTGGCGGCGGGCAATGGTCGCATTGGCCTTGAGATCCCTCGCCGCCGTCTTTTCCGTCTTCTCCAGCTCCTCCAGGCTGTCCAGGGGCTCCTGGGGCTCCGTCGTCTCCGGGTGGTCCTTGCGGTCCGGGAGTTCCGACTCCAGAAGATCCAGGCTGTCCAGGTGGTCCGGCTGGTCCTGGTGGTCCTGCAGGGCCTGGAGCTCCGACGGGTCCAGGTCCTTGGATGACTTGTCCTGGCGCTCCGGCCTGTCCGGGTCCTCCTGGCTGTCCGTCGCCTCCTGGAGGTCCTGGTGGTCCTGGCGCTCCGGGGGCTCCGACGTTGTCCTCGTTCGCGGACTCTCCGGGCTGGCCGGGCTGTCCGGGTGCTCCCTTCGGTCCGGGTCCTCCAGGAGGTCCTTGTCGAGCTGGAGCGCAGCTGAAGCAGAACTCGCCGGCGCCGCCGGTGGTGCTGTCGTCGGCATCGCCGCCAGGACGACCGTCACTGCCTGGCTCGCCGTCGCGACCCGGCTGTCCGTCAGGTCCGGGGAAGCCGGGTGGTCCAGCTGGGCCGAAGACGCAGACCGAGGAGCTCTGCTGGTAGGACGTCTGCTGGAAGGACGTCTGCTGGAAGTTCTGCACGTGCTGTGGCTGCTGGTAGACTGGACGTTGCTGGTACACTGGAATGAGAAAAGGTTTTTTTTTCTGTTCTGAGTCCTTATGACAGGTTCTCATTGTGTAGGATGCATTGGGATGCACTGTTAGAAGTTCACTAGACCTGCTCAACTTTTTTTTCCAAAATAAGTGATAATCATATTTTCAAGAATTAGCTCCTGAAACTAACCCTGCTGCTGAGGCTGATGATAAACTTGTGGCTGTTGGTAGACTTGCTGCTGTGGCTGATAAGCAGGTCGGAATTGCTGTTGTTGGTAGCCCTATCGAACCAAATTTTTCTTTTTTTTTTTTGCTTTTTTCCTACCTGTTGAGCTCCATATCCTCCGAAGTTCTGAGGTGGTCCGGTCATGTACTGACGCTTGACACGGCTCTGCTGGCCTGTGACTTGTTCAACCTGGAAATTTCATGTATTTGGCTTTTTTTTACCCTTACTAATAGAGAATCTTCCTAAGGAGTGAAAACGTTTCACAGCTAGTTTCTACAGAGCGAAACTACAATTTCGATACAACTTTATATTTTTCTCCCTGTCAAGGTCGTCTGCTCGTTAGGGTGGGAACAAGCGGCAAAAAAACGGTTTCCCCTTTTTTCTCAGGTCAAATGCAAAAAGAGAGATAGACGAAAATTGTTGTCAAGGTTGTTTATCGGACGTTAACACGTCACTGATCAAAGGCTTCTGAAAAAGGTATACCTTGACCGAAGTTCAGTTACGTCTTTATGCCCCAATTTAGTCATTGTTGAATATTTCAAGAAAAATGTCGTCCATAAGTGATTTTCAAAAAAATGATGTTTCGTTTTCAAAAATTGGCCCACAGAAGGTTTTTTGTCATAATTTTAGAACTGAATTTTCTGAATCTTTTCCGGTTTAATTTTTCATAACTTCATTCTTTACGTTTTACCATTTCATATTCAATTGTTTCAGGTCTCCTCAGATCTAACTATTTAGATGAACATCCCCTTTTATCTCTCTGTCTGAATAACTAGAATCATTCCAACAAGGTGAACTTGTTAGAATTTTTAGAAACTGAGGAAACTTTATAGGCCTACAACTAGACATAATCAAGTCGAAAAATGCACTAACCTTTCCTATAAAAAAACCCAATTTTCCAGCCACTGACCTTGGTGAGCTCGTCCCAGAGGTCGTGCGACCTGAGGGTGCAGAAGTGGAGCTCGTGCTCGAGGGCCGACTGGACCTTGTTGGCGTGGCTGAAGAGCAACGGCAGGACGACGACAGAAGTCGCCATCGCGAAGGCCGTCACGGCCACGGCCACGAAGGCCACCTGCCGCAGCTTGACGATCTCCCGCTCCTTCCATTCTACTTCCTTCTCCGACATCCTGCAGTAATCAAGTTGGTGATTCAGGTCAAATCTTTCTGTTTCTTCTTGGCTAACTCTAGCAGATGAACAGGAAGTCTTATAAACGCTTGTGATCTCTAGAAACTTTGAAAAAATAGATATTCCTGAAAGTTCCTAGAATTTGCAATAGGGCAAGTTGTTCTCAAGTTTTGAGAAGCTAGTCATGTTTTTTCGAGTTTTCTGAGCGAAGCTCGATTTTTGCTACGCTCAAGGGAAAAATTGAGCAGTCTGAAAAGTTTTCTGCAAAACCAAAAACTTTTGAGATTTTTTCTCTGGTCCGATTCAAGCTTATGCGGGCCAGCGGCTCATGAAAACACATATTTTTGTGAAAAATGAAAATTTCAAAGTTTTCTGAAGAAAAAAACACTTTGGAACTGTCTGAAGAGCTCTTCTGAGAAAAGGAAGAATAGTCAAAATTTTCATACGATCCTTTTTTGAAAAAATTACTTGCTAAAAAGTTGAACTGATGAAAGGAAAATTTATTGAGATTTATTCTAGAAGAGAGTCTGAGCTTCCTTTACTATAGTTTACTGAAAACCGTGAAAAAAAAGGAAAAAAAAAACAAGGAACTAAGGTCTTCAGATCTTTTTCTAGGCTTCAGAACTTTCTACCTGTTCCCCAAGTTTCGAGAAAAAAATGAGAACTTTCCGGGATAGCTTAACTAAATGATATGTGGTAAAAAGTTGGTCGAAAGTTCAACAAAAAACAACGGCAAACCTGGCGATCGTTCAAGACGGTCTGTTCGGATAGCCGGCCGACGGGTTGGGCATGCCCTTAAGTACCGCCGTTGGCCTCTCGACCGGCCTCCAAGCCATTCTCTCTCGATATTTTGTCGGAAAAAGACAAGAAAAAAAAGGAGAAGAACTCGAGTAACTTCTCTTCTCTTCTCTCTGCTAACGACGGTGCTAGTTGCGAGAGCAAGGCCGCGATACACAGAATCAAAACACTTGTTCGTCTTCTTCTTCTTCTGTTTTTTCCCCCTGACGACCCGAAATCAAACATCGTCTTCTTGACTTGGTTTTTACCTGGGTCGTTTGGCGAATGCCATGGTTGAAATAAATCCGATCAAGTTGAATGTAAAACAGTTCGATTGCTTCGCCAACCGCTCTCATAAAAATTCCAGAAAGATAATACAATCTAGGAGAAAATGTTTCGAAAAATGAAAATTGAGAAGGTTTTTTTATGGAGCAAAAATGATAGAAAGAATAACATATAGAAGGAAAAAAATAGGTATTTCATAGCAATTTTTTTACTAGTTTTTGCGAAATTTTTCGAATTATTCTTCAAATTCAAATATTTTTTTAAAGAAGTAATAAAGCGTTGAAAAATCAGCTAAACTATCTTGAATTTTTTTCATTATGATGGAGAAAAATAATTGAACATATAAATAAGAGAAATAAAGTTTTTTTATTCAACCTGTGACTTTGAAAGTTTGCTCTGGTGCAATGTGTACGGCGGAGTTTTGATGGTACGACGAAATCTCAAGTCCGCAAATCTCGAGGACCGTAATCTTGTGTACGCAGATCTAAAGTCCCATAATCTTGGAAACCAAAATCTTGGAGACCAAAATCTTGGAAACCACATGTAAAGCAAAAATCTTCCCTTTTAGTCTTCTTTATTGCATTTTATCTACTTATATTCTCTTGTTTGGATCACAGAATACAATTTCTGAAAAAATCTGTTCGCAAAAGCGTTGATTTTTGCTTTCCAAGATTTTGGTCTCCAAGATTTTGGTTTCCAAGATTATGGGACTTTAGATCTGCGTACACAAGATTACGGTCCTCGAGATTTGCGGACTTGAGATTTCGTCGTACCATCGGAGTTTTGTACTAAAATTTTCTCATAACGGTTTTTTTTATTTCGTTCTCAATTTATTTTTTTCTAGTTTCTTGCTATTTTTCATAAAGAAATAATATTTTTTTTCGGCTAGGATAATTTTAGCGGTTCGATTACCTTTAAACGAATGTAATATGGAAAAGTACTAAATAAGTTATTCTATATTTCTCAGGCGTTTTTATCTCATATGATTCGATCCATTTTTCAGAAAGAGAACGATACTTTGAACGATTTTCATCCGTCAAGCAGTTTCCCTTCAACTAGCCGTGAAAAACAACGTACCATCTCGATCACACGGTTTCTCTTGGCCAAAAATTCGCTTTTTTTTCCAGGTTTTCTTCTTTCCTTTGCCTATTTTCCGTTCATGTCACAGGGCCAGCTAACGTCAGCCAAGCCAAAAACCCGTTTTGAATTGAGCAAAATAGCAAGGAATCGACTTTTTGTCACCTTTTCTCTCTTTTTCGCCGAATTTTCCGATTTTCAGTCTTTTGGAAAAGTTCGTGAGGAAAGATGGATCTATAGGAAACTGTTTCATTGCAACTCACTTTTTTGAAAACTTCAGTTTTGTTTTTGGCACTTGCAGTTTGCAGAGTTTGTCCCTGAAAAGGAAGAAGTAAATTGCTGGGCCCTAAAAAATAAAAGGTCAATGAGTTTCATCGAGATAAAAAAAGAAAACACAAAGGTCAGGGCCGTTTAATTTTATTTTTATTTCTGGAAGGTGTTCGCCCTTAAAGGGAAATAACAAAACTAGATATTTTTGCTGAAACATTGAGAAAAAAAGAAGAAAAAATTAGAAAAATGGAAAATTCTATTTTAGGTTTTACAAGAAAAATGATTTCTTGGATTTTTTTGAACTGTTCAAAAAATCTTAAGTCTTACATGACCTAAAGTTGAACTGAAAACGGCGTTTTGACTTCAAAAATTCATGGAATTTGGCTTTAATCCTTTTTGAAGACTTTCAACAGACTAAAGTGTCTGTGAAACGAAAAACTTCACTATTTCATCGAAAGAAAACTTCAATTTTTTAAATTTCTTTGCTCTTTGAGCGCGTTGAACTCTACGGAGGCTTTTCGAACGTTTTTTTATTCATCAAACGCCAAAAAAAGTAATTTTAAACTAACGGCACCTCTTTCTTTCCTCTGATGAAAAGGGCTTTAGGGAAGACAGATACTTGAATAATGAACACTGATAAACTCTTTTCCCAGAACTACACTTTATTTCAAAGGTCCTTTGAACTCTACCATCGGTCGATAAACAAGAAAACTACCTGTGGAACTTCAAAATCTCACATTTTCTTCGATATAGCGGGCCGAGAGAAACCTAAAAAAGGGCGGACAGTTTGGCCAACCGTCTCTTTTTTGTCAGAATTTTTGCCAACCGGTCCAAGTCAACCAGCAAGTGGAAAACACACTGATCAGGTGCCTTGTTTGTCGGAAATAAAACAGTTCTTTTTTTTTCTGTTCCAGGTAATAGCTGGTGAGGTTTGATAATTGGTTGCTTAACAAGGGTAGGAAATGAGAAAAAGTGAAAAGAGTGGGGGCAGAAGTTTGTTTTTGGGAAATTTTTCAGAATATTTGCCATGTTTATTAAAGGAGCATAGGAAAATTTAATAGAGGTCTCAACGCTAATATTGAAACTAGTGCTTTTCATTTCAAAATTGTGCGCCTTGGAATAAAATAAGGCTCTTCACTTCGCCTTCAAATAGGCAATCAACCGCTTGAAATTAAATATTTTCAAAACTTTGGACATCCATTCTCTTTTGAAAGTATCCATTTGCAAGAAAAAATCATTAATCGGGTCAACTGCATTCGATCTCTACACCATCTTTTTGTGTGTTTAGTTTGATCGAAAACCCTGCCTGAGATGTTCGAAAACAGACGAAGTTCAAGGACTTCGAGAAAGGAAAGAAGTTATTTTTTAGTTCCTGGATAGGTAAAAAAAATGTTCATCTAGGTGTGTTTATCTTAATTTTTAAGCTATAGGGGCTTTTTCTTATTCAAGCCTTTTTTTCAATTTCCTCAAAAAAATCTAATAAGAATTCATGAAATGTTTTTTTCTTCAATCTAGAAACTCCTTTTCCGGTCTTTTTATTTCTGAAAGAGAAAAAAATCATATCAAAACAAAAAAAGTCCATTTAGGGGCATTTATGGGTAATACGGCTTTTTATCAAAATGAGAGCCCCTGAGATAATTTTTATTTTTTTATTTTTTTTATATTTTTTTATGCCCCCAAGTCCCTTAAAACTCCTGGGAAAATTATTTAGTGGCCACTATAGAGGCTCGCCAAGGACTACTTGGAGAGGACACTAAAGTGGCCACTAAATCCACCTCTATAGTGGCCACTATTTTCCGTTTTAGTGGCAACTGTAGAGGTTCTTTATTTAGTGGCCACTTTAGTAGTTTTTCATCCAGTACTCTTCCAGTAACTATGATAATTTAAAAACAAACAGATTGGACCAGTTATGTTGATCCATTGACCCCTAAAGTGGTCACTAAAGCATTCAGTGGTCCAGTAGTAGCACTTAGACCTCTATAGTGGCCACTAACTCTTAACCCCTTAAGTGACCAGTAATTCGACTGCTTTAGTGGGCACTAAAACGTCAGAACCCTTTAGTGGCCACTAAAAATTTTCACAGTTAAGAGAAAAAAGGACTGAAATCCACAAAAACCGTTGAAATTTCCCTTTCAAAAGTGCAAATCAGATCGACAATGAAGATTAGCCGGTGGATCCTCGCTTTCTTCCCAAAATCTCATCGATTTCTCCTCTTCCCTCTCGATTTCCCTTCAAATGGAGGATATTCTAATCGATGACGTCACGACTGTCTCAAAAGATGTCGAGTTGCAGTTCTATCCCCTCCCTGTCGAAGTCGTGAGAGTGAGCTATTTCCAAAGTTTTTTTCTTAATTTTGAGGTTCCAGAAGAAGAAAAAGAGAAAGAAGACTAAAAAGAGACCGGATATCGAAAGCTTGCGTGGAATTGGCGTTTTCGCCGTGATTTTGGGCAATTTTCGCCCTCAAATTTTTCCGAATGGATTTGCAGGCGTGGAATTGTGAGTTTTTTATAACAATTTTTAGAAAATAACTTGAAAAAATACAAAAAAAACAGGGTCAATTTATCATGAGATAAGCCAATCAAAATTATTAATCTTGAAACGATCTCTACAGTAACCTACTTAGGAATTCCAGAGTGGTCCCTATAAGGACAACCTTAGCGTCCCCTTGAGGGGCCACTTTACCAAACCCTATAGGGAACACTAGAGCTTGCAAAAGTGGTCCTTAAAGGGGGCATACCGGTCGGTAATTGTTATTAACTCTGCGAAGAAGCATTTTCATGAGAAAAATGGAAAAAATAAGCGTTTTTGAATGAATCTCAGAGAACCCTGTAGGGTCCACTTGAGGTTTAGGGGCTAAGGAGTCGAACCCTAAACCCCTATGGACATTACCTTATATTTACCCCTATAGGACCCATTTTTTCGGCCACCATAAAGGCTGTTTATTCCCCAAACCCCTATAGGGACCACTCTGGAATTCCTAAAGTAAGCCTTCTATCCCCTACTTTTTTCAGATTTTATGTCATTTCCGGCTATCTCGCTTCCGTATCCTCGAACAATTCCAAGGAGAAACTTCAAATCTTCTACTACAGCCGACTCAAAAGAGTCCTCCCTCTTTATTTCCTATCCATTCTGTTGATTCTGATCGTTATGGGCTTCCTGACCCCGAATAAGGACTTTGGAAGGAATATATCGGGCGGAACTCGGGCGATTTTATTCGTGTCAAATTTCGAAAACGATGTGAGATTTTAGAAGATTTGAAAAACCCTGATAATTTTGAATTTCAGGCGGAAAGTTCTTTGAACTTGTTCTCCCATTTGCTTCCGATATCCACAGGGTTTCAAACTCTCATCATTTTTCCGTTTGTTTTAATAATCGTCAATTTGTTTCCGAACAAACTTCACGTCTATTGTCATATTTTTATCGGTGATTTTTTGATTATTTCCTAAAATTAGTTAAAAATTTTAGGAATCGCTTCTCTAGTGTTCAACTTCTTCATACGAGACTTTTCGGTATTCTCTCAATTCTGGAAGTTTTCTGCAGGTTGAGAAATTTTTTTGACTTTAAAAATATATTTATAGGCGTGTTTGCTCATCACTTGCAATCGGATCTTGGAGAACTCGAACAAAATGTCTTTTTCTACCCATTTTTGCTTCTTTTTCTTCCGTTCCTACATTTGAAACACATCTGTCTGGAGTGAGTTAAAAAAATAATTTAGAGTTTTTTTTGTAGTTTTTTTGAAATTCAAAAAGAGATCTCTATGAAATTAAAAAAGCAAATAGAAATTTAGTGACCACTAAAGCAGTCTCAAAAAAGTTTTTCCCTTTCGTGGGACCAGAAAAAAAAAGTTGGGTTCACAAAAGGTTTAAAAAAAAGGAGGAAATGGAGAAAATGAACCCTTGGGAAACCAATAAGTGACCAATTTTATATCAAAATCTGAAAAAAACCCTTTTATGAGCTCATTTTATTGAAAAAACTGCTTCAGAATCTCAGCCGTCGCCTTTGCCGCCCTACTCATCCAAATTAACGCTGGAGCGAACTTCACCCTTTGCAAATTTTTCGAGTTTATCGGCGATATTTCCTACTCCTGGTATCTCTTCCACTGGCCGATCGTCGTTTACGTCAACATTTATCATGGGAATACCTTTTATGGTAAGAAATTAGTCCTGGTCGCACTTGGAATGGCTTGGAGCGTCGCGGTCGCGTTGCAACTTGTTTCGCGATGCTTTTACGCTCAAGTTGTTTTGAAACGGTTGCATTTAAAAACAGATATTCATCCTTTAAACCATTCCAAATGTGACCACGGGGGTATAAATCACCTTTAAGAAAGTAAAATAGCCAATTTTCAGCTCCCTTGATTGGAATATTCATATCTTTTATGATCGCCAATATTATTTCCAAGAATTTTGAAAGGTAAAATTTCGATACTTTACCTGTCAAAAATATATTATTCCCAGATGGTGCCAAAAAAGAGAAGGATTCGAAATATTACTGATCGTTATTTTCCTTTTTGTCATTATCGCGACGATTCTCATAGTTCTTGGCGTACAACAAACTGAAAAAGTTCAGTTGAGTCTTGAAAATCAAAATTTCACATCAGGTTTGAGACTTTTTTTTCCGTTAGCTGAAAAAATAACTTTAGGAGAGTTCGACAACTATAACATAACTGGTAACTTTACGTTGAATAAAGATTTTTGAAAGATTTAGGGTTTGAATGCATAGAAAAGATGAAGAAAGATTTTTTTTTCTGATGTTTTTTATAGACTCGAGAACTTTGTTCGGAAGTAGACAATCGAATGAAAATTTCAACAAACTCTACTTCAAACATTGAAAACTTCAAAGCAACGGCGTTTTTTTTGACGACGCTACGCTCATTTTTTCTTCCCGTAAAGTTTAGTGTGTCGTGTGCATACACCGCGGCGCTCTGGCACACGCCTCGTTCATGTTTTGAAACAATAACAAAAAAAACAATCGCGTTTTTTTTAAATAAGAAATATATTCGTCTCATGACCCATTGATGCGCCTTTAATATTTCCTGTTGTTTACGCGTTTTTCCCATGACGTCACGTGAGAACGGCGGAGATTTTGACCACGCCCCCTTCATTTTTGGATTTTAACTTTCTTCCACTAACAAAAACACCGTGAAGTGTTCCAACGGCATTGGTTTATTTCTCAGTTCATTTCATTTTTTGTCAAATGTTTTTATTCACTTTGAAAATCAATTATTAGTATCGTCTTAATGTAGAAAACCTTGCCCAAAATTCCTTAAAAAGTAAAAAAAAAAAACAAAATAATTTACTCAAATATAACCAATAAATTTAACAAGGCATTCCTTCAAGCTCCAACATCTGTGCATAATTCTTGACCGGATCTTTTTCCCTCAACATGTGGATACTGTAGGTGTACTGTACTTGATTCCTGCACAAAACACTGATTTTCTTGACGAACGACATTCCGCCAATGTGACGTCTTTTGAGGCCGATCTTTTCCGGGAGAATCCCCGTGAAAATGACGTCTTCTGGTAGTTTTCTGGAAAATGTTTGGATTTTTTCCAAAGTGATTTTTTCACCTGAAATTGCTGGAAGTCGGAAATTCCGATTTCATAGCTGCATTCAGTAATTGTTTTGGAACGTCTTTTCCTGAAAGGTAACTGTGATATTTCGTTAAAAAAACGGGGGGTTAATTTTGTGAAAAAAGTATATTTTAAGGTTGAGATTTTCTGAAAATAGAAGATTTATGCACTCTCCTTCTTCTAGCCGTGTCTCAGAAACGTTTGGGCCAAGATAAATTATTTTCAGAAGCTTTGAGTTTAGTAACATCCTTTTTAAGACATTTTCCATGATGAAAAATTTTTTTTGTGTTTTTCTCTAAAAAAATCAAAAATTTCAGAATAGACCTACCAACAAGTATATAGACGCCAGATGAGCAGTAGTATGGATAGAAGGGTCGATCGTAGACAAAAGTAGGGACCGCCCATTTGGATCCCCATCTGAAGACGGTCCGTGGGACGTGACAATTGCCCATAATCACAGGCGCTTCTGAAACTGATCCGTAAGGTAAAAAGAAAATCAAAAGCTGAAGAAATTATTTTTTCGATTTTCGAACGGGCTCCAATTTTTTTCAAGTTATCGAGAGGGTACCAGAATGTGTCCACAAAGATACCTCTCAAAATGGATCGTGAAGACCCCATAATGTGTCCATCGTGAGACCTCTGGCATACCTTTTAGCTAGGTATATCTGAGCCATCTCGAAGGCACTTGGTCTCGCGATACCCTTTCTCGATTCGCCTATGGTTCCGAGTACAAAAACTCGGCCCTGGAACTTTCCCGAAAAACCCACCGCTTTCCTCGCAAATCTGCTGAAAGTTCCTCAACATGAGGACGTTGTCACTGTCCGTCTTCATAAAACACTTCGCCCCCGGGTATTTCCTCGTTTTGTAGTCCATCATGGCGAACGTCTTCACAGCCAAGGTCTTGTAGTCGTCCTCAAAGTCCATGATGGCCAGGTCGTCGTGTAAGTCTTGCTCGGCCTCGAGTGCCGAGAAGTTGGCCGAGCTCTGAGAAAATGTGTTTTAGTGAGGTTTTTCATATTTCTAATAACTCACCGATTTTCCCATGAAGAACTCGACTCGGGTTTCTGAATCGAATTCGGTTTGTTGGGCCCAGGAATTCCGGATTTGTTGCCGAAGATTGGTTTCCAATGGAAGTGTGTTGACCAAAACGAGCAAATTCACGTTCTTGCGCTTGTTGGGTTCCATCAAGATGTTCAAGTACGATGAATAGGTCTCCTTTTTGTCATTTTCTGAAAGAGTCAAGGAAATTTAGTCTTTTCGAAAAATCTTGGAGGATTCCTAGAAAGTGATTTTCGGCTTGAGACCTTTTGAAAAGTTCGTCTAAACTCCTTCAACAGAAAATTCAAATTTTCTATAATTTTATATGATTTATGATTTTTATAAGGGGTCAGACTTTGCGAAAAAAATTCCGCGAAATCGATTTTCTTGAAAAAAAAAAAAATGCAACAAATTTTGACACAACTTAAGACAGTCTGACCTGTCTGCGCTCTCTTTTCTCTGACCGGCGAAGTCTTGGAAAAAAAAAACCATAATTTAGTTCACGTTTTCATCGAAAAATTAAAAAAAAAAAAGTTAAACCTTGACTGAAAACGGGGCTTATCGGAGCGACCAGTCCAAGAGATTCGAGAACCTTCCTCGTTATTGAATAATCTTCCGAGGAAATATTCAACGAAATGATTATCATAATAATAAATAACAAAGCGACATAAAATCTAGGGATCCTCCTTAGCTTAGGTCTAGAGCTGAAGTGTGGAATCATGCCAAGGAATCCAAGAGAATGTCCTTCGGAAGCTTCTTTTAACGCGCCTGTCCCATTGAAGCCAGACAGTTATCTCAGTCTTTCAAAACACGCCAAACGGGCGGAAAAAAAGAGATTATGAATCCTGGAAACGACTTCTCGGTCTATTGGCACGGTCTGAAGATCTGATCCTTGGAAAAAAGTTGCATAAACTCAAGGACGTTAGAGTGGTCCTTATAGGGGCGACCTGAGGGGCCCTTGAAGATGGACAGAGTGGTCTCTATATGACGTCAGAGTGGTCCCTCTAGGGGCGACCTGAGGGGCCCTTGAAGATGGACAGAGTGGTCTCTATATGACGTCAGAGTGGTCCCTCTAGGGGCGACCTGAGGGGCCCTTGAAGATAGACAAAGTGGTCCCTGTAGGGGCGAACTGAGGGGGCCCTTGAAGGTAGCCAAAGTGGCCTCTATATGACGTCAGAGTGGTGCCTATAGGGGCGACCTGAGGGACCCTTGGAGATAGCCAAAGTGGGCTCTTAAGGGGTTTTAGTTAGTGGCCCCTAAAGGGAACATTCTTTTCGATTTATGTTATGAAGAAGAAGCATTTACATGCGAAAAACACAATATTTTGTCGTTTTTAAAGGAAACATATCAAGATAGAAAATTAAAAGACCCTATAGGGGCCAATTAAGCTTCAGGAACTTAGACGCCAGACCCTAAACCCCTAAAGGGTACACTTTTGCCTATACAAAAGCTGTTTTTCCCCTATAGGGATCACTCTAACGCTCCGGAGAAACGCGAGGATAAATTCGTTTTTGAGCTCATTTTCGGAATATTACTTTTTTTTTTCCTTTTTGGACCTTTTTGTGGTTTTTTTCAAAATCTTGCAGTCAATTGATAAAGATTTTTTTAATAAATCTAATACTACACATTATCCCTTTTTTTCTGAGCATAATGAAAGAATCACTACCCGTATAAAAAAATTTATCCCGTCAATCAATTAGTTGAAAAAAATATACAAATCGAAATTTCAATAGTCTCTTTGGTTTCTTTTTGATGATGCCGATGACAGTTTCGAGCCGATTTTCGAGCTCTTTCAGCTCCTTCGAGTTGATTCTGGAAAAAAATGGATTGAAATGAATATTTTTCGATCAGTTAGTTCAATGAAAAAAATAAAGTTAAAATATTGGATTTTTTTCTTTCTACTTTTTTTGAAATAAAAAAATGAGTGACTGGATTTTAAAAACTTTGAATTCTAAAATAAAATCTAAAATAAATTTCATCCCAGTTTCAGAAGATTCCAAAAACATTTCATTCATCTGATTTAGTAAGGCATGCTGGAAAGTGCGCGCTGTGCGCACTCTTTTCTCGTGCGCACGTAAGGAAAAATGCGCACTCTTTTTTTCAAATTTTGTACAGGAAATTGCGCGCTCTTTCTAACATCAGGAAAAATGCGCACGGTTATCAAATTCCGCTCTTTTTCAAGATTGAAGTCCACATAAACCATCTCACTTTTTCTCTTTGTCATGAAGAAATCTTTCAGCTAAAGATGAATTGAACATCTTTTGATTATTTGATAATTTATGGAGAATATTTCTTATCAGGAAATGGTCTGCGGTCATTTCGGAATGAGACCAGGTGTATTTTTTTGCAAAAAGTGAGATGCTCTTTTTGAGACCAAGCTGATTCCAAGCTTGGTCTCAAAAGCTGCCGCGAAAATCTGCTAAAAAGTGAGATGCTCTCAAAATATACAGATCTTTTCCATCTGATAACATTAAACAATACAGGGTGGAGGAATAATTACTGCGACAAAAGTTTTTAAGCATTTGCTCTCGCCGACCCGAGCTCATTTTTGTTCCAGTCATTATTCCTACCTTCATCAAGCCTTCTTCTATAATATGATGACCGCCGTGCCACGCTGACTTTCGGAAAAGTCGTTTCTGCCTTTTGGGCGTTTATGGCAAAGCAGGCAGGCTTGGCTATGAAGGCCTAAAGCCCCCTAGCCCTTGATTTTTTTTAATTTCGAAAAAAAAGCGCGGGCTCGGGCCAGAGATTCAAGAAACTTTTTTATTTCATTAAAAACATTTTCACCGAAAAATTATTTTTACATGTTTAATCACATTTTTTAATAACTCAATGAAGAAAAATAAGCAAAAACCCCGCTTTTCTCGTTAAAACAGCTAAAATTTCGAAATGAAGAAAATTTGATTATTCGATAAGGTCGCCCTGAAGCTCAGTTTGAACGTATTTTTAAGGTTTCGATTCTCGAAATTGATAACGATTCACGTCTATGTAAGCCTGTCAATTGACAGAAATCGAAAAAAAAATTGAAGGAATTTTTTCCGAAAAATAGACATGTGTCTCTACTTGGCACGCTAGGGACCGCAGACCAATTTTCGAAAATTTTTTTTCAGCATTGAGCTTTGCATGGTTTGATAGCTGTTTCGATTCGAAACTCAGAACCGTTTAGTTTTTCGGAAAAGAATGAGGATGAAAAAAGTTATGACGAAAAATGTGGCGCGCCGCGCACCATTTTTTTAGTACTGAAATTTTGGTGTTATCCATTTTAGACATTTTTCTCGATTTTTCTTTTAGAACAAGTTTTGATACTGGTCTATTATGATGTAAGAAATCATAATAGAGCTCTATAATGATGAAAAATTAGCTAGTTTGCCGAAAAAAAGTCGGTATTTTCCAGAAAAACAAAAAAACTGACGCTTGCGGGTATCGAACTCGCGACCTCAAAATGAAAAAAATCGCAGCGCACGCGCTGCGCCAAGTTGTTAGGTCTGGCGAGGGGAACTTCCATCCGCCATAGCCTTGAGCCGTTTGAATAGCACAGATTGCCTATTTCAAAAAAATAAAAAAATTTGAAGTAATTCAGCTATTTTTTTATCAGAATATGTTCGCAAATCTTTACTCAAATTTTTCCGTGGAAATTCACTTCGAAAAAAACAGTTTTTTTCAGTGCTTTTTTTGCCTCGTTTAACGATCACTGCATTAAAACGGCCCCGTAAATTTTTGGCAAAGACGAATTTTTTTATTTTATTCTTTTTAATTGAAAGATTTTTTTACTAATAAATGTATATAATCGTTTGAAAAAAACCTGCGTTCGACCGCTTTCTGTGTGATAAACGCCGCTAATTTTATTCTCTATTTTCAAGTGCATTTTTTTGCGTATTAAACAACTTTTTTTCCAGCACATATGCTGTGGAGAAAAAAATTTAAGTAAGCCTATGGTCTAACTTTTTGAAAAAAACAAAAAAACTCGATTATATTCGCTTATTAACGATATTTTGAATTATGACTTTCGGCACTCCCTAAAAATTTTTTTGGCAAAGACGAATTTTTTTATTTTATTGTTTTAAAAATTACCGTTACTTGAATCAAAAATCATTATATAAAAAAAGAAAGAGTGCGTTCGACCTGAAAAACACATGAAAAAGCAAAAAATGACAAAATTTTTTAGTTCCATTCACGTTTTTGTACGACATTCCGCGAGAACGCATCAAAAAAGCGTGAAATATTTTTTAAACGAAAGAGGAAGCTTTTCTGTACATGTGTGTCAAATTTTATTCGCCAGTTCCACATATTTTACAACTACAACAAAATGAAAGTTGAAAACCAAAAAAAAGCCACTTTTTCTATCGCGAAAAGGGGCGTGGCTTTGCGGTCCCTATGGCACGCTGTTTGGATGCTCTTCATAGGCGAATCGAGAAAGGTTATCGCGAGACCCTCTGAGGCATATCGCAGGGTCTGAAGCCTATCGATGGTAACCCGAGTATACCTCTGAGGACTTTGAGCAAAATGAGATAGACTTGAGGGAGACTCTAAAGTACCTCCGAGATAGCTCAGATTTAGCTAAAAGGTATGCTGGAGGTCTCACGATGGACACATTATGGGGCCTTCACGATCCATTTTGAGAGGAATTTTTGTGGAAAAATCAAGGTGCCCTTCTGATTCGTCTGTGTTTGTACAGACAAAAAAAAGTACATCATCGAAGCTCTCAAGAACGGTCATAACCCCAGAGTATTTGCAGCAACACTCACTGTTGCTAATATTAATGATTGGGCTATTTTACTATTCTTTCATCCGAAATACGCTATTTTGCTTGAAACTTCGTAAAACGGCAAAAATCAGCTTTTTCGAGTCTCTGTAAGAGATGAGGTCAACTCAGAGAGCAGTAAACAAAATAATTTGAAAGGTGTGTACCTTTTTTCTCAGTACCTTATGGGGTTTAGCAGATAGTATTGCCTGTTTTTAAGTACCCTTACTTACTAGGGAACTACTCGGACTCGGGTACGCGGATCGAGTTCAAACTTTAGTGGTTTATAGACCTAGGTGGGAACACTTGAAAACAAGTGAGAATATCTGCTAAACCCAATAGAGAACTGAGAAAAAAAGTTAGTAGAAAAATGTGAAAAATTAAACCTGAAAAATTTTTCAGAATACTGCTTTTTACCTTATTTAATATTTTAATAAAAATCGCCTTGAATGATCCGGCTATGATAAACACTAAAAAAACTTTTTTTCCAGCCAAAAAGAAGGATGAAAGCAAAAAAATTTGATAGTTTTTCAAGCCTAAACTGTTCATTTTCAAAAAGCTTTTTCTCAGAAGCCTATAGGGTTTAGCATATAAACACTCTTGTTCCCAAGTACTTTTACCCGGGTCTATAAGCCACCAAAGTTTTAACTCGATCCTTGAATGCGAGTTCGCGTAGTTCCCTAGTCAGCTCAAAGCCAATTTTCGAGTCCTTATCGTAAGGTCTTATCCGGTTAGAAGAATGGAGTCTTGTTCTTTTTCTGTTATCCCATTGACTCCAAAATTTCTGAGAAACTTCAATGTGCCTCTTGTAACAGTACACACCAGTTTGCCTACTGACTTTTTGGCCGTTCTGCTCAAAAAAACAAAAAAACTGATTTTCGACCATCTGCGTACCGCAGTCAATTGGGTGCCACTACATTTTCGAGCGGCAGTTCATGTTAATTTTTTTGATTAAATCCCTGTAAAACTTTATAAAAAAATAATTGTGAGTTCCCGGTCTTTATTGACTATTGACAATTGACATATTGACAGCTCCTTCATTTTGTCGCAGTAATAATTCATCACCCTGTAAATTTTTCTTCAGAAATATTTTTGAGCCTCGTAAGGTCCTTTTCGATTTGTATTTCACATATTTCCCTTTTATAATATAGTTTGTCCATATTTTTGAGTTTCAAGCAGCAATCTCTGCCCCAAACAAAGCCTGTGAGTGGCTCGTTCTCTGATTGGTTTGATCTACACATAAGAGGCGGAGTTCGACCGATGACTTGATATTCAAATTCTGAACAAACTATAAACGCCGACTGTGGCTTTCTTCGGAAAATAACATTACAAAATTTAAAAAAACACATTATCGCGTGAAAGGTAAATCAGTCTGACCAGTCTAGTGACCGCCTGGTATTAATATTGAAAAAGATGAATGCTGAAAAATCAGTTATATAAACTTCAAATAATCCGAAAGGACAAGATTTGATAACCGTGCGCATTTTCCTGTTGTTAGAAAGAGAGCGCAATTTCCTGTACAAAATTTGAAAAAAGAGTGCGCATTTTCCTTACGTGCGCACGAGAAAAGAGTGCGCACAGCGCGCACTTTCCAGCATGCCTTTAGTAATGCAGTAGCGCAGTTTGAACTCTTACCTGTTGGCCAAGGCGGACTCGGCGAGAAATTTCTGTTCGATGAGAAGTTTTCCGAGTTCTCTCTCGACGCCTTCCGCTTGGATCTTCTCCATGTAAATCCAGCCGAGGGTGTTCTCCACGAGTTGTTGGACCTGGAGATAAATTTTGTGTTGCAATTCAAAAAAGAAATAACTGAAAAAAGCGAAAAAAGAGCCGATGAATGTGCGCTCCATAGAGAATCTGGGTACGTTATCAAAAAGGGATCTCGATCACAGTTTTTTTTTCTGAGCAATCCTAGGGATCGCTTAAGAGTTCGGAGACTAGAATACTAAAGTGGGCACTTGAAATATACCCGATCCGAGTCATTTTCGCCTTTTTTAGTAAGAACTTTTGGGCTAAAAACACTTGAGTGATCACTAAATGGCTGGATTTTTAAAATTTTGAAAGTCCCAGTTGTTTTCATACATCAAGTACAAACTCAATCACGATTCATCAAAAATTTCCTTTTTTGACTACATTTTGAGAATTTCTAAGGATTACCGTTCTGCAGAACTCTGGAACCCTCTTGAAGTTCTCATTGTTGGACTTTTTCCAGTTTCTATTGCAAGTCGTGCGCAGAGACGCTTCAGAATTGCTGTTGAGTCGACGTCTTCTGGCTTCGGCGCAGTTCTAAAAATTATAAATTCTTGACCTTGTTTTTTCCGACTTTGAATCATCGCGAATTTTTTCGAAAACGTTTTTTGATTGCTTCGGATCAAAAACTACTTGCGCTTGGTGGCATTTTCAAGGAATTAAAGGAGGGAAGTCGCTATGAAAAGATATGAACCGAAATGAAACAGCGAAGATTATTTTAGCCTATTATTTCCAGTTTTACCTGAGAGATGAAACGGCGAATTCGGGGTTTGTCGACGGGGGCCGTGTAGCACTGTTTTGGGTGGTAGTTTCTCTATAAAAATTGAAATAATTTAGAGTTTTGAAAAAATGAAAACGAACTCCAATTGGGACCATCTTCTTGGGACCGAGGAATCTCTCCAAAACGCTTGGATTTTCGGGAACAAGCTGTGTTGTGCGCATTTTCTGGGGGTCGAATCCGAGGCCACAATTTGGGCATTCAGCATAGGGAGTTTTGGAATAGATCTGAGAATCGGAACGCTTTGAAAACTCATAAAAATCATAAGTGATTCTTTTTTTTTCAAATGTGTTATGAAAGAGCAAAAAAAGTTATTTTCTTAAAAATGAAGTTGAAAAAGGTAAACATATTTTTTTACAGCATTTTTGAGAATGGGAAGTATAAAGTGAGCACTTGAGGGACCATTTTGAAGCGAGGTTTGTGAGTTATTTTTTAATTAATTTTAATTTTCAACTATTGGGAAAAAATCGGCAAAAATTTCCTGAGTTTTCACTATTATTATCTGTTGGGTACGAAAAATACACGATTTCAACAGTTTTCAATGTATTTTATACATTTTTTTGAAATCTCATTTTAATCCTTATAGTACTTTAGAAAAAGCAGGAAATTCTATAAAATTTAAAAGCATCCTGAAAATGTTTCTCGTTTTTTTTCTGCCTTCTTAATTAATTTTGAAAGTGTCGATCGAATGCTCATTTTTCAAAGTTGTGATTTCGCTCAATTTTCATGAAACTCACCTCGAAAATGCTGACTTTTCTTGACTTCTTCCTGTGGCATTCGCAAGTGATTTTCATCACCTCGACAGTTTCTCCGGACTCAATCGCGACTAAATTTGAAATTTTGAATATTTCCGACAAGTCCGTTAAATCTTTACATTGGATTTCCCAGGCCGACTTCCACAGCTTGAAATCCTCGCATTTCATTGGCCAATGGGGCTCTCGGCCACAAATCAAACACCAAGAAAAGCCGCAGGTAGAACAATAAGTGGTGTGGAAATCTGAAATTTAAACTCTCATTGACAAAATCTTAAAAATCGAATAAAACAAACCATTTTCTTCCTCACTGTGCAAAATTGAGCAACACTGGGGGCATTCGTAAAAATCGTAGCCTAGGTTTTTTGCGACGATTTGCTGAAAACGGTTGAAATCGGTTAATCGTTGATGAAAATTAGATTTTTCGCTCGAAAATTTCTGAAGAAATCAAAGAAATCACCTTCACGTAGAAATTGTAAACTGGAAGAGGCAGTATTACTGGCAAAAGATCGAAAACTTGTTCAGACTTGATCTGAAAATTTTCTTTTGCTAATCAAAGCCTCAGATAGTTTGAAAAACCTCCAAATCCGTTTCGTCAAATCCAGATCTCAAATGTTGTCTTACTCGTTTTTCCAGGCATCTGCGACAAGTTATTGAAGATTGCAAATCAATCAGTTCAAATATATCCTTTTCGGAGCAGGTGGAGCAAGTAGCCTGCAAACTCGAGTACATACAATAAAAGCTTTTGAAAGAAAAAATAAATAAAACATATTTTAACGGAAATTAGAAAAATATCGTACATCCTATCGTCCAAGTGCGCGCTAGTGAAACGTCAAGTGGAGCGTCGTTAACGCGATTAATATTTTCTTTTTTTAATACCATTTTCAACTTTTCTCTTTGATTTTTTTAAATTTATTTTTACAATGATTGGAAAACCAGAGTAGGAAACCCACGTTTTCGATATCACCGCCCAGATTCACATCTTCCCAATCCTCTTCTCGTTTCATCACATGGAATTTTTTTGCCAGTGGGAGAATTTCAGAGAAACTCATTACTTTGCTCTGAAATTTTTTTCCATTTTTTTCAAATTTTTTTAAAAATATAAGCTTACCTCCTTGGCTAGAGTTTTGGAATTTTGCCATCCAGCATGTGGCGAGGAGAATTTGCACCTTGGATACCTAGAAATTTCGATAATCGTTGTAAAATAGTTCTTTTTCACTTTTCTTCGCCTTTCCATTGAGCAACAGTGGCAACAACGATTTCCAAAAGGTTTGAAATATTGCTGAAGTCGGAAAAACTTGATTGTAGCTGATCTTCCGTTATCTCCTTGCTCTTGGTAAAGACGGTATTCAGAGTGAGCCTTCAATTTTTGATTTATTAATTTTTGGTGGCGTGATTTTTCGTTTTTACCTCAAAATTCTCTCTTTTGCGAAGAGTTTCAACCCGACTTTTAGTCCAGATCCGTTGTTTTTGAAGGAGGAGACCTCGAAATTGAAATTTTGATGTTAATTTCAATGAAATTCTTACCTTGGAAGTAAGATCAACGATGAAATGATTCTGATCAATTTTAAGAGCATCTTGATCCATTTCGTCGATCTGAATCAATTTTTGGAAAGTGAGAACAAATTTTTTTCAAATCGGTACCTCTTTTTCCAAATTGAAATCATCAGAAACAGAAAAGTTGAAGTCTTCGTAGATGTAGGGCTCAGCCAAGGCTTTGTTCATGTCTATTTCTGGCTCGTCTTCAACTTCGAAATCCTAGAAAAATCGAAATCAACATTGCGAAAAGGAAGAAGAGCTGACATCTCTGGACTTTTTGGCCTTGCGATTTTTCTTGTTTTTCACGTGGACAAACTTTTCAACGTAGTGGTCTTCCAAGTTGAAAACGTGGTCCCGGTTCCTGGAACGAATTTTTTGAAATTTTTGATTTTTTCACAAACCAATGAGAAACGCTGGGTTCATCGATATTCTCTTCGGTCTCCTCCTCAGGACGGTAGTTTTTCAGTTCCTTTCTCATATCCGCGATCATGTCTCTTTCCATTTCTTTCCTTCGTTCGTATCTTTGCTCCCCTCGTCCTAGAACAAACCGAAATTGTTTTCAAATGAAAGAACCTTGACGGGGTTTTCAAACGCATAGAAGTCTTGGATGGTCAAAAAAATTGACTTAAAAAAATCTATATTGAATTTCTGAAGTGCTTTTTGAACATCCCAGTGAGGATTTTTGAACAGGAAAACCAAAAAACTATTCTAATTTTATTGTTTCAACTCACCCCAATGGCAGCACTTGAAGCGACGGCTTGAAGTACGATTAATGTTCTCGAAAGGAGTGTAGAACGAATAAAGTACACAAGCTGGGTATCTTGGCTCTCCATCGCCGTGAACTCGGCACTGGCAACCGAGTTTCCGGTCTTTTTTCTTCGAAAGTTCCCGATTTTCAGGACGGAAGTGGTTGAACTGAAATAGAAGTGTTCTCATTTGATTTTCAACTTGTTAGACCTACCTTTTGTCCGTTTCCCCGAGTAGTGATCGTTTTGAACTCCCATTCATCGGCCAAATCTCCTTCAGACTTGGTTTTTCTCAGCGTGTGAATTTGAGAAATATTTGGGTTCCTGTCGTAGAATCGTACGACTGAAAGGTATAGATGAATATAAGCTTTTGAGAAATGTTGTTCAAGAAAAAGAAATGACTCACAAAATCCAGGACTATCGGTAATGTTACGCTCGATCACGTAAGCGTCCAGATCCAGTGTATCGACGGCGTTTTCCAAAATCATTTTTGGCTTTTCTTTCTGAGATAAGATCATGTCTTTTTTTGGAAAAGAAGAACTATTAAATGTTTTGGCATTCGTTTTTTCAGAAAATTAGAACATTGCGAGTAAAATTTGAGTTTCAAAAGCTTCAAATCGAGTTAAATGAAGAAAATATCTTGAAAACCATGTAAAAAAAAAAGATAAGGCGGAAAAAACTTCAAATGAGAGATAGAGAGAGTCCAGAGAAAGAGAGAATCTTTACTTGTCTGCCGTCTCTTCATTTTTTCTTATTCTCTTCTTTTCATAGCCCGTCCAATTCGAAATTTGAACACTTTTCAAAATTTCCTAAACTGACCAGCTCCCATCGCCTTCGTTTGTTGACGGAATAGGAAATCCTCGGGAAAAAATCCATTTCGTCGACCCGATCGACGTTCGTCAGCCATTTTGCAGTTTTCTGTAACAAAATGAAGCTACTACAAGAATTATTGAAGAAAACTCACATTACTAAGAGAATAATCGTTGTTGGCGATGTCTTTGATGAGTACACAATCGTCTTTGCATCGCTCGAAATAGAGAGTCTTCACTCTGTGATGGATTTTCTTGCGGGAGCCGAGGTTGGCTCGGTTTTTCACTCTGAAAGTTTCAGTTTAAAAATTCAAATCATCTTTGAAGATTCTTTGGGGTTTAGCTAGGAAAAATCTCAAAAAATTTTCATAAAACCCAGATTTCTTGATAGTTTCCAAAGAGACAAGCATTAAAAAACGAAACTAACTGGTAATGGACTTCTTCTGTATGAGTGACGTCATCCCAATCTTCAAAATAGCAAAAATCGTAGCCATACAAGCTTGCAAGGAAAGAATTTTCGGAAAAGCTCCCGGAAACCGAGCTTCCTCGGCTTCTAATGGACATCTGGAGCTGAAAAGCAGATTTTATACCCGAAAATCACAAAAAAAAATAGGAAATTGATAAGACTTGCGAAGAATCTGAGTTTACATAGGTATGAGTCACATGAGACGATTTTTGATTGTTGGTTGCAAGAAAAACTGATAAAATGAGTAAACAATGGTATTTTTTGTAAAGATCGGTGTTATTTTGAGCATTTTTTATCGAATTTCTACGGAAAAACAAATGAAAAATTTTGAAGCGGAAAAAACTTTCAGTGTGGCTTTCAACGGTTTTATTAAACTTGAATTCTCAAAAATAATGAATAAAGCTTTGAAATCCAACCGGTAAGAGAGAAATAGGAAAAACCAGGTCAAGTTAAAAATTTACAAAGAAGAAAAAAACCTGATGTTAAATAAGAGTTGCTTGGAAACGGAACGCTTTTATTGCAGCCACAGAGATTTCGCAACCTTGGTCAACATTGGGCAATGGAGAGCCCTCGTCGTGACATTTTGATTGTTGGCTGCGAAAATAAATGAGATAAACAAGTAAATAAAGTGACTAATTAGGGGAAATAAAGTTCCAAAAAATCATATGTTTGACTGGTACCTGGAAAAACTGGAACCATTGAAAAAAACGGAATGTTATATGCTACGGTGAACTTCCAGATTTTTTTTTTGATAGACTTCGAGGATGCTTCAAGAAACCCAAAGGTCATTACTGAAAAAAAAAATATTACTCTTTATCCTATTTTCCTGGCAATTTTCGACTTTTCAGAAATATTTTTTCTTTTTGAATAGCCACATTGCTTATTTTTATCGGAGCTCGGGCTGATCGATATTAATATATCGATCTGCCCGAGTTGTGTGTATCCACATCTAGTTTTTGCGAGTTCAAAACTGAGTGCATTTTTGAATCTTTTCATTGATATAAACTCCTCGAACTTTTTTTCGTTTATTATTATTTTTTTATTAAAATTGTTTGAAAGACCTTTTTTTAAACTTTTTTTAAACTTTACTCACTTGAAAAAAATTGTATAAAAAAATACATTTTTTTCTGCTCTTGATTAATTGCGCGTCATAATAATATACCTTCTTTACGTTTTAGCAATTTTTCAAGGAACTTTTTTTGGTTTCTCAGAATGATAGAGCTGTACAATCAACTTTTTTTTAAAGCAGGTACTTCCATTTTTTTCTTATAAAAAAACGAAGAATTTTTTTCTAGTCAAGAAATGGCGGAAACAAAGAAACAAGAAGCTTTCCAAACGGACGCTGACAAATATTATTTCAAAATTGATGCTTACGGTGAGTTTTTTTGAACAAAATGAAGCCAATAGGGAGGGAAAAAAAATAAGTTGATAGGGAAATTTTTTTTAGGCTGATTCATAATAGCTTTTTTTTAAATCCTTTTTTTTTCCATTTTGAGAGATAATTTTTTCATGTTTTTTTGTATTTTATAGTTGTGTATCATTAGTTTGATACTTTCTTGAATTTTTTTAAATCTCAGTACATGAAATTTCAAAGAAATATTTGAAGAAAAAAAGTACGACGAAAACCCTAAAAAAATTAGTTCTAATGAAAAAAATCAAGTTTCTGAATTTCTTCTCAATTTTATAAAAACTACAAAGTTCCTGTTTTTCTTTCATTTCTCTTTGCTCCACCTTCATTGAGATCTTCAAAAATATTTTCCTAGACTCAAAAAATAGCCCCTTTCCTTTTTCTATGTATTGCCCAATGTTGTGAGCTGAAAGTTGAGACTAGAAGTTTTCGTATAACTCAGATTGAAGGCTTTCTTTTTATCTTATCTATTTTTGGTGTTTACTTTTCCGGGACTCGTCATGGTTGAATAATTGATAAGGGTGACATTTGTAAATGATTCAGAGAAAAAACAGACGAAATTGTGAAAAAAGTGAAAAGGGACGTATCCAAGGTTACGAGACTTTAAAGAAAAAAAAAATCGTTCGTCATGTTTTACTTTTTTATTATAGTGAAACGCCGTTTAAACACAGGGGGCGGCATAGCTCAGCTGATAAGACTCATTTCTAACGTCCGCGAGGTCGTTGGTTCGACTCCCCCCGAGGTTGATCAAGCCTGTCATCCCCCCGGGGTAGATAAAATTGGGAGCTGCATGCAGCGAAAAGGCTCAATCTCTGCCATCGGCCTTTGGAAAGCCGGCACCGTAACTCTTCCTACGACCTCTCTTGTACCTGATGTTCTACGAGCGAAATTCACAACTTCTCTGCCTAAGCCACAGCTCCTGCCGCCGTTTAAACACAGTTAAATCAATGAAAGTCGATTGCACATGTACTCTTACATTGAAGATGCAATAAACAGTTTTTTTTTAGCGTTTTGGAAATGGAAATAGCAAGCAAAATGAGGAGGTTTTTTAGCGTTTAGAGCTAGGGACCGCAAAGCCACGCCCCTTTTCGCGATAGAAAAAGTGGCTTTTTTTTGGTTTTCAACTTTCATTTTGCTGTAGTTGCAAATTACGTGGAACTGGATAATAAATTTTGACACATATGTACAGAAAAGCTTCCTCTTTCGTTTAAAAAATATTTCACGCTTTTTTGAGGCGTTCTCCCGGAATGTCGTACAAAAACGTGAATGCAACTAAAAAAATTTGTCATTTTTTGCTTTTTCATGTGTTTTCAGGTCGAACGCACTCTTTCTTTTTTCAAATAATGGTTTTTGATTCAAGTAACGGTAATTTTAAAACAATAAAAATAAAAAAATTCGTCTTTGCCAAAAAAATTTTTAGGGAGTGCCGAAAGTCTTAATTCAAAAATATCGTTAATAAGCGAATATAATCGAGTTTTTTTGTTTTTTTCAAAATTTAGACCATGGGCTTACTTGAATTTTTTTCTTCACAGCATATGTGCTTGAAAAAAAGTTGTTTAATACGCCAAAAATGCTCTTGAAAAATAGAGAATAAAAATTAGCGGCGTTTATCACACAGAAAGCGGTCGAACGCAGGTTTTTTTCAAACGATTATATACATTTATTAGTAAGAAATCTTTCAATTAGAAGAATAAAATAAAAAATTCGTCTTTGCCAAAAATTTACGGGGCCGTTTTAAGGCAGCGATCGTTAAACGAGGCAAAAAGCACTAAAAAAACAGTTTTTTCGAAGTGAATTTCCACGGAAAGTTTGAATAAAGATTTGCGAACATATTCTGATAAAAATAGCTTAATTAATTCAAGTTTTTCTTTTTGAAATAGGCAATCTGTGCTATTCAAACGGCTCAAGGGTATGGCGGATAGAAGCTCCCCTCGCTGGACTCAACAGCTTGGCGCAGCGCGTCCGCTGCGATTTTTCATTTTGAGGTCGCGAGTTCGATGCCCGCAAGCGCCAGTTTTTTGTTTTCTGGAAAATACCGGCTTTTTCGGCAAACTAGCTGATTAGCATCATTTTAGCACTCTATTTTGATTTGTAACATCATAATAGACCAGTATCAAAAACTTGTTCTAAAAAGAAAAAAATCGAGAAAAAAATGTCAAAAAAATGGATAATACCAAAAAAATTCAGTACTGAAAAAAATGGTGCGCGGCGCCCCACATTTTTCGTCATAACTTTTTTTCATCCTCAATCTTTTTTTGAAAAAAACTAAACGGTTCTGAGTTTTTGAATCGAAACAGCTATCAAACCATACAAAGCTCAATTCTTAAAAAAATATTTTGGAAATTCGTCTGCGGTCCCTAGTTTAGAGCATTATTTCTAATTTTTAAGCTTTTCCTTTTTTTTATAAGGAAAAAAATTTGGAAAAAAATAGTTCAAATTTTTAAATTTTTTTATAAAAAAATAAAGAATTGACTTCGACAAATATGTTTCCGTTCTGAAAAAAACTTCCGGTTTTTTTCTATCGAGAAAAAAATATCAGGCATATGAAAATTTTTATCCCGTAACAAGAAAAATGAACACGTTTTTTTCTGAGAACTTTAAAAATATTGCTATAAAATTTACACATTTTTTTACAAAGTTCACACATTTACATTATCGATATCCACGGTCCTTCAACTTCTTCAATTTCTTGGCTTGGATCCTGAAAATCTTTGAAATTTGAAAGTTTGGAATCAGACTTTCTATAAATAAAGATATAAACGATTTTTGATTTCTAAATCTGACCGTTTTCTCTTTTTTGCAAGCTCAAGCGCTTCCGCGTCTTCTTTTCGATACTCTTCGAGATAAATCCAGCCGAGACCGTTTTCCACGATTTTATCGATCTGAAATTTCAGCCTTGGTTTGGAAAAAAGGGTTCCACCAACATAATTTCCTTGATCGAATGCCTTGGGAAGAAGAATATTGAAGTCTTCAACGATGCAGAAATCATCCAATGATTCACAATCGGTCAGATCAATCAATGAGCCTTCTTCAGAGTCGGAAATCTAAAAAAAATGAATATAAAGTGAAGAACATAGTTCAGAATAGATATAAAAACCCACGCTTTCGGAATTTCTAATCTTGCGATTTTTCCTCCTCTTGATGTAGACGAATTTATCCACGAAATGTTCGTCGAGGTTAAAAACACGATCTCGGCTTCTTAAAAAAATATTTTCAATACTTTTATCGACTTTTTTTTAGACCTCTGTGAAAAAGGTAGGCTCATCAATATTTTCTTCAAAATCTTCCACTGGACTGTAGATTTTGAGCTCGTTTCTCATATCTTCCAGCATTTCCGATTTGATTGCCAACCGGTTCTCGTACCGTTGTTGAGGGTATCCTGTTTGGAAAAAGTATGATAATTTTTCGAAATTTCTATTTATTCTTTGCAAACAGTTATACTTCTTAACATTTTTTTATACCTTGGTAGATATTTTTTCTCCTAATCGTCGGTTTTGAAATAATTTCTCATTTTTAAAGTCACTGTTGAAAAATTCAGTTTTAATAAGATGATGATATAATAAATAAATCAGGGAACGTTTAATAAAATTCAAAAAAGGCCTGGAAATGATCTATTGAAAGCTCACCATAATCGAAAAAGTACTTGTAATTGCAGCCAGGCATAAGGTTCATGATGTGATACGGCGAGAAGAATGAATAAATCACACAAGCTGGATATTCATGTTTCTCCTTGGAGCGAACTTCGTCCTGACGACTCAGCTTTCCTTTTTTCTTAGTGGATAGTTCACGGCTCTCAGGGCGGAAGTGGTTGAACTGGAAAATCAAGATTCGTTTTCATAACTTTATCATTTGTTATGAGATCAAGAAAAAAAAACTTTTTGGATAACTAAAACGCACCTTCTGACCATTCCCTTGAGTTGTTACCGTCTCGAGGACTTCATCGTCAGTCCAAGTTCTTTTCGAACACGGCTTTCGGAGATAATGAACTCGGGAAATATTTGGGTGGCGATTATGATATCGAACGTCTGAAAGAAAACAAAAATCTCAATGAAAAACCCGTTTCAACTCACAGAAATCAGGGCTCTCCCCGCTGTGCCTTTCTACCACGTAGGAGTCCAGTCCAATCGTGTCTTGCGTATTTCTGAGGATCCTTTCCGGCTTCTCTTTCTGAAATTTCGCGTTAATTGACAAAGTCCTCTGAACTTCAAAAAGCAACAAAATGCAAGTTCAAGTTATAGACGTGTGTTACGACTTGGAATTTCACTGAACGATATTCCGCTGTTCCGCTGCGTGCGGTCGCGAAGCGTTTTTGCCTTTGCAAGCCTCGCTTCTAGTTTTTTCTTTCATTTCAGTACTTGGTTTTCATGTTTTCCCAGTGAAGCAGTCTATCTACCAGCGATGATAACCCAAAAAAAAGCGCTACCGAGGCTCGCAAAGGCAAAAACGCTTCGCGACCGCACGCAGCGGAACATCGGAATGTCGTTCCGTGAAATTTCAAGTCGTGGCACACAGACTTCAGTAATGATTACTGACCAATTCCCAGCGCTTCATTCTATTAACAGAATACGGTATCTCTGGAAAGTAGTCCATTTCGTCGGCTCTAGAGGCGTCGGTCAAGTGGGCGGCCATTTTCTTAAAAGTCAAATCTCAATACAAAGTTTTAAAGAATGTAGACTCACATCGTCAATAGAATAATCGTTGTTGGCGAATTGTTTGATGAGAACACCGTCGAATTTAGACTTGTCATAGTAGAGATTTTTCACCCTGTGATGGTACTTCTTGCGTAAACCGGAGTTGGCTTGATTTTTCGCTCTGAAACGTAGAACTCAGAGGTTTATAACGAGTCTAAACGTTTGGAATCAACTTTGAGCTTCTTTGAAAAACATACGAAGGCAAGTACAGAACTCAACTGGTCATGGATTTTGGGTTGACTTCCAAAACTTTTCAAAAACTAGGTATTAAAGTTGATTTTAGGCCCAGGAGGTGGTATCGACGGAAATAAAGGTGAGTTTTAAATTTAGAAGTAGTACTGAATTTTATTTATGAAAACTAGGAAGAAGGGGTTCTTTCGGTTCAAACTAATTTTGCGAAAAATTAAATTTTTTTTCCTTCGCTCTCTTTTTCCCACCGGAATGACGGTTTTGGTAAATTTCAAAGTTTTCGAAATTCTTGATCTCAAAAATTTCTATCGGAACTCGATTTTTTGAAAAAATAGAAAATCATGTTAGTTTCTTTTTTCCTTCCAATGTATTCCCAGATCGAAGAAAAAATACAATTTTTTCAAATTAAAACTTTTTCACAAGTCCTCAACTCATACAGTATGAGTCATACTTTCACATAGTTATTTAAAAAAGACACAGAGGGAAAAACGGTATTTTAAGAACTTTTTCTTTAATACGGAGTATTATGGAGTATCAGATTTATGGCTTCAAATGTTCAAAAACTTCCTAGTTCACCACAAAAATAAAGTAGATTAAAAAGTTTTTCCAAGAAGAAACTTACTGATAATAAATCTCCTCCGGACGCTCGCACTCTTCCAAGTCTTCATGGTAGTCCGAAAAGACAGAATCGGTAGAATAAGTCGCCCAAGTGATCACCGAAATGTCGCTCAATCGTCGTTCCGACGTATAAGAGTAGCATACAGCTCGGCCTCTATAACACGTGCTGGAACGTCGACTGCTGATGGACATTTCGGTCTGGAAAAGCGATAGATTGAAAATTGTGAATCCATTTTTTAAAAAAACGGTACAAAAGTAGGCACTTTTTAGAAGGGAAAATCGCCAGAGACGTCCGTTAGGGCACCTTGGAATCGACTCCAATCAGATTTTTTTAAAAAAATGCTTCTAGCCTTTTATTCGAGCCTCAGGAATGAAATTTGTGATCTGAAATAGATGAGAATTCGTTTAAAAGATCAGTAGAGGTGTAGAAATTTTGAAAAACTTTATAATTTTTTTGAGATTCGATTGAAATTAAGTTTCCTAAAGACATTAGATTTCTTCTTTTTTTTCACAAAAATTAATAACTCTATCTCTAAAAAAATGTTAGAAAAAAATATTTTTTTGAATACCAGGGATCTCTAAAGAACGCCCCAAGTGTCTTTAGGTTTTTTTTGCGACACAAAAGAAGAATTGAGAATTAAAACAAACGTAAAATGATAAGAAAAGAACGGCTAAAGGGAGGTGAAACTAGCCGAAAACAAACGCTTTTATTTTTGGCGATTTCGCAACCTTGGTCAATGTTGGGCAATGATATGGCCGCGTTTTGTAACTTTCTTTGAGAATAAAGTAATTTATAAAAATTCTTGATCGCTTGATTATTTTATCGAGTCTCTCGAATCACACGAAAAAAAGGAAGAAAAATGAATAATAATATATTTATAATATTTTATTTGAAATACATTACTATATCATTCTAACTGACAGTGAATGAAATATTGATTTTTCATTTTTCATTTTTTTTTTTTCATTTTTGAGCCTTTGAAATGTTCGAAACTTTACAAAAAAAGCAGAAAAGTATAATTCTCGAAATCATTCAATGAATATAAATTAAAGACAAACGAAGACGAGAAACAGAGCGTGGAGAAAGTAAATTGGAATATTTTTTAATCTTGTAAAATCGTTGTTTTCGAAGCTTCCAACTTCAAAGTTACTCGAAAATTCTGGTTTTGTTGCGGCCGAAATTTATTTTCTCACAAGGTGGTCATTTTATTTGTGATTGAAATTTTTCTGAAAAATGGCTTGAGCAATCCTTGATGTACCAGAAAAAGATTCTGAAAGCCTCAGCCTGCACAACTTTCTACTTTTCGAGAAAAGACGCTGCAAGTTCAAAGAAAAAGCTCAAAATCCATTAAAATGAGCTATTTTTTGGCTTTAGAACCGTTCCTTGAGAACTAGGAAGTGTTGCAGGTCGAGGCTTTCTGGTCACTTTTCAGGAAGTTCTCAACCGCAAAGTAAGATGACCTCCCCTGTCAGCGGACCATAATGAAAATTGCACAAAAAAATTTTTGAGGGGCCCCTAAAGGGGTTGTTGTTTTAGGGACCCCTATAGGGGGCAAAATAGAACCCCTATAGGGGTCAAAATCTTAGGGCGCCCAACTTTTGCAACGTTGTACACGCTATCGACACATAACGATTGAAAAAGGAAACAGATTCTTTCCCATCTTTGTGCTCTTCGATCTTCAACCTCGAAGAAACAGACCAACCTTTTTTGCCGCTCTAAAAGAACCAGCTCTGGCGTTCTTTATTTGGATTCTACTCGCTATTTTCTCCAACTTCTACAATAGGACAATATGGGCGAGAGAATGGCCCCATACACTCAGTCAGAAGCACGAACACCCGTTAATCTGTTTGTCGAGCATTTGGCCGCCGCCCAGGAACATGTCCACCCAATAAATGGCCGCGGCTGAGAAGGTCTCTGACTTCCGAACCGAGGTGTCCTTGACTGAAAACGAGAGTTTTCTTCTTTTTTTTTTTAAATTTTGTTACGAGGTCATTTTTGTGTGCAGTCTCCTTTTTAGCTCGTCTTTAGACACCCTAACTCCCTTTTAAAGGTCTCTAAAGGTCTTAAGCATAATTTTTGAAGGCCGCCAATACTTCCCAACTGTTTTAAATTTTTTATGTTAAATAATGGCAGTGAATAAACTATCTATTAAATTTGAAGATTAATATCTCCCTGAGGTTAAAATTGCGTTGTTTCTGGCCAAAACTGAGCTTAGAAATTATGTGTGCTCGGGTTTTCGTCAATTTTTGTAAGCCAACTCCTTCTCCCGGACAAATTTAGTTTTCTACTTACCCAAGTATGGTCTTAAAAAGGTCTAGAAAAAGATCCATGAGAGTCGCTACCTTTTTTAGTTGTGGACCATTCTCGAAATTTACGTTCAGCGCAGAGTTATCCTGAAATCAATGTTTTGCGACTTTAAAAATTCATATCTTCAAAATCTCCAAAACTTCGGGAAAGTGTGGTCTGTAAGGAGCCTCTGACTGGACCTTTAAACAAGTTCTGGATTCACTAAACTCTCGTCGAAATTTTATTCCATGTGAGGATTTTTTTCTCATTTCGAACCTGTTTCTTTGTTTTTCAATCCATATCCTTCGAAAAAAAAATTCGAAGGCGTTTGTTCTATCAACTAAATGGTTGAATGCCTACTAGATTTGATTTCCTTGTCATTTTTTGTTCTAATCGCACACTTCAGGCAGTTTCCTTTTTGATGTATGTAAAGAAAATTTTCCAATTTATATGATTAAAAAATATTTTTCTTCAGAAAGATTGCTTCAAGTTTAATTTTTGTTGAGATTTGATCAATTCGTTTTCAATTCAGTTTAAATTTGGAAACTTGAACCGTTAGCTTTTTGTTTTATAATAAAAAAGAATTGTTTCAGATCTTCAATGAAAAGGTACTTGATTCTACTTCTCTTCACATTATCGAAAAGCAAAGAAATAAAACTTTGCGAATATCTAAACGCCATCGGAAAAGCAACTCCAGAATGCGCCAGCGACGAAGTCACAGTTCAAAGTTTTTCTTGTCAATTATCATCTGAATAGTTTGTACTTTTCAGGAACCTCAGAAGACGTCGAGAATGTGACGAGAAAAGAGGAGCTTCCGTCGCCGCTGGCCAAGATTATTTCGAATATTGAAAAGCGGGAAAAGACCAAGGGAATGCACGCTCTACGGCACAGGCCTTCTTGCAACTCTGCCAGTAGCTTCAAGGTTCTCTTTATCTGAAAACCTTCGTTGTTTTGATGGAATCTTGAAGTTCTGAATTGAAAATAAAACGAGTTTTTAAAAATCTTCCAAAATGTCTGTTTAAATTTTCAAGGTTGGCTATTTTTAGAGTTGTTTTCATAGATCTTTCGATTAACTTCATTGATTATTTAATTAAGAATCTTCCAGGAATGCCAGATCGACAGGACCTGCGCCTCTGGCTACAGTTGTCTGCAGTCTATGGGCTCCAAAGATCGGTGCTGTATGACGAGATCTTCCTCCGCTAAGCCACCCTCCATTTTAGAGTAATTACCAACAAAATGAACCTTGAGATCAGAACAAAAATTGAGGTCTGGACAGTGTCCGACGGTGTCTAAAATGGGCTACGTTTGCTCGATTAATCGAGCTCCTATCGATTGGTGCAAAAGGGACGATGATTGTGGGAAGAATTCGATGCTGAAGTGCTGCGAGACAGGTTTCTGGTTGGGTAGAACGAAATTAATCGTTTTTCAAAATAAATCATATAAATAAACTCATTTGAGGGGGGGAAGCCAAAAAAAAATGTTTGCTTTTTACGTTTTTTACAGTTCTTTTCAGACATCAAGTATAGCTGATTCACGGCTAACTTGAGCCATCGAGAAAAGGGTCCTGCCACGAAAAGAGACGAGACAGTGCCCTGGTTGGTGGAGAGTGCAGACAGGCCACGCCTTTTTGCGTCCCAAGCTAGCCGTGAATCGTCTATAAAGTGACGTCATTTGAAAATACTATGTGCATGGCTCGCTCTCTGATTGGTTCATCGCGTCATTAGGGGCGGAGCTTGAGCAAAAACGTGAAGTTTAAAAAATGAACAGGCTGCATCTAGGGTCGTTTCAGGCCTAGAAATCTTCTTCTTCCTACGCCTTTGTACCGCTTGAGCGGCGTCGGCGCCCCAAGTCGATTAGCCGAGGTCCTATCCTGATGATAATCAGTGGACTGGCTCCAGTGACATATCCGTCCTTGTGTGTGACGGCTGGGGATTTTGAAGTCGTGGTCTCCCACTACCAACATTTCTTAAACCCCTTGGTTGGGTCGGGGCGAAGATCGAACTTGTGACCCTGCGGACCGTAGACAGGCACACAACCTGTTGCGCTACGGCGCGCCCCGTTTCAGGCCTAGAAATAAATAATATTATAATTAGATATCTTTAAAAAAGCTTCTGTCCAAAATATTCAACAGAAGAAAAGTTATAAAATCGGTTATCGGAAACTTTTCTTAATTTTCCTTTCCTAGATAAATTCGAAATTGAAGGTTGCGGTTTCAAAGTGTGCGTTTCGCCGAGTCGACAGTCCAAAAAGAAGACGTTCTCCCTGCGGCCGTCGATCAACAACTGGCAACGCGACGACATCGTCCGAAGCGACTGTCCGGCCCCTTCCGCCATGCACACGACTTGTCGCAAGAACAAGTTCCGCAACACCAGCTGGTGCACTACCGACGCGTCTTGTCAGGTTCGATTAATGAATAAGTGACGTTCCCACAGGAAACTATACAAAAATGGTGAAATATTAGCAAAATAACCATCAGAGAGTCAAAAAAGTTACCTAAGTTTAGAGGGGATGATTTGGGATTCCGCGAAGCTTTTTCAAACTAGCTTGGGGTCTGTTTTCCTCTATAAAAACTAGGTTTCACTAAATTTTTTTGAGTGTGCCGAAATGAAAGAATATAGCTCATTCCGCCCAAAAGACCGTATACCAAAGTAGATCAAAGTTCAGCATCTACGCTTCAAGATCTTTATTTTCTGTCTTTTCAGCAGTTTTGAAGAGCAAAAGTTTATATTTACGGTAGCTCTTTTGCTCTTTTAAAACGTGACCGTCTCGCGCGGAACGCACTATATCTTCGAATGGTTTGAAAAGTTAGGAAAAGTGTCTTCCAGGTTTTGTAAGGCAAGTCGAAAGGATTTCGAATTTCCCAGAAACCCAGACTTATCTCTCAAATGGGAAAAACTGCATTTCGTTTTTTAAAAAAGACCGAAACTACAACAAAGAAAAAATAGTACTTTTTGAAGTTTGAGCTGTACCTTTTCCCCATTAATGTTAAGTTGAACCCTCGTACCGTCTTTAGAAAACTCATTTTTATCAACACCTTTTAAAATTTCTCCTGTGTACAAAAAGCCTTTGCCGATTTCTTTTTTTCTTTCTAAATGAAATTTCACCTTCTAAACAGTAAACAAACTTATTTCAAATAAACTATTATCATAAATACGACGAAAGCCTTTCAGAACGGCCTCACCCCCGACCGGAAAAACTTCCGTACCGACCGAAATATTGCTGTCCGACGTCCTGCGGATACAATATTTGTGTCAGCAAATCCAGCAATGATTTTTGTAATGGGCTGAAAAAGTTATGTATTCATTTATTTGAGTAACCATTAATTTATTATCAATCTCAGGTGTCTTCAAGCTTTCTTCGTTCATTCGAATGTGTGTCACAAATATCTCATTCCTTTTTTTTTTTGGATAAAATGTTAAAATTCTTCAAAAACGTGAAATCGTGTTATTTCTAATTGAAAAGGATGCAAGAGTGGCTTGCAGACAAGTACAACTACATATCCGAAGGCTTGCGACATGCTTCTAATGTGATTTTTCAATTTGAATCTCGAGAAAAATAACCTTTTTTTGAAGGATGAATATATTTGGATGATAATCGTCGGGACCATTCTGGCTTATATTCTTGGATTTGCAATGGGAGCAAATGATGTTTCCAACGCATTCGGGACGTCTGTCGGTGAATCATTGTCAAAAAATCTTACCATCTGGTTAGAATTCCAGCAATAAGTTTCGAATTCGATGTTAGGTTGGCCCCTATAGGGGTTAGGGGGGAAAACAGCCCATATAGGAGCCAAAAAGTGGTCCCTATAGGGGTTTAGGGTCTGACCCATAGCCCCTAAAGCTAAAGTGATCCCTATAGAGGTCGTTGGAATTTATTAAAAAGGTTATTTTTTTAGTTTTCCGCATGGAAACGCTTCTTCGCATAGAATACATAAAACTGTCGATTAGGTTGGTAAAGTGGTCCCTAGAGGGGACCCTGCAAGATTCCAAAGGTTGCCCGTAAAGGGATTACTCTGGAGTTCCTGAAAAATAGAAAAAAAAATGGAGACATCAGACTTTTCTGAGTTTGTTTTTTTTTCCGATAATTACGTTCTTGTACTTTTTTTATGATAAAGTTTGAGGATTTGAAAAAAAGTTATCATGAACCTTAAGGAAGTCGAGCCTTGTCACTCACCCAAGCCTACATCCTCGCTTCGATTTTCGAGGCCTTGGGAGCTATTATAATCGGTTTGACTTCGAATTATTACCTAAAAATTTCCTATTAAGGCATGCTGAAATGAAAAAAAAAGCTTTTTACTCAAAAAAAGGGGGAGGGGGGACCGAACTTGTGACCCTTTGAACCATAGACAGGCACACAACCTGTTGCTCCACGGAGTGATGGATTTTCCTTCATATTTGTATATCTATCTGGCTATATTCTTTCGAATAATGAAAAAACTGTTATCGCACAGCTTTACGCTCCCTATATTAACTGCTGAAAAACAAACTTTCTCTTCAGGCTACAACGTGATCGACACGGTCCGAAGAAGTATCTATGATGTTGGAATTTACGAATCTGAGCCGGTTTTGTTCATGTTGGTGCAGATTGCCGTCCTCGGTGGTCAGTCGATGCGCAGCCAATTTTGGGTTTTTAACTTTGTATCGCAGGCTGTTCCTTATGGCTTTTACTGGCGACGGCGCTGAAAATGCCCGTTTCCGCGTCGCATTCCTTGGTTGGAGCCATTCTCGGCTCGACTTTGGCTTGCAAAGGATTTCGAGGCATCTACTGGGAAATGCTGCTTTATATTGGTCAGTTGCGAAAAAAGGGGAAACTCCTGGGAAAGTTTGGCACAAGTTTGCTCCAAGGATAAAGTTGAGAAAAAATCGGGCGTTGATAACGCGTAACGGACGTGCTCCGGACGTTTCTAGGGATCACTTAAGAGTGCTGACGTTACTAAAGTGGTCACTAGGGATGTTCTGACTCGTCCGATTCGAGTTATAGCTGATTCGCGGCTGGCTCGAGCCGTCGAAAAAAGGGTCCTGACACGATAATGCACGAGATAGCGCCTGGCCCGTGGAGAGCGCAGACAGGCCACGCCCCCTTAGCGTCCCAAGCTAGCCGTGAATCAGCTATATCAATGTCCGAGTATGTCATATGTGAAGAAAAAAAAAAAAATAGCCTTAAAAAGATGGAAAAGTGCGCCCCAAGGCTAAACAATTTTGAAAGTGCTCCAAGTAACTTTATATTTCTAAAGAATCGATCATTTTTTCGCCATTCAATAATTATTGGTAGCAATCGATCCATTCAGTGGGTTCCTGGTTCCTCTCCCCGGTCCTCGCCGGACTCACTTCCATCACGATTCTTCTCCTCATTGAGCATAATATCTTGCAATCTGTGAGTTGAACAATCGTCCTACATTTTTATTTCTCTCAATTTTTCAGAGGGACCCCGTCAATAGGGCTCTATTTTGTTCTCCGTTTATCGTTTTCGCCTGTTTCGTAGTCAATGGCTTCATTGTCCTCTTAGGCGGTTCTAAAAGTGAGATCTTCTGATTTTTTTTTTTACGAAGATCAATCTTGGAAAAAGTGTTTCAGATGCTCTGACAAGGTTAAAAAAATTCATGAAAAGTTTTAAAAAATTGGAATTCTTTGTTCGTTGGAGCATAAAAGACGCAAAATAAACCGCGTTATAGCGACAATATTGACGCTGCATCGCGACAAGAGCCAGGCGATATCGCGGGACAATCGCCGTTAAACCGCGATTGTCATTTTCAAAACTTATCGGAGTGCTAAAACTATAATTTACCGTACTTAAGAATTCCAAAGTGGTCCCTAGAGGGGTTAGGGGAAAAACAGCATCTGTATGGGATACAAAAGTGGTCCCTATAGGGGTTTAGGTTCTAACCCTTAGTCCATGAAGCTGGAGTGACCCTTTTAGGGTTAAGAGAAATAAAAGCCCTTTATAGGGACAAAAAAACGGTCCTTATAGGGGTTTAGGGTCTGACCCCTTAGTCCAAGAAGCTGGAGTGTCCCCTATAGGGTTAGGGGAGAAAAGTAGCCCCTATAGGGACCACTCTAGAGTTGCTAAGTAGAGCCTTATGAAAACATCGTTTCGAGACCCCGAAATTTCAAATACGAGAATTTAGCGCGTCAAACACGAGAAGATCCAAAAAAAACTTTATTTTTTCTCAGTCCTGAACACTCCATCACTGTCGATTTGGGTCTGCATTCCGATTTGTACGACGATCGCCGTACTTGCTGCTTCCTTCTACTACTACCTCATATTGCCCCAAATTCGGAATAAGATTGACGGTACCTTTTTTCAGCCAAACTCAAGCAATCTTTCTTCAGAAATGATCATTCTGGAACCCCTCATTTTCAAAAAGGATGATCTATCCTCGGGCGTCTCCCCGTCGGTGAAAGAAATCACCGACGGATTCTGCCATCCGCCGAGATATTTCCGACGAAAGTTGGCCGGCAGAGACTCGGACAGCAGTTTCGAATACACTGAAACGCCGACGAGTAGCGATTCTGAGGGTTCTGGACTCTTCGGAGGCTTCTGGAGGAACTTGATGCCGAAAAAGGACTTGGAGATCGACACGAGGGTCATGAAGGCCTTCGTCGGTCTGCAAGTGATGAGCGCCTGTTTCGCTGGCTTCGCCCACGGTTCGAACGATGTTTCGTAAGATTTGTGGATAATAAACTGGATACGGAAGGTTCTCAGAAATGCGATCGGACCGTTGACAACTCTGATGAATGCCTATCGAGAGAAGGACTTCCAGCAGAAGCATGAAACTTCGATCGATGTGGGTCCTGGTGTTTTTTACCTTTCAGAGAGGGAATATTTTTTTAATTGTTGGATGATTTTTCCATGAAGACAGTCTACATAAAAAGCACTGAACTTGCAAAAAGAGTTTGAAAATTACTCCGAGAAGCCTCCAAAAGTTGTTTTTTTCCTGCTTAATTTTTTTAAAATAATAGTTCAGAATTACTACTAAAAATTGAAATAATTTCCCTCAGGTCCTTTTCTTTGGAATCTGCTCGATTTGTGCTGGTCTTTGGGTCCTCGGCCACCGAGTCATTTTGACTATCGGTTTGGACATGACCGAAATGAATCCAGTCACGTAAGATTTTTTTGTTTGATCAAAAAAATTTATCATTTTCTAACAAATCTAACATCAAATCTTAACCTTGTAAAATCTGTTAAAATAGTTTTTCTTCATTATAATTTAAAATAATTCGTCACCGCATACCTTGAATAGAAGAGACTAGGAAAAGAATACTACACTTTTTTTTTCAAGATCTCGATCTCAAAGTGAAAATCAATACAAAGCTGCTAATATCCGCAAAGAAAAAATGGAAATGTAATATTTCAGAGGCTTCGTCATGGAATTTGGAGCAGCTACAACCACGATTCTCGCCTCAAAACTGGGCCTACCTATCAGCACTACTCATTGCGTGGTAATTTTTAAAAATTGAACAAAAAAATCTTCGAAAAGGTTATATAGAATAACCAATCGAGAATGCTCACAAACTTTGCTAGAAACATTTTTTGCTCATAAATTTCAACTCAGTAGGCTTAAAACAAATTTCGCTACATGGTTAATGTTCGCAAAAACGAAATTACTTTTTACACTTTTTTAAATAGATTTTTCCGTTTTGAATGTTTTTTTCTGTATAACAAAGTACTCACGTCGAATTTGAAAAAAATAAATATTTTTTTAACCTCGTAATAATAGTAATTTTTTTATGTTTCAAAAGATACCAGGGAAAAATCAAAAAAATTATTTACTAAAATTATCCATAGAGCGCATTTTCAACAGACTTCTCGGCTCACTCAATTAAAAATTCTTTTTCTAAGCCCCATTGAGAAATTTTACATAAAATAACTTCACAAAAAAAGAATGAAATGCTCTAGATCGGCGCTGTCGTTGCCGTGGGTTGGGTGAAAAGCGAAACCGGCGTTGACATAAAAGTTATCAAGCAGATCGCGGCCTCCTGGCTAGTCACCGTACCTGTTTCTGGTTTATAACAAATTACCGAAGAAAATGATTTTTTTTTTCCAGGGATCTTCGCTGGAATCATCATCCTTATCCTACAAGCCACCGTTTATAAAAAGTTCTACTTTTTTTAAAAAAAGATTTTTTTCGATAGAAATATAATAGAATAACAATTTATGACAACATTGAAGGACAACAAGAAACAGTGAAGTGGATTATAATAGAAAGGTGTACCCGGGTCGCCTTGGTTGCTCCTGTTGCAGGCGGTCTTCAATTGATGTTCTTAACGTTCTCGAGGCTCTGAAACTCGTTTCAGACATGAAAAAAGTTTCAGAATCTTGTTTCCTGGGCTGTAATACACCTCAAAGAAAGATTCCAAAAATGTTTCATTTGAAAGAATTTCCGGAGAAAGAATGAATTCATTGTTTAAAACACCGTATAAAACGTCCTAAACCCAACCTAACAGCGACATCAAGCATGTCGGAAATCGATTCCATCTCCAAAAACCCGCCGCCGACGTGTTTGACCATCGTGACGACGACGTCTTCTGAATCCGACGTCGCGACGCCGATCCACAGCTGCGACCGGATGCACGACTCCTCCTCTGGGGTGCAGTCGAGCACGTTTGCCGTCCCGATTTTGGATACAGACACCAGGATGGGGCATCTGAAGGAGGGCTAGTGGAATTCGAAAAAGGGTTCTTTTTAGTGCCTTTTTGCACCATTTCATAGGTTTTTATTCACCCTTTTTCCACCACTTCTCGAGTCTCGAAACCCCAGAAAAAATAGGAGGCTCGATAAAGGGACTCTTTTTGCTGCCTTTTTTGAGTCTTTTCCTTTTAGCGGCCATTATCCACCCTTTCCACCTTGCCCGAGTTTAGAAACTTGAAAAAAAAATTATGTTTCAAGACATTATTGAGCTTTGAAAAAATCTGAGTCTGAATACAAGTGTACCATAGTTTCGAACAGATTCAGATCACTTTTTTTCATTTGAAAATTCAAAAAGATGTATTTCTAGTGTCTAAAAAGTCATGACAATGATTTTCGAAAGATCGAAAAGAATGCAGTTTTGGCCGATTTTTTGCTCTTCATGTTCCTTTTTGGGTTTCTGAAATTTTTTTAGAAGCTGAAAAAATAATAGAAACAGCACTTTTTGAGGAATCAGCTAGTTTTCAAAAATTTATGGCCTCAATTTCAATATTTTTTTCCCTTTTTTTGGAAGTCGCCTGGAAGGTTCAAAAAATATGGAGAGCTTAAGGTTCATATCAATTTCAGAAACCTCCTAATATTTGCTTCAAAATTGGCCTTACCAACCAATAAATAACTTGAATATTTTGTTATCGTTCTAAGTAAAAATCTAGGCAACTTTAGATAGATAAATTTTTTTTTGAAATGTTATTTTATTGATCAGATCTCTGCGAATTTTTATTGACCTATTTTTGTTCATATTTATTGGCTACATGTTCAATTCGGGCTGGCAACGACCTTTTTTAAGTTTTGATATTTTGAAGACTTGATGAAACGTACATCAGCCGGTTTATCTAATTTCTAGCTTTTAATCAACTTTTTTTTTAAAAAAGGGTCTAGAAAGTCTCGAATAACATGATTTTGATGAGGAGCCTCATAGTATACTAAATTAAAAATAAGTACTTGATCATAAATTTTTTAAAGTCTCAAAGGTTCCAAAATCTTCTACAATTTTCAAAAACGAACTTGAGAACTTCGAGCTGCCAGGTTATAACAGGCAGATCTTCATCTCGGATGTCGTCGCCGGTCCGAAGACGTCGCAAGTTCAAGGAACTCCTGCCGCCGTCGTCTGGAACGACGTCGACTTCGGGAATCGAAAGGTCGCTCAACGCTCCGATCACCTCAAAATATTTCAATATTGAGAGGGAGATTATTATCGTTAAATTCTTAGAAGAAAAGCCAACTCCAATTGAAATCGCGTCGAGAACGCTGCCGTCCCACTGCAAAAACCGTCACATCGACGTTGATTTTCCATCTTTGCCGATTGGATAAAATCATTCTGAACAACTAAAAATTTCTAAAACAAGCTTATGATTCTATAATTCAGCAACAAGACTATAAATAATCCACTAACTTTCTAATAGAGGGAATTAAATCGGTGACATTCGCATATGCTAGCCTCAATGCCGCTGTCAGCTCCTCGGCGAATGAATCGCCTCCTTTCCCTTTAAACCTTTTTTTTTTTACTCTTTCAATTTTCAATCAAACCTGCAAAGTGACTACTTGCATTAGCTGAAAAATCTACAAAGAAATTCAGTGGAGACACGATTTTCTTGCTTATGTCCTCGCTTAGCGTTTCCATTTCAAGCTTCACACCAGCCTCAAAATCAAAAAATGAATGATTAACACAAAATAAACTCCTACCAAGACATCCGTACTACCTATTTGAACTCGACATGATCCATCGGTAGACGAAATAACCCCGCGTTCAAGGATTATTTGCCGAAAAATCGTCACAACTTTAAAAAAATTGAAAAAAAATTTTAATCAGTGAAACTCACGATCTACCGTCGTTGCGCAAGTTTTCTTCTAGTCCATGGATAAGAAATAATTTTTCGTAGTCGCTGAGGTTTAAATCCATTTCTGGAATTTTCGAAAACCTGTTTTTTTCAATTTTTGACCCTCCATTTTGAAAAAAGAAAAAGAAGAGCTAATTATCAATCAAGTATAATTGCCTATGCATCAGTGAGAAATGGTTAAGACGACAGAAATTTTTTTAAGTTAGAAAAAAACTGAAAAAAAGAAAAAAAGGAAAAAAATAATTTTTTTGAAAAAAAGTCCGGCAGAGCACACTTGATTTTGCCACAAAATTTGCTATGGCTCCCGGAAATCAATACCCTCGTGAAATTTATGTCCTTTCTTTTAAACGTTTCTGACTTCCTTTTTTCCTTCTTTTTTTTTCTTTGAAACGTATTGGATATTTCAGGTATGGACCAATCTTTTTTTGATGATGGAGGAGAAGGTAATGATGAATATCTGGAGGATTCGGAAAAAGATGAAGGCAGTGTTGAATCAAAGGTTTGAATTTTTTGTTTATGTTTCAAAAACTTTTTTTTCAGAAAGAACAAGCAGTTAGTGATGCGAAGACAAACAATCAAGAAACTTCTAGCAGTTCTGAAAGTTTAATTTATTGGTTTATTTTGAAAAACTGATTTTTTGAGATTTTCCGAAATCAGCATCAGAAGGGAACTTGAAGGAAGCGGATTCCCTGAAGTCTTTCAAGAATTTATGCCCAAAGTGTGGTGAAAATTCGGAATTGCACAAATTCAAGCGGTCCACTATCAAGGTAGTTGGGTTGAATAGGAAAATTATTGATTTTTTATAATTTTTAGCCGAAAGGTCGAAGTCAATTGGTCTGGATCTACAGATTGAAATGTGGCTCTCGAAAATGTGCCGAGTTTTTCGGCCCTTTTTATCGGTTTGAAAACGCCGTTCCTATTGAGGTTGATGAAGGTTGGAATTTTTGATTTCTCTTGATCAAATAAGAGAATTTCAAGTAAAATATAAATTACTGGGTAATTTAGTGAGTTTATGAAAATTTTTAGAGGGCCCTATATTTTTCTATATTTTATATTGATGCATATTTTAAAGAAGAGAAATGAAATCAGTGTTTTTTTTTTATTGAGGTTCATTCATTTTGAAATCGTCTTTAGCTGAAATTTTAGTTTTTTTCTGAACCACTTTTCAGGTGAAGATTTTTATTTTCTTCAATACTATCCTAAACATAATTATTTTTTTTAGTGGGAAGGTCTCTTCATATCATAAATTCGGCTCCGCCCACTCCAATAACGGAGAAAGCTTTGCCAGAAAAAGACAAAACCCCTCCGCAGCCGTTCATTTTCACTATAAAGTCTTCTTCGGGTCTCAAAGGTTCGTTTTAATTTATATCAAAAGATGAAAGTTTCACTATTTACCTTTAATGAACGCCAAAAATGTACGTATTCTATATTTTAGAGCTGAAATCTTGATATATTGAAAGTTTCCTTCCCAGCGTATGAATGCCAGTTTTATGTTTCTTTTTGATGTAATTTTCTCGGGTGCTTGGTTTTTCTGAGAACAGTGGGGATCAATTTAACAACCCCTATAGAGGCCGCTAAAGCTTGCAAGAGTGGTCCATATAGTAGTTTTAGATAGTGGCCCTTATAGGGGACATGCTGGTCGATAATTTTCACGAACTCTATGCGAAGAAGCAATCCCATGAGCAAAACTGTATAAATAATTGTTTTTTGAACGAAATTGAAAGACCCCTTGTCAATCCCTATAGGGACCACCTCAATTTTACCCATGTAGGGACCCTTTTTTCGGCCACTTAAGTGATTTCTCCTCCCTTAACCCCTATAGGTACCTCTCTTGAGTTACTAAAGAAGTTTTGTAATTTTATTTTTGATATTCATGATAAATTCCTCATTTTCCAGTCACCGTTCATAATCGTTTGCCCAGCGAATCGTCACCAGACGCCGCGAATACAGCTACCAATACCAGCTCAGACAATAGTTTATCCAAATCGACACGTCTTGTTGGTTACTTTTGTGCGTTTTTCAGCGAATAACCTGGATGATGAACTAGAGGAAACCGCAGAAAATGTCTCATTCGAAGAAGTTTCCGTCGAGGAAAAAGTTGTCCGAGAAGTCGCCACAGTTAAAAGAAAGGTATCCTCATTTTTCTTCTCGGTTTCTGAATTTTTCGTTTTGATTGATGATTTTTTACAGCGACGCCGAGGAAGATTGGTTCCCAAACGGCGGATCAAAAAAGGGAAACAGGAATCTCAGAAAACGCTCGATAACGTCACGACGGTAATAAAAGGGATTTTTTTCGAAAAAAATAAAAAAATGGCGATTTTCAAAAATTTTCATTTCTTAAAGAAAAAAACGAACGAAATTTTTAATGAAGCGATAGGTAAGGGAATGTTAAGAATCTTTTTTGATTAATTTATGTCTTGGGGTACTGTAGAAATTTGATGAGTTACAGTAGTCATTTTTGCTTGAAAAGTGGATTTTCCATCATGAAATTGCATTTTTTTCAGTTTAATTGAATGAATTTTAAGAAGGATTCAGTTTGGAAGCACAATTAAAAGGAAATTTTGAATCGGTTCCGATTTTCTAACCGACATTTTTACAAACTTAAAGAGTAAAAAAACTAGAAATTTCGAAAAATACTCAAATTTTTTTCAGTTTTTTTGTTGTTCTATATGTTCTTTCACTTGGATATATAATTTTCGAAAAAATTTTTTTAGTCGAGTTTTTCACAAGAAACAAAATTAAATTTCTCGAAAAAAAAAATTTGTTTTGTTCACCTTCTGAGTTTTCAGGAGGATCCGGTGGTGAACAAAGAACTTGTTCCTGAAAACGACGCTTCCGGAGAAGTCGTGGAAGAAGAAAAAAGGATCCCTGAAGAGAAACAGGAAGACGAGACTCCTTCGGCCAGAATGTCGACCCGAAAGAATCCCGCGGCCCTCCTCGATTTCCCTGAAGCCGTCCTCCCCTCGACGCCGAAACGCCTCGCTGGGAGACCGAAGAAGAACGCGTCGCCCTCGGTCGCTTCCTACAACCCTGAAGAGGCCACTCGACGGTTCCACCTGTCCCTCGGCACTCAGACCGACAGGCTCCTGGATCCCATGACGGAGGTCCTTCAGCAGTTGGTCGACGAGGAGACGCCTCCCTCCACGTCCAAACAGTTTTTTTCGAGTTGGTTTTTGATGGAAATTTAATTTTAAAGAAAAATTATGGAAGATTTTTTTAAGAAGCTCTAGCTCAAATGGAAACGTTGATAAAGTAATTATATTTTAATTATATAAATGAATAAAAAAAGAATTTTTTTATTCACGCAAGTCGGTTCACAGGGTTTTTTTAAAAATCAAATATAACTTAAAAAAATCATGGTAAAAATCTCGAAAAATTTATAAATACTATTTTTTTAGGCTTATTAATCATTTTAATCCTTGCTTCTCAAAACTGGGACACTTTTTGAAACTCGTCACTCGTAAATTTTTACAAAAATTGTTAAAACGGATGAATTTTCAGAACTTTGGAATGCGACGTCAAAGAAATTCCATCGTTCATCGCTCGGAGACTGTTCGCCGTGACGAAATTGCTCGAATCAAAGGTTTTTCTTGTTTTATCAAATTTAAAGGTGGATTTGACTATTTGAAAAAGGAAATTTCTTTGGAATTTGAAAGGCTTTTTTGATTGGTTTAGCTGGGAAATTGATTCAGAAAAGAAAAAAATTGGAAGTTTTTGAATCATTTTTCATGTTTTCATAGTATGATGATAGCATGCTGGAAAAGTCGGTCGCTTTTTATGATGCCTATTTTTTCGAGTTTTCGAATTTCGAAACGTTTTTAAGACTTTACGAAGGTTTTGACGGGTTCAGAGTACGTATTTCTTTATAGTATGACCAGTTTTGATCGGATGTTACAGATTTTCCAACTTAGAAATGGTTTTTACACTTTTCTAGTGCCTCAAATGCTCTAAAAACCGCATTTTCTTCACTAAAATGGTAGGAAACGAACGTTAGCCCCTCAAAGTGTTCAGGAATTTCCCTTTTTCATTGAATCAAAGTGCTCTAAAGCACCTTTAAACGAATTTTCATCAATTTCCCGATTTTTTATCTTTTTCAATGACCTTTTGAAAGATATATCGCAAAAAAGTTACTTTTTCCAGCAAAATGAGAACGAAAGAATGTGCGAGGAGCTCTTTCGTATGAAAAGTGCCTGGCCGGAACTCTGTAAAGTGGTCGGAAGTGTCAAGTTTGCCGATTTTCTTCGTGAAAATGATTGATTTATCGATTTTTCAGAGCTCAATGCAGTGTTGAGTTGAACAGAATGACGAATGACATGGACATGATACGCGGAGAATTTCAACGGCATCAAAATGAACTTCTCACCATTTCACAGACCATTTCGTCGAGGATCGCTGTGAGTATCTGGGAATATAAATATGAGAAATGAAAATAATAAGTTTATAGTTTGGTCGATTTCAGAAGAAAAGTTAGTCAAGAAAAATTTTTTCAGTTATCAATATAAAAAAATATGTTGCTTATTTTCCCCGCAGTGTTTTTAATCCACTTCATTCAAGTTTTCATCCGAAAATTCTCGAAAGTCACTGAATTTTTTCGTTTTGCATCCTTCAAGGTTTTCTAGAACTTCGAAGTTGAAAAATATCCCTTCGAAAGTTGATATTACTTCTTCCAGCAATATTCAAATAAACGCGAAAAATTATTTTCAGTATTTAAATATGAGAAACTTCTTTCAAAAATAGAAAAAATGGTAAATTTTTTATTTGCATGTTCAAGCTTATTTTCCCGCAGTGTTTTCTTCATTTTTAGGATCTAAAAGTGCTCAAAAATTACTCATTTTTGGGTTATTTGCTGTATGTAGTTTTACTGGCCATCGAAAGTTTCTCTTAGGCAGCTCCAAATTTTTTCGGCTATTGGGTTTTTAGTTATTCGGAGGCTTCAGTGCATATCTTAGAAATCACCTTTTTTCCTACTGATAATATTACTTTTAACGATTCTAGGAAGAAAATGAAGATATGTCGTTTTTTTTCGTGAAAAACGGACGGTGATTTTTATTTCTGAGTAAATGTTGGATTTACCGAAAAGAATAGCTCGAAATTTTGTCAAAATTCATTCTTTTTTTCTGTAAAAGAGTCTTCCTGTGTTGCTCATTTAAAGTTCTCAAGTTGAAGTTACCCATTCAATTTCTGGCTTTGAAAGATTTTTTTTCAAAGTTATGAATTAATTCAATTTCGTATTCGGAGAAGATTCGTTTAAATTTGAAATCAGTTCATTTTCTTGTTGGAAAAGACTTTTTTAAAACGATTTTCCGTTTTCAATATACCTTTTTTATCTTTCAGAACGAGCGCCGAAGTATGCAGGCCAAGTACGAAGGCTTGGAATTGCTGAAAAATCGGGCCGAGGCGACGACGCAACTCAGAGACGCCGAACTATCGTACGAAAGACGGAGGGTCGAATACTTCCAACGGCAAATGGACAAATACGAGCAGATCTCCAACAAGTCCCGAGAATCGGCCGACGAGGTCAAGAAGAAGCTCCAGGACAAACTTTTTCTTGGTAAGGGAAGGTTTTGGGAGGAGAAGGGTGTGCGAAATAAGGACATAATCGGGGTTTTTTGAGAGAAAAAGTTTCAGAAACAACTACAGAGGGCCCTTTTTTCATATATAACCATATGGTACCCTAAGGAGCCCATAGGAATTTTGAAATACTGATTTTTCCTTGTTTTGGGTCAACTTTGTCACTTAGAACTTCAAAAATTCATATCTCGGCTCAAAAGGCTCAGAAACGGGTAAAGTAAAATCTTTTTTTCGTGAACTGAGGGTATTTTTTTATATAGAACCTTCTGGTACTTTGAGGAACCAATAGGGTTTTGAAAATATCGATTTTTTCTTTTTTTGGGTCAAAATGTCACTTAGAACTTCAAAAATCAATATCTTGGCTCAAAAGGCGCAGAAACAAGTAAAGTAAAGTGTTTTTTTGTGAACAGAGGGCTTTTTTTCATGTAGAACCAAATTTTTCCTTTTTTGGATTACTTGGATTTTTGTGTATGTGGGTTTCTTTGTGAAATACATCAAAATATTGAGTAAAGAACAATTTTGCAGCCAAGAAAGGCCGTTGTACACATTGTCAAGTCGCGGAGAAAAATCGCGGTCTCTTGATCGAAGAGGTGGCCGACAAGACGATGATGCTCAACCAGGCCCTGCAGAAGCGAGACGAGGTGATTTTTCAATCAATAAACTGTGAAAATGACCGATTTTCCCGGACTTTTTGATGATAAAGAGGTCATTTTTTGCTTGAGGCATCCCTAGGACCGGGCCGGGGACTTATAGGTTGACGGGCTGGTCCTTGCACAAGCCTAGAACAAAAAAAAAAGCTCCCTTCCTCTAATTTTTTTTCTTTACAAGCCAATTTTCAGTACGAAAGAAGGGCCCAAGACGCCGAACAGAACATGCAAGCCATGAGAGGAGAATTCGACAAATTGCGGTACGAAGCCAAAGTCTGGAAGGCGTCGCACGAGGAGGGAATGGCCACGGTTTCCAAGCTGAGAAAAGGTAAAAAAAAAACTCATTCCATTAAAAATCCTGGTTGACATTTTGATGATACTTGGCTGAATTGTATTCATGATCTCTTTTTTGGGTCTAAAAACTTCCTTCAAAAGAATCTTTCGAAAAAGTTTTGGAGGAAAAACCCTTGTTCTTGGAAGACGCCTGGGGGGTGAAAAAAAAGCTTCATTCTGTACCGTGTAGCAAGAGAAAAATATTTAATCCCTCCTCAAAAAAAAATCGATGTAAATAAACAACGAAATTAGATTTCACTATGTTGAAAGTATTCTGAAAAAAAGGATTTTTCGTAAAAGTAAGAAAAAAAAAATTGGTCGTGTAATCTTCAGAATCGTTTCCTTGTTTCAGATCTCCAATCTCTGCAAACGACGTATTTCAATTTGAAAAATTCGCTCAAAAATAACGTGAACATCCCCCCAATGGAGTCGCCTCACGAAAAGTTGACGGAACCTGAAACGAATGGTTTTTTGACGATTTTTGGGTGGTTAATAACTTGAAAAAATTTATTCAGGTGTTACTGAACCGGCGCCGAAAGTCACTGTTCAACAGCCGATTCAAAATCAGGTCCCCAAGGAACCAGAAGTCAAGGAGAAGGAAAAGGAAAAAGTGTTGGCTGAGAAAGACTCGCTGCCAAAACTACCGACGCCGCCAGTTGATGGAAATTGCGACGTCGATTCGCCGTTCGCCAGCTGGATTCCCAAGGTTTTTGAGCCGCAAAATGAGAAAATAGCTCCAAAATTCTTCATTGAAAGTAGGGTCGAAAATGGTTTATTGAGAAGATTTTTTTTTCTTGGAAGGTTTATAATTTCACAGGGAAAGTTAACGGCCAAAATATTTCATTTTTTCGTCAGAGAAATGTTTCCAAAGTGCATAGCCGTCTGAAAATTCTACAGTTTTTGGAGAAAATTTCAGAAAAAATAGTTTTTGGTTAGAAAAATCGCTTTCCTAGAAAATAATAGAAAAATGAAAATCTTGAAAATGACTCCCATTTTTCAATTTTTGACCACCAATTTTGAAAATTTATCTAGCTCAAATTTTTTTGGTTGAATTTTTGTCATTGCCATGAGCTTACAGCCCAACTTCTTCAAAAAAAATTTCAGAAAAAGCCAGTGGTCAAGCCTCCCGTCCAACCTCCTCCTGCTCCGAAACCACAAGCTCCAGCTCCAGTTGAAAAACTTCAACCCAAGCCTCAAACCAACCAAGTTGCGTCGTCTTCCTCTCCCTCTATAACTTCAACGATTTCCACGACTTCATCGGCCTCGAAACCTTCCACCAGCACTTCAAAAGCTCCCGAAAAACCGATCAGTACCCCTTCGGTGACTCCAAATCTTCAGAATACCCGCAAACGGAAGGTTTTCAACTTTAATTTATTCGATTTATCGTAAATTTTGAAGGCTTTGTTGGAAATCGGCGACGCTACCCCGAATGTTAAGAAGATTGCCGGGCCGAATGGCACTGGTTTGTGGCGAAAATTAGAAAATTTTTATCGATTTTGACTTTTCCAGTGAAAACGCCGGCCGTGGTTGACAAAAGTGACGATTCGAAACTGCCGCCCACTTCTGAAACGGTAAGTTTTTTGAAAAAAAGAAAAAAAATTGGAAGTTTCAAACTTTGTATTAAAAACCCGTGATTTTTGCGAAAATTCAAAGAAAACGCATTTTTTTCCGCTAGTGGTAATTTAATTTTACGAAAATGCTTTTTTAATGGAATTTGGGCGATTCGAGTAATTTCTTCAATTTACAGTTTCAAACGGGCAAAGAAATGAAAGTGTAAGTAATTAGGAAATTCCGCACAAGTTACTGAAGTTATTTTAAAGCGAGTGTGAAATTATGTAATTTTCGAAAAAAATCTTCCATTCTGGAATTTATTTCTGTTCAGAGGGGAATACGTTCTGAAAGAAGCTCCAATTTCCAGAATGAAAAAATTCAAAATACTATTTTTTATTATTTTTTTTCTTGATGATTTTTAAACCTCATTTTTCGGGTTTTTCAGAATATCTTGAAAAAATCCCATACCTTTTATTATTGACGATTTTCAGAAGTTTTTCTCTGAAAATTGATATTTTTCCGCGTTTTTTTCTCGTTTAGCTTGTTATAATTTTAAAAGGATTCGGAGATAATTTTTTATGAAAATTCAAATTTCAACCTTTTTTGAATCGTCAATTTTCTCACTAATTCTTAAATCAATTTTCAGTTTTCTATCATTTTTCCACAAGTAGAATCGATTGATTTTCCTTCAAAAAAACCCATTTTCAGCCCAAAACTTCAACGAAGAATGATAAGAAGGAAGATTCAAAAGACGAAGAAGAAGAGGAAGAAGTTGAATTCGACGAAGAAGAGGCCCCCTGCACGCCTGTCGACAATGACTCCGCTGCAGTGAAGTCGGAAGAAAAAAAGAATGAAACGACGAAGGAGAAGGCTCCTCAGAAGAATCCAGGTACTTGGAAGGCTTTTGGAAAGATTTTTCAAAGGAAAGGTTCAGATCGAATTCAAGAAGCTCAGCCCACGCGACATCCATCCGGCCACAAGACCAGCTTCTTTGTTCGTTATTCATTTGTTCATTTCAGTCCATTTTTTAATTTACTAGGGGAAAATTGAAGGGAATATAGAGAACTGGTTGCTAATAATTCAGTTAGGAAATCAAAAAATATGCCTGACTTGGAAAAGAAAGATTAGAAAAATAGGAAAAATCTTCCCATTATTTGGTAACGATGTTGCCATCTTGAGCAGTTTTCTCACTTTGAAAAAGCAACTTTTAAGCAATTTTATCTGATTTTTCCTTAAAATATTCCGAATTTTAAGGGCAGGGCTCTCGAATTCATACAGAACCGCCCTTTATTAAGTTAGTTGTCTGGAGAAGCAACTTAAGGAATCCCTCGATATGTTACATAAAAAATTACTTGAAGAAATGTCACGCGAGGCTTTTTCGAGTTTCAATGAGTCCTTCGAGTATTTTTCGGCATATTTCTGAAATATTTTGATTTTCAAGGCTTAAAAAATGCGCAGAAATCTTGCACGAACACTAGAAATCGTTATTTTCCTTGAGCCTTGTGTGAATTTTGATTTTAAAAATTTTGTCCTTTTTTTTTAAGAATTTTGGATGGAAAAGCAGAACGGGAGCATTCTTTTTACAGTTTATGCAACAATTTTTCCTCGCTAAAACCTCGAAAATCCTTTAATAATTTTCTCCTGTTATCCTGTGAAAAATCTCGGAAACCCCGTGAAGGTTGCCTTCCAGGGTCGATACGACCGTGAAAGGACGCCTCCATCGGTGGGACCTCCAAGAAGACCGCTCCTGATGCATCCGGCCGACGAATGGTCCTTGCCTCCCGCGGCCCAACCTGTTGGACCTTTCCCGCCGAGACAGCCGCTGTTGAGACCTCCGTCCCCCGAGTTCTTCAGGAACCCGCCAAGGCCTCGATCGAACAACCCCCTTGGTAAGAAACATCGAAAAAATTTCCTCTAATCGTAGTTTTGAAAAGAAATGATGAAGGGAGAGTAAGGTTCACAGAAAAAACATTTTGAGATTGATATAAAACTAACCTAGAAAAAATTCGTAAAGACTTAGATACGCAGATTTTAACCAAACGTAACCCGGTTACGGTATATGGGAATGGTTCAAAAAGTCGTTTTTGCACATCTTACGTCATATGAGAAAAAAAGTTGAAGCGTTTTTCATCGAGATTTTTGTTATTTTGCCCATTTTATCGATTCCAAGGAAAAAAAGAGAACACTACTAGTTGCTATGAATCGTCTCGAATAAGATAGAAAAAAGAAATTCCAGAAAAATATCATTCGATAAAAAAATATAGATTTCAAAATGAACTTTGTTCCGCAGAACCTCCGCCCTTCGCCCGCCACATCCGACCGGCTTCCCCTCACCGCGGGATCCACGGCCACATGGAGCCCATGATCCGAGATCCTCCCCCAGTCGGCGGCTTCTTCAACCGCGACCCAGCGCCTCCTCCGCGAGTGACTTCTTGGCGCGGAGCCGAGGGCGACATGTTCGCTCCACCGCGAAGGGAGCCTCTCATCGGTCCGCCGCCTATGTTGCGACGGGATGAAGGGTAAGTAAGGCCTTTTTTTTGCGAAAATTACCGTATCCTAAATTTTACCAACTTCCCTTCAAGACCTGGTCTTACTCCAGCCACAAAAATCGGAATTTAAAAAGGTGAAACATGATTTTTTGGCAACAGTTGGTCGTTTTCAAATACATCTTTGAGGTTACCGTAATCACAGTCTTTTCTTCCGCTTTCTCTTCGAGACCCCTCAAAAACCGAAAGCATGGCACGGGTCGCAAAGCGAAGTTCATTCCTGAAAAATTTAATGCCCTCTAAAAGGCTTTTTGATATCAAATTTTTTCTCTTCAGACCTGGCCGATTCGAGGAAAAACCGTGGAACGATCGACCAAAGTCTCCGGGACGAAGGTTCGCCGATGACTGGACTCCGAGAGAAGGTAGACATTGAACTGAAGAATTTTTAAGCTTATATTTGTGAGCTTAGTATAGAACGTTTGACAGAAGTTTTCTTTATAGACTGTGATAACTTTCTACACAGATCGAGTAAAAAAAGACTTTTGTAAAAGGGTCTGACAGATTTTTCCTATTAAAAATGATTTATTGGGAAAATCTTTTTATTTTTTGAGCAAAGAGAAAATTTCGATGTACAATAAGAAAACAAATCAGCTTCTACCGAGTTCTCAGTGAATCCAGAGTGGTCCCTATAGGGGTTCGGAGCCGAAAAAGTGGTCCCTATAGGGGTTTAGGACCTAACTCTATAGCCCTTAAAACTTAAGTGGTCCCTAAAGGGATCGTTCAATTTTATTCAAAAAAGGTTTTTATGTAGTTTTTGGCATGACTTTTTCGTATAGAGCTCATAAAAATCATCGACTATCCTTTCCCTTAAAGGTGTGACTAACTAAAGCCTGTATAAAGACCCCGTTTTCAAGCTTCAGTGGTCCCTATAGAAGTTGGTAAAGCTGTCCCTAGAGGGACCTTTTAAGAGCCCTAAGCTTGCCCCCAAAGGGGCCACTCGGGAGATCCTAAGTAGTCAATAAAGGGCAAAATTATCGTTTTTTTCATTTCATCGCATATTGTTCAAGGTTCTAAAACTTGAGATTTCAGTACCTTATTTTCCATCTTGATAGGAAAGTTTACATGAAGTATAAGCTGTTATAAATCACTAAAATTCAATTTCCTATTTTCCTCTTCAAGGCGATGCATGGGGCAGTTCGTCGCCGCCCCGACAAGGCCCCTTGGACTCGGCTTGGCGAAATCGCGAGCCGATGCCGCCGCCGATGCGACAGGAGCCGCGACCGCCGCCCATGATGAGAGCCCCGCCGGCGATGCAAGCGACATCGCTCGGAGCCCGACGTTGGGACGAAATCTGGGGCAATCCGAGACCGGGACCCTCTCAGCCACCGCCTGTCAGACGTTCCACCTTTTGGGACTCTTTTTGATCTTTCTTCCTCTGTTTTAATCGATATTTTTTTGCTGTTGATACTCCTATGTTAGCTATTATCTTATGAAAGTTCCGTACTTTAATAACGTCCTAATATAGTTCTTTTGTGGTAATATTTTGGTTAGTATCAGTAACAGTATGATTTCTCTGCGCTCTATCGTGTTTGCCTGTTGTTTTCGTGTGTTTATGACCTCCTTAATAAAAAAAAGAGAGCGCAGACAGGTCAGACTGTAACGCGAATGACCTATAATAAAAATAAAAAAACCATTCTGTATCTAGCTTTGCAGGAATACGTTTTTGTACATTTTTTTATTGTGAATCCCAGGAATATAGCTTAAAAATTGACTTCAACTACCTTCTGATCCGGTTTACGTGTACTTCTTTGTTTCCCAGTTTCAAGCTTTCATTTCAATTATTATCATCGTAGCGCACTTTCCTTAGTTTTCCATTTGAAATTGTTTTTCTTTTGGATCCATGAATTTTTAGTACTCGTTAGCCTGTACATATTCTATTCTTTTCGTGCTTTCCCGTTCCAATATTTCTTTTTGTTCTCGAATCAAAATTTAATAATTTTTGTTATACTACTCTTTTCTCTTCCGAATTAGTTTCCTTTTTTAAATCTCGGTTTGGATAACTCTCTCAAATTCTGCGTCAATTTAAAAGAAAAGGTATGAATCGTTTCGTTTCGCTCATATTGTTCATTTATCGAATATTATCAACGCAACAAGAATAAATTATGAATCATTTGACTACAACTCCGATTTTTGGGCTTTGACAATTTTCTCCAACTGGAGTTCGAAGTGAAGCCAGGCGTTGGATGGGATCCTTGGCGGGCGTCCGGCTTCTCCGTAGGCTGAAAATAAGGTATGTAGAATAATTATGGAAAAGAAAATAATATTTTACCAAGTTCTGGAGGGATGACGACTTTCCGACGTTCGCCCTCACACATTCCGGCCATGGCGATGTCCATTCCAGGGATCACCTTTGAAATAATTGATTAGAAATTGGAAATAATGACTTGAAGAAGGTTTTTGACATTTTTGACATGCTTTAAAAACATTATTTTTGAATAAAATGAGAAATAAGTCGACTTAGGATCTCCAGAGTGGTCCCTATAGGGGTCACCTTAAGGGCCCTCAGAGTGTCCCCTCTATTAATCACTTAACCAACCCCTGGAGGGGCCACCAAAGCTTGCAAGAGTTCTCCCTTTAGGGTCTTTCGGCCCATAGGAAATTTTAGTGGCCCCTTTAGTTTAGTGGAAATGCTAGTCGATAATATTTCTGAACTGCTTTCGTTGCGAAAAAAAAAATCGTTTTTGGAATAAAATTGAAAGACCCCTATAGGGACCACTTCGCTTCAAGGCCTATGGGGAGAGACCCTAAACCTCTATAGGGACCACTTTTCCGGTCCCTTTTTCGCAGTAAGTGGGCGTGGCTTCGCGGTTCCAACTCTGAGGGATGTTATTCCCCCTAACCCCTATAGGGACCACTCTGGAATTCCTAAGGACAGTGATATACTGTGCAATCCTGTCTATTTTTCCAAGCGATTATTAGAAAATAAAAAAATCTTCAACGTTTTTCTTTGAAATTATTGTTTGACCTAACCTATCTTTGAATTATAATGACCGTTTTTGCTTTGAGTTTTTCTATTTCTAGACTTCTCACTACCCGTGGGAACTCAATTAAATCAGAAAGAGGAATTGATGGAAGCTTCTAGTGAAAAGAAAAGGCTTTCAACCTCTAGGTACTTTAAGAAATCTTGCTCGCTGTGCTTCTGACCTGCTTGTGGCCGAGTTTGAAGATGAACGGCCTGTTTCGGCTCCAGCTGGAGTCGACGAAAGTTCCGTCCTCGAGGTGGAGGTTGTACTGCTGGTGGAGGGTGTCGTCATGCTCGGCTCGGATACATTCGGACTCCTCGATGGCATGAGTCACCTGAAATTGGCTTTTTGCTTGAGTTTGAAGCAGTGAATGTGTGAAGAAGTCCCAGTAAGATTCTACTGTATAAAATACTAATTTCGACTCATTCTCTTCTAGATTTGAATTTAAAAAAGGGATATGAGGTCATTAGAAAAAATCCCACTATCGCTATTTCTTGTTTTTTTTTTCACCTCGGACGCTTCCGGACATTTCTAGTGACCCCTTTAGTAGCGACAGAACTCTCAAGTGATCCCTAGAATTGCCCACGAGCATGTCCGTTTTGCGTTTCCAATTACCTAAGTTAGAAACCTTTATTATACTAACTATACTAACTAACCGATTATTAAAACCGGCTTGAGGAAGTTTACAGAGAAAATAAAGTGTTTTTTAGAGTTTTCCGGGTAAATACTATGATATTATATCTATAGTCCATTCACAGCTAACTTGGGAATTTAAGGGGGCGTGACCTGTCTGCGCTCTCCACCAATCAGGCACTATCTCTTTTTTTTTTCGTGTCAGGACCCTTTTCTAAATGGCTCAAACCCACCGTGGATCGGCTACTAGGAGTTAAGATCAAAAAGAAAAACCAAAGAATATGTGATCCCAGTTTCTTTTATTTCATTCGATACCTTTCTTACTAAAATCTCTACTTTCAGCTTTCTAAGAGTTACCTGGATATGAACACCTTCGTCGGTGATCCATTTCTCTCCGGGATTCGGCCTGAACAGACTCTTCAGCTCGACAAAGTAGTACAGGGTCTCGCCTTGCTGAAATCGTCCATTTCTTTGAAAAATTTTCAGAAAACAGAAATAATAATTTAAAATTGTCCACAAGGTCCTTGGAAAAAAATTGAAAAATGAAAAAAAAATTTTTTTTGAAGTTTTCAGAACTCTTTGAGAAAATTTCTAGCGGAAAATTCTTTGGAAAAGGGATAAATTTATCAAAAAAGTAGCCTTTTCCAAGTTTTCATAAGTGAAATTGAACTCAGTTTTAGTTTTTCATTGTTATCTCATCAAAAATTGATAAAGGTCCGATTTTTTTCGTTTTATTCAAAAAAATTCCTTTTTTAAACTCACATTGATGTTGTCAGAATCACGGCCATTATCACCAAATCCTTCCTCGGGCGGGATGACGACCTGGAATTTCCAAATAATACTTTTGCAAGGATAAAAAAAAAATCAAGGTCATTTTGCCTAAAAATTACTAATTCCCGTTGACTTGAACTTTCTGGCTGCGCTCTCTTCTCTCTCGATGGCACTTTAGAATCAATAAAAATGGTGTAAAAAGAGCACATACAAGTCGGAACTTAAAGTCGTGTCGATAGAAATGAACAAATTTTCGAAATAGTTTTCTAACCTTTCTTGAAAAACTCCAAGTCCTTTGCTAGACACGGGAAAAAACCAAGAGACCTTATAAGGGTAAAAATTTCAAAAACAGTGTTTGAGCTCCTTTTTCTTACCTTTTCATTGGAATTTTTCCAAAAGCTTCTTTTCAGATGCTTTTAGACTTTGCCCGTGGAACTATTCCCCCATTGAAAAATTCGACTTTTGCTGACCTTTCTCTGTTCGCCAGCACACATTCCTTCCATGGCAATGTCCATTCCTCGAATCACTTCCCCACGGCCCAAGACGAACGAGAAACTGCAAATATACCATTTCACAACAAAACAGAAAACATGAGGACCAACTTTCAGGTAGAACATGTAAGAAAAAAGGAAAAATTCCTTGAAAATTGAAAAAAATTTTTTCACTGATCTGAATCAACTTCTACCTCATAGCTTTTCTCAAAAAATACCTGATAAAAATTTTTCTGAGATAAATTTGAATATCTCAACATGTGAACCATTGAAAATAACCCATACTTCTTTTAAAAAAAAGCCTGGAAAAAACAGCCGCCAAAACCAGAACTCTTGCGCTCCACGGCTAAACTCACGGTTTCTGGCCGAAATTGCTGCCGACGACTTTTCCATCCTTGTTGGTGAGCTTGTAGAACTGTTCCAGGGTGTCGCCAGCTTGTGATTTCAGCTTGCATTTCGAATCTCAAATGAGAAAAAAATAATAAATTTTGAAGAAGGTAACTTTCCTCTTCACGGGGGGAACATGTTCAGAAAATTTCAAATTTTCAAATTGCGCCAATTTTCCTTTTTTAATTGAAAAACACCTTTAAATTAAGAAGTTGCGTGTTATGAAAATGATTTTTTTTTTCAAAATCTTTGATTTCTTGTTCTCAAAACGTTCTATCTCGATTTAGGTCTCAGATTTCAATTTTATGGATTTTTATAGACTATTTCTCACGGAAAGAAGCAAGATAGTCTCTAAAATCTGCAAGAAACTTCCTTCTCTCTTCCATTTTATCAGTGTAGCAACTTCGAGGATTTTTTTTTGGAAAATTATTTCATATTCTCAGTTTTCAGGAGTTATTTTCCCATAACAGTGGCTGTCACTAACCAGGAACCTTCTTGATGATCTCGATTTTGATTCCTTCGTCCGTGGTCCATCTTCTTTGTTCGGCGGCGGCGGCAAAAATTACAAATGTCGCCAGCAATGTTGATGCCAGCCACATGGTTTAATCACTCAAATTTATCACGAATAGACTTAAAATTATCGAAAAATGGGGGAACAAAGGAGGAAAATGACCAAAAAATTCGGGTTACTCTAAAAAAAAGAATGAAGTCAGGATTACGGTTTCAGAAAAATTACACAAAACGAATCATAGCCTTTACGAACATTTGGTCGTTTCATCTACTCTCAATAGTTATAACAAACTTGAGAAAAATGGCAAGGTTTTCTCAAATCACTTTAGGAAATAATATATTCCTATTTTTTTCAAGGGTGTTAAAATTTAAAAAAATATAATTAACTTTAAAAAGAAGTTGAAAAAAACTTCCTTGAGAGTTGGATTCAGAGAGAACATATAAGAAACTCCATTTTTTTGCGGGCTTCATCTCCGAAAAAAATCAGATACAGGACTTTGAGAATATTTTAAAGAATTAAAAGAGCCTTAATTACGTCTCAGCAAGTTCTAAACATCTTTGAGCCCTAAAACTTGAAAATACAGTAGAAAAATACCTATGAAAGGCTTCATTTAAAAAAAAACTCAAATCTTCATTCAAAAGTTATCTATTGATGTCTGATTTTAAAAAAAAGAACGCTATTTTTCTCATAGAAACTTCAAGAAAGACTGTTGTTACTAAACACGATGCTACTATTTCATCACGAAGTTGAAAGCTTTGAAAAAATTGGTACATTTTGAAACTGAATTTCGAAACGTTAGTACAGCTTCCGTCAAAAAAGATACAAAAATAGTTTTTTGATCACCTATTTTCTTGTAAGAAGCTAAATCTCCCTAAAAATTTCTGGAGTTGTGGAATCTACAAAACTGCATGACATACAGGCAGAAATTTGACTCGCAGAAAAATATCGGTCCAGTTTTACGAACAAAAAATGATTCATTATGAGACAAGAGAAAAGCTCGAAAATCAATTTAGAAAAAATGGGACGGTTACAACTTTCAAAATGTTTTTAACGTGTTAATGAAACCTATAAGAAGGTTCTAGCGCTTTTTGACCGACTTTCAATAATTAAACTTAAAAAATAGTTATTAAATTTAAGGCCTAGCTGTTGAAAAAAAGTACGAAAAAAAAATCTATAAAAACTTTTTGAAGTAGACCCAATTTTCTTGAATCTCAAACCTCCTCAACTTACATTTACCATTCTAACAAAGCAGACCACCTATAAATATTTTCTAGCGCTTTTTCGACTAACTTTTGATTTTTAAACAAGAACTACTTATTGAATTTAAGACCTAGCTGTTGAAAAAAAAGATGAAAAAAAATCTCTGGAATTCTCGAAAAAAGCCTAATTTTCTTGAAATTCAAACTTCTATACTTACATGACTTACATTTATCGTTCTAAAAAAGCAGACCAATTAACCTAACCCGAAAAAAGATAGTAAGGAAGTATACGTGTCTCAAAAGGGAAAATGAATCGATGGATGTGCGCAGAAAGAGACGTCTGACCTGATTTCTTTGCCGTTTCCCCGTTCTTCGGTATTCCCCGGCCTCCGGATCCCTTTTCTCACTTCGAGAACAAGCGGAACTAACAAAAAAGAAGCATTTCATCGTTTTTCGTCAAGTTTTCTGGGTCAGTTTTTCCGGTTTTCATGTTCAAGGCTTGCTGATAATGACAAAGAGATAACTATTTTTTTATCATTATTATTTTATGAAGATATGGTTAAACTAACAAAAATAATCACTCGCTTATTTTTATTCAATTTTATTTTTTTCTGAACCAAATAATAATAACGCTCGAAATCAAATTCAATCAACTTTGATCTTTTACATTCAATTTTAACAGACATTTGATGATTACAAAGTGATAAAAATGACTTTTTATGATTTGCGCGTTTGTAGATCACTCTGACAGATACGTACGACTCGTTTAGTGTTTCCTACTCGAGACAAGATCAATATATAGTCATATTGAAACCGTTTAATGATATAAGTTCAAAACTTCTCATGATCAAGCAAAGAATTTTGGATGAAAAAGGTCGATAGTTCATTTTATTGAGTTTCTTTGTAGAGATCCTCTCGAAAAGTATTTTTTATAGATTGAATTGCAACAACTGAATAAAAATAACAAGAAAAACAACAGGATAACTATATGACACATGCGAATCGGACAAGCTAAACACCTATCAGAAAATCCTAAGAATGGGCAAAAAAATCCAGACAGAAAAGTTTCTCGTTCAACTTTGAGCTCAGTTCCATGCAAATTAACGGTAGAAGTAATACATTTTTAGGTTTTATTTATGGTTTATCCTCTCGTTGAAGTACCAGAAAAAAGAAAACTCCACTTTGAGCTGGTCAGAGACTTTCCAAAAAAGAATGCCATAAAATTCTTCAAAACCCTGAAGATTTTAACCTGCACAACTTCTTAGTTTTCAAGAAGAAGAAAAGGCTCAAAATAGCTCAAATAAGCTCAAAATATCCGGCTTTTGATGGATTTTCTCGAAGAATTGTGAGTCCTCCCTATTCGATACTTTTCACGTAGTTTGTACAATTTCCGGAAAGTTTCAGGGTGCTAATTCGTAGTAACTTCCTAGTCTGAAACTTTTAATGAATATAACTTTTTCTTTGACCACTGATCTCAACAACTTCAACAGAACTCTTAAGCCTAAGGTTTTTGCAAATATCACTTATTTTTCTCAACTAATCGTTCCATAACGGAAATCCGCTTGACACACTCCTCGACACCAAAAAATTGCACAAGTTCCGATATTGGCGGCCCTTGTTTGGAGTCGATCAGCGAGATTCGGACGAGGCCCAGGAAACGGCTGAGTTGCAGGCCGAACTTCTCGGCGAGCCTTTTGAAGCCGTCGTTGTGCCAGATTTCTTGAATTTTTTTTTGACGTAATTATCAAATCAGTTCATTTTCGTAACATTGAGATAGTATGACGATGAATAAAAGGCCTTTTTCTAGGAAAATTCATGTAAATTGAGAAAATTCCGGCTTCTAACTGTTCGATTTTTGATCTTGCTTTTTGTATCTGAATCCTTAATCAGTTCATTACTAATTATCAATAAATATTCGAGAAAAAGTCTTTAGAATAGTTCAATTTTTTAATGTCGAAAGTTTTTTGCTTGAAAAAATGTCCTTTTCATAAGAAACCTCATGTTTTTAGGTCCATTAAAACCCTAAAAATTAACGAATTTTGAAACCGATTCCTCCCATATACGACTGGACACCAATCACAGTTTCAGTTATGAAAGAAATTCATACGGCTTTCAGAAATAATGCTGTTAGTGAGAAAAGTGTTAATATTCTTCGTAAATCGGGAAATTATGCGTTCAAAAGTTATACAAAAATCAAAATTGCGGAATTTTCTTCAATCAAAAATGTTTCACACTTTCTAAAAAAATAAAAAAATTAGAAATGATTTAGATTTTAAAAAATTTTTCCACATTTCGAGGGCAAACTTTTTGTTAGGTTCTTAAAATACAATATCCATAGATTTTTTTAACAGAGACACTTAAAAAATCGATAACTCATTGTGTATTGTATGAGCAACTAATAAAAATTCGAAAATCCTAGATATCAAAGCGAAAAATCTCCATGGGAATTTCAGAAAAACCAGAAAACAATTTTAGAAAATTCTATATCCTCTTATTATTTTACAATTTTCCTTCTGAATCCTTTCCTAAAACCAAACCAACCTGGATCCTTGAGCGACGCCAGAATCGGAGCAAGATCATTGGCCGAAAAAGACGTCAGAATCTGGTCGGCCGACGTCGGAAGCGTGAAAAACCAGCGGAATTTTCCCGTACTCAAATCGCTCAAAAACCCGAATCCCTCCTCGTTTTGCTTCAGAAAATTCACGACCTGAACCCTTTTTCTGATCGAATCCAACCTAAAAGGTCCTTCAAAACCTTTCCAACATATTCCTTCGTCAACAACTCGGGATTGGTATTTTTACCTAGTCTTTTGACAATTTCCGGGTACAAAACCGTCTCGAAATCGGCCTGTTGGAAGGCCTGACGCGAATATTTGTCCAGGACGTGAGGGTCTAACTGAAATTACTTCAAAAAATTGTTTGAAGAGATAATTTTTGAACCAAAAGATTCCGTCGGCCAATGAGAGAAGCATCGAAGTTCTCGATCATTTCCTCGATTGAGTAAAGATTTTCCGGCTTGAAATCTTTGAAGCCGCTCCCATTTCGAATCTGAACGGCATTCATTGATTCTCGTATTATCAATATTTGATAATTGTAGAGGAAAACATTTCGAAGTAATATTTAGTTATTGAAACAGCGATTCATGATAGCAATCAATGCATTAAATTCAACATTTTTTTCAGGTTCAAAAAAATTTTTTTGAACTTTAGTTTTTCAAACCTATGACTCATAAATCGAATGAAAACCAAGATAAAAAAATCAAGTTTATGATATCTGGATAATCCCTTTTTAATCGGAATTCGAAAAAAATTTTTCTTTTGTTTTCAAAAAAATTTTTTTCAAGATTCTTCATAAATTTTAGTTCCGTTTGAAAGCAATAAACTTTTTTTCTGGATACCTAGAATGGAAAAAAATTAGATAATTAACGTTAAAAAAATTCTTTTTATTTTTTTCAGAAAAATTGTCCTATTGGCAAAAAAAGCTTCGTGAAAAAAATTCACATGTGGGAAAAAAAGTCGAGTTTTTTTGGAAAAAAATTTTTTTTAAACTTACTTTATCAAGGGGAGGTTCTTAGAAAAATATTGAACGCGACGAAAAAAATTAATATCTAGTTGAAGTTTATATTTTTTTCTGAAGCTTAAAAAAATTTCTAGGTATATAAGGCTTTGAAAAAATTTACATACAGGAACTTTTCAAAACCATGTGAATTTTATTTTAATATTAGGAAAAATTGGTAGCCCATAGGAATTATTGTACTTTCCACTTGTTTCTGAAACTTGAAAATTACCAAAAGATTCAAAGTAGCTATTGGCAATACTCCCAAGACGTCGATGTACCAGTTGGCGTAGCCGTCCTTGTCCCTTTTCGACAGCTTCTTCTCGTTCGTCTTCATAATGAGGGGCAGATGCAGAAAAGTGGGTTCTTTCCAGGCGAAGGCTCTGAAAAACTACAAAGGTATATAGGTTGTTCACCGCTGAGCCATCGGTAAAAGGGTCCTGACACGATAATAAATGAGACAGTGTCTGGTTGATGGAGAGCGCAGACAGGCCACGCCCCTTTGACGTCCCAAGTTATAGACGATTCACGGCTAGCTTGGGACACAAAAAGGCGTGGCCTGTCTGCACTCTCCACCAACCAGGGCACTGTCTCGTCTCTTTTCGTGGCAGGACCCTTTTCTCGATGGCTCAAGCCAGCCGTGAACCGATTATATTTGAAAGCTGGGAAAGACGATCTTTCGATGATCAATATCAGTGAATTTCAGCGCAAAAACAGAGCTTTTTTTTAAATTAAAAAAACGTCTCAATTTCCAAAGTTTCATCCCCACGAACTTGTACAATTTTTGGTGTTTCCCCGTGCTGCTGAGCCACTCCAGACCGCGGATAACGTGGGAAATGTTCATGGCGTGGTCGTCGACAATGTTCGCCAGGTGATAGGTCGGGAAGCCGTCGGATTTCAGGAGGATCATGTCGCTCTCGTCGATCGTCTGGGTCTGGTCTCCGAACACGGCGTCCTGTCATTTTCCTTATTTCACATAGGCGGAAAGGGCTACGTAGAAATGTTCCTTTTTTGCGCCATTTCATCGGCTTTTATGCACCCTTTTTCTAACATTTTTTGGACCTTTAAAAGTCTAGAAAAAAAATGGAATGCTCGATACAGGAACTCTTTTTGCGGCCTTTTTTGAGCCTCTCATTTCTAGCGGCCATTATCCACCATTCCGACTTTTTCCGAGAGATAAGAAATAAAATTTCTTTCAACAATCTGTCAATTTTAAATTTTCTGATCGATATTCAGAACACATACTTGGTAAAAATCTTTGATTTTAACAGCACGATACTAGATTTTAAACTTGAAAACAAAAATTTAAGAAAAAAAGTCACCCATTTCCTAATATGCACTCAGATACTTTCGATTTCCGGTTTACTCAAAAGTCGAAGACAATTGAAAAAAAAAGCAGTGCAAAACATTATACAACGACCTAAAACCGGGAAAACGGCGTAATTTTCAAAATTTGAATCATAGTTTATTCAACTGTAGAAACATAGTGAAAAAGAGAATGCATATTATAAACTTTCTGTTTTTTTTTTTTTTTTTGAAAGCGTAGTTATTGCAACAATTGTTAATTTCCTTAGTTCTTAATTTCATTATCAAAAAAAGACCCTCAAAAATGCGAAAAAATCGACCTTGAAGCTGACATCCTGCTGATCGAGCTTGAATCGGATGACGTGGGCGACGCCGTCAGAAGCCATCGCCTTGGAAGTGCTCGGGTCGAGGCCCAAGCAGCGGCGGTCGTACTTGGGCACTTGGCCTCGACGGGAGGCGTCTTTCCGAAGGAGTTCCAGGCGCTGAAAGTCTCCAAATATTAACTCAATAAATTTTTACACCTTGAAATAAACTTTTTTTCAAAAATTATTCCTTTTTTTGGATCATTATATATCCAACTCTGAACGGTAAAATGAAATAATTTGTTTATAGTTGAATTTTTTGGTTTTATAAAAAATCTTATGAAATGTCTTCTTGTCATTGGCAATATCTCGACTGGATGAATTCAAAAAAAAAAAAAAAAAACATTTTTTTAATAGTTTCTACCTTCGAATAAATTTTTTAAAGGCGCAGAAGCCTTCAAGACCGGAAAAAAAGAGAAACTTGATGCATTCTTTTCAAAAACCCCGAAAATTGTCATCAGAGTTATTTTTTCTGGGCAAAACACTGACATCAGAAGAGCAAAAGCATCTGTAAGCATGTCCCGACTCCAATAACTGAGAAGCGGCTTCGGAATACAAATCGCGTCGTTTTGATTGCTCATAAGGCCCGAAATCGCCTCCTTCCCTTGGACCCTCGTCAGGCTTCAAACCGTGAGCGTACAGGGCTTCGTATATCTAATATCTTAATATTAATTCTTCCTTCCCTCGACACTTCACTAACAGAATTCCTCGCTTCGGGCACCAGCCTATTCTGATCCGTGTCCTCTATTCGCAGAATAAAAGTCCCTCCGTGCTTTTTTGCGAACAAATAATTGTAAAGAGCCGTTCTCAAGCCGCCCAAATGCAAATTACCCGTAGGACTCGGCGCGAAACGTACTCGTACTGGCTAAAAAAGTAGTTTGTTTCACTGAAAACGAAATATTTTCGCAACCTCCTCCCTAGAAGATGTAAAACTACGTTTAGAAAATTGTATCGATGCAAAATATATTGTATTCCCGCGTGAGAAGCCTCGCGACATCTGGAAAAATTGACAATTTATCGTAAAAAAATTTTTCAACAAACAAGAAACTTCCATAAAAAAACAATAATAGCCATAATTATGCGAGAAAAAGACTAAAATTTTTGATGAAAAATAAAGCAGGTTTGAAAAATAATTAGAAAAATAAGTCGCTCTTTTCAAGTACTTAAAAAAATCATTGTTTTTGAAAATGGGTTGATTTTTCAGAGAAAAATTTGTTGGAAACAGACATTCATCGAAAATAAAACAGCCCAAAGACACCATGTTAAAAGAGAAAAAATACGAACAGTTGGTGATTAGAAAAAAAAATAGAAAAAAAAAGAAATTTTTTGCACGATGAAGTTTAAAAAAACGACGATGTTATACACGCGGGCGCTAGGGTGCAACGTAGAGGCTTACCGTAACCGTTTTTGTTGTGAAAATTTCCGGTTAGTTTATACTTGTTATATTTTTTTCACTAAATTATCAATTTCTTGAAGCATGATTTCATGCTTTCCTATTGATTACAAAATATTTCCATTTTTAAGCCATTTCATTAATTTTCAGGAAGGCAAGAAAAACACGGATGAAAAAATAATCTTGTTTATCATTCGCTTGATGCGGCTCTGAATCAAGAATGATATATTTCCAATATAGTTTTCCTTAAAATCAAAGATCCAGTGTTCGTCCTAAAAATACCAGCCTCTGTGCAACTTTTTTGATCTCTGACAAGTGTTCAAGACACACGACAAGTGGATTGACTGATTTTCAATCCCTCAAAAACCATTCAATGTTTACTCGAGCTCACATTTCCGTTTATTTTTTTCGCGCCGAACTCTGTGTTGTTTGAAACTGACACATTAAACTGCTAAATACGATCGGATGTTTCTGTTTACTTTTAAAGGACGCGCATTTCCTGTCCCGATTTTCTTTTCGAATAAAGCAAAAAAGTTACATTTTTCTTCGTTTTCTCGCCAAATATGCAAGCGATTCAAAAACCAGCAGTACATATTTGCACGAATTTGTTTGCGCGTGGGTGGGCATTTCTTTTTGACTTTTGAAGGGTCCAGCGGCAGGTTGACGCCTGGGTTTTTTATTTCTGTTTTCGAGTACCACTTTCCCACCTTAAAACACAAATCCCTCTTCGTTATTACTGTTCATTTTTGTTGCACAAGCATTTTTTGCAGGATTAGTTTTAGACGGTCAGAAAGGTCCAAAACTTCCTCATTTGATCCGATCGGTAGTTGTGTTCACCGGATATTGAATTAATGAATGAAAGAGAACGGATGTCCGTTAATTTGATGAAAACCGACCACTTATTGGATGATACTTGGTGTCTAGACCTAATAAAACTCAGCTAAACAAATTTTTTATTGAATTAGAACTTTTCCAGATTTCATAAACAATGTCATCATGATTTAATTCATAAATCAGATTTTCGTTAAGAAAATACTGTGAAAGAACTTAAGAACTCCTGAGTGGTCCCTATAGGGGCAATTTTTGGGGTCCTTGGAGGGCCCCCTCTAGGGACCAGTTTTCCAACCCCTATAAGGGCCACTAAAAGCTTTCAAAGTAGTAACTATAGGGGACATGATAGTCGATAATTTTTATGAACTTTATGTGAGCTCTATACTTTTTGAATGAAATTTAACGAACCCTATAGGGGCCACTTGGGCTGTTTTCCTCCCTAACCCCTATAGGGACCACTCTAAAAATTCCTAAGCAAGGAGAAAAAATCTAAAATCTCAATTAGGAAAGCCTCATACCAGATCGAATTTACCAGTATTAATGAAAATTTAAGAAATTTATTAAGCTCAACAGCTTTTTTTGGATGATATTTTTTTAAAAAAATTGAAGAAAAAAATTCGTTTGAAATTGTCTAAACGTATGCAATTCGAAATTTTTTCCTCTTCTTTCTTGAACTCTTGAATTTTAACTGAAAGCCGCCATTCATTTGTAATGCATACATCCGGAAATTTTTAAACGTTTCCAGTTTTTTGAAGGACGTGGGAAGAGGCCTTTTGTCTACTCTTTTTTTTTTCTACCATGTCCAAAACCAATTTCAAAGCTTTCTATTGAAAAAGGGGATTTCCGCTTTAAAATTGGCCAATTTATCAAGGAGACCAGTGTAATTCGAAAAATCCAACGGAAAAGGATCGTGACAAATTAGCTAATTTACTTTTATAATAACCCTGCCTTGTTGGATGATTCTTGCAGAAGACGAAAAATGTTTTTCTTCGATTGGACTTGTTCCGAATTTGAACGAAAAGGGCAAAAGGCTGTTTTCCTTCAAAACTCTCCCAAAAGCGATTGCTTCGAAACCGGCGAATGCCGCGTTATTTTTGTCTAGACTTAAATTTCGAACCAAAATTAGTTTTTGTTGAACCTATTCGACCTTTCAAACGAGTATGAAAAACAGAAACTTGGAAATATTTCTTATGAAAAATAAAGTAAAATCGTGCACAAAATCTTGAATTTTTTCCAGTTCCCACAATGTGACAAAGAACCTCTCCAAAACATCTTCGGAAAAAAAAAATCCGAGGTTCCATAAAAGCCATAACTCGGCGCTTCTACATAACCCATCATGGATCTGAAGACAATTCGGACTTTTTCTCCGTTGGTAATGTTCCAGCAAAAGAAAGCCAATATTTACACAACTGACAGGAAGAAAATTGGACTCTGAACCTTTTTGCTGACAAATTCTAGCGTTTGAACAGAAAGATCTATGAGAGAAAAATGCGTTTGAAAGTGAGAGAAAACTATTTTGAAAAAAAGAAAAAAATGAAATTTTAGAATTTTTTTATTCGGTAGTTTCCGACAGAATCACGCATACTTCTGGATCTCCATTTTCAAAATCACGAACAAAAAATGACTGAAAATAAACGATTGAGGAAAAAAAAGTGATTTTTTTGAAATTTATTGGCAGTTTAAAAGAAGCACGCCGCAGTTTGCATTCTTAGCTCCACCTGTATTTCCGTGTCGCTTTTTCTGAATAAAACTTTTTTTCGATAATGTTCCCATTTTTCAAACATCTCTGTTTTTCGCTTTCATTTTGTTCGACGATCGTGTTCAAACGTTATATTTTCTCTCTCACTTCGACTCGCTGCATCCGAAATGCATTAAATAGCCATCGCACTTCCCGAAAACTGCATTAAATTAGCCAATGTTTTTTCGCCGTGTTCTCTGTGTCATGTTAATAATTGATCGAGACTGCTGATTCACTTCCTGGAGAATGACGAGAGATAGAAAAGCCGGATAGTGCTTGTATTATTTGTCCCGAATCACGTGTCAATTAATTACTTGAAAAGTTCAACTGCGCTTTTTTCCCCAGTTTTTTGTTCTGACTAACTTTTGAATCATTTAAAATAACGAGAAACGGAAGTGATCGCCAAAGTCAAAAAACAATTTTCTTCAGCGGATGAATTATTGAAAAAAGTTTGAATTTTTCATTAATTTTACGCCTTTTTCGAGTAATAACTTGTCCAATCTATTTTGCACAATCGGTTCGTTATTGTGAAAAAAAACTGAAAGGCTTAATTTTTTCAGGAAATTGAGGAATTATTCAGTCGAGATGCGGCTAGAAGTAGAATTTCTTCGGAAACAGATTAAAGCATGATTTTTTTAAATAGTTTATTCGGGGAATAAAACAAGAAGTATTCCCAAATTGGAAAATTATATTGCATAATATCAAACCCGATCTAAATCACTCCAAATATCTTAGCTTGAGGCTTCATTTTTCCATGTCCATTCGAAAGAAAAATCAGAGATCCCAAATTTTTTTCGAGAATGTGGCTCACATTGAATATTCAGCAGCTCCCTCTGGGGCTTAGTTTTCTTCATTTTTTCTCGTCACCCCCGCTCTTTTTCTCAATAGAGCGACCTTTTGTCTCGAGATTTAGACACCTTGTTCGAAAATGCTTTTCACGACCGACGCAACTTCCTTATAGCGTTCTACTCATGTGGAAACAGATAGAAAGCTGAAAAATTCTTTTGTTTTTGAGTTGAAAAGTCGTTCCTCGTTCCTGGTTCGAACCCGAAGACGTTCTACTGTCGACGTTCTACTGTAGGAGGGCGGGGGATTAGGCTTCCAAAAAATTTTTTTAATTTTTCTATCAAAAATCTAGATGGTTCTTCTCTAATTACATGATTTATTAATTTTTGAAGAAAAAGTGATTTTTTTCCTATAAGAAGAAAAATTTTTTTCGCACTTTAAAAAAATCAAAAAAATTAACTAATTCATCGCTCAGCATTTTTCTATCCTTCGAAATTCTTTTTCACCTGAGCTTTTACTTAATTAGAAACTTTTTTTCCTCTCAATATAATCCGACAAGAGTGCAATAGTCCTTTTCAGTACGGAAAAAGCTGTTTTCTGGTCGAAAAATATTTTTTTTCCACTTCCGCTTTGATGCGAGGCAGCTATTTTTATACCTTCAAAAATAAGACAAAAATGATCATTTTTCATTTCCTTGGCCTAATTTTCGAAGCAAATAACAAACTACGTAACCGCAGGACTGAAAATATGTAATTTCCCATGGGCTCTTCATTATCCGAGAGTGAGAGAATAGAGAGCGAAATCTGGGAAAAATCTCCGAGAAAATTAACTTCTGTTCGAACTTTACTCTGTGCTGGCCAGATGGATGAGCGAAGATTTTCGGTCGCGAATTTTTATTTCAATCAAATTACGACGAGTTTCGTTGTCGGCTTGATTTTGGGACCCGGAATAGAAAAAAATTGGATTATTCTTGTAGTGGCAGGAAATTCGGAAGAAGTTCAACTGCAGAGGGCTCAGAAAAAATGGAAAATTCCTAGAAAAGCTGGGAATTCGATTTCATCTCATGCATTTTTTGTGAACTATCAAGCGGAAAAATACCGATTTCACGTTTTACATGAGGAAATTTTGTTACAGAGAAAAATAAAATTTTCATTTTAAAAATGGACATTGAAGAAAAAAATCTAACAGTCTTCCAAGTTGATAAAAAAATTGATTTATTTCGAATCCTCAGAACTTTCAGTTTATTAAA